AAAATGGATAAAGATAAAGAGTTAATTCTCCTGTATAAAATAAAAATTATTATTATAATATATATATATATATATATATATAATTATTTATTTATATTATAACATATATTTTATTATAAAGTGGTAGAATACTGCTATTAATTTTAGTTTAAAAGATGAATTTATTAAGACTCATTTTAATTAAAATTCATATATTTAATAATAGTAATAATTATAATTTGAAACAAATAAAAGCGGATTTAAAGAAAAAATAGTAAAAAATTGATAAAAAGATAGATGCTGCTTATAATTTAGAAAGTTTGAAAAAAGAAGTTGATTAACATGATGAAATTTTTAAAAAACTAATTGAATAGTGTATTCCTAAAGATTAATAAATAGACTATAATAGTTTTGAAGATTAAATATAACGAGAAGAAATCGAAAAATAATAAATGAAATTAATAGTTAAAAAATTCGAAGAATATGAGGACTAGAAAAACACTTTATATTAGCACATTATTACTATGAGGGAAGAATTAGAATAATTACAAAACAAAAGAAAGTTATTGATGATGAGGTTAAATATTATGAATAATTGCCAGAAAAAATCAAAAAAGACCCAAAAGCTTTGAAATGTCAAAAAATGCTTTAAATAATTAAATAAGTTAGGGATGTGTATAAAAATTAATAAAATAAATAATAGAAATTGATGATGAATATTAACAAATTAAAACTTTAAATTCCAGTTGTTTTTGTAAAAATCGGATGTGATTCTGAAGAATATACAAGAGAATTAGGAGAAAACTTTACACATTTTAAATACAAAGATATCGATGAAGGAAATATTATCTAATATTTAGCTATTATGGAAAAAGAACTAATGATTTATTATAATTACAAAGTTAAGCTTTTAGTACTAATACTATAGGAAAATAATAAGTTAAATATTTATTTTTATTTTTATTTTTATTTTTTATCTAGCTATAATTAGTTGATCTAAAAATAATATAAAGCTGAAGAATCCAAAGCATCTTTATCAAATATTGAAAATAAAAATTTTGATAATGATTTAAAAACAATTTGTAAATAAATATAATTTTATATATATATGCAAAAATAATAGATATATTTATAAAAAAAAATTAATTATTTTGTTTTTTATAAAAAAGTGGAAACAGATAATAAGGAAATTAAAGATAATAAAGATAATAAAAATAAAGGCTATCAAGAAACTTAAGAATTCCTTAAATAAGAATTTTTATATAATAATGCTAAATAAACAATAGATACATTAAAAAATAGAAGAAAAAGAGAAAAAAAATGAAAAAAAAAATATTAAAAAAAAATAAAAAATTATATTAAAAAAAAGAAAAAAGATTAAAGTTAATAATAAAAAATTACATAATTTTTTTTTTATTTTTTGTTTATATTTTAATTTATTTTTATAAATAAATTTACATTTAAAAAATACTATTTTAATAAAAATATTTTATATTATAAATAAATTTATTTAAATTAATATATAATATTTTTTTATATTATTTTATTATGTTTTCTGAAATTTTTATTTAATTTCGAAATTTATATTAATAAAGTACAAAATAAATTGTTTCTATTTTTTCTTGATTTAATTTTATATAAATTTACAGAAAAAAAACAAAGCTTTCTAATAAATAATTTATATTTATAATATTATTAGTATATAACAATCAATATTTTAATGGATTCATTGTAGAAGGTTCTCCATGTCCAATTTTTAATAATATATTTGTATCTTTATCTATTTTTTTATATATTGCTTATTCTCCAATTTTATTATAAATATTATTATTCATATTTCTTTTTTAGTAAAGTTTTTTTATATAAGGTTAATCAGTATTCCCTATTTTAGCAATAAGTGTAGGATTATCATATTTTTAATTTTATATATTTTCTTTCCATTCAATTTTACATTTACCTTTTTTTAAATCTTATAATGCTATATTTTTTTAAAAAAATATTATAAGTTTTTTTTTTTTTTTTTTAATTTTAAAAAAACTCATTTTTTTCATTTCTTTAATAGATTTTTTTTCAGCTACAATCATTTTATTTCTTTCCTTTTTTTATATATTAAATAGATAATTAATATATGTGTATATTAGATTACATGTATTTAACTAATAAAAGGAACCATACACTCAAACATAAAATTATTTTCATATTTTTAAATTTTATTTCCAAAAATATCAGTATTTTGCTTAACTTTAGTTATTTATTTTTTATTTGCATCTATATGTGATTAAGTATAAAATTTATTAACACTTTAACACCAATTAGGTGTATCGTCTGAAATAGTTCTTTTTACATTTTTTTTTTAAATAAAATAAATATAAAATACTTCATATTTCTAATTAAAGGTCCATCTTTGAAATCTTTATTTATTCTCAAAAGTGGTTTTGAAATAAACATATGTGACTTTTATATATAATTAGATTTCTATTTTTAATCACTTAGAGCTAAATTTTATGTTTAATTGAATTCTTCTTTACTAACTATATGCCCTTTTTGAATATTTTAATCACTTTATTTAGCTTAACTTATTTTGTAAAAATAATTATTAATAAAAAAATTAATTTTATTTTTACCTAGCAAATATTTTTTCTTTTTTTAATTTCCAATTGGATAAATGGTAACATGTTTACATATTAAAATTTTTTGGATTATCTGTACCATCTAAAATTTAATTATTTTTTGTAAAATAGGCACTATCTTATTATTTTTAGTAATATTTACTTTTATTAATTTTTTTATAAAAAAATATACATATAAACATATCATTTATTATTAATATATTAAAAAAAAAAACTTTTCTTAATTATAATTAGTATTATGGAGTATATAATTAGAATTATAATCTTCTTTTTTATATTGTTATGTTGCCTATTTAAAATTATAAGAAAATTAATCTTAATAATTTCTTTAGTCTATTTTTGAACTTTCACTCTAATATAATATAAATTTATATTTTTTAAAAAAATAAAAAAACTATTTTTATATTTTACTGGATATGCTTAAATAGAGGGAAAACGAGCAAATTCTAAATTTTAACCATATTGTTCACCTGTAGCATAAAATTTTAACATTTTTTATATATTTCTATATTTTTTGTAAATAAAATTTATATTTTAATTAATAAATATTTGTTTTAAAAATAATTTATTTCATATATATATATATATAAATATTAATAATTAAGTTATATAAATATTAAATAAATTAAATATTACATAAAAATTTAAACAAAATCTAAAATAAAAACTCATTTATTTTAAATAAAAAAAACTTAATTTCATTTTATTTATACAGGACCACTTCCAACTTCAGTCTGAAAAACATAACCTGGGCTAGTATTATATTTATTTTTATTTAAATCCACAATTTTCTATATATTTTCATTTAATTAAATATTTTTTATTTAATTATAACTCTCCCTAGCCCTACTACTCATTTATTCTAAATTATTAATCCCAAAAACTTCGCAAAGACTCTTAAAAACCTAAAAAAAAACTTTTTAATGAATAACTAACACTGCATGAGGTCCTGCATCAAAAGTATACCCTACAATATATTCCAAAATTGCATCCAACTAATGCAAGAAGTGAATAATATTCTACGAGAACTAATTAAGATAAAAAATAGGAGGATAACTATCCAAACAACATGCATGAAACTAATTACTATCCTCTCTAATAACTTTACACATCTCATTGAAATTTTAATTTTGAACAAATTCCTTAATTAATTAAACCCTTCTACCAGCCTCATCCTCTTTAACTCTAAATTTCAGTAAATTTGAAGTTTTACTTGTTATTTTCATTCCATCAGTAGAAGAAACTTCCTTATTTTCAAAAGAATAGGCCAAAACCAATATTTAAACATCTTTAAAAAACTGATCATCGAAAACCTATTAAGCGACACAAATTTTCGATAATTCCTCTAAAATATCAATATTATTATTTTATTATTCAATTTATTATTATTTTTAAGAAGAAACACAGTTCCATTAAACCAAACCTCCAAAAATTGACCTAGAAGCACTTCCGGAACCTAGACGTGCAATTTCGCTTTTTTAATTAAAATATTCTTCCTAAAAATGATATATATCAAATAAACACAATGAAATAGCAGCTAAACCCGAAGAACTTGAAGCTAATCCACTTGCTGTTGGAAAAGAGTTTTCTGATTTGATTTTTAAATGGAAATTTTCTGGTTCTAATTGTAATTTTAAATCATATTTTATTAATTTCTAAAGTCCTTTTTTTTAAAAAAAATCTATTATTTTTTACAATCTATTTGATATTTTTTCCTCTTTTTTATTCAATATTAATTTATGGTTTTTATACTTATTTGAAAGAATTATTTTAGTTGTTGTTTTTAAATCTTAAGTACTTAAAGTTATTCCTATAGAAGTATTTAAAGGAAGAATGTATTCTTCATGGAATTTACCCCAATATTTTACAAATGCAATGTTTGGGGCAGTTTCATATGTTGACTTTATTTTTATTATATTGCTGTTGTCTTTTTGGATAATCATTTTTTTTTTTATTTTAATTAAAAAATCTAAAAAAGATATAAATATATATATAATTTTTTTAAATTAAAAAATCATAATTTTATAATTTACCATATATATAAGTATATACATATATATATATATATATTGGTAAAAATATTATTTTTATATACAAAAATCTAATAATATAAAATTATTTGATATATTTTTAAAAAAAAATTAAAATAAAAAAATTAAAAAAAATGAGAAAACATTAAGTTGAGTTTCCTACAAAAAACTAATCAAGACAATTAAAAAAGGAAATATTTTAATATTTTAAATCCAATAGGGAAACATTTTGCTTTTCCTACGAATGGATTCTAGGATAAGTTTAACCCAAAACAGAATCTTTATACATATAAAATATGTTCAGATTTTACACTTAAGGTGTAGTTCGTCGTCACGACCTTTATTTGAAAAAGGTTATAACTTTAGGTGATAAATAATACATTATAAAGATGGAAAGTTATGGAGATTCTAAAAAAATGAGAATGTAAATTGGTGTAAATCCATTAGCTTATTCTTTTGGAAAAGTAATGTTGGATTATGTATATTTATTTTTTATGGAAAAAAATGAAGAATAGAAATAAAAAATAAAAGATAAAGTTGAAGAATAAATTTCTAAGGAAAAATATTTTTCCGCTTTATAAAATATTTAAGCTTTTGAGAAAATACTTAATGAATAATTGGATGAATTAAAAAGTGTTTGTAACTAAAATTAGATGAATTAAAAAAATCTACTAATAATTAATAATTAAGCTTAGTTAATATGTAAAAAAATGTTTAAATTTGTAAATAAAAAATCGAAGATATTAAAAATATTGACAATGAGGACCTTTAATATAATTCAAATATAAAAAATGTTAAAATCAAAAAAAAAAAATTAAATCAATGAATTATATTGCTTAATAATATAAAAAAAAAAATAATTAAAATTTTTATTTTATTACAAAAGATTAATTTTTATTAAATTTTTTGAAAAAAAAAAAATTAATTCGTTTTTTTTTATTTTTACTCAAGATATTTTTTTAAATATATACTTTCAATATAAAATATATTTTTTTTTAATTCATTAATAAAAAAAACTAATATTTATGTTTGTTTGTATATATTAAAATAAAGTTTAAATAATAATTATAACATTTTTTTTTTTAAATAAATTAAAAAAAAAAAGATAAATATAAACTAGTTTTTTTATTAATATATATATTATAAGAATATAAATATATATATGAATATATTAATTTTTGTATATCAAAAATACTGTATTATATATGTATTATTATAATATGAAAATAACATTTTTAATAATTTATTTTTATTATAATATGTATATTTTATTTTTAATAATTTTATAATATTTTTTATGCATCTATTAAATTCTTTTTTATAATTATTTAATCATTAATTGGATGAATGATTTAAGCATATTTTAAATTTTTCTTAAAAATACGAAACTTTATATATAAAAATTATTAAGGCTTAAATTATTTTAAATTTAATTTAATAAAAAATAATAATAAATAAGCAATTAAATTTTAAATTAATAAAAAAATATGAAAAAAATAAATATTATAATTTCAAAAAAAAAAAGCACAATACATATATATATATATATATATATATATATATATTATAATAAAATATTTTTAAATATTTATATAAAAAAATATTAAAATAATAAAATAACTTTAAAAAAGAAAATATAAAATGGATAAAAATATAGCAGCTCCTAGCCAAAAAAATAAAATATCAAATTACAGGGTGTCTAAATACCACACCTAAATGAAATTACCAATATAGTAAACTATAGACATTGTTATATCTTTACCAGACTACTAAGCTTTATTAATATTCGAAACTGGCGAGATAATAAAAGTAAACATACTTTAAAATAAAATAATAGGCTAAGGTATAATTGAAAAAGACCTAGTAAAAGAATTAATTAAGCCATACGATGATGAACATATTGTATATATATCAAAATAATAAAAGAAGTTAAGATTTTATAACCATGTAACATTTAAAGAGGAAAATATAATAGAAGCAGTGACTCCTACACCATAAGGATTGCCTGTAAATGAATAAAACGAATAAAACTTAGATGAATTATATCGTGATGGGATGAGAATGGTTGTTTTGCCAGTTTCAAAGTTAATAGTTTTGTTGGAGATAAAATCTGCGTATTCAAATCATTAAAATGAAAATATTATTACCGCATTCCATAAATCTTAAACAGATTCAAGTTTTTTTTCGTAAGTAAGGTATGTTCATAATGAGAAAATGTTCTTTTTATAAGCGTTAAATAAAACAGATACTATTTGTGTATTCACTTAATTATTTGAAGGTCCTCCTGCAGAATTTTTAGTTTGGAATGTTAGTAAAAAATAAGATGGGTTGATTCCTATTTTTAGATTAAGTGAACCTTTAGAAGGATCGATTTAAGATATTTTCTCTTTCGGAGGAAATGAGGCGGGGATGTTAATTAATTTAAAAAAAGGAAATTTCCCTATTTTGAAAGTCTTCGATTATACAAAAAGTCCGGCGTAGGAAAAAACTTCGATTTTGGATGTTATTTCTGTTAAATAAAATTCTTTAGGGGGGTCAAATAATTTTTGCTTGTAAGAAGTCTATTTGACTGATGTTGAAAATTAAAAAATTGTATGGTAGAGATTTGGATAGGGAGGATCTTATTTTGATGTCTACAACCCAGTTTCAAATAAAATTACTTTTTAATATTTAGAAAGTGAGAGCGACGATGAAAATTAAGATGATGGAATGGTTGATGAGTCAAGATATGATTATAATAAAGTTACTTCATAAGATGGAAAATATATTTTATCATATTAATGTAATTAAGATTGTATGAATTAAAATGCACCAATTAATTTTATTATTAGCTCGATTGTGGAAGTAAAAAGCTCAATAATGCATTTATTATAGAAAAAAAATATTCTTGAGTATTATGGGGAGAGTGTATGTAAAGATATTATCGATATTTTAGTTTATAAAGAATGAAAATAAATAATATTTTGTGATAAAATAATAAAATATATATATATATTAAATTTTTATTTTGTATGTTTTTTAATAATATAAATATTTTAAGTAAATTATATTATAATATAAATAAAAATAAAAATAAAAAAATATTTGTAAATATATATTTAATATTTTTTTATATTTATAAATATTTTTATTATTTTTTTTATTAATTATGACAAATAAAATAATATCATATAGATCAGAGAGAAAAAGTAAAAAAATATTTTTTTATTTTTTATAAATAAAAATTAAAAATAATTATTATATAAATTAATAAAATAAATAATTAAATTAAAAATTAAATTAAAAATATTAAAAATGAAATAATAAAATTAATTAAAATATTTAGAATGCTAAAATGGAAAATTACATTAAGGAGAATGTTTAAATTTTATATGTTATGACCCAGAATGCAAAAATAATGGCATATTATGTTCTATATGCAGAATAGAAAGTCATTAAAATCACAAAACTATTCCTTTAAAGTTATTTCTAAGTGATATAACTAACAAGATATAAAACAATCAAAAAAAAAACATAAAATTGGATTACTTATTAAATTAATTAGAAAAGTTAAATTAATAAATATTATATAGCTTAAAAGAAACAGTAGAAAATATGGCTTAATAAATTAAATTATTTGAAACTGAATGTTCGGATACTATCAAGCGTATAAGGGAGAAAATTACGCAATAACATTTTATGAATGAAAATATGCCAAAAGTAATCGAATCTATTAAAAATGGAGAATATACAGACGTCGATATATTTAAATCTGAATGCAAAAGTATTGTCGAATCGATTTCTTATAAAGAAAATAAAGGCTTTGAAATTGATATTAAACCAGAAAAATATATAGATTCATTTTCTAGGACAGAATAGGAATGTATAAAAACAATAAAAAAAGCATCTGATTAATTTATTTAATAAATAAAATCTTTATAAAATACATTATAAAATGTAGGAAATTAAGCGTTCTAAAATTTAGTGTAATTTTCATTTTCTTAAACTCTTAAATCTAGCACAATAACCTTAATAGATCAAAAAGTAATAATATATATATAAATCGAGATTATTTTAATAAAAATTTATTTATATAAGATTTCAACATAAACTTAAAATTAAGATGGAGAAAACAGATTTGCTTTATTAGAACCTGTCCTTTAGTTAAATAAAACCGCGAAATTTGCTTTTTAGGTAAAAAACACGACTTCTTGGGTTGGATTAGGAATTTGTTTAAAAAATATTTTGTAAAAAAGAAACTTTAAATTTGATTATAACAATACAGGTAATGGCACATATTTAGTTTCTTCGAATGGATATACTTGGTCGCATTCCTCAAAAGATGATAATAGACAACGTAAAGGGTTTGGGTTTGAAAATGATAGTGTCGTCATTTGTATTTTTGATCCTGTTAAAAAAGTTATTAGGTTTAAAAAGCATAAAGGGTAATAGATTGTTTGTTTAAATGTAGATATTCCGGAAAATGAAAATGTATATGCATGTGTTAATCTTTGTAATAAAAATGATTCGATTGAAATTATAAATGATGCTGAGATATTAAAAGAAGATTTTTGATTTTTTGATTTTTTGATTTTTTTTTATTAATAAAATTTATTCGTATTTATGTTTGTTGTTTTGTTAATTTTTTTATATTTGCTTTTTATTTGAGTTATTAAAGATTATTATTAAATTAATTTTTAGATTTTAGCATAATTATTTTATAATAAATTAATTATTTAAAAAATAGATATTTAAATAAAAAATATTATATACTTTTATTTATATATTCATAAATTTATTTTAATATATATTAATATATAAAAAAGATATTTTTATTTAGAAATATATTTTTAAATTATTTATCTATCAATCTAGAAAATTTAAATATATATTAATATATAAATAAAGATATTTTTTATTTATAAATATATTTTAAATTATTTATCTATCAAAATAGATTATTTATGTATGTATTTGCAATTAAATTAATAAAAAAGTATTTTTTTTTTTGAATTTAAATATGATTAAATAAAACAAAGCAAATTATAAATTTTTATCGAAATCGCTCCTATTTAATTAATTATAATAAAGATTTGAGCATTCAATATTAAAAATGTTTATATAGTTTTTTTAATTATTATATTTTAATTAAACAATCTAAAAAATAAAATAAAGGATATTTTTATTTTATTTTGTTTTATTTATATTTTTTAATTTAGAATAAATAAAAAATATTAATATATAATATATATATTTAATTAAATTTATATTTAGATTTATATATATATATTTTTTTATTTTATTTATAATAATAAATATAATTTATTCAATATAATATTTTATTTATATAAAAAATTAGATATATTAATAATTAATTAATAAATAAAAATATTAATAAACTTTATGTTTAAACATAAACATAGATTTACAAAAATAATTAAATATAAATATTCGTGAAAAATATATAATTAAAATATATAAATAATATATAATATTAAAGAAATCTTCAATACTTACTATTTTCAAAAATACTATTACTATGTAATTGAATATCTGAAACAGAAGATTTTAAGCAATCATTATTATCTTTATGTAATTTAATCATATTAATCAATTCTTCTAAACTTATGCATTCCTTTTCATTTTCGACTTCTAATTCAAGAATTTTTATATTATTATTATTATTATTAATTTTATGATTATTATCGTTATAATAATAATTTTTATTATCATTATTATTAATATTATATATTATTATTATTATTATTATTATTATTATTATTATTTTATTATTATTATTATTATTATTATTTTTATTATAATTTAAATTATTATATTATTCTTATAATGCTATTTCATCATCCATATTTTTATATTTAATTTTAACAAAATATTAAGTTTTGTTTATTTTATTTTTTTTTTAATTATTTTAGTAAGACTATTTATTTAAATTAATATTATTATTTTAATTTATACTAATACTATAACTTTTCTAAAATCCGAAATTAATATTATTATTAATGATTCTTTTTTTTACTTTAATAATATTATTAGAATATATTATATTAATAATTTTATCTTTTTTTAAATTAAATTTTATTAATTTCTATCTAGAAATTCCCACATAGCATTAATTAACTAATTAAAAACAGCAAATTATTCCTGTTTAATTTTAAACAAATTCTTTCTTTTAATACATAAATTATTAAAATAAAGCATCAACATTTTTATAACTATTATAATACCCCATATAATCATAAAATGCTCTTATTAGTCTTATTCTTTTATCATTTGCTTTATCATCATATACTGTTACTGTGTTTGTTAATCCTTCTGCAGTTTTTGAGGTAGCATCTAATATTCCAGATATAGGCTTTACTAAAATACCTGTTATTCCTTTGACAGTACCAAACATTAAACCACTAAAACCATTTTTGGATACCCCTTAATAAGGTTATACAACAATACCTGAAACACCTAATGAAAAATAAATAAATATATAAATAAATAAATATACCTTCATATATTCCATTATAAATACACTCTCCTGCTTATTCTAATCCATTTATTAAATTTTTCGGTGGTTTCAACATATATCTTCTTCTTTTTTCTTAATATTCAGGATCCTATATTATTTTTATAAAAACTTTAAAACAAAAAATTACTAATGTAAATTTCGAAAATCCTTTACTTAGTGTCCCAGTAACTTTATATATTGACTAAAAGGTTCCAGCAATTCCATTTTTCAGTAAAGAACTTGTACCTTCTGCAATTCCCATTCCGAATTCCATAGGTCCATTTTATATTCCTTCGTAAGGTTTTTCGATTAAATCTATAAATCCATCTCCTAATTTTTACATTAATCCTAAAGGATTACCTATAATCTCAATCGAACCTATTATCCTATAGATTTACTTAATAATATTATACTTATAATGTTTAAGAACTTTTTCCTGAATAAAATTTTCGTTGTCAAATAAATTAACAAGGTTAAATTCTGATAAAAAAATAGGAGCATTATCTATATTACTTAAAGCAGTTCCAAAAAAACTAGCGAACATATAGAGTAAATTAACTTAATCTACAGATGAAAAAGATGTCGTATGGTAAGAAATATTAAATAATATTTAATGTACTTTCAGTTCTTATATATGAACAGATTTTTGTATATTAGGGACATCTAAATATTTCCAATCTTCATAAAAATTATATTATTATAATATTTATCCTGACTTAACTTAGTTTTCAATATATTTATCAATTTCTTTTCTTTTTTCAGGACTTACAAATAAATATTTAACAATATCATATCTTTTAACATCGTTTTATTATGTATTTTATATTTCTAAAGATTTAAGTAAATTTTTGGAAAATTCAAGTAATATTTGTAAGTATTCTTAATCTAATCTTATTGTCAAAGGACATATATATAAGTCAAATTTATTTATTAAAAGAACCTAATATATATATATATATATATATATATATATATATATTTATATATAATATTATATTATTTACTTGATGTGAACTATGATCTCTTTAGAAAACAAAATTTAAAAAGTTATCTTCTATATTTTATCTAACTTTATTATAATTTGAAGGTGTAATATTTACAGGTGTTAATGACTCATATTCAGTATTATTATCAATTTGCATATATTTAATATTTATGTTCGTGTCTATGAAGTTTTCTATTTTTTAAATATTTATTTTTATATTTTCAAAATAAATATAATTCAATTCTTTATTTTATTCAGCTTAATTTACTATTATCGAAATTCCAATGCCTTCAAGTTCAATTTTAAATTTAGATTTTTTAATTTCCTTATTTGTTTGTTATTAAATTAAATTATTATTATTTTAAGTTTGATCATTATCGTAAATATGGGAATTTATTTTTGGTATACTTTATTAAGCATCAAAAATTTTAGATTTAGCTTAATATTACAAAGTTGAATAAAAATCGAAAAAATTAACATTTTCGAACTTGTGTTATTCACTAATTATAATTATTTTACTTTTTCCTTTAAAAACAGTCTTTATATTTAATTAAATATTGAAGCCTTTATATATTAATGTAATGCTTTCTGGTTCGCGGAAATTTAGTTATTCCAAATTAACTTCAAAATATTCAGTTAATTCGTTTTCATTTATATTTTAATCTTAAATTAGATTTTTAATTTTTATTAATCTATATAATAAATATATAAATATAAAATAAAAATATATTTATAATAAATACTATAATTCTACTACAGGCTTTTAACAAGGGAAATTCCAAGCAAAAGGTTTACATTATCCTCTTTAAACTAAAAATATATAATTACTAGAGTTAATATTTTATTAAGATAAATAATCTTTAAAAAATATAAAATTATTATTGTTATTGTTATTTTTATTGTTATTGTTATTATTATTGTTATTGTTATTGTTATTGTTATTGTTATTGTTATTGTTATTGTTATTGTTATTGTTATTGTTATTGTTATTGTTATTGTTATTGTTATTGTTATTGTTATTGTTATTGTTATTGTTATTGTTATTGTTAATGTTATTGTTATTGTTATTGTTATTGTTATTGTTATTGTTATTGTTATTGTTATTGTTATTGTTATTGTTATTGTTATTGTTATTGTTATTGTTATTGTTATTGTTATTGTTATTGTTATTGTTATTGTTATTGTTATTGTTATTGTTATTGTTATTGTTATTGTTATTGTTATTGTTATTGTTATTGTTATTGTTATATGTTATTGTTGTATGTTATTGTTATTGTTATATGTTATTGTTATTGTGTATTGTTATTGTTATTGTTATTGTTATTGTTATTGTTATTGTTATTGTTATTGTTATTGTTATTGTTATTGTTATTGTTATTGTTATTGTTATTGTTATTGTTATTGTTATTGTTATTGTTATTGTTATTGTTATTGTTATTGTTATTGTTATTGTTATTGTTATTGTTATTGTTATTGTTATTGTTATTGTTATTGTTATTGTTATTGTTATTGTTATTGTTATTGTTATTGTTATTGTTATTGATTATTATTATTATTATTATTATTATTATTATTATTATTTTACACTATACTACTTCTATTATTACTTATATTTTTTTATTTTTATATTTATATTTTTTTTTTTATAAATTCGTTTTTTTCTATTTTATTATTATCTTTATTGCTTTTATCATTATTTATATTTTCTGTTTATAAATATTAATATAATTGTATGTTAAAATTTAAGCATTCATTCTATATTTTATAAGGATAATCATCGCCTTATATGCTTTCTATAATTATATAATAAATGTTATTATATATTGTTACAATAGCATTTAAATAAACAAAACAGTCTTAAATTTAATCTTATTATTCTAAATCTTGTAAAGTCTCATTATATTATTAAATTTATTAATAATTATAAAGTAATGAATTCATTTTTATAGATTATGATTAAGGTAAAGAAATAGACCTTGGTATTGAAGGATTCTCTATATTACTTGTCTTTATAAAAAAATTGTAAGTCTTTATTTTATCAACTTCTAATCTTTCTGACCATTCATATTATTTACTAATATTCTCTATTTTGCACATAATTTATTAAGGATTTTCACTTTCCCAATAAATAGGAATTCTACTATTTTAATTAATAGTTTCAAAATTATCATAATTTCCATATTAAGCGATCTTTTAAAAATAAAAAAATTGAAAAATAAAATGCACACCAATAAATATAAAAAATTAATAAAATTACATTTAATATAGAAGAAGTATTATTTATTAAAATATATTTAGGTTAAATAGTAATAACTCTAGTTTAAAATAAAGTGTTTTATATAGGAGTTTGAACGACATTAATTGTAAAATCATACAAAGCATATTATTTATTAAATTAATTTTAAAAAGTTATTTTTTAAACATTTTTAATATTTCTAACTTAAATAAAAAACTAATCTTCATTAGTGGTTACAGAAAATTTCTTTATTCGAAATTCCTTACTCATATATTATTCATTTATTTAATCTTTATCTTAATCCTAAAAAGAGATAAATATATCCTATTATTCGTCATTTAACACAATTATTTTATTATAATTAAATTATTCATCATATTAATAATTACTACTTTGAATTTCTGAAGCTTAATTATTTACTGTTGCGCCTTCTGATTCAGTAGCTTTTATTTCGTCTATGAAAAACGCTGAACATTTCAAAGGCTTGCTATTAATATTTTTATTTATTTAATTATATTAGTTTGCAATTTCTTCAATATTATTAGTATTTATATTAAAAAAACTTTTTTTTGAATTAAAAACTGTTTAACCTTATATTTTTAAAAATTAATTTCCTAGCTTTTAATAAAAATATAAAAATTGGTTTGTTTTATTTATTATAAAATTGCTGCAATAAACAATCAATTTTACACATCCATTTATATTTTATCTATTTAATTTTAATTTTAATTTTCTCTTTTTTTTTTTAAATTAAAAAACAATTTTGTTTATTATTATTTTTTACATTATAATTACATTCAGTTAATATGATATCTTATTCATATTAATTATCATTCTTGTTTTAATCATAAATAAGTATATCTTAAGATTTATTAAAGTTCATAATCTAAAACTATATATATATTTTATCTTCTAAGCTACTATATAGTTCTTAATGAATTTCTTATTAAGAAAGTATTATAGGACTTTTTTAATTACTCTATTTTTCATAAAAAAACTAGAATTTTAAAGAAAGAGGTAGACAATTTTAAATCTAAATTAAATTGTCAATTACTAATGCTAATCTACCTTTAATAATGCTATCCATTTCTTTTCTTATTAAAAAGAACATGTCTTTATTTTATATCTAAATATTTTATTATAATTTTATTTTGAAAAAATCCATTAAATTATATTCTTTAAATTCTTAACTATTAACAGTTTAATCATCATTATTATTTTTTTTAAAGCTTTATAAAATTTCTTTATTTTTCTATATAGGTTGAAAATAAATCTTTACAACAGTATCTTTATCCATCAAATCTATGGGTATAGCACCATATTAATTCGTATTTATTTTTACTTTATGTTTTTAACAATTCAATAGAAAAAAAATAATCTTTTTTTATAAATTTATATATATTTTTAAAAAATACTTACATTAACTTTATAAAATAGCTTATTTAAAAAAACAAAAGGCGAACTTAAAATAACAGTTTTTCTTACATCATCTAGTTTAACATGTGAAATAAAAAAAGGTCTTATTCCACGTTCATTTTGAAATTAATAAACTTCTTATTTTTTCTCTAATTATTCTATTTAGTTTATATAATTATTAGCTTATTAATTTATAATTTATTATTCTTCAGTTTTTAATATATTATGAAATTCATCATAAATTTCTTATTTTTACCATATATATGTATCTTATCTTACTCTATCAATTTTTAGGTTATTTATTTTATAGCTATTCATTTATTAAGTTTTAAATTATACATTAATAGTGTATGGTTCTTCAAATGTTTTTTAATAATTTTCTTAATCTGATTCTCTTTATAAATTACTATTCAATCCATTTTTTACTGTAATATAAACTTCTATTAAAATATTATATTTTTAATTATAAAAAAAATATATATTTTTTTTACCTTTTTAATTATTTTATATTTTTTAAACTTCAACTGTATATCCAGTCAGATTTTTAAATTCGAATAAAGTAACATATTCTTTAATATTATTTTCTGGATTATTTAATCCAAATCTAGTAGGTTATTTAACTAAAGTCAATGTATTAACTAATAGAGTATTTCCAATAGTACCACTAGTTTAATTAGCAATAGATTAATCAATTTATTAAGCTTAATTAGCCATATTAATTTGCCCTTATTGGCTTTATTAAATTTATCCTTTCCAATATTAAATACTTTAATATAAAACAATAATCATTCTATCAGAAATATTTATATTTAAAATCTGTCTATCATCCTAATCTAAAGAATTATAATTATTATTATTGGAATTATCATTTATAAATCCAGAATTTTATTATAATTATATAATTTAATTTTATTACTTTTTCTTATATTGCTTTATCTTTAAATAGCTTTAAAACTCTTTATTTGTAATTTATTTTATTTTGAATTTTGTTTATTCTACGAAAGGTTCTAATTTGGCCACATAAGGGTTAAAATAAAACAATTCGATGCTAAAAATACCTTATGATTTTTTAAAATCAGGCATACTAATATATTTTAATTTTTTTAATATTTAAATATAAAAACGGAGCATTGGAATATAAGATTATTTAGTATCATTTATTACTAACATTTCAAACATTGTATCAAGGCTTACATTTAAAATAGTTATATTTATTAATTATTATTAATTTTATACATTTAATTAGAGATTAATATTACTTTTTTTGATTTACATAGAATTTAAACTATTATTTGCTTAAGCCAAATTCTATTGTTTTTATAATAACATATTAATATTTTAAATTTAAAATATATTTTTACTGTAAAGCTTCTGGAATTTCTATCGCTTTTTAAATCTTGCAGTTGTTATTAAATACTAGTATTAGTTTAATTATTTTAAGATATGTTTTATTGAACATTATAATTAAAAATATTAGTTTTTTATATTTTGTTTATTATTGTATTAGTATTATAAGTTATATTATTACTATTCATAGATATATTGTTTTTAAATAAAGTAGTTTACCCTTTTAGTTTTGGTTTTCTTTTAAAAAATTCATTTTAATGAACTTCTGTTTAAATTTCATTATTGTATTAAAAAACTATTGAATTATCTTGAATTTAAGTGTTTTAATTATTTTAACTATCAAAATTTTATTAATTTTCTGATTCTTCATTTAATTATTGATTTCTATTTTTTGTAGATTCACTGAAATTATTCGCTTATAATTTTAATTCATTTTAATATAAAATAGTTTAATAAACTAATTTTAAATCCTTTATAATATTGATATATATATATATAGATTTTATATAATTTTCTAATAAGTAAATTTATATATAAAAAAAATACTTAATAAGTTAAAGTACACCTTATTTTTCCAAATTTACAATCAATTTTATTAATTTGAGACTATTATTAATAACATTCACATATAAATTATTATTAAATAATATTTAAATCAAATGGTGCCATGATATTTCTTTTTTTAAATTTTTGGTCATTTTAATTTAAAGACTAAATATCTGAAAGTAAACAATTATATAACTATATAGATTCTGCGTCTATTCTTATAGTTTGCACTTATTATTTTTATTTTTCATTAAAAAATTTTTAATTTTTAATTGACTATTAAATTCTTTATTTTTAAATTTCTTTATTAAATTCTTTAGTTTGGTGATAATCAGTATGATAATTAGAATTCATACTTAGTTCATATTTAATAGTTACTTTTCCTTACAATGCAATAACATGTTTAGCTTCTGGACTTGATTATAGACCAATAAGAATACTTTTCATTTATAATTCTAGTTTAAAATTGCTTTATTTTTCACTTTTATATTCTATATATATATATATATATATATATATATATATTTTAAATATATTAATATTTTTAAAGGAAAAAAAAAAAGTACTTTCATCTACATTTTTCAAAGTATTAATTTTACTAATTGGCTCTAACTTAAGAAAATTAAGAATTGTAAAGATAACATAATTATTAATAAAAAGTTTCGAATTAGATAACTCCAATTTCATATCAATATCTCCATCTTAAAATATTTTTATAAGAATAGAAGCCTGTGCATTTTTTTTATAAGTCTCCAAATCATTTACTTAATTTATTAAAGAATTTTTTTATTTTAGAAATTAATTTTAAGAGATATTCACTTTTTTTTACTACAAGCCTATTTTTCCTAAAAATCCATATTTCTAATCTTCTAAAACTTCTTAGTTTAAAAATTTACTAAAAGCATATAAAAAATAATAACCAACTAATTACTTTCCATATATTTCGATTTCAAAAAAATGGTTGTTATATTAACTATATATAAATTTTGCCTCTTCTATACTTAGTTTTACATATACTCTATCATAATTTTGAAATTAGAAACCTGGTTATAAATATTGAGATTATTAGTCTAATATTGAAAGAGATATTTCATCAAAATTTATTTGTATTTCCTTTTTTTTCGGTTCTGGTTCACTTTTAGATTTTTAATTATAATTAAAAATAAAATCTTTATCATTTCCATCTTCAAATTAAATATTTTGTTTTAAAACCATCATTATCAAAGCATATTAATATTTGAATAATTTTAATTATATCTTGTGTGCTTCGCCAATAATATTTATATAATTAGTTAGATCTTTATTTTGATAAAATAAATATTTAAAACAAACAAATTTAATGTAATAATAATACCTATTTTGTTTTTAAGCAATAATTAATATTATTTAAAAAAAGGTTAACTATTAATTTAAAGTGTAAAGTCAATATTTTCTGAAACTTAATTAATTTTATTATTCGATTTCATAAAAATAGCCATTTACCCACATTTAATTTCGATTTCTTCATCCCAAATAAAATTTATTTTCCTATAATTTTTTAACTCATCAGATACCTTTTTATCTGTACAATTTCTAATACAAATAGGACCTAAATCTAACTTAATGAAATCTTAAGATTTTGGTTATTATTTAAGAATAATAGTAGGTTTATCGATTTCTAAAACATATTAAGTTAGCTTAGGACTAAATAATTATTTTAAAATTTCATACTAATTATGTTTAATATTTTCATTATCTTCATTTTTCTCATCTTAATTATTATAGTTATTCGCAAAAACAGCCAAAAGTTATTCGTTTATATAGTTTACTAACCTCAAAATAGGTTTTTAGAAATAAATAAGTATTATTTTACGTATCTCAACATGACATTTATTATATATAAAGTTTTAAATCTTACTTTATGTATTAGAATAATAACTTAAAAAATCTAATTTTAAAATACTATTTCCTTATTATGTATCATCCTATCCGAATATTTTAAATCCATTAATGTTGAAAAACTAATTATATATTAATTCTGAATCAGGATATCCTGTTAGGTCCATTATCTGAATATCACCTAATTCTCCTTATACTAAAAATCTATCTTCATAAAATTTTGCAGTAATATCACCTTTTACAATATCAATCTAAAAATTATAATATTTCAAATAGATAAAATATAATATATATATATATATATATATATATATATATATATATATATACATATATGTATATATAATATATATATAATTTTTCTTATCTATATATTTAATTATTTTATTTTACTCTACTAATAGCAATAAATTAATAAAGTTGTTCTGAATTTTTAGTATCAGAAGCTCTATGTATCAATGTTATTTAAACTTCTTGTACATTAAGTGTAAACTTTAATGTAATTTTTGATTATTTTTAATTTTCTTTTTAATATATTTCTTCTTATAATTATTCTTTTTACAAAAATTTGCTTTATCTTTAATATTTAATTTGGTATTTTTTTTATGGATAATTAGAATTTTAACTTTAAAGATTAAAATCTTTTTCTAGCATTAATTTATTATTTAAATTTTTAGGATATATAGGTGATGGACTTATATTATTTTAAAATATATTTATTTCATCTTAATTTTCGAAATTTTGTTCATTTATTTTTTATTTCTCAATATTTTGTTCATATTATTCTTAATGTAATGTTTTTACTTCCATATTATATGTTTAAATTCCTTATTATTAAGTTGTATTTCTCTATTTATCTTTTCAATATTAAAGAATTAAAGAATTTTTTTAAATGTATCAGGTTTCCAATTCATATAAAGAGAGCCAAAACTCATCAGTATATCAGTTTCTTTAAATTTTAATTTAAAATTATTTTAAAATATATATTTATATGTTTAAATTTTATTATATATTAAACCTGCATTATTTTAATAACTATATATTTATTATTTAGTAGAAACTGTAAATTCAATTAATCTGGAATTCTTTTTATATTAAATTTCACTTATTTTTTAAAAATAAAATACTTAAAAAATAAAAAAATATTACTTTTCATTAAAAGGATAACTTTAAGCTACATTCTCAATATAACCTTTAGGATATTAATGAATCAAATCAACTGTTTTCATACTTTCTAGGACTATAGAAACATAACTTTCAACACTTTTATCAATATATATTATATTTATTTAATCTAAACTAATATCAAGCCATTTTAACTAATCTTCATCACCTAAAAAGGATTTTTTATTTTTTCTTGAAGGAATATTAAACAAAGAAGTTGTTTTTTTAAATTCAGAATGAATTTTTATATTTATTTTATGTACTTTAAATTCTGTTTCTAATTCAGTCTAAAGGAAATTATTATAATTTTAAGTGGATTATCCATTTATTTGTTATTCTTTTAAATTTATTTTTTTCCGCATTTCCTTCTTTTTTTCTATTTCTATTAATTATGATTATCTAGTCAATATGCGTTTCCATCTTTCGTATTCTTTCTAAGTATTTGCAGCTAGATATGTCTCTTTATTATTTTAAATAATTTTAAAGCTATAAGCTACACCTATTTCTTAACTACAATCAAACTATATGAAAAATTAAATTTTTATATAAAATAAAAAATTAAATAAATAATAATATATTTTACTTTTATACTAATATTTTTAAAATATATATGATAAGTATTATAATCATCAGTTTTATTATTAAAAAAATATAAATAATTTCCAGAAAAAATAACATAGAAGCTTGCCCAAGATTTAAAACTATCACCCCTTTTCATTAAATATCCTTTTTCTAAAGCATATTTTAATAAAATATTCTTATCTTATTAAAGAAATTCTTTAACTTTAGTAATATCATTAGGCCAAATAAAAATATCTTTAATATTCATTAAACTAGAATATAAATAAGAAGTAAGATTCAGCGTTATTTTTTCGACATCAGATTTAAGTTTTATTTTAGGTTTATTTTATCCAATATTTCCTAAAAAATCTTTCAATATAGAAATATCAACACTTAAATCAAATTTTTCTAAAACATCATGAATAACCTTTTTTAAAAAATAAATTATATATAAATATTTTCATATATTTTTTTTTTTTAAATTAAATTAAATTTTTAAAAAAGAGAGCTTTTGTATATTATTACTCCTTTTTTTCTTATAGGATTATTAACAATAAGGTCATATTTCTAAGAATTTCTATATTTGATATGATTCAGTAAATGATTAATAGACGAAAAATAAGAAATATTAATTCCCACAGCCTCTATTTTATAAAAATCATAAATTTATTAAGCTGAAGGTTCCTAAACTCCTGTACTGGCTTTATTAAATCCTGATTTAAGTTTACTTTATTACTAAATACTCTATTATTAAAATATTGAATACCTATTTTATTCATTAATTGTTTAATAAACAAATTATTTAACAATATTTTATTAATGAGGAGTTGCTTTATTTATAATATTATTATGATTATTTTAGTCTTTTTTTTTTTCTTGTGTAGAATTTACAATTTAAAAAGGCCTACTTCTAATATTGTCATCACAACTTTCAAATTTTAATTTATCTAAATTAATGACCCAACACTCACTTTCGAGATTGTTTTCCTAATTAAAAGGAATTACAATTATAGGAGATTTCAAAATAAAATTATGTTCTTTTTTTAACTAATTAGTTTGCTTTTCTTCCGGTTCGACTTATTTATATTTGTTATTTTTGCTATCTTTAACCATCATTTCCTATTTTTATTTCGTTAAATCCTTTGTAGTTTCATCGTCTTGTTCATAATCGAACCAGCCCTAAATCCTAGCCAATTTTTAAGGATAATACGTAAATATTAATTATTATAGTTTCGCTTACATTAGCATAAATGTATTCGGTTTATTAATTGGATTTTTTTCAAAATGAAAAGTCACCAAAGGTTTTTTTTAACGTTCTATTTATTAAACTTTCTTTAAAATAGGAACTAATATTATATTTTTTTTGGTCCATTTATTATGTGAATAATTGCATGTTTAAATCCTTTAAATTTATATCAATTTCAAAATTATAATCTCGTTTAAATAGAGTATATGTCAAATCTTATATTTCTATTAAAATACCTTCCTCAATTTACTTTTTATTTTCTTTATAAGAGAATTTTTATCCTTATTTATTGTCCTGTTTTTGGTCTATGTCAATTATTATTTATTCACATAACCTTATAGAACAGTCATAAATTTTAAATTCTAATTTCATCCATACATATTCTTTTGGCCTTATATTATTTGACTATTTTAACTATTTTTATTAATTTTTAAAATATATATAAATATTTTATTTTTTTCTTAATATATACATTATTATTACTATATCTTAATATTCTTCTAAATTTAATTCTTAATAAATGTTTAATTTTTATCTAATTTTTATTCTGTATCTTTTTTACTCCATTTCTTGGGTAATAAACTCCATTTTTATTTATTTGATTTACTTTTTATTCGATTTTAATCTATTTATTCTTATGCTATTTTACTCCATCTTAAGAGTTCTTCGAAATCATTTCTTCTAATAATTCTTAAATATCTAAATATAAAAACAAAATATTAAATTTTTTATTTAAAATAAAATAAAATATAAAATTAAAATTTTTTATTCGAAAAAAATTACCTTATAACTTCATTTTCACTTAAAGTTTTCGAATAAATTAATTTATTACAAGCTTCTATCGAAACAAGTTTTTCAATATTATTATATTTTGAATTAAGGATTTAAATCAAAATTTATTTGTATTTTTTTTCCATATGAATTTACCGTTATTTGTTAATAGCGAATATCCACACATCTTTCCACAAATTTTTTACTTCCTTCTCAAGTTAATCAATTTTTTCTATATTATACTAATAATTAGTATCCTAAAGTCTTTAAATTTCACATCTAATCCCTTTAATAAGTTAAAGATCAGGAGTCGGAATTCTCAATTTTCTTTTATTTTTTTCCAATTTCATTTAATATTAATAGTAATTAAAAAAGTTAACCATACTGAGCATATCCTAAATAATATATATAAGTAAAAAAAAAAAAACATACACACATTTATATAATTAATTACTTTTAATTATTTATTATTAATTTTAATGTTAACATTTAAAAAGTCAACAATAACACTAAATTCTGGAATTTGCCAATTCATAGTTTTAAAGTTCATAGTAAGGTGCGCATCTACATTCAAGCAAATAATATACTAAGGTGATTTTAATGATTTGAAATGAAAATTATAATCTTCGTCATCAACCTATGCATACTACAATATATATTCATACATTTTCTCAACTACAACCTCTGCGGATAAATTCCCAAATAAATCTGCCTATTTTTGATTATTCCAATAAAACCCGACATTAGTGAATGATAATTTCTTATTAATAGACTCACTTTTATTCCCTTAAGTAGCTCTGTCCATGAATTATTTCTAAGCCCAATCTTAGCTCATAGTAACTATATCGATTGATCCAATAGTGATTCCCCAAGCATAAAAAGGGGAACTATTGGTCTCAAATCTGAAGTGTACATTTTTTATCGAAATTTCGATATTATCAAGTACAACTGCAATTAATCGACTTAATTTCCCTTTATCTTGAATTGATTCTCCATATAGAGATTATTTATTTTGCTCTTATTTTTGCTTTTCTTCAATAAAGGATTTTATGGCTTAATCAATTATTTATTATTTGTAACTTATAGTATTTAATTATTCCAAATTCCATTCTTTAAACGGCTTTGGGGATACTAATACAAAAATGTTTGTTATTTCTATTTTTGAAGGCTTTGATTTTATATTAGAAACAGGAATACTTATTTGAATTTTTTCAATGTATGAAAATTTTAATGATATCGGCCATTCTAATAAATCAATTAAATTTTATTAAATACTCACATTTTCTATTATTAAATTTCCAGAAAAAACTCCCAAATGTATGTTGTTTTTGTTTAAACCAGATAAATAATTTCCGAAATAATTGACTAAAATTTTTTCTAAAAAACCTTCTAACATTATATATATATATATTTATTTTTTTGAAAATAAATTAATTTTAATTTAATATTATCTTAAAAATTTATTTTTCATTTTAAAAAATAATAGAATTAATATATATTTTTAATAATAAAAATTGAAAATTTTTTAAAATATTATTTTTTATAAAAAAAAAATCTATTTATTTTTTTCAATTATTAATTGCTCTATTATTTTATTTAATTTCAAATAATTTCTATCTAAATTTATTTTTTTCATCCTATAAAAATTCATAATATACCATTTCTTCATTTTAACTCAATTTATTAACTTAATAAAGCTATTCATTGATTTTAATTAGGTTGTCATTATTTTAATTTAAACTTTAAAGCTATTATAAACACAAATCTCTATCTTATTTATTATTAAATCTTAAAATACATTCATTTTGATTTTCTAATAGATCACAATATTTAAATTTTAACTAAATTTCTATTAATTATTTAATAATTTTTTTTTATTTAAATTTTTATCTAAATTGATAATTTTTAACAATGTTTCTTATTAAAACATTATTTTTTTATTTTAAAAATTAATTTTCTATGAAAATACTTTTCCTTTTTTCGGTATATTAATTTATTTTACTTATAGTATTTTCGTTTAATCTTATATATATAGCTCTTTTTATCGAAGAATATTTTATACATCAGATTTATTTGAAAATTCAATATAACAAACATTATCACAATTCTAAAATGTTTATATATGTAAAATTTAGTATTAAGGAAATAATTAAATTATATATTTTTTAGAATAATTTAAAGGCATATTTTCTAATTTTATTAATCTTTTTTTTACTTTCTTTGTTACATTTTCTAATTAAAATAAATGTCTTCTTCTTACTTTATTTTCTTTTTTGTTTAATTTTAAAATTTTACTATTTTTTAAAGAATTCTTTAAATATTAAACTTTTTATTCAATATCAAGTAAAATACTTTTAATTTTATTAAATTTAAGAAAAGTCTTAATATGAATATATTTTCTCGATGATATTATTTTTTAAAAATATTTATCAAATAATAAATTACTATCTGTAAAATAAAATTCAATTTATTATTATAAACTGAGTTAATTTTTATTATTTAATTAAATTTATAAGTTTTATAATAATAAATTCTACATTTCTTAATAAAATTACTTTTTGCTTATTTTCTCATTTTATATAACATCATCCATATTTAAACAAAATTTGTATATTTTTTTAATTTAGCTAAATTATTATTTTTTATTTTATTATTATAAAATATATATATATATAAATACGCATAGAAATATAAAATATTAATTAAAATTAATGTTAATTTAAAAAATTATAATAGATAAAAAGAATAATAATATTAAAATATTTATTATTAAATAAATATTAATAAATATATATGTATCAGTATTAAAATGTTTTATAATTATATAATTAATTAATTAATTATAAAATTATATATATTTATATTTATTTATAAATATATAATATATTTAAAATTATATATATATATTTTTTAATTTATTTTTATTTTTATATATTTAAATAAATTAATTAAAAAAAAATATTTATTAAAATTAGTATATTTTTTTTTTTAATTTTATAAATTAATATTGTATATTTTTCTTTAAAAGCAAAAAACAAATTAATTTACTAAGTGTTATTAGCTTTTTATTTTTTATATTTTAAACAAATTAATAAAAATATATAATTTTTTTTATAAAAAGTAACAAAAGTGAATATTAATATAAAATATTATATAGATTATTATATATTTAAATATATTTGTAAATTATAATATATTAGTAATTTACATTATAAATATTTTAAAGTATTTATTATCATAATTTTAAAATTCCTTTTTTTTAAAAAAATATTCCTGCAGTAATTCCAAAAAACGCTATAATTGATCCTATTAATCTTTTTTAAAACTTTTATTTTTTAATTTTAAAATCTATATATTTTTTAAAAAAGTATTCAGTTAACTTAATGAATTCATAATTCAAATCTCCTATTAATAACTCTTTTAATAATATAAAATCTGAATGTTTTGGATTTTCATAATCACATATTCCCCAATTATATTATCTTTTACCAGATACAATTAAAAAAGGTGGACATCTTCCTAAATATCCGTTTAAAATGTTAATAGATGCTGGATAATTCTTTAGTACAGCATCAAAATTAAACCATTATATTTATTATTATATAGCTTTTTTTATAATTCTTATTTAATCTATTTTAATTCTGAATATTAATATAAATCTCCTCTAGAAATAACAGGAATTATATTTACATATTTTTATAGCTTTTTAATTATATACAAATCAGTTTATTTTATACAATCTAAAGATAAAAAAAACAAACATACATGTATCTTTTAAAAAATTAAAAGTAAAAAAAAATAAATATATATATATATATATATATATATATTTTTATATATTTATATATATATATTTATATTTTTAAAGAAAAATTATTTAATCTAAAAATTTTTATTATAACATTTTATAATAATATTATTTAAATACTCTTTCATCTTATTCATTTAAATTTTATATACTTTCTTTAGTTCTATAAAGCTTTTCTAAATATTCTTAGTGATGTTCAAACTAAAATAATATAAAATATAAAAAAATAACAATATACAAAAAAAATACCTTTTCAACAATAAAATTTTTAATGTTTATGTACCATTTTTTAAAATTTTCTACTCCTTCTCCTATTATGTAACCTGGAGTGTCTATTAAATTTAAATTAAGTATTTTTTTTCCATTACTTACTGCCCTTTTTTCAACTATATTATTGATTTTTTCAAACTCACATTATTTTTCGAAATTCTTCATTAAAAATGAATCTATGAAAGTACTTTTTCCAGTTCTCTATGCCCCTACAACTATAATATTTAAATATTCTTATTTTTTTATTTCTATATTTAAAAGCTTTTCAAGTATAAAATCTTATGCTTTTTATGAAGGTTAGTTAAGACAACTTGATTAACTTCCTTAGCTAACATATTCCGAAACTACAGTTTCTTCGATAATATTTTGATTTCTTTATTATTATCTCATTAATAAATCTAGTTAACTTTATTATATTTTAAATTTGTTTGATTGTTATTATTATATATTATCATTTTAAGATGTATTTTTTTAATTTTATATTTAATTTTAGTTTAATTAACCCTATTCCCATTAATAAAAACTAGAATTTAAACTTGAATCATTAAATGTTTAGTTTAAAACTTGCTCTATAGATTCATCTATTTTTTTTATTTTTTAATAAAAAATATATTTTAATATAATTATACAACATTTATACAAAAATATTTATAGTTTATATAAATATATATATATATTTTAAACATTTTATTATTAAATTTTTACCTAAATTATTTTGTCTTTCATAATTTCTATTAATTTAAGAATTTAGTTAAGTATTATATTATTAATTTAAATTGACAATATTCAATTAATGAATATTTTTATTTTTTAAATTTAATTATTATTAATTCATTTATTTTATAATAATGTAATTATTTTTCAGAAAAAAAAAAAAAAAAATATGTATAATATAATATATTATATTTTTTTATTTATTTATATAGATAAAAAATAAAAAATTTTAAATTTTTTTTTATAATATAATATTTTTTTTTAAAAAAAAAAAAAAATTAAAAATAAACAAAATAAGATAAAAAATAGTCTATTATAAAATATAATCTAAAAATAATAATATATAAAATATATTATAAAAAAATTATAAATATATTAATATTTTATTTTTTGACCTACAATTAATAATTTTATAAGCAACAAATAAATTTCAAATATTATCTAAAATATAAAAATATATATATATAAAATTAATTATATTTTGATTAAATAAAATAATTACATAAATATTTTATTATTATATTATGTTTGTTTTTCTCATTTATTAATTTTTTTTTTATATTTTTTCCAATAAATTTATTAATTTACTAAAACCCAATTTCAATAGCTCTTTTTTTTTATAAAATGTTTCTTCTCCATGAACCTTTTCACTTTAGAAAGAACCTAATTTTTTTTCTCTATTAGACAAAATAAGAATACTTAATCCATGTTATGATTTTTAAACTCTCCATTATAATTGACTCAATAATTATTCTAATTTTCAAAGTTTTCATAATCAAGTTCTTTATTAAGAACTTCGTAATTTTTATTTCTAAGTCTTCCTTATCTTTGATATAAATCGAATTTCGAAATCTCCATTTTAATTTTTTAGAATTCCATATCTATTTTTTTAAAAAATAAAAAAAAATATAATTAAAAAATAAATGATAAAAAGTGTAGTATATTATTTAAAATAATTTAATATATATAATATTAACTTTGTCAGTTTTTTATTCAGCTTTGAAAATTTCTCTATTAGGATAATAACATCGACTTCTTCCATGTCTTAAATTTCCAAGTTTTATATTTATTTTTCAAATTCAATATTTTTTTCGAAATACAATTAATTTTTATTTAGTATTTACTTATTTAAATTAATGATATTTTTACTTTGATTTTCAATATTTTGAAGTAATATTTTTACTTTTTAAAACTTTTATTATAATTCTAAAGTTGATTTTTATTTTACTTCCTAATAAAAAATAATTAATTTAAATAAATGAAATACTACTTTTAAGCATGGTTATTTATTATATTTTCATAATTATTTTTTCGAAAACTCAATCATAATAAAGAAAAAGTTTATTATTTTCTGCTTTTTTTTAGTTAATTAAGTATTAAAAAAAATATAATAAAAGCTATGATAAAAAGTAATAATTATTTTCAAATAAAATATAAAAAAATATTTATAAAAACTTTTATTTAATTAATAGCGTTTTATTATATAATCTATTATGAGTTTTTTAATTGAACTTTATATTTTTAACAGAAAGCTATTTTACATATGATTATTATTCGCTTTCATTTTCATTTTCATTCGTATTTTATTTTAAAATTTAATAATCCTTTAACAAGTTTTCATAATTTTAAATGTATTATTATAATTATTATTTTTATTCATTAATTTCTCTATTTATATATTCATCTTATTTTATTAGATTTTAATTTTGTTATTAAATTAATACTATTTATTTTTCTTATACATAAATATTTTTACAGTATTAATTTGTATTTATTTTATTATAGAATTAGAATATAATATAAAAAACACATTAATATGTTTCTATTCTTTCTTTTTTCCTTTTAATTGAATCAAATTAATTTTTTTTCTTAAATTTACTAATCAATTTTAAATTATTACTAAATAAGATTATTATCTTATAAATGAATAAATTATTAAATATATTTTTACTTGCAATAAAACTATGTTTTTATATTATTAATATTTTAAATCTTCTATTTTTAAAAGTTCATTTTCTTTTTAAGTTAATTTGATTCTAACTTTAATATTAAAATTTATATTTTTAAATCAAATCAATTAATAATAAAATTATTAAACAGAAAAAAAATAATTCTTTTTTTAAAAAATAAATATTACTCTTTAGTTTAATCTTAATATTTCTTTAAAATTTTAAAAATCATTTTTATTAATTTTGAAATTTTCTATTTATTTCTTATATTCAAATATTTCTTTTTCTGCTTTATCTAACTTATATTTAAAAATTTTCAACCTCTTCTTTTATATATATATTGCTTATTATATTATATTTTATTCTTATTCTTATGCATTGATATGTTATTATTTTAAAAAATATTTTGATTTTTACAATTTTTATTCATTTTAAATTACAGCTTATTTCTTTTTCTTGAAAAAGTTTATCTATTTATAAAAATTCGTTTTCTTTTTATTATTATTAAATTTATTTTTAATATTAGTCTTTCCCTTTATATAATATTTTATTTTAGATTAATTAGATTGATTTCATATTTAAATTACTTAATCTTCTAAAAATTTTATAATAATCTTTTTTAATAAAAAAATAAATTAAACTTATGTTTATAAAAAAGAAATATAAAATAAGATTTAATATTCATTATAAAATAAATATTTTATTTTAAAATATAGATTATATAAAAATAAATAATAAATATTTAAATAGTATATTAAATTATATAGCTATATATTATTACATCTTATACATTGTTTTAATAAAATTAATCAAATCAATAATATTAAGTAAAAAACATTATTTTCATTCCAATTAGTATCTATACATATTTTATTATCCTATATTTTATTTTAGAAAAAATTGAATTTATTTCAGATTATGTTTATAATTTAGTTTATTTATAATGGTTATACATTTTTATTTAATTAATTTTATATATTAAGCTAATATTTATAAATTTTTAATTTAATAATAAAAATTATATTAATTTTTATCAATTTTTTTTTAAAAAAATCAATAACATTGTTAATTATTATATATATTTATTAATATAAAACTAATAATAAAATTTAATAAAATCAAATTTATTTAAAACTATAATTTTTAATTATATTATTATAATTATTTTATAGTATATATTATAAATTAAAATAAATATATTATTGTATATTTTTTTAAATTAATAAAAATGATAATTAGAAAGTATATGGATTTAATAGTATTTATTTTTGATTATTTTATGGAATATTTTACAAATATATTCGGCTAAATTATTTATAATATTATAGGCTCATTAATAATTAAATATGATGAAAATTATTATTAAAAAAAAATCTATATAAACACATTCATTTTTAATTTATATGATTTTATATAAAAAAATAAAAAAAATATTTTCATTAAAAAACAATATTTAATATATAATTTTTTTTTAAAAAAAATGAAATATTAATAAAATTTCGAAGAATAAGGCAAAAAAAACTTAATATAAACATTAAAATATGATGACATATATGACAAAGTGAAATAAGTACAAAGTTTAATAATGTAAGCATGTGGAAATTTAAACGCCCAACAAACAAAAGACGAATTTATCTAAAATTAACTAAATTAAATAAAATAAATATGTTAATAAGCTTTGTATATATAGACTAAGAAAAATGAATAATAAAATGATTTAAAAATTAACGAATATGACTAATATTAATTAGTATTTAATTACGTTTAAGAAAATCCTCAAAAAAATATAGATAAATTGCCTTATATATATAAAACATGCACAAATCAAGAGAATTATTTAGAAAAAGAAATAGAGGAAAATCCAAATTATTAACATAAATAACTTATTGAAATTTATGAAAAAAAAGAAACGTATTTAATAAATCATTAGATAATCTGGCATAAGGAATACGAGAAAGAAAATCCATTGAAGATATTCTTAGAAAAAGATTACTTGAAATCGAAGAAGATGAAAATTTATAATTAATTGCATTAAAATAAATAGAATTTTAAAGTTAACCTTAATAAGGGTAAATGGATGTTTAATATGATAATGATTAGGAACAAATTTCAGAAAATGATTATAATAATAATAATAATAATAGTCTTGATAACGAATTTGATCCTGAATTTGAAGGTTAGTTTATGAATGAGGAAAATGATGATGAATATAATATGCATATATGATTTTTTCTTTTTATGATATATAATATATTATTAAAATATTTATATATATGAAAAAAGATTTTTTTTTTTTTAATTAAATATATTAATTAAATATAAAAATTATTAAAGATAAAAAAAATATTAATAATAATTATTTCAATATACATATAATGCCATTAAATTATTTATAATTATTTTTTTAAAGTAAAATAATTTATAATGAATAATATAAAAATAAAATATTGTATTAAAGTAATAAATTTAATAAATATTATTTATTAAAAAAAAAAGTAATAAAAAATTAAAATAAATAAAGATTTAGTATTTTATATAATAAAAATTATAAATAAAGAAAAATAATAAATAATTTTATAAATAATTATTAAAAATAAAAAATAAAAATATATTAATAAATATAAAGTATACAAATATATATAAATATATATATATATATAATATATATAAATATATATAAAATTTTTTTATTTTTTTATTTATCCTTTTTTATTTTACAATAAAAAATATTTATTTATTTTATTTTTATAATTTATATTTTATTTTTTAATAAATTACTTTATCTTTAGATATTGAAATACATTTTTTTATCTATATATAAAGAATTTTTTTTTTTTCATTTTAATCTATTTTTTTTTATTTATAAACATTTTGTATTAAATTATTCTTTTTAATTTTTTATTATTATCAAAGATCTTTTAATTAATATTTTTTTTTTTTTTTTTTTTTTATTATTTGATTTGTTTTATTAAAAGCGGATTTGTAAACATGATTTTTTTTTTTTCATATATCAATTAATTTAAAAGAATTTTTTTATAAAATTAAAATAACCTTTCATAATATTTTTATATATTTATAATTTAAAACATTAATTAATTTTTATTTAGAAACTAATATTTTAAAAAGAAATATTTAATACAAACATTTAAATAATAATATATTTAAAAAAATTATATTGATAATATATCATATAAATTTATTAATTAAAATATATCTAATTATTTTAAATATAATACTATATAAATTATAATTATTAAATATAAATTTAATTAATATAAAATAAAATACAATAAATAAATTAAAATATATAAAACCATAAAATAATTAGATTAATATAATATATATATATATATATATATATATATATATATATATTTATACATATATATTATTTTATTTATACAATAAAATTTAATATTATATAAACTATTAATATTTTAATCATAAAATAAATATAATAATGAAAAGTATACATATAATAAATAAATAATCTTTAAAAATATATATTATATAGATATATTTTATCCAAACAAATTTAATAACATAAAAAAATACTCAGTTTCTAGATCCTTAAATAGATGAAACATAATTCGAATTTTCAACTCTTTAATTAAGTCTATACAAATGTTTTTAAAAAAAAGTAAAATCTGGGTGTTCTTCTCCAACACTTTTATTTAAAATTTCCAAGCATTTTTCCAAATTTTATTAAGCTAATTAATAGTTTCCCATTTGTTTATAAACTAAACCTAAATTTCCCAAAGATGTAGCCACAGTAGGATTATCTGAATCTTTTCCAAATTTCAAATAAAGTATTTATAAGCAATCTTCATAACATTTTTTAGCTTTCACCACTTCTTTTTGACTTTTAAATACATTCCCTAAATTATTCAAAGTAAGTGCAATATCAGGAGAATCGGCTTGCAATTAAGATTTTTAATCACTAAAGCCCTTTCATAATATTTCTTCGACCTATGAAAATCTCCTAAATCGAAATACACATTTCCTAAATTTTCACAATTAGAAGCCAAATCAATATGTCCACTTCCGAAATGCTCCTCCCTAATTTCCAATGCTTCTAAAAGAAATTCTAATGCATTTTCTACATTTTATTTTATTTAATAAATATATAAAATATTATCTTATTTTTTTAAATATAATACCATAGTTTCCTTTTAATCTATTAATTTCTCCTAAAGAACACAAACACATGGCTTTTAATTAAACTTATTCTTCTTAACCTACGTATAAATTTTCGACAATCTTTAAAGCTTTTTTCAATCTTTTGTCTGCTTTTTTATATAAACCTAGACTACCATATAAATTTCCTAAATTATTATAAAGCCTTGTTGCTTCTATGCTTTTTTCTCCTACTTAAATTAATATTATTTATAAAGATTCTTCCTAAAAAGCTCTTGCTTTTAAAAACTCTCCCTTCATCTTGTATATATTACCTATATTTTCTAAAAGAAGAGCAAGTTCAAGTGTATCTTCTCCATTATTAGCTTTACGTACACATTCAATAGCCATTTCATAATATTTAATTGATCCATCCAGCAAGCTTTTTTTACGAAATTCATGTCCAGTTTCATTATAAATAACTGAAGCTCTCATAAAGAAATTTTTACCTTTAATTTTTTATTTTGAAAAAATATTACTTCTTTATAATTTTATTACTTTTATAAACATCGTTTAATTCTAAATAACCATTCCCAATTTTAACTAAAATATCAGCTTTATTTAAGTCTTGGGAATTAGTTTCATAACTTGAAATTATTTCATCGTATTTATATATCCATTAATCAAAAATAAACATTTTAAAATATTCATTTGCTATTAATTCTTAATCTTATATATAACTAAAAAAATATTTTTTTTATTTTTATTTTTATTTTACTCTTCTTAACTTTTTTTTTTTTTTTATATTATAAGCTTTAAATAAGATTGTTTTCGTTATTTTTTGGATAATCTTCCATACTAAAATAATTACTACAATATTTATCTAAACTAATAGCATTAATTCTCTTATAAGGATATTTATTTACCATCTAATCTACTATTTAATTTAATTCCAAACATCCTAAATCTATATTAATGTTAGCTGTTCCTTTATGTTTTACCTAATTTAAAAATAATAATAAAAATAAAAATAAATTAAAAAATACTTTATTTAAAACATTCTCAAATTCTAATTCATCATACAAATTTTTCATTAAAACCACAGTTAATCCCAATCCATACATATCAAGAGAAAATGGATTAAACTAGAGTACTTTCTAATTAACATTCCCATGCATTAAAGTTAAAATCTCAGGTGCTAAATACTACGGTACCCCCCTCACAGTATTATACCCTTCCCCATCTTCAAACTTATAAACTCCTTTCATATTTACATCTTTGATTTTTTCGTTAATTTTAGCATCCTAAAAGCCTCCAATTTTATAGCATTTTTCCTAACAAACATACCAAATGTTTGTCGGCCTAATATCTCTATGTGAAATTCCCATTCTAAACATAGTTGCTAAAGCTGAGTTTATATCTCTTATAAAGGAAGTTAGTTCTTATATAGAAAATGCCCACTTATGTTATTTTCTGAATTAAATAATATCATGTAAGGTGACATCGAAATATTCTAAAATAATTACCAATGTTTTTTATTTGTTCGCTTTTTCCTAAGACTCAATTAAATATTAGTCTTTTATTTAAATTATATGAGAATGAGGAATCCCATTATTTACTACTTATAGTTATTTCATTATATATATTTAATATAAAGCTGCTTTAAATTCATAATCATCATATTCATCGAAATTTATTAATTATAGTGTGTATTTTTCGTTTGTGCGTTTATCCTATGCACGAGTTATTATAGAATTTTAACAATTAAAGTCTTTTACAATATCTTATTCAATTATCCATTCGTAGTTACGGTCTAAAAAAAGAGAAAATAAATCCTTTTTTTATTAGAGTTCTACTTTTATTACTTCTTCTTGAGAAAATTCGTCATAATTTTTTAAAGATAAAATAAATTATAAACGATCGTTTTCTAATTTTGTACAATATATTTAAGAAAATCGACTCGTCTCATTTTTTATTTTCTATCGAATGTCAATATTTGACTATACGTTTAACATTGCTTCCTTTTTTTAATATAAAAAAATTATTAAAATTTAAATAGATTTTTTTTAATGTTTTTTAATATAGTTTATTTATTTTTGATTATTATATTTTTACTCGACCGTCTTTATCTCCTGGTAATGTAGAACAGCATTTAAGGGATTAACCCATTTTTATTATTTATTTTTATTTATTTTAATAATATTAAAAATATTTTTTTAATTATACTTTTGATATAATATTAAATTATATAATTTTATGTATATGAATAAAGAAAAAAATTAAATTATAAATAAAAATAATTTTTAAAAAATAAATAAAAAATAGAAATTATAAAATAAATAAAAATTATTATTTTTTTTTTAAAAAAAAAAAACATATTATTATTATTTAAATAAAATAAAAAATGAAAATAATTATATTAATATAAATATAATTTTATTTAGCATATCTTTAAAATATAATATATTTAAATAAAACCGAATATTTCAACTATAATTTATAAGATAACAATTTATCATTTATATTATAAAAAACTGATACAATATATGATACATATATTTTAATATCTGATGCCTTAAAAGGCAGGTAATTATTAACTTATTTCCTCGATAAATATGATTTTCAAATGAAAAATAATAAATCTATCGAAGAAATAGATTTTTTAAATTAAATAAGTTCCCAAGAGGATAAAAACACACGAAAATGTGATATTTGCAGTAAGCTATTTACAAATTAGTAATTTTTGCATTTACATTTGGTTAAAGACCATATAGAAATATTAAACGAGTATTTTTTTATAAATAAAGTATGTAAATTTATTGATTGTTCAAATAATTAAAATTTATATGTAACATAAACATAAGAATAAGGATAGGAAAGAATATAAAACTGCTATAATTTTCTATTTAATAATTTTATTTAAAATAATAATAAAGATTTCTATAATAATGTTATTTAAGTGTGTAATGAAATTGTTTATGAAAAAAATGATATTTTAAAGGATCCTTTATTTTCATATTTAAAATAAGGATTTTATAAAATTTTATTTTATATTTTTGTTATTATAGCAATATTATATTATTTTATAATATTCTTTACTTCTGATGGTAGAAAAGGTTTAATGAATTATGAATAATGAAAATTTTATTTTATTATTATATAAAATAATATTTATAAATATAAGTTTCAAATAAAAAAAATTTATAATTTTTAAAATAAATATAAAAATATATAATTAATAATATAATAATAGTTTTATAAATATATATATATATATATATATATATAAATATATATATATATACTAAATATTTTTTTTTTTCAATTTTTTTTTCTTATTTTTAATTTATATATTAACTTTATTATATTTGATATTTTTAAATTAATAATACATTATAATTATTACTTTAAAATAAAATATGTATAAATAAGCAAAAAAAATTACTTATTTTAATTAAAATCAATAATCACAATAATTTTAATAAATCTTAAGGCACCGCATAAAATATTTATTAAACATGTCCTTCTTAATTATTTTTAACTAAAAATACAACTTTATTTCTTTCCAAAAATTTACTTAATTTTCCTGCATCAAGATTATCATATTATACAACTACTTGTTCTTTTGACCAAGCCTAAATAATTATATAATTAATTTTAATAATTAAATATATATATTTTTATAAAATAAAAGAAAATAGGATATATAATAAATTTATATAATATATTTAAATAAATACTTTTTTAGCTAAATCATTATGTCCTAATTTTTTCGTTTAAATAGCTTTCATTAATTTTTCAGGATAAACAGTTGAATAAATGCTTTTATTAACAATTAAAGGCAGAGCTGGTACTCCATTTTCGAATTCCTTTAAAGCTTCTCCTACTGTTATATTCTCATTATACATCTTGCATATTTTAAGTTAAATTTTATCCAAAGAAATACCTTTCAAAGGGCTTTATTAATAATCTTCATCTTCCAATTCTTCGTAATCATAAAATTACTTGCCCACCATCCATTCTTTACTTACAAATTTTGTGATATAATTTCTCAAATGATCCGCTAAAACACAAACTATTCTTACATTTTCACCTAAATTATGTTCTTTAGCAAACTCTATTGCCGCATTAACTACTTATCCACTTGATCCTCCGCAAAAAAGCCCTTCTTCCCTAATTAATCTTCTTGCCATTTTAAAACTAGGTACATCAGTAGCTTTAACCCAGATATCCACACTCTGTCTGTCTAAAACTCTAGGCACGAAATCATACCCTACTCCCTCTATTTAATAAGATTCCATTCTAGAATTTAAAGTCTAAGGTTAAGCTAAAATAGAACCATAAGGATCTACCCCTACAATTTTACAAGTAGATAATTTTTCTTTCATTTTTCTTGCTATTCCAGTTATAGTACCACCTGTACCTACTCCAACGAATAAATAATCGATTTTGTTATCACACTAATATAATATTTCTTCAGCTGTACCATCATAGTGTGCTAGAGGGTTTCCTGGATTTATATATTAATCTAAAATATGACTATTTGGGATTTCTTTTTACAATTTTATAGCCATACTTATATGACTTTCTTTGTTATATTTTTTATAAAAATATATATGCGATTATAGATTTATATATACCTGGATCATCAAATTCAACCTCAGTTGGAGTTCTTACAATTTTGGCCCCTAAAGCCATTAAAACATCTGTTTTTTCAGTCGACATTTTCTCTGGTAAACAAATAATCATCTTATATCCTCTTATGGCAGCAGCTAAAGCTAATCCAATGCCTGTATTTCCACTTGTGGCTTCAATAAGAGTGTCTCCAGGTTTTATTCTTCCTTATTTCTCAGCATCGAGTAACATACGACGTCCGATTCTGTCTTTTAGAGATCCTCCAGAATTAAAAAAGTCACATTTAGCTAAAATCTCACATTTTAAGTTCTCTGCTTTTTACAAATTGCTTAATTTTACCATAGGGGTATTTCCGATAGCATCGAGGACACTTTCCATTATTTTCTTAGGCATGGGACAGTATATTTCTTGGGAATGAGGAGATTTTTAAGTTGTATTGGGTTACCATGTACATTTTATAGTTTCTAAAGCTGGATCTTGTCTTGGATACATTTTTTACTTATTTTCTTTTATTTAAAAAAATTATATTTTTTTTAAAAAAAAAATTGATTATTGATTTTATTTTTGATATTTTATTTAATTATTATTGTTTTAATTTTTTTTTGATTATTTTGGTTAATTTTTCATTTATTTAGTGAATGTAAATTTACTTATATTATATGTAATAATGATTTTATTTTATTATGATTTATAGTTTTAATAAATTAAATATATATATTATTTCTTAGTTAATATTATTACATTTTTATTATATTTTGAAAAAAAATTAGGAAATAAATTTAATTATTTTATATAAAGAATATATTAAAATATATAAATAAAAATTTTTATTAATCATAAAAACAAATTAAGAAAAATTATTATTATGCTTTAGAATAGTTTAATTTTATTTTAAGTTATTTTTAATTTATAATATATAATTTGAGATAAATAAAATTATTATATTAAAAATAGATTTAAATAAAAAAAAAATCAATATTATAATTACATTGATTAATAGGATTTTATATATTATATATAAAAAAAATGAAATTACATATAGGACGAATACAGAATAAAAAGTAATTCAATAATCAATTTAATATTAATTATGATAAAAATAAAAAAAAAATATTAGTTTATATATAAAAAAAACTTAAACATAACTATTTATAATAAATTAAATATATTATAAAAAAATTATAATAAAAAAATTATAATTAAAATTAAAAAATATATAAAAAAAAAAGATAGATTATAAATATTTATTTATTATATAAATATATATTATATATATATAAATAAATATATATATATTTATTTATTTTATAAAAATATATTTATTTTTTTACAAATTTTTATTAAAATTTCTATGATTTATACATATTTAATAATCTAAAATATTATTATATTTTACTATATATATACCTATATAATTCTTATATTATATATTAAATTCTAATAATAAAAAACGCTAAAATAATAAATCTTTTCACATTTATTTTTATAATAATTTTGTCTAATCAATTTTTTTAATAATAAAGTCTAAATTTAAAATAAAATAACATTATCTATATAATTTATTTATAAATAAATAAATATATTTCAGATATTTTTACAATTTTAATCTTCTATAAATAGTATTTTTCTTTTTATTAATTATAAAGCATCTTTATATTATTTTCAATTAGTATTATAAGGTTTAATATTTAAATATTATATAACGAAAAAATAGAAAAAAATAAAAATTATATAAATTATATAGATTAGATTAAAAATTGCTTAATATATATAATTTTAATCTTATTTTTTGTTTTTTTGAATTTATAATATTATTATTTTTTATTATTTATACTTGGTAAATCTAATAACTTATTTTATAATAAATGCATATACAATTAAATTTATATTTTTATTTTGTTAATTCTATATTATATATCCTATTTTTATATTGAATATAAAAAAATTAAATAAAATAAAAAGCAAATAAAAAAAACACTACATTTAGCAGATATATTTGTTAAATCTTTAAATAAAATAAAATAAAAACTAGATATAAAACTAAAATAATAAAAAAAGGCCGAAATAAGTAAAGACTTGATAAAATTGATATTATTTAATATTTTATAAAATACAAATTTATATTTTATTATTAATGCGATATATGTATAGTATATAATAATGCGTAAAATTATATTTTATTATAATAGATATACATTTTACCTAAATATAAATTTAATATTTTTTAATCAATTTATTCATTTTTTAATTATTTTTTCTATCTTTTTATAAAATAATAAGCAAATAAAAAATGTCAATAAAAAATTGTATATGTTCCTAAATTTAACACTCAAAATTTTAACATAGTTTCTTTTAATATTGTTAAGATTGTTTATAATCCTTAAATAAATCTACAGGAATAGATTCTTTAGAAACAAACTTTTAATCAACTGAAAAAGAAATGGAAGGTTTGCAAAACTCAGACATATTAAATTTACTCTAAACACAATCATGTACAGAATTCATATTACCAAGTTAATTTTAAAAGTTAAAGGAAAGTACCAGTTCTGAAGCATAACTTAAGTTTTACTTTGAAGAAAAAGACATTTTTAACAATGAAAACTTTTAATATGATATTTTTCAAAAACCATAAACCAATATAAATAATAATGAAAACAATGATCTATTTTCCTTTGATAATTCCTTAATACAAGGATTCTAATTTTTTTAAAAAGAAAGAGACGATAAAGAAGAATAAGAATGTTAAAATAAAAGAGAATAATAATCTGAATAGTAATAAAATTAGTAAGAATCTTTTAAATAAAAGAAAATTATCAAACAAAAACTGCAAAGTAATTAGAAATAATAATCATAAAAAACTATTAAATCTACTAAAGGTAAAATCACAATATAACGCTGGACATTAGAAGAACATGATAGATACATATAATACTGCTTTTTGAATAAAGGACTTTTCTTAGATCATTTACAAAACTCATAAACTAAATCTGAAGGCTAATTAACAAGATATAAATCTAAATAAAATATATATATAAACATGAGTAACTACGTTTAAACTAAAACTTCTAACCAATGTAAATCTCATCATTAGAAATACAAACACTAAATATTCAAGAAATTACTTGGAGATGCGCCTTTATTTTAAACTGAAATCTCTTATTTACTTATTAATAAAGTAAAAGATCAACTAAAGAAACTAAAGGATAATCTATAATTACTAGAAGAATGTGGGAAGAATGTTAATAAATCTGCTTTGATTTAAAGTAATGCTAATTAAATTTTAATGTAATTTGATTCTGATATTGGAAATTAACTTAGAAAAGTGAAAATCCATATAGAAAAAAATATAATAAATAAATGAATATGAAAAAATAATAAAAAAATTAAAAACTAATTTTTTTTTTAAGATTTATAAAAATTTTAATAATATTAAAAAAATTATATTTATAACATGGTATTAATGATTATTTATTTATAAAAATAAATTATTTATTTATAATTATCAAAATAAATTAATAATTAATTATGAAATTTTTATATATACACGGAAAAATAATCTTTACATAATAGATATAACAAAATTGTAAAAAAAAAAAAAATAATATGTATACTAATTGATTATCATTTACTATGCAAACATACCCATTTATTTCATAGATAAAAAATAATAAATGAATATAATTAATGAAATAAATTTTAAATAATTTAATATAGGCAAATTAAAATTAATTTAAAATTAAGATAAAGAAATCGAATAAATTAAAAAATAGAAAATATAACCATTGTCAAAAAATAAACATTAAATTTATCTTTAAAAAGTATGCAAATTATATAAATATATTATCTTTAAATATAATTATAATAAATCATTTATAATTAATAGATTTAAAAAATTATCATCTTAATTTATAAATTAAAAATTTTTCATAAAAATATTATTATTTTTTCATTAAAAAATAAAAATGTTTTTATTATCATTTTTAAAGCAAAACAAAATATTATCATTTTTAAAAAAATATTAAATAAATAAAAACATAAAATTGATTAAAATGATACAAAACATTGTATAATCAGATTATCTAAATTTTGTTACTTTTAAAATAATATCTAAAATTTAGTTAATAAAAATATTTAGAATAAACATGATATTAAAAATACAATAATAATGCTGTGTAAATATTAAAAACTAAAAAAAGCAATTTAATTATTGTTTCTTTAAAGAGAAAATGATTTAAAAATTTATTTTTAAAAATTGATTTGTAAATTATTAAATAAATAATATATTGAAAAATATAAATAAATTAAAATAATTTAATAAATAAATATATTTCATTGAATATTTTTTTTCTTTTAAATATGTAATAAAATTTGTATTATTTTTTATATTAATAAAAAATAAGCAATTAAAGATTTATTTTTTATCATTAATAATTTTTATATTCAAAATGTATTTTTATCTTATTAATGATATATTTTTCATATAATTAAATCTTAAATATATATTTAAATAATTTTATTTTTAATATAATTGTATTTATTTAAGATTTTTTATTTAAATTTATTATTTGGCCTGTTATTAGATTTTTTTATTATTAATAAGTATATTCAATGACTATTTAATTAATATTTTATTTCATTTGCATTTTTAGATTTTATTAAATATTATTCTTGAAAAAATAAGTATTTACCTTAAAATCTAAAAAAAATATAAATATAATTACTTTTATTTTAAATATATATTATAGTTTTTTATTTAATTTAAATTTACTATAAAAAAAAAAAAAAAAAATTATTTTTAAATTTATTTATAATTGCTTATAATTATTATTATTTATATGTTTGGTTATGAGTTATGTATTAATTTATTTAGGTATTTATTTATTTGTTTTAATAATAAATATCTTTAAAACATTTCTATAATTTTAATTTATTTAATATTAAATAATTTTTATTAATAATATTTCTTAATTATCTAATAAATAAATACTTTTTTAAAAGAAATTAATTTTTTTCATAAATTTTATTAAAATTATTTTAAATATCTTATTATGATTATATTTATTATATTTAATATTTGAAACTTAATATATTATCACACTATAATTTCATTTATTAATTTCTATTTATTAATGCAAACTATTTGAAAATTAATAGTTAATTTTCTTTAATTATTATTTCTTTTTAATATTTTATTCAAATATTTCTTAATCATTTTATAATTTTTTAAACTATCATTAATACAAATTGCATGATAAAAATACCATCATTCATAACTATTTTTTTTTTCTTATTAGTTGATACTTTAAATATTTGATAAACCTCAAAAAAGCAAACTTTGCGTTTATATAAAAAATGATAGCTAATTTTTATTTTATTAATATATTATAAAAAAATATGCATTAAAAAATTAAATACAAAAATATATCTAATTATGGCATTAAAGTAGAAATAAAAATACTTATATATTTTAGATAGATTATGAATGTAATTTAAAGTTTTTTTAGTTTAGAAATCTAATTTTTATTTGACAAAAATAAATAAAGATTAATAAAAAAAAAAATTAAGAATAAAAATTATATGTGATTTATTAATTTAAATATTTATTTATAAAAGATATTTTTTTATATTTAAAAAATATTATTTTTAATATGTAATATAAAATTTTTTATACAATCAATCCATTTATTTAATTTATTTAATATATAATAATTATTTATATCTTTAACTTCTATTTTTATTAAATATCTGTATATATATTATAATTATTAAAAAAAAGAAAAATATTAAAAAATTTGTAAATAAATATATAAATAAAATATAAATTATTATTAAATAAATAATTAAAAAAAAATATTTTTAATATAATAGAATTATTTTTCATTATTTTTTTATTTAGTTATTTCTTAATTAAAAGAGAAAAATTAATTCAATTATTTTACTTATTATTTTTTTTATTTATTTATTAATTAATTTTTTTTATTTTTATTTAGTTAATTAACTTTAAAATATTTTTTTTTATTATTAAAAAATTAAAAAGTTTAGTTTATTTTAGTATTATTGCTGACATTATTTTTAATATAATTTTATAATAATCATTTTTTTTTATTTATTTTATTATTATTTTAAAATTTTGGTTAATATCTTTTAAAATCTTTTTTTATTTATATATCTATTATTATTTTTTTCTATAAATAATATATTATATTTAAAAAAGAATTCAATTAAATTAATTTTTTTTATATTAAATATTTATATAATTATTTTAAAATATGTTTATTTTTCAATTACTTTTTGTATTCAAATATTTTAATTAAAATTTATTAATAGTTAATAGGATTTATGTAATTTTATTTTTAATATATTTTTTTTTCTTATATATTTAAAAAATGCTCTATTTATTTATACAAAACATTTTACATTTTAAAAATTAATTAAATAAATTATTAAAACTTTTAAAATAGAAATTTTAAAAAAATATGTAATATTTTATAAAATATATAATATTATTATCAATTAATCTAATAAAATTAAATATTAAATTCATATTTTAATTAATATTATTTTAATTTATTTTTAAAATATTAAATATATAAAATATTTTTATATATATATAATAATAAACTTTATAAAATTAATATTTGGTTTTATTTAAATCAAATCTTTTATTAATTTATTCTAAAATGAATATTTAAATTTAAAATTTTGTTTAATAAAATAAAAAAAAATTATTAATAAATAAATTAAATTATTATAGTTACACCAAAAAAAAAAAATTAATAAAAAATATTCAGTTTTATTTAACATGACATTAAAACTTAATTTATTATATATTTTTATCATAATTAATAATATCAGCAATAATCAAATTAATCTTGTTAAAACTTTTTAAATTACTTATAATTTTACAAATACTCTTTAACACTAACATCTTTTTCATTATTCTTACTATATTCTTCTATTTTATTGAATTCCATAATTTTAAATATATATTTTGAATATTACTTCCCTTTACAAAAAGCTTCAAAAAATATATCCTCTTACAAATAATTATTCTACTTTATTTAATAAAATTAATCTTTAACTAGATTTTTACTAAAAAGTAATAATGCTTTTAATATCTTTAATACATATTTAATTACTTATTTATTTATTTCCAAGCATAATTTAATTACCCAATCCCAAATAAATAACAATAAGAGAATTTGATTTATTAGATGTTCCTTTTTTTTTCATTCAAATTCTTCGTAAAAGAAAAATATTAAATTTCTTAATTAAACTGTGATTTCAAAGTCAAAATAATTTTTTTATTGTCCACTTTAAAATTTTTATTTTTTTTAAGTTTTTTTTTTATAAAAAGGCATAAATCAATTACTAAAATGCTCATATTATGTTTTTTAAAATGTGTACTTTTACCTAAAACTATTTCAATTAAATAAGTCGATAAATTTTACATATTAGGCTCATTATTTACTGATCCTATATTTTTTTAATATTTTCTGCAATTCATTATAATATGTAATTATATCGTATAACGTCCGTCACTAAAATCAAATATCTACAGTTTTAACTTATTTTTTGTTAAATAACTTCTGGTTCATAATATTATATTTTTTTATATGGTTAATCTGCTAATATATTTTGAAAATGTTAATTCACCATTTATTTAATCATATTTTCCTAATATTACTGATCCTTTTTCTTTTAGTAATTCTTGTTCACTTTATAAAATTAGTTCATTATTTGGGTTTAATAATAGTGTGTTACATATATATATATTAACTATCTAAACAGTTTATTATATATAAAACCTCTTTTTTTATTAATGCAAATAACAAATTTAAACCACCTTAATAGGCTTTTTAGTTTTGGAAATATATAAATTATTTATTTATCTTCTTTTAAAATATTTTTATTAAATAATATGATTTAATGTTAATACATTTTATAAATAATTAATATAATCTATTATTATAATTCAAATTTTTTATAAAAATATAAATAATTTAATATATATATGATATGTATGATAATTTTATTTAATAAATATATTTTTTTAATAAAAAAAATATACAATGAATATGATTTTTCCTATATTATATATTTTTATATTTTTTTTTAATTTTTTAAAAATAGATTTTATATTTTTTTTTAATATATTATTTCCATATTAGCAATTACTAATAAAAGTAGTTATTATAATAATATTATAAATAAAACATAAAGATTTAATAATTAAAATGCCATTATATTTATTTATAAATATATTCGATTTACATAATCTAAATGTATTATTACTTCATTTTTTCTAATAATTAAAAAATAAAATAAAACAAATAATTAAAAAATAACTTTTATATTTATTCAAAAATAATAAAATATATAAAAATTCTTATTAAAAAATTAAAAGAAATTATTTAATATATAAAATTAATAAAAATAATAATAATAATATGAGTTAATTATAAAATGATGATTCTTATTAAGAAAATCAAACGAATTGTAATTATTAAATTATATATAATTTTAAATTAGTAAATTTATACTAAAAAAAAATTAAGTTTCATAATTATAAGATAATAAGGATAAAATCGAATAAATAAAATAATTAATAAAACAAAGAAATTTTAAAGAAGCTGTAAAAAATATTAAAAACAAATTAAAAAAACAATTTTAAGTTAATAGAATTAGATTAATATTTTTAAAAGTAAGAAATTAATAATGAAATAATACACTTATATACATACTGTGATAAATAAATTAATGGATAAATATCTGAAAAATCTAGATAAATGTTAGAATTAGCATTTTAAGTAAATAAATAATAACAAATAAAAAAAAAATTTATAAATATAATAATTTTTATTAAAATAATATGATTAGTAAGATAATTAAAATTTTTTGACAATAATAAATTTAGCAATTGATTATTTTGAATAAAAAAATTATTTAAATTCTATAAAATTTTATCTAATACTTGTCTAAAATAATACAAATAATCCAAAAATATATTATAATTTAGCTATATGTTATGAGAAAGCAAATTAGTTTGAATAAGCATAAATATATTATGATAAAGTACATTATTATAAATATATATTATTAATATTATAAAAATAAAAAATATTATATTTTATAAAAAAAATAAAAAATTACAATTTTTTTTTTCTATAAATAAATATTTATTAATTATTATTTAATTTTTAATTTTTTTTATATAAAAAAAATAGTCTCTTAGATTAGATTCTTCATTTTCTGATTCAGTAATAAATTATAGTAATTTATTGATAAAATTAGGACATTTAGAATAATCTCGTTTACTTTTGGAAAGTTATTTAAAATTTTATCCTTCAGACATACAAGCTTTAAATAACTTGAATATAATTTTATCAGAATAAAAAATAAATGGAAAAATAATGTTAATATAATTTCTAAAAAGCCTTAAAGCGAACATAATAATAAGACCCTCATATTCTATACAATTACGGAATTTAATTATTTAAATAAAATAAATTGATATAATCATTAAAAGTATTCTAAAAATTTATTTAACTTCCAAATATAAAGGAAAATAATGTCATGAATTTATTAGCATATGTGAATTAAGGTTTAATTTTTGAAAAAATAGCTTAATATGAAAGTGCTTTAGAAGTGTATGAAATGGTAATTTTTTATTTAATTTTTTTTAATTATTAAAATAAAAAAAAATAAACTAGATTTTAAATAAATTCAATAAAATAATTAATTAATAAGAATTTATTAAAAAAATATAAGAAATGAAAGAAAAAATACTCAAGGGAGTACTTTTCAAAAATACTTCAAATAATTAATTTTCGAAAAGAGAAGACTTACATTATAATTATAAAAGTCTAAAAGAAATACCTCCTTTATAAGATTAGTAAAGAAGCCAAAATGATGAATTAAAAATGGACAATTTTCTCATAAATTAAATTAATAAAACTTTAAAAAATAAATTTGTTAATTATTAACATTTAGAAAAACTTTCTTAACCTAGACTTTCTTAACTCAAAATAAAAAGTTAAAAAGAAAAAGGAGAAAATGAATAAAAAGAATTAAATAAAACGAATAAAAAATAATTATTTAACTAAAATATTATTCAAACAATTTCTAATTTTAATAAAAAACCATTGACACTTCCTTAACATAATCCAGATACCTTTAATAGATTAATAGCAATTAATGAAAACAAAAAAAGTTAAAAATATGAAGATGTATTAAAATTAGAAGAATAAAATAGATAAAATAAAGATAAAATTTATAAATAAAAAATAAAAGTTATCAAAAATTAAAATCATTTAATAGATTTACTTTCTAAAAAAAATAAATTTTATTCCACTTCTTATAATGTATCTGGAAAAAGTATTATCGATCTGAATTTATTAGAAAGTAATATAGAGAGTAGTAAATTATAATTAGATAAAAAAGAAATTAAAAATGATTATAATAGTATCAGTCCTTAAAAATAAAACAATAATTAATAATAAAATATTCAGTACAAAATTGTAATTTAAAAAGAAATTAATGGTATTTTTTATAATTAACGTTCTTAAAAATCAACTCCTCGTGAACAAAATAATGATAATAATAATTAAAATTATTAAAAATAAAATAAATAATTAACTTTTGATAATAAAGAAATAAATTAAGATTAAAAATAAAAATAAAAATAAGATAACAAATCAAATTAAAATTAAGATTTAAATTTAGAAAAAAATTAAAAAGAATAAGAAGAATAAATTTAGCAAATAGATTAAGATTAACAAATAGTTTAAAATTAATAAAAATATTAAAATATAAAAATTGTAATTTAAAATGTAAGTAATAAATAAATCAATGATTAGGAAGTAGTTAAAAATAAAAATTAATAAAAATTAATAGAAAATAAAGAAAAATAATAAAAAAATAATAAAGAAGATAAGATTTAAATAAAAAATAATTAATAAATATAAAATGATAAAAATTTGAAAAATAAAGAAGGTAATATTAATTAAATTGAAATAAAGCGATAATAAAAAAAAATTGATAAAGAAAAATAAGAAAATTAATAAGTAGAACAAAACAAAAATAATTAACAACTAGAAAAAATATCTTTTTAAAAATAGAAATAAAATGAAATAAAAAAAGACTAAAATTAATAAGCTGAATAATAAAAAGAAAAAGTAAAATTATCATAGGAATAAGAAAAAAAATAAAACCAAAAATAATTAATAGACTAAGATAAAAATTAATAAAACGTTTTAATTTAGTAAAATAGTGATTTTGAAATTAAAAAGGATTAAAATAAATAAAAATAGTTATAATGTATTTAATAAATATAAGAATAAGAAGCTTAAAAAAATGATATAAACAAAAAATAATATGAAATTATTAAATAAAATTAAGATTAAAATTAATAATAATAGGAAAAATAAGTTTAAAATAAAATTAATGAAAAAGAATCATAAAATGAATAATAAAAATTATAATCTGAATAAAATAAATAAAAAATTATTGAGAAATAGTTTTAAGAATTAGCAACAACAAAATAATTGAACTAGGATAAAAAACAATAAAAATAAAAATAAAATTAAGAATATTTATAAAAAGAATTAAAAGAACATTAAAAAGAACAATAAATAGAATAATAAAAAGATGTATAAAAAGATGTATAAAAAGAAGTATAAAAAGAAGTATAAAAAGAAGAATAAAACAAAGAATAAAACAAAGAATAACAAACATAATAAGAAAATGAATCTAAAAATACTAAATAAGAATAAATAAATAAATATGAAAATAAAAAGTAAGATTAGGAACAATAAAAAGATCAAAAAAATTAAGAAGAAAAATAATAATAAGTTGATAAAGTTTTAAATAATAATAATAATAAATAATAAAATGATTAAGCATAAAAAATATAATAAAACTAATAAGATTAAATAATTAAAGAATAAGCTTAGTAAAAAAACGAAGAAGTAATAGAATAATAAAATAAATAAAAAAAGGAAAATAATGTTTAGTAATAAGAAGAATAAAATAATGTTAAAGTTCATGTAATTGAAAAAGATGAAAAATAAGAAGAAAAGTAATAATAATTAACAGAAACTAATTAAGATTAATTCTAAAATTAAAAAATAATATAAGATTAAAACTAATATGAAAAATAAAATTAATAAAAAGAAAACTAGAATTAAAATAATGAAGAAAAACAATAAGAATAAAATTTATAATAATAAATAACTTAAAATATTGAAGAAATATAAAAAGATAGAGACTAAAAATAAGAATATAAAATTTAAGAAAAAGAAGTAGATATATAAAAATAAGAATAATAATTAGATATAAAATAAACAAAATAAAATATTAATTAAGAAATTCAAAAGTAAGAAGAAAATAAAGAAGAATATCTCTAATAAAGTAAAACATAATAAAACGAAGTAAATTAATTAAAAGAATAATTGTTAGAATTTTAATAAGAAAAACATGAATAAAAAGTTTCCAGTAAAAATCAAGAAGATAAACCAGAAAATTAATAAGAAGATATAGTTAATTAATTATCAGTAAATTAAGAGGAAGAAAAATAAGAATAAATAAAAATAGTTGAGAATTAGGAAGGAAACCAATAAAATGATGAAAAACAACAAGTTAAATAGGAAGTATAAAAATAAAAAGAAAAACAAATATAAAAAGAAGAACAAATAAAAGAAATAGTCTAAAATCAAGGGTAAATTGAAAATTTATTAGATATGAATAATAAAAATTTAATAGAAAAACTTAAATAGATAGAATAAAATAAAGAATAATTAATAGAAAATAAATAAATATAATAAGAGTAATAAATAGAATAAATTTAAAATTAAAAAGAAGAAAAGAATTAAAAAAAAGAAAAAATAAAAGAAGAAGAAAAAGAAAATGAAAAAGAATAATAAACCTAATAAAAAAATACAAAATAAATATTAGAATAAAACAAAGAATAATAAACATAAGATATTAAGATTACTTAATAAGAAAAAGAAAAATAATAAAAATAATAATAATAATAATAATAATAATAATAATAATAATAATAATAATAATAATAATAAAATAATAATAATAATAAGAATAAGAATAAGAATAAGAATAAGAATAAGAATAAGAATAAGAATAAGAATAAGAATAATAATAAGTATAAGAATAATAATAATAATAATAATAATAATAATAATAATAATAATAATAATAATAATAATAATAATAAGAATAAGAATAAGAATAAGAATAAGAATAAGAATAAGAATAAGAATAAGAATAAGAATAAGAATAAGAATAAGAATAAGAATAAGAATAAGAATAAGAATAAGAATAAGAATAAGAATAATAATAATAATAATAATAATAATAATAATAATAATAATAAGAATAAGAATAAGAATAAGAATAATAATAATAATAATAATAATAAGTATAAGAATAATAATAAGTATAAGAATAATAATAAGATAAAGAATAAGAATAAGAATAATAATAAGAATAATAATAAGTATAAGAATAAGAATAAGATAAAGAATAAGAATAATAATAATAATAGTAATAATAAAAATAATAATAATAATAATAAGAATAAGATAAAGAATAAGAATAAGAATAATAATAATAATAATAAGAATAAGAATAATAATAATAATAAGTATAAGAATAATAATAAGATAAAGAATAAGAATAAGAATACGAATAATAATAAGAATAATAATAAGTATAAGAATAAGAATAAGATAAAGAATAAGAATAATAATAAGAATAAGAATAAGAATAAGAATAAGAATAATAATAATAATAATAATAATAATAATAATAATAATAATAATAATAATAATAATAATAATAATAATAATAATAATAATAATAATAATAATAAGTATAAGAATAAGAATAAGAATAATAATAATAAGTATAAGAATAATAATAAGATAAAGAATAAGAATAAGAATAATAATAATAATAAGTATAAGAATAAGAATAATAATAATAATAATAATAATAAAAATAATAATAATAATAATAATAATAATAATAATAATAATAATAATAATAAGTATAACAATAATAATAAGATAAAGAATAAGAATAATAATAAGATAAAGAATAAGAATAAAAATAAGAATAAGAATAAGAATAAGAATAATAATAGGAATAATAATAAGAATAATAATAAGAATAATAATAAGAATAGGGATAATAATTATAACAAGTATAAGAATAAGAATAAGAATAAGAATAAGAATAAGAATAAGAATAAGAATAAGAATAAGAATAAGAATAAGAATAAGAATAAGAATAAGAATAAGAATAAGAATAAGAATAAGAATAAGAATAAGAATAAGAATAAGAATAAGAATAAGAATAAGAATAAGAATAAGAATAAGAATAATAATAAGAATAAGAATAATAATAAGAATAAGTATAAGAATAAGAATAATAATAAGAATAAGAATAAGAATAATAATAGTAATAATAATAAGAATAATAATAGGAATAATAATAAGAATAATAATAAGAATAATAATAAGAATAGGGATAATAATTATAATAAGTATAAGAATAAGAATAAGAATAAGAATAAGAATTATAATAGGAATAATAATAAGAATAATAATAAGAATAATAATAAGAATAGGAATAATAATTATAACAAGTATAAGAAAAATAATAAGAATAAGAATAATAATAAGAATAAGAATAATAATAAGAATAAGTATAAGAATAAGAATAATAAAAAGAATAAGAAAAAGAATAGCATTAACTTTAAAAATAAGTTGAAGTTAAATAACAGTAAAAACTAATTGAACAAGAATAATAAAAGCAATAAGAATAAGATTAACAAAAAAAACGATATGAAGAAGAATAAAAGTAAGAAGAAGAAGAAAACCTTTTAAAAATAAACCCATAAGATGAATAAAAATCAATAATAAGTTCTCATCTAAATGACAGTAAATCAAGGAAAACATTAACAAAAAAATATAAACTTCCCATAGATTTCGAAAAATGGGATTAAGAAAAATGCTTAGAACTCTTAAAAATAGACGATCTTAATTTTTTTGCACATTACAAATTGGCAGTATTGGCCTTTTAACAAAATAATATAGAAGAAGCTTTAAGTCATTTATTAAAGACAAATTAAGTAAACTAGGATTTTTTACCAGAAAAAGTCAATTTGGGTATTGCTGAAATATACTTTTATTAAGCTAATTGGGAAAAAGCTTTATTTTATTATAAATAATTATATAAAACAAATTATAAAAAATACGACTCACTTAATTTTATAGCAAAATGTTTCAAAAAATTAAAAAATGTGGAATCAGCAATAAAAACATATGAAAACGCAATACTACATAATGTCAATAAAGATTATTTATGCTTTTATAAATTAGCTGTTTTGTAGTAAAAAGATAATAAAATACAGTAAGCAATTGATAATTACTAAAAAGCACTTTCGTTAAATACTAAAAATATTAAAATATTAAATAAATTGGCACTTGTACATATTGAATCGGCTAATGAAGATGAAGAAGAAGAAAAATAAAATATGTAAGAAGCTTTTTCTTATTTAATGTAAGCAATATAATTAGATGAAAATAATTATGATTCATTAATTTTATTGGCAAAGTATTACGATAAGAAAAATTAAATTGAAAGTGCAATAAAGTTTGCATAAGAAGCAGTAAAATAACCTAATTCAGCTATAAATTCAATTTATTATTTAGGTTTATTATATTTTAAAAATAAATAATTAGATTAAGCTACACTTTGCTATAAAAAAGTTCTAAGTATTAAAATAAATATATATATATATATATATTTTAAATAAAAAATAAATAATTAAAGATTAAGATTAGTAACATTTATTAAGCATAATAGATTATGCAACAATTTTGAGTTTATAATCAAATTTTGAAAAAGCTAGGAAATACTTTAAGTATATATATATATATATATATATATATATATAAATATATATATATATATATATATATAATTTTTTTTAATATATATTAATATATATTATTTTTATTTTATTTATTTTTTTTTATTTTTATTTTATTTTTTATTTTATATTTTTAATAAATAAAATATCTATTTTTATTTTATCTTTCTTTATACATATATATTTAAATTAAAATTATTTATGTATAAATTTATAGGATAGCATTGAAAATTAATCCAAATAATATAATATGTAATCTTCGATTAGGAAAGATATATCTAAAAAAATTAAAGAATGTAGATTTAGCAATAGAATGCTTTTTAAATGTTTTATAAATAGAGCCTGATTATAGTAAGGTTCATTATTAATTAGGTTTAGCATATATAGAATAAAAAGATTTTAAAAAAGCAACAGAATATTTAAAATAATGTATTTTAATAAATCCAAATTATGCACCAGCATGGAAATCAATAGGTTTTAAAATATAATTTAAATTTGTCTATCATATTTATTAATTTTTCCTTAATATAATAAATATTAAATATAATATCACATAAAAAAGCTTTTTAATTTTTATAAATATAAAAATTAAAATAAAAAAAATTAAATAGAAAATATATTATAAAAAAAAATAAAAAAAAATTTAAGTATCAATATAAAATATTTTTAAATATATATAAATATAAATATAAATATATATATATATTTATATAATTTTATATATTTTTTTATATATAAATTTATTCACATTTACTTATATAATAAATTTTTAATTATAAATAAAGGCAATATTTTTTACGAATGTTAAATTTCTGAAAAAGCAATAAAATATTATCAAAAAGCTAATTAACTTGATAAAAATGATATTGAAAGCAAAATAGGAATAGGTAGTTGTTATTATTTATAAGAAAACTACGACCAAGCTATCTAAAATTACATAGAAATTCTTAAAACTTATTAAAATGAAGAAGTAGAGTATAATTTAGGCAACTGCTATTATATGAAAGGCGATTTTGAATCTTCAATCAAACATTATAATAATTCTTTATAAATAAAAAAATCTAAACCTGAATGTTTATATAATTTAGGAAATGCATACTGTTCTTTAGAAAGATATTAAGAAGCCTTATAATGTTTCTAAGAATGTGTATAAATGGATCCTAATAATAGTTTTGCTATATATAATTAAGCTATTATATATTATATATAAAATTAATTTGACTAATGCTAAACTTATTTTGAAAATGCAATCACTAAAAATCCTTAAAATGTTTAATGGAGAAATTATGTTGCAAATATATACTTTGAAAAGGGAGAATTTTAAAAAGCTTTGGGTCATTTATTGGAATCTTTTAATATTTAAAATAATAATTTTGATACTCTAATTTAAATTTCTTTAACATATTATAAATTAAATAACTTATAAGAGGCTCTTTAATATATCAAAGTATATATTGATATTTTTTTTTTATATAATATTTTCTTTTTTAATATAAATATAAATATATATATATAATATATATATATATATATATATATATATATATATTTTAGATGGCTTTAGATTTAGAACCTGAAAATTAAGATGCTTATAAATTATTTGAATAAATTAATTAATCTGATAATAATTTGAACATTAATTTCAACATTGGTAGTTCTAGAGATTATAAAGATCATAAATCTGTTATTAACTAAAGAAGAGGAAGTTCTAAATAAATGAGCACTTTGAGATTAAATAATTAAACTTCTAAAGAAAGTGGAGATAAGAAAAATAGTTCATTTAATAGTATAAATCATGATAACTCTAAATTTTTAAAACCAAAATATTGATTTTATCTGTATTTTATAAATTTATTTTTTCATATATATAAATATTTATTTTTAAATGCAAATTTAATTTATTTATTTAAAAAAAAAAAAAAATTAACAAAATATTATTTAAATAAAATATGAATTTTAATATTATTTTTTAAATTACTTCAATAATATTTTTATTTTTATTTTTCCTTAAAAATAATCAATTTAATTTAGGAGGATACATAACTTTATAATAATCAGAAGGAATATTATAGATAAATCTGTATAAGTGTAAATATATTTTTTTAACTATATTCTTCTTATAAAAGATTTATTTATCATATTAAAATTCATTTTTAAATTTTTTTGGTATAAGTAATTTCTAATGAGAGCTTGCCAAAAACTTAATTAAGTTATTAATATTATTACATTAAATAATTTATTCATCTTTTAATTTATAACTTAAATATAATGAAAACTTTTCATTAACCTTTTTTACAATTTTTATATATTAATTTATATTAAGAAATATGAACAAAAAAAATACCTTTTTTACAAATGAAATAAATTATAAATCTTAATATTTGAAGTTTTCATTATAATTATAGAAAAGAGATTAAAACTCTTTATTATTTAATATAAATTTATTAAATAAAAATAAAAATCATTAAATAATAATTACATGAACGGACTGTTTATTCTAATATTTCTTTAACTACATATTAATTATGTATATATGTTTTTTTATAAAAGTTTAGTCCTTTAATAAATTTCATAATAACTAATAAATTTTTATTCATTTTGAAAAATAAAATAATATAATGTATAATATTAAATATAGATTTTACTTATTAAAATAGCTATTAATCTAAAAGGAATTATTTATATCAAAATCAATAAAAAAATACAGAAAATTAATGAATATTAAGTTTTCTTTTCATGCTACCAAGTAATCAAGTTTTTAAATTTTTCACAAAATCCAACAATTTAAAATAAATGATAATAAATAATTAATAAATATTTTTTATATTTTTTCATTTTCTTTAATATTCCTTCTAGTTCAACAATAGTCATTTATGATAAATTTAAATATTTTTAAACCTAAATTTATTTTTTAGTAAAAACTTTTTCCTCAAAATAATCTTTATTTTAAATATCTAATTTTATCTTACTTTCTAAAAAGTTTTTTACTTTAATTCCATATTATTATTTATTTAATAAAGTAAAAATAATAAAAAATAAAATCGAATATTAAAAAAATTAGTTTAACTTAAATTAAAAAACAAATGTAATTAAAATCTAAAAAAATAAAAAATGTGAATATAATTAAATACAAAAAACTTACTATATAAAAAATTATTGATATTCTATGATATCTGAAGTTAAATAATTCAGAAATAGAGTTGAATTTATTTTTTACTTATGCTTTAATCCTTCTGATTCTATTTTTTGTAATTTTAAATTAAATTCTTTCATTATTTGTAAATTCAGTTTTACTTATCACAAAACTTTCATATAAATCAATTTCAGAATGAGCAAAAAAACTTTAAATATTTGAAAAATCATTAATTTTGCAAATTGCTACACCTATTTTTTCTTCTGATTAATTATAAATATTTAATTCGACATACTATTTTTTTTTTATATTTACAAAAAAAGAAGAATAAAAATATATTTTATTTATTACAAAATTTTTATGTTTTTATATATTAATCTATAAATCTTGTATTTATAATTAGCAAGTTCCTAATTATGATTCTTTTAGACCATCACTGAATACTCCCATTTAATATTATTATTTCCATAATTAGAGTTCTATAAAAGAATAATTATTAAATATTGGCAAAAATATTTTAGTAGAATAATTAATCTAATTTTCTTATTTTAATTATTTTTTGTGAAGATTTATTTATATTTAATTATGTAATATTTTAACAAAATAATTTGCAAATTTCTCACTTTTAAGTAGTATAATATTTTAAACTTTATTATTTAAAAACAAACTAATTAAATATATATAATTAAAAAAAAAATACTTTCTAAAATTATTTTTCCTGTAGATTTGTATTTTTTATTAATTTAATTAGACTATTCTATTCTTTTTTTAAATAAAGTTAAATATTCAATATTTTATTTATTATCACAATCTTAAATATTTTCCATTATTAGGATTTATTTAACAAAATTAGACTTTATAAGCATCAAATTAATGCCCTAAACTCTAATTATTATTTTTTAAATATATTTTTTAATCAAAATATAATTTTACTAAGACAGATATTTCATTATTTTATTTCATTTGTTATTAGATGCATATTTATATTTAATCACATGGAATAACAAATTCACATGAACTATGTGCATTTTTAAATATTTATATAACATCATCTAAAAAATTAATAGAGCATTTTAGCCATTCATCATTATTATTTATTTTAAAAAATCTTATTTTATTTTTTAATATAAAAAAAAAAATGAAAATATTAGTAATTTTATATTACAAATCAAATGTTTTTATTTTTTCATCATTCAATTATTATTCTTTTTTTTCTTTTTTAATTTAGTTAATCTAATTAGTTTATTATGCGCTTTTTATTATTTATAAAATTGATTTCTTAAGCTTTTTTCAAATATTAAACAATAAAACAAATTATATATGTCTATATTTAAAATATTAATATTTACTTAGGCCTATTTTTTCTCAATTTAAATTTAATCGGTATCATCAAAATCGATAATTTCTTTTAAATATTTATAACCTTTAGCTTAAATTTTATTTTATATTTCCTAAACACTTTTTAATACTTATGTATCAGAATCATTATTTAATAATTATTAAACATATTAATATGATCCAATAATTTATTCTAAATTTTATATTTTATTAAATTTGGAATGTTCTAAAAGTGTAGAAGCAGTAAAAGACTATGAATGTTAATTGATATTAAATTAATTTTATGGACTTTATTAATTTAATTATTTTTATTTAATTTCTTATTCTTTTTGATCAATATATACTTATAATTTATCTTTTTATTTATTATTTAATAACTACATATCTTTTTCCTATTCTAATCGTATTCCAACTAAAAATAATTTGTTTATAAAATAATATATTTATAAATAAAAATAAAACATAAAAATTTATAAATCATTTGTCTAGCCATTTGTTTGCTTTTCAAATTTAAATTAGTTTGTACTATTAATGCATCCATAATTTTCTCAAATTATTCATCCCTTTTCAATTACTTCTAAAAAACTTTTATTTTTCCAGGAAATTCAGGTAAAATAATATTTGGAAATTAAATAGTTGCCTTAAAAAATATAATTCAATAGAAAATAAATATAAAAAAATTAATAAATAAATATGTTAATAATAATTTTAAGAGATAATATTTTTTAATTTTTTAATTTATAAAAATAAATATATAATTATTTATTTAATTTAACTGCTTCATATAAACCTTTGAAATGTTAGCTTTCTTTATATACTATATCTTTAAAATGCATATTTTCAAATTATGCTTCTATATGAATATGAAATTTCTATTATTTTATTTTTTTAAATTAAAAAAATTCGATAAGTTTTTTTTTTTTTTTTTAAATGATATACTGCATGATTTAAAAGCTTTTTTTCTTCTTGTATTTTAAATACTATATTACCTTATTCGAAATTTTATAAACTTATTTTAAATTAACTCTTTATATCATTTTAATGATTTTCAATTTAATTAAAAGATTACTAATTATCATCGGTATCTATTTAATTTTTGTTAATAAAATATATAATATATCAATTATAAATCATACTGGATAAATATGTATTCGAATTATCTAAATTATTAGAAGTGCTTTTAATCATAATTACTGAAATATTATTTTTAAATTATTATAAAAAAATAGTTAATCCAAATATATAAATAAATATTATTAGATATAAAATTAATTCTTTTATATATATTTTTTTTAATTCAATATTTAACTAATCTGTTTTTTTTATTATAAAAATAACCATTAAAAAATTAAAATAAATCGCTTAAATATAAAGTTTTAAATAAAAGCAAAATAAAAAAGGAAAAATAAAAATGAGTCTATCTAATTTAGCATAGTTCGGTTAAATGGGTTTAAATTAAAATTATTCTTAATACTAAAATTCACCTATAAAAGATTTTTCATAGGTTAATCAGTTTCCTTATTTCCCTGTTTAAATTTTAATGGTTCCATATTAAGTATAACCTACTATGATAAACTCTTCTTTTATGTCTCATCCATAACCAACAGTATTACAAATAATTCCTTATTAATAAGATTAATCATAAAACCAAGCCAAACAATAATATTAAAATGAATAAAATATATCCTAAAATAATATAATGAATTAATATTAAGAAAGTCCTAAAATAATAAAAAAAAAGTTAAGTTTTTAAAACCAATTAAATTTTGAAGGAAAGCCAAGCTAAAATTTTCTTGAAACACAAAATTAAAATTAAAAATGGTAATAACAATAAGAATATTAAAATATTTTAAAAACTCAATAAGAAATAAAAAAGTTTAAAAATGAGCAATTAAAAGAATAGGAAAAATTAGAACTAGAAAAACTTATGTAGGAAAAATTAATATAATAATTGTATAATAAAGCAGCCATTCAAAGAGATTCAAATGGGAATATTTTAACTACGAAAATAAGGCCTGGAAATAGAAATTTTTAAAGCATGGATTGGTTTTCAGGAAATTAATAATATCCAAATAATATGGAAACTACTAAAAATATTTTTTATAAGCATAGTAGTGTATGTTGTTTATATTTTTAAAGGAATTAAGTATTTTTTTAAAAAAAATTAAAATTATAAAGATTCCAGATTTAGAAATAATTAATTAAGATATTAAATAGAAAAGAGATTTAGAGAAAAAAATATAAGTAGAAAGATAACAATTTTAAAGTTAAAGTAATATCGATGATATTCATTAAAATTCAAATCATATTAGATAAAGCTATGATTCTCGTTAAGATTTAGAAAAGCTTAAAAAAGCAGAATAAGCTATTTAACTATAAAAAGACATTCTTGAGCTTAGAAAAATATAAGATATTAGAGACGGATAACTTGAAGATTTAAGAATATAAAGAGAAAGATTAGATAACGAATAATAATTATAAATTTAATAAAAATAATTAAAAATAAATATTGAGTAAATAAAAAAAAAAAATATTATAATATAAACAAAAATAATGAAAAAAATTAGCCAAAGTAAATAATATAGTGAATAGTAAAATAATGATGAAAAACAAGAAAAAATGCAATATGAATAAAAATAAGACCTAGAAAAAATCAAGCAAAAAATATTAGGAGAAATCCCTTAAGAAATTTCAAAAATAGTAAAATAAACCATAAACGGAGAAATTCAATCTATTAGATATGAAATAAATTTTCATAAAAATAATATAGAAGAACAAATATAATAAATTAAAAGCCAAATAGATAAAGCAAATGAAAAAAAGGAATAAACAGATATTAATTTAAATTCTTTGAATGAATAATTAAGCAAATAAAACATAAATAATTTACAAAAAAATAGCTATACATATGAATCTTTTATTAAGATGCAAAAGTCGAATATTTATGCCAGTAAAGATATTTTCCTTTTACCAAAATAAAAATACAAAATAGAAAATGAATAACCTTTGAAATAAAAAAGTGAATTAATTGAAAATAAAAAATGTGTAATTAAAAAAAAAGAATAACCAGATTTTATTGAAACAAAGCCTTATAGAGTAAGCTAGGTTTTGGAAATTCCTGGAACATTTATATAGGATAAAGATGATATAGATGCATATAAAAAATATTTAGTAAAAAACAAAAAGAGATTAAATAGAATGGAGAAGATAGAATTAGTGAAAGAATAATAATAAAAATATGAATAAATTAATTAATTTTTTGCAAAAAGCACAACTTAAAGTGATTCTGATGATGACCTAAAATTGCCAACAAAAGATAGTCATTAGAAATAAATTAGATATAATTCTGTGAATATTTAAAAAGATAATTTATAAAATAATTGCTAAATTTAATAATAAAATGAATAATAATTTTCTTTAGAAAAAATAAGAAAAAAGAGCTCATAGACTTCATTTAAAAAAGAACTTAAATAATTTATATAATTACCATAATTAGTGTAAAAAAATAGTCCTTAATTTTAATAAAATAGTATTTAAATACAATAATAGTAAATATAATAAAACAATCCGATAAATAGCATTTAGATATAATAATAACCAAAATAAATATAATAAAATCAATTTAGAAATAGTATTTAGATATAATAAGAATTAAAATTAAGTTAATAAATATAAACTAATAATAATATAGAAGTATAAGAATAATAAGAAACAAAATTAAGTGAACCTAAAAATAGCATTTTAATTGAGCAATCGTAGGAAAATAGACAAAGCTAATAAATTTAACATAAAAAAAGCCAATAATTCTCATAGATTTCGCAATAAAATAATAAATTAACTATTTAAAATGAATTAAGAAATAGTTAGTAATTAAAATATAATTAATTGAATAATAGTTAATAAGTTTAAATTGAAAAAAGTATTTAATTAAATATAATTAATGAAAATAAAAATAATATTTATTAATCAAAAATAGAAAGAAACAGTTAAATTTCACAATAAAATAATTTAAATATACAAAATTAATGAAAATAAATAAAAGCTTGAATATTTTTATAAACTTAAAATATTTTTTTAATTAAAAATAATAAAAAAATTATTTTTTTACTAATTAAAAATTTTAGAAAAATAAAACAAATGTAAAAATAAAATTATCTAACAAAAAAAAATTAAATTTTAAAATAAATAAATATATATATATATATATATATATATATATATATTATTTAAGTTGAGAATTCTTATAAAAAGTTTATAAAATTTTTAGTTAATAAAGAATTATTGTTAATAAATAAAATAAATAATTATGCTTATTAATAATAATAAAACAGATTTTATTTCTTAAATTTTTGTAATTAAAATTATTTCTTTAATAAAAAATAATAAAATACTTTAAATAATTACATTTTCTATATAAAACAATCTTTTTAATCTTGCTAATTTTTATATATATATAGTAATGTTTTTTTTTGTTAAATTTATAAAATAACATTTCAATTAGATATGATATAAACTTTTAAAAACTAAAATATATAATGAAATATTTGTTATTAATTTAATATATGTAAAAAAATAAACTTTATTACAATCTAATATATTTTATATATAAAAAATAAAAATATATTTTGTTAAATAATTAATTTACTAAAATTATAAACTGAAAAAATCTATAAATATTAATAATGATATTTTTTCGAATATAATAATAATAATCAATATTTTTTTATATTTATTTCAATCCTCATTATCTTCGTCAGCTTCCGTTCCTGCAATATTAAGAAACATTTAAAGCCAAAGTTTATCTTCAACTTTATCTTCAATTTTCTTTTCTTTATTAATAATTGATTTTAGTCTTTCGAATTTCTCATTATTTTCAGTATCAGTTGCAAAGTTTTTAATTAATTTTGAAATTTTTACATTTTTTTTCTTATTTTTCTCTTTATGAGCAGGTAATTTTTATAATTATTATAAATTAATTTCTGATAATATTTAATCATTGAATTTTATTTCTTCCTATTCCTCTTCATTGTCTTCTGTAAAAGTGTTCTAGCCTTAATTTTATTCATCATTTTTATTATTATTTTTTTAAATATTAAATTCCTATTCGAAATTATTATCTTCGGTATTTTTTTACTCTTCAATTCCTATTAAATATTAATTTCTTTATTTAAATCTAATATTTGGATGTTTTCCTGTTTTTTTACTTATAAAGAATTACTGCTTTTTTAAATAGATAAAGTATCTTATTTTGTATTATTAATAGGTCCAATTTATAATATTTTTTTAAAATTTTCATTTTAAATTTAACTATTTTGATCATTTTAATTTTTTTATTTATCTTAATGACTCATATAAATGAAAGCGATTGCTATTGAACTTGTGACTATAAAAGGTACATTTTTAGAAAAATCATCCCATGAAGGAATCTTTTATAATAATTTATTTGTAAAATTCATATTTATTATTCTTTTTTGATGTGAATAAAAAATATATATATATTTTTTTTTTTAATATTAGTTTATTAAAATATATAATTTTATATATTTACATATATTTGTTATTAAAAATAATATATAAATTATTGTAAGTTTTTATTTATATTTGTTAATTTTTATGTATATATAATTAATTTGAATTAAATATAAATAAATAAAAAATATAATAATTTATATAAATATAAATAAATATTAATATATATTTTATAAATATTTAACTAAACATAGATTTTAAAAAGTAAAAAAAATAAAAAATAATAATAACTAAAAAAAAATAAAAAAAAAATACTATTAAAATTTTAATATTATTTTGTTATTATTATTATTATTATTATAATTATTATTATTATTATTATTATTATTATTATTATTATTTTTATTATTATTTTTATTATTGTTATTATTAATAATTTTTTTTTATTATTATATTTAAATTCACTTATTTTATATTTATATCTTTTTTTTTTTTTTATTTTATATTATATCATTAAATTTATTTTACTTATATTATGATAATTCAATTTATAAAATTTTGCATATATTTTTTATTATATTATAGTTGTACTTTTTTTCTTTTAATTTTATTGTTAAAAATCTTATCAATATATAAATAATTAAATAATTATTATTTTAATTCTCAATATTTATTTAAATCTTATTTTTTTAGTTATAATTTTTTTTTTTTTATAATATAAGAAGATCATTTATAAAAATATAATTATTCTTAAAACAAAATAATTTTCTTTAACGTTATTTTTTAACCTAAATATAATTTTATGAGCTTATTTATAAATAAATATAATTTATATTATAATATAAATAATAAACAATATATCCAAGTTATTTTTATACTCTTGCAATTCCTAATTTGTTTAGAATTAAATAAACTTTTTATTTTATCCTTTATATTTGATAATTTTATTATTTATTTATTTTCAGAATAAAATACTATATTTTATTGCTTAATTTTTATGTAAAATTAAATTATAATTTAAATATTATAAACTAATAATTATTACTGATAAAAATTTCATTATTAATATTTTTTTTTATTTTTAATGATTTGATATATTTTTATATACGAATAAATATTTTTTATTATGACTTGTTTATTTTTTATAAAATTTAAAAACTCTATATAAATTATATATTAGATATCTACCTATTAATAATAAACTAATTTATATAAATTTATATATCTTAGAAGTTATATATAATATTAATTTAAAATTAAATATAATATTTTTTTTTAATCTTAATATATTTGTTTTTTTTGCTTATTTTCAATTTATTAATGAATTATATATTTCGAAATAAATTTATTATATTTATAAATATTATTAAACAATGTATTTTAAAATAATTAACTCAAAAATAATATTTTTTTTTAAAAAAATATTTTTATAAACAAATTAAAATAATTAAAATAATAATCAAAAATACATAAAATATAAAAAAAATTATTAAAAGATATAATAAGAAAAAAAAAAATGGATATATTAAATAATTTTTATTTATTAATTATTTCATTATTTTAATTAGTAATAAGTATTATTTATTGGATCATAATAACAATTAAAAACTGGATCAAATATTACTTCTAAAAATTCATATTATTAATCTTCTTCTTTATCCTCATCTTTTTATTCATATACATCATTTTATAATACAATAGTTTAATTATTTTTTTTTGTAATTACAGAATTACCCTACAAATGAACAAAAACTATTAATATTATTATTTAAACTATTTTCCATATCATCATTGATTATATTATTAAATCTACTTTCATATATATTGTTTTAGTTTTTCTAATATTATTAATTTTCATCCTAAGTGTTTTCAAGACTATTATTTATTTCAATACTCTTAAAATCATTTATTTAGTTTTATTTTTATAAAGTAAATTAATTTTAATCACTTTATTAAAATTCAAAATTTTAATTTTTTTTTTGAGAAGAAGATACAGATTAATTATTAATTATTTCTTCTGTTTCTAATTATAATTCGTTTTTTTTTACCGAAGATTTTTTTGGTGTATTTTCTTATATTTCTTATATTTTATTAATTAAGTAATTATTATCTTTTATTTTATTCATTTTTTGTGTTTTCGAATTTCCAGATTTTTATTTGTTTTCTTATTCGATGCTTTTGTTTAGATTTTTTTATATTATTGATTTTTTATTATTTTATATTTATTTATCATTATTATTTTCATCTATAATTTATTAGACTTTGTGTTTATCTTATTTATTTGGCTAATTTAGCCATGGATTATTTTTTTTAAGTTGGTAATTTAGTGTAGTTTATGAATCTTTTTATTTAGTAGTTTTCTTTATTTATATTTATAAATATAAGTATATATGTTTATAATTTTTTACTATTTATTTTTTATTATTATTTAAATTTCCTATTTCTTTTTCTAAGAATTATTCTTTTTCAGAAACATTATTTACCTTTTATTAATTAAATGATGTTTTTTATATTTAAATATGTTCTTTTTAATTTAAATTATTATTTTGATATTAATGTTATTATTTATTAACAGAATCTGATATTTTTTTGATTTATAAAACTGCTGTATTACAATTAATTTACAGTTTTTATTCTAAATTTACAAAATTATTAATTTTAGTTTTATTTTTTTATTCTTAAGATTATTTTTTTGGAGATTTATTCTTTTAATTAATTTTTTAATTGACTTTTATATTCGTTTTTTGTTTAATTGTATTACTTTTATTAAATAAATTTTCTATATTTTCAACTTAAATATTTTATTCATTTTTGATCTACAAGTTATCACGAATTACTTAATAATATATTAACTAATTTGCATATTAAAGCCCTTCAGGAAAACTAAAACATTTAGGAATATCCTCACTTTTTTTTAATATATATTTATATTTTTTTTAAATATAAAAATATGTCAATATACCTTTATTAATAGTATTAATATGTTTATATTTCTTAATCTTCGTTTCCATATGTAAATAAAGGATTTTTCATTGTAAATATTCTTCTTAATTTACATTAAGAACCAATAATTATACTATCTATAGATCTAAAAGTTTAACCTTTTTTTTATTATTTATTTTTTTATTTAATATATGAAACCTTTCCATACTTCCATAAAACTATTAGTATCAATACTTAAATTAAGCCATATTCCATGTTTTATTATATAATTAGGCACTTTTACATGAAAAAAATTATTTTCTATTTTATTTTATCTATTAATAAAATTAATTCTCCTTTTGGTCTTTTATTTATATTATTAATTTTAAAAAAAGTAATATTTTTTTTGTTATATACTCGAGATGTATCAGCTATTATTATTTCTAAATTCCAAGCAGAAGTAATAGGTAAATATATTTAAAAAACTAAAAATTATTAAATTAAGCATAATTCCTATTTATCTTCTTTTGGAAATTTCATTTTTGTTTAATGTCCCTCAATTTAAAATACATATTCCTTTTTTTTTTTTCATATTTCATATTTTATAAATTTCAGTTTTTTTTTTTTTTAATTTTTGAAAAATAACCTTTCATTTCTTTATCATATATTTTATGAAATCCATTATTTGTATTAATTTTAAATAAATTTGCACATTCTTATTCTTTTTCTTTATTTGCTTTTTTATTATTTGTTATTCTATTATTAATAAATAAAATTATAACTTTTGGCATCATAAATTTCAACAAATGGACCACTTTAATATGCATTTTAAAACATTTTTTATGCCTTTAAAAATATTCTTTATTATTTTTAAAAAAAATTTTTATATATATTTAAAAAAAAACTTTAAATAAAAATATTATTAAGAATTAATATATAGATAGATATATATTTTTTTATAAAAAAAATAAACATATAATATTCATTCATTATATAAGAATTTATTTTTTTACATATATACTTTCTATAAATAATGTTTTTTTATTATAAAAAATTAAATTTATAAATAATTATTTTAATATAATTATTATTAAACATAATATATATTAATAAATTAATAAAAATAACTAAAATCAAAAACATAACGTACAAAACTTTAAAAAGAATAATATTAAAAAAAACAACAAATTTTTTATCATAATTCCTAAATATGAATAAAAATATAAAAATGAAACCTAAATTAATAATTATTTATATATTTACAAATAATACAATAAAAAAATAAATAATAAATAATCAACTTCTGTAAAATATTGTGAAAATTTAATCATAAGAGCTTCATTAAAACATCAGCAAACCTTATAATCAGCGGATTTTAATTGCAAAAGGAAAATGTTTCACTGAAATATGCATATATTTTCAGTAAAATCAAAAATGTTAATAGTAAAATCGTTTTTATAAACAACTATAGAGACTTTTTATATTAAATATGATCGCACTACTAATAACATAAGGAATATCTTTTTGTAAAAAAGCATTTATATAAATTACTTTAAAACAGATTTTTAAACCTCTAAAGAACAGTATTAAATAATTCAACTTTAAAAAAGAATGAAAGACTTATAAAAAATCTTCCAAAAAATAAAAGAGCAAAATAATAAAGTCTTCAATAATTTTTAGAACAGGCAATTTAATATGATTTAAAGACATTATTAGTAGGAGTTTCTATATATTGTGTATTTTTTAATTTTATAATTAGTAACTATTCTAAAGATTTATAAATACGTGATTTCTAAAAATGAATTAAATTCATAAATAATAATTATTAAATCAAAAAATTAAAAAGAACTAGCAATAATTTTAATTGATTTAAGAAATTAAATTATTATAAGAAAATAGTAAATATATTATCGATTTTAATTTATAAATAAAATAATGAAACAATCGAAGTATATTTATAAGAAAAGACAGTAAGGAGATGTTTTTCATTTTAAATCTTGCTTTTAGAAATATATCGAAATCTATCAGGATAAAAATAATAGCAGAAATAAATGCATATAGTCTAAAAAATTTAATAAATTAATTAATAAATATTAGAATTTAGCTATTTTTATAAAAATTTATATCTAAAAAAATATATTTATATGTATAATTTTATTAACATTGAACATTTAACTACTTTATAAGATCGAAATTTCAATTTTACATTAAAAAAATATGATTTATTATAATTATTATTGCTTTTATTATAAATTTAGCATTTTTATCTTAATTCGTAAAAAGGTTTAAACTAACAAGTTACTCAAAATCATTATAATAATTCAAAATCTGAAAACTAAATTTATTATTTAGGATTTGTTTAATTAATTTCAACCTGAAAATGATGCTTTTTTGGCTTTTAATTAATATTACTATTAAAAATATTAACAAATGGTAAAATATACTGGAGAAAATAAAATAATATTAGCCTTTATACTGAAAAAGAATACGCTCTATAATTTATCCTAAATATTTAAGCAAATAAATTATATTTTTAAACTAAAAGAAAATTTTCCATTAAGTTTTTTAAGTAAAAAAATAAAGAAATCTAGGTAATATTTGGAAATATATTTTATATTATTAAAGAATTTATAACTTTTTAATGATTAAAAATAAGGCATATTTATATAAACATTTATATAAACTTCTTTTAAAAAAATAAAATAAAAAAGGTGAACTTATATTTATTGTATTTCGCCCTATTTGTTCAATAATGGGATTATTATTTAATCCAATAATATATTGCTTTCATTTACTTGCTATAGTGAATACGTTTATGATTTAAAGTGTAATATAATCAGTAACAATGAATAGAATATAACTTTTTTTGATATTTATTATAGGAATTATAATTATATTTATTTATTCAAAGTTATTTGTTTTTATTTTTTTAATGGAAATATTACTTTTAATGATAATTAAGGATAAAAGATGTGTAATTTCTTTTTTTGTCTTAATTTTTTACAGTTTATAACGGAATAAAAAATGAGAGAGGGAAATTAATTAAAATTTTGCTAAAATTTCTTGCACTGTATAGTAATATCTGAAATAAGATGAAATAGTTTTTTTTTATGTTTTTACCTTTTTTATTTTCGTGAATATTATATTTGGTATTGATATTTTTGCATAATTGAGAGATGAAAAAAATGCTACTATATTCGAAGATATCAAAAATAAATGTTTCATATGCAGTATTTATAGTGACGGATTTTAATTTTGTATTGTAAATTTACATAATTATAGTATTTTTTTATTAAATAATAAAACAAAAAAAATTATAATATATGTATTATATTAAAAACAAAGACTAATTATAATGCTATTGAATATTATATTTGATAAAAAGTAAACAAAAAATATAATATTTTGTTTCTGGTTATGAAAGCTATTTGATAAGATTAGTAAAAAAAAATAAAAATCAAATGAAGTAAACGAAAAATTAATTGAATTTTTTAAACAAAGGTTAATTTAACTAACTTTATGATAAAAAATGCATTAGAAAAAGAAAGATAATTATTAATTTTTTTGTTATAAATTATTAGTTATTTTTTATTTTTAAAATACTATATTTATATATTTTTAAATAGAAATAAAACAATTATTTATAATTTAGAAAAAGTTTTATATATTTTATATATATAATAAATACATCAACTTTTTTCTAAATTATAATATAAATTATATATAATTTATTTATTTTTTGCAAAAGAAATTAAAATAAAAATTTATGATTTTTTTTTTTTTTTCTATTTTTTACTCTAGTTTTTTTATAAATAGTTATAATATAAAATAATTTTTTTGAAATAATAAATTAAAAATCAATAAAAAAATATATCAATTTTTAAAATAAATGAACTTATATGAAAATTACAATTTTAAATCATTATTAAAATTTTGAAATTTAAATTTCATCTAAATTATTAGCAAATATTATAGGTTTAAAAGTTTAATCCTTTTAATTATAAAATATAAATAATAAGAAATATAATTTTACCACTTAATCATTCATAATTCCAGATTTACTAAAATGCTAAATTAATTCGTTTTTTCCTTAAAGTCGTGCATAACACAGATAGCAAACCTTAATATTATATATATTTATAAAAAATATAAATAATATTATTTTCAAATTACTTTTTCGCTTCTTATCATATCCCATTTTTTACCATTAAATTAATTATAAAATTGAACAATATGCTTGTAATTAATAAAATTAATAAAAGCATAGCCAATATTACAATAATTCTTTTTATTTTTAAAAAATACTTAAAAATAAATGTAATTTTGATTTATTTTACTTTGAAATCAATTGGTAAATATATGAAATCATATAAACCTTTGAAATTAAAATTAATAATTTTCAAAAAATCTTCCTGATTATATTTATTAGGAATATTTCTTATCATAACAGTATTTCGTTTGTCAATTCCATTTATTATATTATATAAGTGGATTGTATAGTTTTAATTATTATTATTGTTATTATTAATATAAAACAATCGAATATTAGGAATACAATCACTAATATTTTGATTCCTATCATTAATAGTTTTAATTTCAGCCTCATCGTGCTGGTTTTCTATATTAAAATTTAAAATTTTTGGTTATTAATTTTTTTAAAAATTATTTATTTAAATCTATTGTTATAATTAATTTTTTTATTCTTATTATTGAGTATTATTTTTTAAAATGTTAAATTATTAAGAGTTAAACCTAGCTGAGTTTATATTCATTTTTTTTTTAATTTAAGATTTTAATTATTATTATTAGAAATATTAAAATGGTTATTATTATTTTTGTAATTTTAATCTAAAGGGATATAATCATTTAAATAAGAGTTATTATTTTAATTTTAATTATTAAACTATTCTATTATTTTTTACAATTAATATATTTTATTTTTATTTATATAAATTTTTAAAATAGATTTAAATATATAATTATTTACTTTAGTTTTATAATTCAAAAAGAAAATTAATTTTTTTATTATTAATATTTTCTTCGAATTAAAAATATATGTTATTTAATAAATCTATTATAAATGATTCATCATATAAAGGAAAATAATTTAAATGTAGATTTGTTAATAATATATTATTTTGATTGTAAAAGTAAAGCAAATTCCTTATTTCTACCAAAGATCTTTTGTCGTCAAATCTTACAATAATATTATTTTAAAACTTATTCCATTCAATTATTTATCCAAATAAGCTTAAATAAGTAAAAAGTTAGTCATTTTTTAATAAATGAGTATTTTTTATAACCTAAAAAAATAAAAAATATATATATATTTAATATTTTATTTTACCATGGTATCTATATTACTATCCTCTTGTAAATAATAAGTATTTACCATTTAAAATTTAAGAAGAATTAAATAGACTTTAAATGATTAAATTAAGCTAAAAAAGTTAATTTAATAAAGACTTTTTAAGTTAAAATTATATATAAATAAAATGTAAGTAAATATAAAATATATTTTTAAATAAATTCATAAAAGGAGAATATTTTTTTATTTTTTAATACTTCTTTTCTAAATTAATAATTTGAAATTCCCCTTAAAATTTTATTTATTCCTAAATTGAGTTAAATTAGTTTTAATCAATAACTTTGAAAATAATTTTTCTTGTAATATTCTTATTCATGTTTTTCTATTTTTTTTATTAAATATAAATAAAAATATACATAAAGCGTAAAAAAATAAAATATTATTATTAAAAAAATATAGTTTAAAAACAATTCTTTACTAAAATTTAGTCATTTTGATTATTTACGTCGTTAAACATTTATTTCTTGATTTTTTAAAAAAAGAACAATATATTATTTTTTAATTCATTATAATCATCATATGAATTGGGTGATTCTAAAGTAGTTTATTAAGAAGAAGAGCATATCTAAACATCACCAAGACTATCATCATTTGATTTTTTATTTGCTATTAATCTTTTAATTTTAGAATATTTATAAGTTTATTTTATTTTATATTACATTTTAGGCTGTTTTTCTTTCTGATGTTGTTATTTATTAATATTTTATTGTAAATTTTAAGATTAGCTTTAATTATTTGTTTAATTTACAGTTGCATCTATCAAACGGAGATATTCATTAAATTCGTCATCAAAATTAATATCCATTTGAAAGAATATATAAATACTTTAATTTTATAATGTTTTTTATAAAATAAATAATAATTATTAATACTTTATTTAAATTATTATTTTTTTTTTTTTTTAAGTTTTTTTTTTTTAATAATTTTTTTTTTTTGAATGAATAATATATATATATATATATTTCGCTATTTATTAAAATTAATAAATAATTTCTTTTTAATAAAAAATATTAATAATAAATTTTTAATTTCGTTTTAAATTAATTAAAAAAAAAAATTATAATCCTAATTTTCATTAATAAAACTTATAAAAATTTTAATTCAATATTAAATTAAAAAAAAATAATAATAATATGTTGTCAACAATCATGTAAACAAGAGTAATATATTAAAAAAAATAAAAAAATCAAAAAAATATATTTACATATTAAAAAAAATAATACTTAATTTAATATTTATCATTACTATATATTTTTTAAACAAAAAATAAATATATTAATAATAAAATAAATAGTTAAATATTATTATATTTAATGCTTAAATTAAAGATTATGATATTATAAAATCATATTAAAATGATAAAATTAAATACCCAACTTTAAAAGGTTCTACTTAAAATATTATATAAGATAAGTTGTATATGAATTCAACATTATTTTAAAGCATGCATTTATATTATATGAAAAGCAAAGTACTAATTATTTTCACAAGAAAAAAAATTAAAATAAAAAATATATAACCATTTTATTCAAATATATATTAAATATAATTTTAGTGCAATTTATATAAATTTACATAAATAAGTAAATCAAAAACTTCTTTTATTTAAAACAAAAAACAAAAGAATTTCAAATTTAAAATAGGAGTAATTAAATCTATCTAACCTAACCTAAACTTAAATTTATAACATGTATAATTATATAGGAGTTATTTTAGTAAAAGTTTAAGAAAAAAAATTATATTTTATATATAATTTAAAAATAAAAATAATAATAATTATAAATGAACTAAAATAACATATTAATTTTTAAATATAAAAATATGTCTGTTTGGAAAAGTTTATTTAGTCACACATAATACTACAACAGGAATATAAAGAGTCATAAAAATAATAAAAAAGCATAAAATCAACCAAAAGCAAGAAAACTTAATATTTTAAGAACTAAATATATTTAAATAAATTAGCCATCCTAACATAGTTAAAATATTCAAATATTTTTCAGAGTAAAAGTGCATAAATAAATAAAAAAAGATAAACAAAAGATATTTTTATGAAAAAGAATTATTTTAAAAGTAAAATAGAAAAACTCATTTAGCGAATAAATAGCATCAACATATACTAAATATAAATAGATTTTTTTCTGCAATTTCATATTGTAATTTGAACGGAATAGTACATAGAGATTTAAAAATCTTAGAATATACTTTTTGAATCTTAAAATTCATGTAGCGAAATAAAAATTATCGATTTTGGTGCTCCAGCAATATTAATTAAAGACCAAAAAAAATTAAAATTAGAATGGGAACTTTTTACCATATTTCTCCTGAAATTTTATTTAGGAAGTCTTATGATAAGAAATGTGATATATGGTTTTTGATTATTGTCTTATATATACTTTCATGTGAGTATGTGGGTAATAATTTTATTATATTTGTCTCTTTTAATTTTTAGTTTTGCTTTTTTTTATAATATATTATAGATATCCTCCATTTTTTTATAAATTAGTAAAAGAAACTTTTTAAAAATTTAAAGTGGGAAATTCAAATCCCATAGTATAATTTAAGTATTTTTGTTCTTAATGTTTTTTTCTAAAAAAAAAAAAGCAGAAGAAATTTTTTTAAATATAATAATTTTAATATAAAGATTAGGAAAAATTTCTAATGAAACAAAAGATTTGATTACATGAATGTTTAAATATGATCCTTAAGAAAGAATAAAAACAATAGAAGCATTTGCACGCCCTTGGATGAATTCAATTAATAATGATATGCCATTAAATAAAATAATTGTGCAAAAAATACAATATATTAATTCTCAAAATAAACTCGGCATAAATAATAATAGTAAATTAATTAACTAATAAATAAAATAAATAGGAATTATATAAAAATTTAAAAAAAATTAGATATTAATGAATATTGCATGATAATAAAAGAAGAAAAACTAATTGAAGGTAAAATATAAAAAAAAAAAATATTTTAAATAAAAAAGGATTCTTAAGTAAGTTTTTATGGAAATAAATTAAGACCTATGTAAAATTTTGAAGCTGTATTTGATATTGTTGATTAAAATTAATCGAGTAAAGTAGAATTTAATGAAATTATAGTCACTTTAATGAAAAAGGAATAATTATTATCAGAAAAAATAAAATAAGTATTTAAACTAATTAATTATGAGGTGTTTATTTTTATTCAATTATTTTTTTATTCTTTTATAAATATAAATAAGTATAATGGTGGATAATTAATAAAAATTAAATGGAAATAATGTTTGGTGATATGTAAATCAATAGAAGGGTCTAGAATAGATTATTAAATGATTTTTTGATTAGAATAAAGATGGAATTGTAAACTGATTTTTATTTTTATTTTTATTTTTTTATATTGTTAAAAAAAGAAAAAAAAAAGATAAACCTAAATAAATTTATATATATATTAATGGGCAGTATAAATTTAAATTTTCTAAGATGTTTTATAAATATAAGCACTAATAGAAATAAAAAAGATAATTAAACTAAAATACATTTAAAATTTATATATAAAAAGTAATTAAAAATTAATATATAAACGCGAATTTCTAATTTATAATTAATATATAGAAGTGTATAAATATATTATAAATTTTATTTTATATAATATTTTTTATTAATATATTTAATTAAATGGATTTTTTTTAAATATGCATTTTTATTAAATAATTTTATACTTTTTTAAAAAAATTAATAAAAATATAAAATTATTAATTATTAATTATTATTTTTAACAAATTATTAACATTATGATTATATATATATTAGTTAATATTTTTTTTTTTTAATAATAATAATTTATTTTATTTCTTAATAAACTTTTAATATATTTAGTAAAATAATAATAATTATATTTTAATTTTAATATTTTTAATTTATATTGAGTATATTACATATTACATATAAATAATTATTTTTTTTTATTCAATTTTATTAAATTTTTTATTTTTTTTATATATTTTTAAATATTACAAATTAGAAAAAAAATTTAAATATGAAACATGTAAGTTAATAAAAAACTCATACTAAAAACGATTTATAAAATAAAGTAAAATAAAAATTAATATTAAACAAATTTTTTTTTTTCATTTTAATTAATAATGTAAATAAATAATTTTTAAAAAAATTTTAGGAATAAGATTAAAATTAATTTCCATAATTAACTCTAGAAAAAATAATAGGTAAAGGCACATTTGGAGTAGTATATTAAGCTAAATTAGTAGAAACAGGTGAACTTGTAGCAATAAAGAAAGTATTTTAAGATAAAAGGTATAAGAATCGTGAATTCGAGATAATAAAAATGCTTGATCATTAAAATTTGATAAAATTAAAACACGCCTATTATACATAAGGAAAAAAAGTTTAAAATAATAATAAAAAAAATAAAATTAATAAAAAAAAAAGGAAGATGAAATATATTTAAATATAGTAATGGATTTTATGCCTGAAACATTATCGAATATAATAAAATATTATAGAAAAAACAAATAATAATTTCCTCCATTATTAATTAAAATATTTTCTTATTAAATGTTTAGAGGACTAGCACATTTAAAAGGTTTAGATATAGCCCATAGAGATATAAAACCTTAAAATATATTGACTGATTCTGCTAAACATATGCTTAAAATTTGTGATTTTGGTTCTGCTAAAATACTTGTTAAAGGTTAATTTTTTTAAAATAAAATAAATATTACTATTTATTTTTTTTTTTTTTTTTTTAAAAAAGGTGAACCAAATATTTCTTATATATGCTCTAGATATTATAGAGCTCCTGAGTTAATTTTTGGGTAAGAATAATATAGTACCAAAATTGATGTTTGGTCTATAGGTACTATTATGGCAGAAATGATTTTAGGAGAGCCTTTATTTCCTGGAGAAAATTCTGTTGAATAATTAGTTGAAATTATTAAAATTTTAGGCACTCCTACTAAAGAATAAGTTTTAAAAATGAATCCTTTACATAATTAATTTAATTTTCCATAAATAAAACCTACTTAATGGACTCGAGTATATAAAAATATAATAAAAATACACATCATTTTTTAAAAAAAAGATTTTTTAAAAATAAAAACCAGATTCTTTACTTATTGATTTAATCGGTAAAATACTTGTTTATGTGCCAAACGAAAGACCTAATCCTTTAGAAATATTACTTCATCCATATTTTAATGAATTAAGAACATAAGAATTTTAACAAAAATATCCTTTTATATAAGATTTATTTAATTTTTCTGAAGGTTAGTTTTTTTTTTTATGACATATTTTTGAAATTAAAATAAAAATTATAGAAGAGAAAATGAGTTAACCTTAATTAATTAATTTATTGGTCCCCTAATGGTATAAAAACATATAATTTGATTAATTAAATAAAGAATTTAATTCTAAATTGAAATTACCTTAAGATAATAAAAGTTGAAAAATATAAAAATTAAATTGTTTTTATTATAAAAAAAAATAAAAGAAGCAGTTTTTATTATTTATATACATTAATATATTAAATATTCATTCATAGTTTTTTTTTTTTTTATTAATTATTTTCTTAGCCTTAATAATTATTTATTTTATATCATTATAATCATTTTTTATTTCTTTCATACATTTATCCCATATAATTTACTATTTAAATGCTTAAGTAACATCATATTTTTTATTTTAAAATGATTAATATTATCCTTTATTTAATAATTAATCACTTTTAAGGACTTTAGGATTTTTACATAATAATTATTAATTTTTTATATAATTATCTTTTGAATTTTTAAAAGATAAAGATGTATTATTATTATTTTCTTTTTTATCTTTATTAACATTATTAATTCTCCATTCTTTAAATTTTTATAATATATTATCTCCTTCTTTATTTCTAAGTCTACCATATCTTGTAAGTATTTATTTATTAATTTAAATTTAACTATTTTCTATGGTATTTTATTTTGATAATGCATAAGCATACCTTTATTCAATTATTTCTTATGAAGATCTATTAGTAGGTATTTATTCTTTTGTGTAATAACCAAAATATTAAAAATAAGGATGAACAGTTCCTTAATTCTGTAATATTTTTTTATTTTATTAAGACTATTTGAAATTTACATATTCCTTATTTCTTAAGAAAAATTTATAATCTGCTTTATTATTAATTTAATGATGAGTACTAAATGATTTTGTTATCTTTTCTATGTTTTATACTTTCACACTTTCATTTTATAATTCTTAATGTAATTATTTAGCTGAACGAATTATATTTTGAAATAAATCATTTTTAATAATTTATTAATTATTATTTTTGGTTTAAAATGATGTATAAAGTTTTTCAATAGAATTAACTCTTAATGATAAATTTTATTAATTTTTATTTGATAAATTTTAAGAAAATAAACCTTATATTTATTTTGGCGAAAAAAATAAAGAAAAACTATTATCATTCATTTGCTTTAAATTTATTAATAATTTTTAAAAATTTATTTTATAAATTTATTATAAATAATTAAATAAATTTTTAACTATTTAACACTATTTTATTATTATATATTTATAACAGGTTTAAATAAAATATGAAATCTTTGAAATCTTTTAATTATTTAATTAATTATTTTATATAAGCTTTTTTTTATTTTAAATAATAACGTTTCCAACTCAATATAATTATTTTAGTTTATTAAAATGCCCTTCTTCAATTTAAATTAAATCTTAATAATTTCCTTACTCAATTATTTCTCCTTTCTCCATTACAAAAATCCTATCAAATAACTCCATTTTTTCGATTCTATGAGAAATATAAATAAGTGTTTACCCTTCTGATATTTTGAAAATATAATCAATAATTTTTTAATGAGTCTATGGCTCCATATTAGAAGTAGCTTCATCAATACAAATTATATCAGAATTTTTTAAAGAAAGTCTTAAAAAATTAATTATTTATTTTTCGCCATTAGAAAGATTTTTTCCTCCTTCTTAAATTTAGAAGTCTAAATCAATATTAGATTATGAATTACTATCCTATATTTTAAGATCATATTATTATATTCTTTATTATATATGTTCTTAAGAATATTCATCATTCGGATCTAAATTATCCTTAAGATTACTTTTAAAAAGAAAGCTAAATTAAGGTATAATTGATATTCTTTATCTTAATTCTTTAAGACTAAATGATTTTATACTTTTATTATCAATATATATATCTCCTTATTAATATGGATATAATTTAAATAATAAATTAAAAATAGATGTCTTTCCACTTCCAGTTCTTCCACAAAACACTACTTTTTCTCCTTTTTTTATTTAAAGATTAATATTTTTTAAAGAATATTTGAAATTATTATCATCATAAGACATGAATAAATTTTTAAATACAATTTGAAATTATTGCCCATCAAGAATTTTTTATTCATTTTTCTCATTTAAATTTTCTTTTTCATTTTAATAATATTGATTTATTCTTTCCATAGAAACCATATTTTACTAAAAGTGTATTTAATAATAAATTAAGTTTTCAAATAATTAAGAAAAAAGTAATGAATAAGTAAAACTGAGAGTAATATTTGCATAATTAAAATCAATATTATTAAATAATAAATACAAACAAACAGTACATACACTTATAGTAATTATATTAGAACATAAAAATATTCTAATAAACAACCATACTTAAATTTCAAATAAATTAACTAGTGAATTATTATAATCATTTAGCTTTTCAATAAAATTCTTTAATATGCTTTTTTCTTATTTAAATGTTCTTATTGTTATTAATCCATTAATTACTTCATTAATTATAGTTATAATTTTTGCTTTATTTACAGAATTAAGTCTTTTTAATTATTGATTTCCCAAAGAAAATTAATTATAGAAATAATACATTGAACTAAGACATAATATAAATGGAATTATTATTTAAGGATAAAGTACTCCTATTACAACTAAATAACCAATTATCAAAACATATAAACCTACAAGTTCATTAAAATAAAAATATGATTCCATTTACATACTACATATATCATCTGATACTCTAGTCATAATTCTTCCGATTGCAGTATTATCAAAAAAATTCATTTTACTAAAAATGATCGAGTTATTTAACTTATTAAATATATTTTTAGCACTATTTATACTTGTAAAGAAGTAAAATAAACATTTAAAAAATATAGCAACAATATTTACCATTATTAAAAATACAAATACTTATTTAAATGAATTATCAAATTATTCATTTAATTTTTTATAAAAATATGATTGAGGATTTATAATATCCTTTAACCAAAAATCTATTAAAAGTGTAATTGTTTAACATATAAAAAATGATAAAATAAATAAAAAAAGTATAAAATAATTCATTGATTCAAAATAGGTTAAATATACATTGAATGATATACTTCCAAATTCTTTTTTTTCATCTTCTGTTAAATAAATATTTTCAATGTTCGAAATACTTTATGATAAAGAATTAATTTATATTTCTTATGATTCTTTAGTCTATTAAAATTATTAATTAGGCTACTATTATTCTTTTTGTAATTAATTTTCTTGTGGTTTTTTTACATTTATCAATTAACTTTCAAAAAATATATCTATTTATTATTATTCTAATATTATTTCTCCATTATCAATTAAAATAATTTAATTAACATTATTTTTATATTTAAGAATATTATAATTACTTGAACTAAATAAAACTGTTTTTCCCATTTTTAATAATAATTTTAATATCATATTTTAGAATATTTTCTCCTAAACTTAAATATCTATTAAACTAAAAATATCATCAAATAAGTAAATATCTTTTTAAGCATAAAGTGCTCTACATATACAAATTCTTTATCTTTATCCTCCACTTAAATTAATTCCTCCTTAATAAACTACTTTCTCATCTCCTTTATGAAATTAATTAAAATCATATTATAAATCACATGCTTAAACACATTAATCATACCATTCCTTATTATATTCAAGCCCGAAAAGAATGTTTTCTTTAATAGTTTATGTTTATAACCAACTATTCTATGATACAATACATACTTCTCCTTTTAAATAAAATAAAGATTTATTATTGTTATTTTATAAATTTAATAATTCATCTTCATTATTTTAGCAATTAAATTATTCCATTTCATTTAAAATAGAATTAAGGAAGGCTGTTTTTCCACTTCCTATTTTTCCTATTATAAAATTAAGAGAACCCTATTCTATTTTTAATTCTTTTACTTTTATTTCAAATTATTTAATTATATTTTCATTAATATTAGATTTATCTTAATAATCCTATTAATTATATTAATATTTTAATGACGGGAATTTAAATACTATATTTTATATTTATATGCAATATTAATTTTCCATATATTAATCTTATTTTTAAACAATATAATCTATTTCTTATTAATATAAATAACTTTTAGATCGAGAATATTAAATTTAATAATCATATACATAAGAAAATGCTTGAGGAAAATAAGATAATATTTATTATAGAAAACCGAAAAGTGTAATTATAGTAAAAATATTTATGCTTTAAATTTGATTATTATTTGTTTCATAATATTAAGTCAAAGTATAAAATAATAATAAATAACTTATATTATACCAAGTAAAAAAAGAAAGAGATTCAAATGCTCTAGCTAAAATAAAAAACTTGAATTCTTTTTATCTACTTTATTAAATTTTATTTTCAAAAATAGTTTCCCAGCATAAATATTTAATACTTTTTATTCCTTCGTAAATATCTTTACTTAAAGATACTCTTTAATCTTATTAACATATCTATTTCTAATCATATATAAATACGATTTTCATAAAAATTTAATTTATAATTATTATAATAATAATAAAGAGTATCAAATAAAATATAATAGAACCAACTTTATAATAAAGTAAGCCAATAATTAAACAAATGAAAATAAATTATTAAAATAAAGTTACAGTTCCCCAATATAACATTTAGGCTTATTTCATATCTACATTTAATAAGTTATTTATGTCAGGAATAACTTATTTATTATTTTCATTTTAAAACTTTTAATAATCTTACAATAATGGCTTTATTCTTAAAGTTTTTTAAAAATAAATAAGTCATTGAACAATTATATTTAATCTACCATTATATATCATACCATATAAAATAGGCATTAAAAAAATTCGAACAAATACAAGCCGAAATTAAAATGAAAAAAAGAAATAATAATTTATAAAAACTTTTTTATTATGTATTAAGTGCATTTGCTATTTCATCTAATATATATATTTATAATATTTAGAATATCGCTTAAAGCAAATTTGTTAAAAATCCATATAAAAAATGTTGCCATGATATATGATAAATAATTTTTAATAATCCAAAATTAGTTTTTTCTTTAAAGTATTAGTGATTATTCTTTAAATAATCTTCTAATTATATTAAATGATTTCTTAATTAATTATTTTTTGACTAAAATTTTTATAAATTTATATTTTAAAGTTGATTAGTATTAGTGAATGATTTAATTTTAGATATTAATTTTGTATATTACGTTAAAAATATATTATTTTCAACAAAATTATCATCATATTTAGGCAGTATCTCTTCTATGTCTAAATATTAAAATAGATTGTAATTACAGCTTTCCATTTATTTTAATTTTTAGAGACTTTGTTCGTAAATATTATAGAGTATTATATTTAAATTAATTATAAAAAAATTAAATTTTTAAAAATATTAAAAAAATATATTTAAATATCAAAAATTACAAAAAACCGCATAACTTTTATTTTGTAAAATGTTATTAATAAGTAAAATTATAAAAATAATTATTCTATATGTTTTGAATAAAAGTAATATTTAAAATATTTATATTTAATTAAATAAATAATAAAAATTTATGTTATTATTTATTTTCTAATTATAATAATAATTTAATATAATTTATATGTATTTTTATTATTTAATTCATTTAGTATAAATATTTTTATTCTTAAATATTTTATTATTTAAAATTTTATTTTTTTAAAAATTTATATTTTTATTTTATTATTTGAATATTTATAAAGCGAATAATGTCATAATTTATATTAAAAATTAAATAGAAGATTATTTAATATGAATTTAAATTAATTAAAAATATTATTAAATAATTTTTATTAAACTATTTAATTAATTTGAAAGATGTTTATTTTTGTATTTTGGTGATAATATATATTTATATTATATTGATTTTTATTTTTTAATAACTAATTTTAAAAAAAATATATAAAAAAAAACTATTATACTATTTTTTTTATAGTTAAAAAAATAAAAAATAAAAAAATTTAAAAAAAATATAATAAATTAATAAATATGTATATAAAAATAAAAAAAGAAATATTGCATTTAAATAAGAATAATAATAATAATAATAAAAAAATTGTATAAAAATATAAAAATGAATATAAAAAATATATATATTACTTAAAAAAAAATAAATTTAATATAATGTAAAATATTTAATTTTTATAAAATATTAAATTAAATAAAAAAAAAAAATATAATATATATATATAAAAAATTATTAGAAAAAATAAATTATAAAATAAAAATAAAAAAATATAGTAAAAAATATATATTAAAAAATGAATTGATTATAAATAATAATAATATAAATATTTAAATAATAAAATATATTAATAATAATAATAATAATAATAATAATAATAATAATAAAATTAATATTTATAATAATATTTGTAATAATAATAATATAATAAATTTATAATTAATATTAATTTTATACTATTTTTTTAAAAAATATAAATAAATAAATTTACCTTTATATATATTATAAATAATATATAAATTATTTTTATATAAAAAATCTTTTTAATTATTTATTATATATAATATTTAAATTTAATATAATTATATTTAATTTTTTTTTTTTTATAAAATTATTTAATTATTTATTATATTATATTTTTTTTTTATCTTTTGATTTAATATAATATTTTTTAATTTAATTTTTTTTTTTCTAATTTTTATATACTATAAAATAATATTTTTTTTTATTTTTAATAATATTGAATATTTTTTATTTCTTGTTTTTTGAAATCATATTAAATAAACTTTTTTTTATCATTTTAGAAATTGTTTAATATTTAAAAATTATATCAGATCAGATTTTTTTATAAAATTTAATCTTTATTTTTTATTTTAAATATTTTTTCAAACTTTAATTTGCATTTGAATATTATTAATTTTATTATATTATATAATCATATTATTTTTAATATTTTCAATCTAAATTATCTTTATAAATTAAGTTTTTACTTATTTCTTTTATCTTAATTTTTTAAGATATAAAGATATTTTACTTTTATAATCAACATATAAAACATTTTTTTAATTATGATACTATCTCAATATAATATTATATATCAATTTTTTTTTTCTTTACAATAAATTCTATTCTTTCTTTAAATAAGTATTACTTTTATTAATTTATAATTTCAAGTATTGTTATTATTTTATAAATCTTTATATTTAGTCATAGCAGAAATTTTTTGCTTTATTATTATCGTATTTTTTTTTTTTTTAATAGATATAATATTTTTAATAAGATTAAATCTAAAATATTATTAATTTATAAAATAAGTAAGATGAAAGAAATGAATAAGTAAGATTGAGTGTAATATTTGCATATTCGAAATCAATATTATTAAATAGTATAAATTATCAACCAGGAAAAATACTTATAGAAATGAATTAAAAGATAAAATATTTTTAAAAATATCCATACATTTGTTTCATGTAAATTAGCTTATAAATAATTAAAAGTATTTTATAGTTAAATATAATTATTTAGAATACTTTGTTCCTTATTTAAATGTTCATTTTGTTAATAGTCTTCTAATTACTTCATTTATAATAGTTATTAATACTGATTTATTTGAAAAATTAAATATTTATATTACTAGTTATCCTAAAGAACATTAATAATAGAAATATTACTTACAACTAAGACATAATTAATATAAATGAAATTTTATTTTAAGGATAAAATATTCCTAAACCAACTAAATTAACCTATTATTAAAATAAAAATACTTAATATCTCAATTAATTTAATGAATAATAATAATTAGTTTACATTTATTTATATAAATATATAATATATATTTAATATATATTCTAAGTTAAAGAAGCATTAATTAAAATATAAAAAATATTATATTTATATTAAAAAATTTATTTGTTCTTTAATAAGTTAATTTATTATTTAATCAATTATAAATATTTATACCAAATTAATAAATGCTAAATGCTTTTAATAAATTTGATAAAAACTTAGATAAAATTATTTCCATGATAAAGGATGATAAATCATTTTTTAATAATCCAAATTTAGTTTTATTATTAAAGTATTAATAATTATTCTTTAAATAATTTTCAATTAATATTAATATAATTACATTTATTATTTAATTTTGGTATTACAAATATTTTTACACTTCCCCTGTAATTAAGAAAAAAAAAAACAAATGCAAAATAATTCTTTTTATATCTTAATTAAAATAAAATAAATATTTTATTTATTTTCAAATAAAATTAAAAAAAAATTACGGAAAGATAAAAATATTAATTAACAGAGAGTAGTTAATAACAAATAAATATTCTTATATTTTTTATTTTAATATATATTACCAATTTTAATATCTAAAAATATAATTATAATAAATATATGAACAATAATATAAATATTAATGTTTTTGTAAAGCCCTTTCTATTTTAATTTCTGTAAACAGCAAATTTCATATTCATGTAATTTAATTAATTTTTAAATATTTTATTATCACAATCATAATTATTTCATATGTTTTTCTTACATATAGAAATAAAAATATCTTTAATTTAAAAATATTATTTATTAAAATATTCTTTTTAATATATTAACTTCACTTAACATATATTTAAATTTCTTTACTATTAAATTATTATTAATTATAATTGTTTTTTTATAAAAAAATGGATTTTTAAATTTAAATTAATTATAACTACTTAAAATAATATGTCATTAAATATATTCTATTTTTATATTATATATATAAAAAAAAAATATTTGCTTGTTACTTAGCATTAAATAAATAAATAGCAATCAAATTATTTAACATCATAATAAAAACGAATAAAATGTATATTATAAAGTATAAAATTTTATGTTTGAAATTTTTTTATTTATTTTATATAAATAAAAATCAAATTATTTTAATTATTATGTTTTTTGTTTTTTACTAATATAAAATTTCAATTTTTTATTTGTGTTGTATTATTTTACTTATATACTATATATAATACAAGATTCTTTTAAAATCTTTTATTAATAAAGCTAGGTAATTAAATAAAAAATTTAATTTAATAAAATTAATATAAAATAATATTCGAAATATACTAAAAAAATTAATTAAAATTTATATGTGTGTATTTATTTAAAAAAATAAATATACTTATATTTATTAAGAATTTTTAAATAACAATTAATTATATTAAAATATCAAATATTAAAATATATATAATAATAATAGTATAATCATTATATTAATATTATATATTCTCTTTATTTTATAAGTATTTTATTATCTATATTTTATTTTTTTATTTTCTTTTCATTCCTAATTAGTTTAATTAATTAATTATTATAATATTTTATTGTATTTCTACATTTTTATTATTAATTCATCTTTCTCATAAGGAATTTTATTTAATTCAGCAATATATAAATAATTTTGAAGCTTTTATAATTTTTAAATTAATTTATTAAATTTTATAGTTTATTTAGATTAGTTTTGAAATTGACATAGTTAAGTAGATTTATTCTTCTTAATTTATTTTTTAGATTTTTATTTCTTTACCATAATCTTTTTAAGAATATATTGTCTCTCATTAATTTTATTTCTAATCATATCTTTCATTTATATTAAAAAGTATATATTTTATTTATATTTTTTTATAAAATAAATTATTATAATAATTTTTGTTAAATTTTTTATATATAACTCATTAATTATATATTATTTATTTAATGACAAAAAATTTTAAATTAATGGTTTTATAAATAATAAATTTATTTTATATATGTATTTTTAATTAGCAAAAAGTATAAATTAATAATAAATAGTAAATAGTAAATGCATTTTAACTGGAATTTTTTTATTTTTTTTTATATTTATTTTAGATACTTCTATTATAAAAATATGTTCATTATTAAAATTATATATATAAGTATTTTATTAAAAGCTATATATAAATATTTTTTTTGAAATTTATAATTTTAACTTTAGTATAATTTTTTTAGTATTTATAAAATTTTGATTACGACACTAATGATTTATTTATTTTTGTTACGAATTGCATTTTGTTAATATGTTTGATTTTAAAATTTTGATTGAAGACAATATGATTTCTATATTTTAAATCTTTTTTAATTTTAATTATAATACATATTATTTTTTTATAATTAACTAAAGAAAGTAAATCAATTAAAAAAGCATTTACGTATTATTTTATTATAAATAAAAAATTATTACTTTGATTTTTAATAAAAATAGCCTTTAATTTTATACTTGCTATATATTTATTATAATTATATTTTTTGATATTATAATATTTATAATTTTTTTTTATTTCTATTTTCTAAATTTTTCTACTTTATGTGCCGTTTTCTATAAAAAGTACATTCTTTTTTGTTATTAAATAACAAAATATTAATTTATAGTTTTTTATTTGTTTTTAAAATAAGATATTACATATTTTTATAATATACATTAATTAATAATTTTTATTGAAAAAGCTATTTTTATATTTTGTTGAATTTTTATTTTGTTTTATATTTTGTTGAGTTTTTATTTTATTTTTAATATTATCTTTATTTTATTTAATTTTTTCAAGAAAAAAAAATATCAAATTATTTTATATTAAAATATAATTATATTTCTTATTTAAAAAGCTTATTCATATATAATATATATAAATAATTATATTATAAATTTGAAAAAGAAAACATTTAACCACAAAAAAGATTCCATATAGCTTTGTAAGCTATAAATTTTATTTACTTATGATATGAAATTATTATTTTAGTTTATTTAGCCAAGGAGATTATAATACTTAAATATACAACCTATTGATTTTGAACCGATAATTTATTCAAAAATATTATTTAAGTAAATGTGTTTATAAATTTATTTCTAAAAATATTTTTCTTTTGTTGGAATAAAATGTATATTAAATAATTTAATATAAGTTTTTAATATTATATTATTCTATTAAAAGTAATATTATTTTATTTTCTTAATTTTATTTGATATTTTTAATTAAAATAAAAAAAATAATGATAAACATCTTTAAATATAAAAAACTTTTTTCAAATAAATTTCACAATAAAATTATATTAAATTTTACCAATAAAACCTAAAAATCATTAATAACTGATGGTACATAATTTATTTATATAAAAAAATAAACAAAGAAAATAAATAATATAAAAAGAATAAATGTAAATACTTTCCTAAATATCATAATATAATTAAGGAGTTAAACTATGCTCAACAAACAATTTCGAACAGGCAGAATTTTCATTTACAAACGTATTAAATTAATTAAATGAATCTGAAAGAATTGATTTGTAATTAATTGTTTTAAAAAAACTTTCTCTTGTATATAAAATATAAAATAAAAACGAATAACTAACAAATATTCTTGAAGATATTTATTTCAAACATTTTGCTTTATATTCATTTAAAAATTCAGAATATATAACTATATTAAGCAATTTATTAACACATTATTGTCTTTTTGATTTACAAAGAGTTTTTTTATTAACTTTACAATTAAAATTTATTTATTTTAAAAGGGTTCTATTTTTTTAGATTCATAATTACAAGAATTACAAAAAGAAGAAATACCTAAAGCAATTTTAAGAATTTTATATTTTTATTCCGGAACAATGCATTCATTATTAGCCGAAGATTTCGAATAATCCGAAAAATTTTTTTCGGAAGCCATTTAAATTGGTCTACCTCCTATTTTAAAAGGAATGGCTTATAATAATTTAGGATGTGTTATTTTTTGGAATAATTTAAAATAATTTTAATCAAATAAATAATTTTGTTAAGAAAAAGTAAAATAATCTATTTTAAACTTAAAAAGAGCAATAAACTCTTTCGAATGTATTTTTTTTTTTTTAAATATAAAAATTTATTTAATATATAGTTGAAGATTAAAATAGATAAACTGATTAAATAAATGAAAACTAATTTATTATATTAAAAAAAATTTTAAATGAATAATATTCTTAATATAGTACTTTAGTAATCAATAAATAAAAAATATTTCAATAAGCTAAAAAAAAATTAAAAAAAGAACCCTAAAGACACATTATTTAAATCTTAATTTAGTTTAGTTTCTGCAATGAATATAGGCGAATATCTTTATTATATAAACGATATTAATGTAAAAAAAATTAAAAACAAAATTTTTTTTTAAGTATTCATTTATTTAAAGAACTCGTAATTCTGGTTATTTGCTACTTAGCATAATTCAATAAAAAATGAAGGATTAAGTAGAGTTTTGAGATCTGTTGTATTCACTTCTTTAATAAGTAAAAAACTTAAAAACATAGATTTTAGTGAATCTTAGTTAATTGATTGTTTAGAGTATTCTAATAATTTTAATACTTATAACAAAGTTTTTGCTTTAGAAACTTACTCCTAATTACTTAAAGAATAAGGAAGGAATTATGAATCTGATGATTATATAAAATAAGCTGAGCTATTAAGAAATGATTTAACTTATTGGGACGAAAGGAAAGAAAATATACTTATTCCGGATTATAATTTTAAATTTTGAATATTGTTAATACATAAAAAAATTATTTAAATAAAAATATATATATATAATGTTTTTTTTTAATTAATAATTTAAAATAAAAAAAAATAATAAAATTTTATTTTTATTTTTTATAATATTAAATAAAATTAAATAAATAAATTTAATTAAAATATAATATAAAATAAACGCAATAAAAATTATACAAAAAATAAAAAAAATGCTTGATCCTTACAACTACCCATCTCTAAATAGAAAAGACTGCATGTATTTATAAACAATAAGTACGTATTTATTTATAATTCCAAATTAAAAAAATAAAATAAACTCAAATATATAAATTAAAAAAAAAAAAGAACCTAATCCAGAATATTCAACCAAATTAAATCCCGAAAACACAACCAGAGATAATAATTTAAATACCTAAGATATAAAAGGTGCCTAATCAAAATATAAAATATTAGATTTGAATAAACCCAACCATTAATTCGACATAACAGACATAAAATGTTCCTAATCAAAAAAATTAATTCAATTCAAACCTGAGTTTAATAAATAGAGCTTTGTATTATACAAAGAAGACATTAAAGGTACATCTCCGAACATAAATAAATTTTATACAAAAAGATAACCATAAAATCCATTAATGCCAGTATATAATTTATAATCATATTCGCCTATAACTGTTGAAGTTCCTAAATTTATAAGAGATTCATTATATATAGATGTACATATATAATTATATTTTATTTTATTTTTTAATAAAAAATACATAAAAAGGATATAGATGGTACAAGAAAAAAAAAAAATCATTTAAAAGCTTTTGATGTAAAATTACCATAAATTATAGGAGCATAACCAAAAAAAATATTTATACCTAAAGATAACAGAAGTTCTTTAAATGTCCAAGATATAAATTAAAATCAACAAAAAACTATATTTAAATCTTAAAGGCATATAGATCCTCTTTAGCCTATTTATTTATGGAAAATTGATCGAGATTAAAAACCAGAAGATTACGGTCAAATAGAAAGAAATTAATCAAAAAAATTACATTAATAAATATAAAGATCATACGATCCTAATACATCTTAAGATATTTTAGGCGCAAAGGCATCTTCTTTATTTAAAACTATACCCAAAAATAATAATTATGCATACTCTAATGCTGATATAGAAGGATCTGCAACTAATACAAAATAAAATGGAATCAAAACATAAAGAAATATTAATCCACTAGATCCAAAATATTAATTTTTAGGAAGAACAGAATGCAATAATGTATTTGGAGGATATTAGAATAATTTGCAAAAAACGTAATTAATTTAAATGTTTATATGATATAAAAATAAAATATAATTATATAATAATATATAAATATATAAACATATATATATATAAATAATAAATATATAAATATTTATTTTAATTTTTTTTTATAATTTTATTATATTTATTTATTTATAAATTTCAAATATAATTTAAAGATTTGATGAATAGAAAACTAGATAATAATGATTTATAATTATAATATTTATTTACAAATTTATTATTTTAATTGTATTTAAAATCAAGTATTAAAAATATTTTAATTATTTAAAACCCCATTTTAATTATTTATATGCATTAAACCTTAAAATTTTTTATCTTTTAAATTTTCAAATTTTCAAATTTCTCTATATTACAAAACAAGACATAATATATTCAAACTATTTAAGTTATTCTCTAAACCTTTTTATTTACTTTTAATTTTTTAAATTTAATTTTATCTTTTTTTTGAATATTATTTTATAAAATTATCTTTTCTAAAAAATTTAGAATTTTTTTTTTGATTACTTTTTCTACATATATGTTTTCATTTATATTATTTTTTAATAAATATCCAATATATAAATATTCCTAAATTAAATAAGTTTACTTTGATAAATATTTATATAATAAACCTCCCTTTTTGTAAAAAAAGGCATTTAATATATAAATTATTTAATTGAAATCAAACAAAATATATATTTTCTTCATCATGAATAAAAAAAATATATATAAACCAAATATTTAAAAATATAATAAAAGTTATTCTTATAATCCTTTTTTTAATATTATTTTAAATCAGTCTTTAAAATATTTTTTTTTTATGGAATTTTTGGAAAAATGATTTCATTATTATTTTTGAAATTTATTAAAAAAAGAACATAAATTATATTTTTATTTATTTAATTATTTTATTTTTATTTTTTTAAATTATTAATAGAAAAATTATTATTTAATAAAATGGATATTATTTTAAGAAATAAAATTTAATAGAAAAATATGCGATATATATAAATATTAAAAAGATAATAATAATAAAAAAAATATTAATTATAGAAAAAATTATAGTTATATATATATATATATAAATATATATATATATATATATATATATTATTAAATTATTAAATTATAAATAAGATATTTTATACTTATTCAATAAATGATCCAAAATATAAATTGCAAATTTTTAAAGATTTTTTTTTATAAAAAATGGCATCCTAATCCTTAATTTAAGCATTTATTATTCTAATTTTTTTTTATCGGATTATCATTTATAATATTTGGAATATATTTAAATTAAATAAACTCTTAAATAAAAGAATATACTTTATAAAACTATGACCAAAACACTAATTGTGACAAAATTTTAAAAAAATGTTAAATAAGGATTAAATTAAATTAAAAATTCAACTAACCAGTATACATATTTTATGAAATATCAAACTTTTCTCAATAAAATAGGGTATTTATGAAATCTAGGTCAGATTTATAATTATAAGGAGAATATGTATCTGACTCTAAATTAAGGAAGTAATGCTCTCCAGCAATAACAAATAAAGATTTAGGCAAAACAGAATAATATTTTTTTGAAGGTTAGAATTTAAATTAGGAGGATATTGCATATCCTTGTGGACTTATTGCGAAATATTTTTTCAATGATAACTATTAAATTTACGATTTATAAAATAAAAATAAGTAAATATCAATTTAAAAAACTGATATTGTATGGCCATCTGATTTAGAACATAAATATAAAATTAATAAAAAAGAACTTGATAAATATTGGTATGACACTTTGGATGAAAATTTTATTGAATGGATGAAGCCATCTAGTTTTTCTTCATTTAGAAAAATTTGGGGAAAAATTAATTAAGATTTAAATTAAGGAGAATATGATATTTTAATTGATGACTTTTGGAACACATAATTTTTTAAAGGACATAAAAGTCTTCTTTTGAGTACAAAAGACATTTTTGGAGGAAAAAATATTTTTTTATAATATGCTTTTATAGTTGTTGGTTTTATATAAATATTGTTAAGTTTAGTACTTTTTGTTAAAATTATGAGAACTGATAAAAATTTTATTTAAATTAGTGGTGATAAATGATTTTTTTTTTTTTCTTCTTTAATCTATACATATAATTTGAATAGATTAAAATATTTTGTTAAATAGTTTTATTCCTTTATAATATTATTATTCCTTTTATTTAATAATATTTTATAATTTTATTTAATAAAAAGTAAAATTATTAAAAAATTAATATAAAACTTATATTATATTTACATTTCATAAAAGCAGTATGAAATTTTTCTAAAAAAAATAATAATTAAATATAAATGAATTATTGAATATAATAATTAAATAATGTTATGATATATTCATATATATATTTATATGTATATATATATATTTTATTTTATTTAATTTAGACATTAAAATATTTACTATTTTCTTATCAAAATAAAAAATAAAAAAACTATATAAAAAAAATATTATAAATAATTAATATTTTTATAAAAAAAATATTATTTAAAAAAAGAGAGAAAAAAAATAAAAAAATCATCTTCCAATTTCTTTCCATATTTTTCCATTTAATAAAAGTGTAGTTTTTTACTAAAATAATAACTATCCGAATTCTCAATTTAAATATTTTAAATAGCAAATAAAATATTTCCTCCTACAATAGGATTTTACCAAAAGCTCCCAGAAAAAGGTAAGCTTAAATCAAAATAAAGTACTGCACTTTAATAATTTTAATTATTTAATTTTGCTAATATGCACTTATTTTATTATTTATTATCTAAAACTCCTCCTAAAATAATTATATCGTTTTAATTTATCTAACAAGCTCCCCCAAACTAAGGGATCTAAATCTAATGGGAATTAAAAGCTATATTTTCCCAAATATTCTTTTCAACACAATATTTATCAATTGAATTTATCTCGATTTTAAAATCTGAAATTCCTCCAAATTTTAAAATAAAAGCTTCATTAAAGCAACTTAATATGCACCCACAAGCGGGTTCTTTTAAATCAGCAATTTGAATCCATCTTTTAGTATTTAAATCAAATTTTTCACACGAAACAAGACATCTTTCTTCATTTTTACCTCCCATACAATAAATAAAATTTCCTAAATGAATCAAAGAATGCGAATGTCGACTCTAATGCATATTTCCGACTAATTCTAACCCATTATTATCGAAATTAAGTTAATATGTTTGTGATAAAACTCTATTTTTTTGCACTACATCGATTCCTCCTGTCAAATAGACTTCTCCTTAAGAGGTAATAATACTTCTATGATACATTGGAATTTTGAAAGGAATATTTAATTCTACAGAATACCATTCTTAAGTATCTGGATCATTAGATAGATTTGATAAATTCAAAACATTAAATTATTTACTATTATCTTAAAAAAAATGAAGAATACTATTTGGACATTCCTCAATGAAATAATCCTATATATTTATTTTTATGTTTCCAGTTTCTTATATTTTTATTGCTGCATTTGATGCTGTGTCAATTAATGGTGAATTATCGCCTTATACATTTCCTTTATTTTTTATAAATAAATATGTATATATATATAATTGTATTATTTTCATATACTTATTTATGATTATTTAGAAGAATCATATTTATTTGGAGAATAATTTTATGAATTTGTATATTATTATTATTATTATTATTCAGAATATGAGTTTATTTCATTATTTTAACTTCTTTGATAATTATTATTATAGTCTTAAAATTCGTTTATTTTTAAATGATTTTTTTAATTAGTGTTTCTTTATTGTTTATTATATTTGTTTTATTTATTTTAATTATTTTAATAATTATCTTCTGTCTTTTAACTTTATTCTGTTTTTTAAATTTCACGCCCACGCCAATAGTTCTTTTACATATCTAAATTTTGTATACAAATATATTCCTCTAAAAATTAATCGAAAGTCTCTAAAAATTCATAATTTACATTTACTTCAAATAAAGAATCTAAATAATGAGAAATACCATAATCTACGTCTTTTTGAATAGAATCAAGATCTATATTAAAATTATCAGTAAGAATCTAAAAATATAATATTTTTTTTACAATAAATAGTTTTATATATTTTTTTATTTACTTGTAAAATATATTTAACATATTAATTAGAATTTAATTAATTTTCCATTTCAGTTACTTCCTTTATCATCATTAGAATTTTATTATTAATCGCATTAAATTATCCAGGACGGCTTTCTTGAATTTCTTTTATTTATTATTTAACTTTTGCTTCAAATTTAAAATAAAAATTATTTATTTTTTAAATTAAATAATCTTTTGATTTTTTTATTTATTCTAAACATTTATTAAAAACATCTCCTCTTTCTAAATTTCCTATATTTTATAATAATGATTGTTCATTTACAAATGTATCCTTTAATTCTTTTACAAATTATAAGCATTACTCTCTTTTGCATAATATAGTATCTATATTTGATTAAGATTCATTTTAGTTATGCATAAATGTATGTACTTTTACACATTCAGCACATAAAGGCTCAAAACAGTTATCGGCTACACATATGTTTGTAATAAAATATTTGGTATGTTAAGGGCATTTTTAATGTAAATTATTTTAAATTGATAGTTCGCTTATAGGAATTTTTTTTAATGGTTGACTTTTTTATTTTTATTAATATAAAATTATTTAATTTTTTTTTTTTACTTTTAAAAATTTATTGGAGGAATATTTTGAAAATTATTTATTAGAGGTATTTATTCCTACTTTTATAATTCATTTTAAATATGTGATTTATTTTTTTAAATAATATAATCTGGATTCATTTATATTTAAAATATATAATTATTTTGATAATATAATATGAATTCAATAAAATTAAATTAATTTTGAAAAAAAAATTTAAAAATAAATTTAAATAAATAATGATTTTATTTTTTATTATTTTTATTTAATTAAAAAATTAAAATAAAATATTATTTTTAATATTATTATTAATTTATGTATATTTCAATATATAATAATTTAAAAAATAAATAATTATTTTTATTATAAATTTAAAGTTGAGATAGATATTAAAATATAAAGTAATATTTGTTATCAAAAAAATTATTAAAATTTATTAGGAAACAAAATTTTAAAATTATCTCTTAATTATTTTAAATAACATATTATATTTTTTAATATTCATATTTTTAATAATCTTTTTTTTTATATTAATTTAATAACTGTATATTTTATTTTCTTATATATTTATATATAAAATAAATATCTTAGTCAAAAAAAGCAGATTAATTATCTTTTTGTGGAGTTTTATAAATAAAAAAAATAATATAATTTTATTTTTTAATTTTATTTTATTTACAACTATATGACTGCAAGAGTAATATTAAAAAAACAAAAAATCATTAATAAATATATAATCATAATAACAGATGTTCTAATGTTCAGTTTTTAATTTAAAGTTTGATTTGTTAAATTATACTTTTTTTAATAAAGCAAAATGCGAAATAATTAAATTTTTATATAATTTTTAAATAAGGATAAGATTTTGTATAAGCAAATGATGATTAAGAATATATATATAAAATAATTGTTATAATAAAATTAATAATAAATAATATACGGAAAAGATTTTAAAATAAATAAATTCACTAGACCCAAAGTAAACAAAAATTTTAAATATAATAAAATTAATTTTTATACTATATATAATATATTTAAATTTATATTAATTATTTAATAATTAATATTAGAAATTTTTTTTAAAAAAAATATTCGAAATAATGATAAAATATTAATTAAAAAAGAAAATAGTATATTATATAAATAAATCTTATTATATTTTAAAAATTATAAAATTTATAAATAGTTAAAAGTATTATCTAATCTTCTTAAAAGCAAACTGTGACGATTAATATATAAAAATTCTTAATTAAAAATTCTATTAAACAAAAAGAGAAATAATTTTGTTTAAAATATAAAATAATATATAAAAAACAAAATTATACTATAGAAATTATATATTTATTTATTAATAATTATTTTATTTATAATATAAAGATTAAATAATGTTATTATTTAAAATTTTATTTTTAATAAAATTAAAATAAAATATAAAATAAAATTATTTTATATTTTTATTAAATTAGATATTTTTTTTAAATCAAAAAATAAAAAATAAATATAATATCATTGAATAAATATATATAAAAAATATTTATAATAAATAAACCCCAAAATTGTATATAAATAAATAATTAAAATAAATCTTATTTTAAAATTAATTTTTTAATGTTATTTAATATTTTATATATTATTTTTTAAAATTCAAATAATATTTTATAATTACATATTAAATTTAAATATTTTTTGTTTTAATTTTTCTATTTTAATTTCTTTTGATTTATATTTAATTTCTTCTTTATTAATAGAATTTAATAATATTTTATTTATTATTTTTAATTATTTTTAAATAAATTTTTGTTAATCTTTTTTTATTTTAATATAAATAAATTTTAAATTATTAATATTTATAAAGATATTTTTAATAATATTTATTATCTATACCATATAAAAATTAATTTAATAATAATTTAATTTATATTTTAAAAATAATATCCTAAATCTTAATATTTATATAAAAATAATATTAAAAAAATAAATATTAAAAAATTAAACTAAATAAATGAATAAAGAAATAATAATAAAACGAATATAAAACAAAACTTTTATTAAAAAAAATAATAAATTATCTAATAATCTAAACTATTAAGAATATAATAATATTGAAAATAATTAAAAAGAACATTATAGTGATTATTGCAACAAATTTTCTGATTAAAATGTTTATATAGTCAAAAAAATATGTAAAACTAAAGAAATCAAATATAATTGCTTTATTTAAAAATACAAAAACTTATAATTCATAAACTTTAAAATAAATAATAATACAATCTAATAAAATACATATAATTTTGTAAATTCGTATGACTTTTCTTAGATTTTAACTAAAGAATAATAATAACAATCTTTTAAAAGTCTTTTAGATTCCCTTTTTGAAAATACTACTAACTTTAATTCTTCTTTTTAATAAATAATGAATATAAATAATTTTAAATTGAATATAATGATATAACAATAAATAAAATAAAAATTTATATGGTATCTTAAAGGATAATATAGATTTCTAAAATATTTTGAATAAAATAAAAATAAATAAATGATAGTTAAGTTAGAATATGATGAAGAAAATTATTTATAAAATTTAATTTTTAATTAAAAAAGAAACACTTTTAATAAAAAATCTCAATTCTACAATCTATCAAAATATTTAATGCATTTAATTCTCGAACTAATTTCTGTTAATCATTTAAAACTTTTGGGGTTTAATGATTCCTTTATTAATTTAATTAATAATATAGCCTAAAGAGTTAAAATAAAAGGTAAAAAAAATGAATTAAGTTAAACATAATACTATAATCATAACCATTATAATTGCTTGTTTTTAAATTTGAATGAAAAAACCCTCCAAAATAACTTTTGTGCGGATTAAAGTGAAATGACTAAATTTGTTTACTAAGTATTTGATTTAAAAGATAAATATAATATATTTAAAACAAACATACTAAAATATATTATTTCAAAAATAATTCTTTTATAAATGAATTTTATTAATTAAGAAATAAACAATATTTAACTTTAGAATCAATTTAAAAATTCTAACTCTGAATTAGTTCTAAAAATAAAATATATAAAATTATCTATTAAAGGAATTTAAAAGTTAAATAATGGAATAGCTATATAGAGATTTTGATTGTTTTGTATAATTTATTTTATATAATAAATTGAGTTATACAAAAATAAAAATTTAAAAAATATATAGAAATAATTAATATATTTGGTGTTTAATATTATAATATTGATTTTTTTTTAAATAAAAAACATATTAAATAATAATTTTAAATAATATAATAATAATATAAATATATATAATCATAATATTTATTTTTTTCTAAAAATTATTTTATCAAATTTATTTTATATCAATATTTTACAAATTATTTAAATAAATGCTATAATAATTAAATTAAAAATAAATATAGAAACGAATATTAATATATAAATAATTCTAATAAAATATAAATTAAATATACATTTTTAAAATAAAAAAATAATCAAATTTTATATTTAAATTATTTCATCAAGTAAAAATATTAAATAATATTATCCTTTTAATCAAAAATATATTATAAAATTTAATTATACATATAACTTATATATAATTATATATATATATATATATATATATATATATTTTTAAATATATTTATATCAAATTTAAACTAGTTTTTTATTAATATCTTCTCCTTTTAATCGAAGCGATTTTCTTTAGACATATAATTTTTACTTCTGAAAGCTTTAATCTATTGATAATTATTTTTAAGGTTTTTTATTTTTTTATTTCTCTTATTATTATTATTATTTTTATTCTTATTCATGTTCTTATTCTTGTTCTTATTCTTTTTCTTAATCTTAATCTTAATTTTATTTTTATAGTTACGCTTATTCTTATTCCTGCTTTTGTTCTTATTCTTAATCGTATTCCTGTTATTGTTCTTAAACATCTGTTTCATTTTCTTAGATATCAGACATAGAAGAAATGCTCTTAGTATCTGTAATTTATTTATTTTCATCTTAAATTGTATTATCATCAATAAAATAACTGTTTCCTTTAAGCAAAGTGTTCAAAATATTTATTTTACCAGATATAACATATTCTTTCTGAACCCTAAAATTTATATTATTTAAAAACGAAAAAAAATATTAATTTAATTTATTTTTAATAATAATTACTTTAATTATATATTAAATGCAAATAAAGAATCTTCTTATATGTCATTCATTATTTTCTAAACAGCACTACATCCATATTAATTAACTTTTTTAATTAAAAATTTATAGAAACATTAATCGAAAATATTATCATTCATATACTTTTTTTATATTATTTTTTTAAATTTAATGTCTTCTGAAAACTTTGGATTTTATTTGAATTTCTATTTTATCTAAAAAAATGCATAAATATAAAAAAAAACAATTAATATATATATATATTATACTAAATCTTCTAATTTTTATAGTCTGTCTTTATCATTTTAAATTTTATTTATTTTGATTTTTATTTAATTGAAATTATTGATACACAAATGACCTATTTCCCAAAATCTTTTAGAATATTTTTATATTTCTTCTATACTTTTGTCTTTTAAAAAGTTTTTTTAAATACTTTCTATATCATTTTTGCCAAATTAAACACATCCATTAACAAATGCAGTAAAATCTTTCTTTTTCCAATTAATGAATCCTTCATATAGCAAACTATTTAATTCATTGAATTCGTCTTATGAAAGTCCTTAGTATTAAGTAATTTCCTCCAAATATTCTTCATTATACATTTCTTCATCTTAAGGAGATATTCCATTAGCCTTAAATTCTTCTTACTAAAAAAATAAATAATAATAAAAAATAAAAATAGAATAATTTTTATACTTTTTAAAGTAAATAAGCCACCCTTTCTTTATCAACAAATAATTAAAAATCTTCAATAATAACAGGTTTAACATTGACATATTAATATTATTAATCATTATTTTTTCTTCTAGCATTACTTTTTTTTTATAATTCTTTATTTTATAAAGCAGCATCTCTAATAGCTATTTCATCAACTTCTCTAGCTTCCTATCCCATAAATTCTTTATATTGAATAGTTTTGATATCAAAGTCTAAAATTTCATCCTCATTAGTTTCAAATTAGGAAAATTTATTTTAGATTTCTTAAGCTTTTTCTTCTCCTTTTTATAATAAAGTATCTATGTCTTCATCATTAACTCCTATATTTTTAGCTTTGAAAATTTCATCAGCTCCATAAGAGATAATATTCCTAATATTTTCAATATCATATCCTTAATCTTTTTTTTCATTTAACTAGTTTATTTTACCAGCCTAACTAACTAATTGATTCCATTTTTATTTAATAACTTATCTTTCAATGATTTTCTCCTCCACTGTAAATTATGTTATCATCCTTATTACTATTACATCTCTAGTCTAGCCAATTCTATAGGCTCTATCAACCGCTTATTAATCTATTTAAGGATTAAAATCACTATCAAAAATAATTACAAAATTAGCATTTGTTAAATTTATTCCTAATCCACCTGCCCTTGTAGATAATAAAAATATAAATTATTTTGAATCTTTTTTTTAGAATTAATCTATTTCTAAATTTCGGTTTTCTAAGTCAGTTTATCCATCTATTCTACTATATGAAAATTCTCTATATGTACAATAATCTTCTAGTATATCTTTTTTATTTTAATAAAATATATTTTTTTTATCAAAAAAAAATAAATTAATTATTATTTTTTTACCTAGTACTGTTGTAAATTATGAAAATATTAATACTTAGTGCTTTTGTTTTTTTTCCGAATATAATTTTTTAAGTAACTTGTCTAAAATTTTTAATTTACCACTGTTTTCGATTATATGTTCACCGTATTCTGGCTCATTTTTATCTTCAGCCTCTCCAAATAAATAAGGATGACAACATATTTTCCTTAATTACATTAAAACATTATTAAATTATAATTTTGAATTATCTCCAAAAGTTCTATTTTTAAATAAAAAATAAATAAGTTATTTTTTTATAATAAAAAAAGAATTACCTATTGGTTAAAATACTCTAGTACATTTAAATTTGCTTCTAGCTAAGTCCAACATATAGATGAATTTCTTTTTTTTAGGAAACAATTTAAGAGTGTCTTTTTTAGTTCTTCTAAGAATAAAAATGGACACAATCTAATGCAATTTTTTAATAATTTCCAACTTATGTTCCACATTACCACTCTTAGACATATTTTCAATAAAAAGGCTATCAAACTACTCTGAGTCATTAAAAAGACTTGGCGTTAAAAAGTTTAAGAGTGCCCATAATTCATGTAAATTATTTTACAAAGGAGTTCCTGTTAACAAAAGTCTATGTTAGCTTTTAACAGAATTCACAATTTAACTAATTTGAGAAAATTCGTTTTTTAAAACATGTGCTTCATCCACAATTAAATAATTCCAATTAATTTTTTATAAAAAGTTACACGTCTTGATTCCCTAATAGGATGTTATCACTACATCAAAGGGTATAACTTTTGAATTCTAGAACAATTCTTCCATTAATTAACGAGGTTCTTTTCTAGCTTCCACTAGGCCTACTTTACAGCAAGGAAGCCATTAATTGAATTCTTTTTACCAATTAGTTAAAGTTGTTAAAGGACAAATTATTAAATGAGGGCCTTTTATTTTATATTATTATTTCAAAAAAGCTAATAAAGCTATTGTTTGAATTGTTTTTCCTAACCCCATGTCGTCTGCTAATATTCCATTTATCTTTAAATCAAATAACTTTATTAGCCATGTTAATCCTTCAAGCTAATAATCTTTTAAATCTCCATTTTTTATATTAGTCGGCTAAGATGTTATTTTTTTATTATATCTTTTTAGCTTGGCTATGTAATCAGTAAATTACTTTTAGAATTAGTTTAGCTTTTCAAGGATTATAATTAAATCTTTATCTTGTTGTTCTTTTTACATTTTTTTATTTTTATTTTCTTAATTATTTTTTTATTTATTTGCTTTTTTTATTTTTTTGTATATAGAAGGTATACAAATTAAATAAACACTTTTTAATTTTAAATTTAGAGCGAAAATATATTTTTTGCTTTTCTATGTGTTTCTAATTTATTTAAGTAATTTTTAAATTTTTTCTTTTAAGTAAATTAGAGAATTTATAAAGATGGAAAAAAATTATATATAAAAAAAATAAAAAAAGTGAAAAATTATAAATAAATATCCAAAAATATTAAAATGCTAATTTTAATTTTTTTTTTATGAAATTTTCAAAAAAAAATATATAAAATACTTATATTTTATTTTAATTTAATTATTAAAAATATTTATTAGCATCATCTATAATTATATATAAATACTATAAATATATTAAATATATATTTTCACTAATTTTAAAAATTAAAAAATGGGAAACTTGTTATTATGTAATATATAAGAAACTAATGATAAAAAAAACACAGAAAATAATATTGTAAACAATATAAAAAAAATGTTATAACTTAATTAGATGAATTTAAAAAATTTTAAAATATATAAAATTTAACAAATATGACTTTAAATTTTTAGTAAATTTTAAATAAAAATAAACATTAAATATACAATTTTTTTTTAAAATAAAACATTTATATAAAAAAGAAATTAAAATTTGGGTTCTTTATAGTTATTAAAAATTTGTAAAAATCTTTAATAAAATTACTTTTCAAGTTAAATAATTTAATTAAGAATAAATTTTTCGTAAAATTAATAAAAATGAAATAAACTAAAAAAAAATAATAATTATAAAAAGTAAAAACTTACTAGTCCCATAAGATATGAATTAGATATCAAAATTTTTATCAAAATTTAAAAAGCTTGAATTACTATAATTAGATTTAAGTGAGAATGCAATAAGTGACTTTGGTGCATGCAATTTAACAAAAAACTTATTCAAAAACATAAATTTGAAATCTCTTACTGTTGAATTATAGTTAATATTATATTTAATTAGAGTAGCTTTTTAATTTATATTATTTATTTTAATATAAAGAATTTTATAGTTTAAATTATTTAACTAACTATATTTTATTTTTTTATTTATTAATTTTTTATTTTTTAAAAAAGTGATAATTAAATTGATGATGAGGGAGCTTCTGCTTTAGCTTAAGGAATATCATCATGTAAAAATATAGAATATTTAAACATTAGTTTATAGTAAATAAAAAAACTTAAAATATATACTAATATAAATATTTAATTTAATCCTATATTTAAAACATATATTAATTTTTCTTATTTAGAAGAAATAATATTGGAATAATAGGATATTCAGATATGTCTTAATGTTTTTAAAAACTTTAAAAATTAACTAATTAAAACTTAATTTTCAGTAAAAATAATATATTTAACTTATAAAAAAAATAAAATAAAATAAAATAAAATAGTGGAAATAAAATTGTAGGATAAGTAAATAATGGTATTGGATAATATTTAAATTCATACAAAAGCTTATAAAAGTTAACTATAATGTTAAAAATGAATAAATTAGGAGAATTAGGAGCTGCTGAGATTGGTTATGGCCTATAATAATGCTAAAGTTTAATCTCTTTGAAAATAAGTATTCAATGGAATAATTTAAGCTAAGTAGGAGCCGAAAAAATAACTTAAAAATTATACAATTGCATGCTTTTAAAAAAAATAAAAATAGATTTTAATGAAAATAAAGTTTTGGATGAAGGATTAATCCATATAGGAAAGAATATATCTAAGTGTATTAAAATAGAAAAATTAATTTTTAATTTTAAGTGTTTATATTTTGATAACAAAAAATAATAATATTTTTATATAAATAATAGACATAATAATGTAAGTGATTATGGTATTTAAGAATTTTCAGTAAATTTAAGAAAACTTAATTAACTTAAAATTTTAAAATTATACTTAAGGTATTTTATTTATTAACATATTATATTAATTAGAAAATAAAAAAAAGTAAAAATAAAATTAATGACAAAGGATTAAATGCTTTTTCTAATTAAATTTAATATTTATAATAATTGAAAATTTTATCTTTATATTTAAAGTAAAATAATTTGTAATTTTTTAAACCTATTATTTTTTATATATAGTTAAAATATGCTATTAGGCACAAGTTTTTAATAATTTGGAAAATCTTTATCAAATTTAAAAACTTTAAAAATATTAATAATAAATTTTAATTTTAATTAAATAAGTAATGAAACAGTTTATTAATTTATTAAAAAAATATAAAAATGTTAATACTTACTTTAAATATAAATTAGTCTAAATATGTAAAAGAAAAAATGAAATTATTTTATTTTTATTAATTATTTTTTTAGCTAAACTATTTCTATTTGTTAGAATAAAATTAGAAAAATAAAAAGCTTATTAAATTATAAAATATTATGAATAATCTATTATTTAAAAAAAAAATTATATTTATTTGATTTATATAAGAAAAAAATAATTCTTAAATAAATTTTTATTAACAGAAAAAAAAAATATATTAAAAATTAAAAAAATATTTTATTATTATTTATAAAATAACATTTTTAATATACATATTAATTTTATTCTTTTAAATAAATAAATATAAAATGGAAATATTAAATTATAAAAATTTAAACTTTTAAAATTGAATGAAATCATGAAAAAATATTAAAGAAACTTAAAGCAAAAAAAAAAAAGATTAAAAAAACATATTCAATATCTTCATGAAATTAAAAAGACTTTAATTAATTAATAAACAAATCAAGTTAAAAAAAAGAAAAGGCTTAAAAAAATAATGTAATAAAAAAAGATGATAATATATCAAACAATAATATTAAATAAAATTTTAAAAAAATAAAAGTGTAAATATTTTATCAAAAAAATGCAAAAAATATTATAATAAAATTATTAATAAAATAAAAGTTAAAATAGGTGAATAAAAGTTAATTTTATTAAAGTTAAAAATAAAAAAAATGAAGATAAAAAAAAATAATTTAATAAAACAAATAAAATAAAATATAAATAAAATTAAAATAAAATTAATTTAATTAAATAAAATAAAGATAAATATATAATATAAAAGATTTATTAATAAACTAATCTCCTTTAAAAAAAATAAAAAAATGAAATAGAAAAAAAAAATGAAAAACAAAAATAAAAAAAAACAAAAACAAAAACAAAATACATAAAATAAAAAAAAGATAAAAAATAATAAAAAAGGTATTAAAATAATAATAAAATAATAATAATAATAATAATAATAATAATAATAATAATAATAATAATAAAATTATAATAATATTATAATAATAATTATTATTATAATAATACAATAATAATAATAATACATATAATATATATCTAATTATTTTTAATTTATTTATTATATTATTTTTTTAATTATATAATTTATTATTTTTTTTTTTATTTTATATCTTTAAAAATATTAAATAAAATATATAATTTATATATCTTTTTATTTTTTTATCATAATTTATATTCATATTAAATGTAAAAACTTTATTTTTTAATAATATTACAAAATAATTTAATTCTGATATAAAACTAAATATATAATTAATATTTATTTTTTAGATACCCTACTTATATACAATCACTATTTTATAAAAGAAAATATATAAATTCATATTTTAGTAGTTCATTTATTAATTCATTCTCATATGATTTTTAAATTTAAATTTTAGATTAAAATAATGAAGTAGAAATTTAAAATAATTCTAAGCACTAAAAAATTGCCTAGATAGTTAATAGATGAAAGATATTGTTAGAAAATATTAATATAGATAATCTTTTTATATTTATAATTATCTTTTTTATAATCAAAAGAAAATAATTTTTTAAAACATATTAATTATTTAAATTATATTAATAGTTAATTGTATAATAAATTAAATTGTTTAGATTTATAATATTTAAATATCTTATGATAATAAAAACAACAAAATAATGAATAAGAAAATTAAATAATTATATTAATAAAATGATACTATTAATTCTTTAAAATTTAAATTAATTAGTTTTAAGAATATATTTAGAATAAATAATTCAAATTTCTTGAAAATATAAAATCTGGCAAATATATAATAAAAAAATAAAAATATAAGTAAAAAATTGAATAATAATTAATAAATAAATATTAAATATTGAAAAGAAAATGAATGTCTTGTAGAGTCTCTTAAAAATTTATATCTTTAAAAAGAAAAAAGAACAGGATAAAATATAATCTTCTTAAAGTTTATAAGAAAACTTAAAATTTAATAATCAATAAAATATATAATAAAGTAATAAATTAATTTATTAAAGTTTAACTCTAATCTCAATAATACAAATAATAACATAAATATATCTATTACAGATTTTAGTGAATTATCAATAAATTAAAATTAAGATGATAAAAAATAATAATAAATGTAAAGTGATTAAAATAAATAGTTAAATATGTAATTATCTTAAACTAAAGTTTATAACATTTATTAAATCTAAAAGTGTTAAAATTTGGAATAATAATTTAAAAAAAAATTAATAGTATGTAAAAAAATATATGTTTTAAACTTTTAAATAATATATTAAACATATTGATAGTTTAGTAAAAAGTCAAAATTTTAAAATTTATTTAGATATCTTAAAAGAAATTCTATTAAAAATAAAGAAAACTAGTATATAATTAACACTAAGTATTAAACGATTTAAATAGATTATATTAATTATATATATATATATATATATATATATATATATATATTTCTTCGTATTATTAATATAATAAAAAAGAAAATACAGAAAAAATAAAATTAATAAATAATATGAGCGGGCAAAAATATATTTAAATTATTAAAAAATTAAATTCATATCTAAAAGAATAAAAAATAAATAGAAAACAAATTATATTATCTAATATATATATATTAAATATTATATGATTTTTTCGTTATTATTATTTTTTATTTTTTCTTAATTTAATATTAATATATATTTTTATTGTATTTTATAAAATATCTTTATAATATAACTTTAGTAAAAAATAGTTTATTTATTTTTTCAAATAAAATAAAAAAAATTATTAACAATATTTTTATTTTCAAATAATCTGAAATGTGTTAGTATTTAAATGAGTATTTAGTTAAGTGTTATAAATATTTACTTATTATTAATTTTCAATACTAAATCTTTAATTTTGACTCTATTAATTATGTTAATTTTATTCATCAAGTAATTAATTTTCATCAGCATCAACATAAACTTAATTACTGTAATTAAATTAATCAGTTATTCATTATTATTATTATTATTATTATTATTATTATTATTATTATTATTATTATTATTATTATTATTATTATTATTATTAATTAAAAATATTATAATTATTAATAAACCCATTTTCTATCTCTTAACAACAAATCTTATTAAATATTTTTTTAACAATATTTATTTACTGACTAAAATTAATAAAAATATGCACTCTTCCGCTTTAAAGATTAATTTCTTAATCAAGATATAAATATTCATTTTTGTCAACTTTAATTAAAGACCCGAATTTAGACTTTAAATCTTCCAAAAAAATACTACCATCTTATTAAACAAATATTCTAGCATGCTTTCTAGAAACAGTAATTTCAACAAGCTTAATATCCGAATCACAGTGTCTTCCAATTTCAAAAACTTTTTTATTTTATGTATTTAATAAATACATATTTTTTTTTTCTATATCTTCTAGTAAAATAAAATTCTAAATATCATCAATAAATGGATATATATTAAACTTATAATCTTTTGTTTATATTATTGGAGGAAATAGCGTTTAGCATAATTCACAATTAACAGCTGTTGTATTAAACTATATCAAACTTGAACCTTGTTTTGCTTAGATTCTACTTAATATCCAATGCTTTAAGCAATCTAAATGAATAAATCTTACACTGTTTTTGCATTTGCATATTGCTATTAAAGGATTTATATGTGATTTTGAACTACTTAAACATATTCTGCAATTTTATTTTTCTGAACTTTCTGAATATATATTTTTATCTTCTGTTAGTGCCTTTTTAATTTATATATTATTATATTAGCTTTTTATTTTTTTTACGGAATTTTGTAATTCTGATATATAAGATTATGATAAATTTGATATATTATAATGACTATTATTAAAATAATTATTAAAATTATTACCATTATGTATCTATAATTTTTTTTTTTAGTAAAAAATAATAATATATACTGATATAAACTATTTTTAATTTTCTATATTTTTTACATAAACAACTTTAAACTATAATTTTCCTAATTTTATAATATCATCTTTTTTTAATATATGCATACTTTAATTTTAAAAATAAACAGGTTTCCATAAGCCATATTCATTATAAGGAGGTACAACAATTAATTACCTATCTTTTATATATAAAATAAAAATTAAAAATTAATTTTATTCAAATATTTATTTTCATTATTTTTAAAAAATATAAATAATATAGTTTTTTACTGCTAATTTGAAATTTTAATAATTGTTAAGTATTTTAATTATCATTTGTAGAAGTTTCATTAATTTTATTTAATTACTGCTTTTTTAATACTTTATCTGTAATATATAACGTATTATCATTTACGCGCTATAAAACTCCACTTGAACTTATGTTATGTTTATTATTTACTATTTCTAATGAATCACATGATTAATAATCGAACAAATTGTAATTGTCTTTTCTCCACGTTTTTGTTTTTACTTTTAATTTAAAACTCATTTTTTAGTAATAAAAAGTTTTTTGTTTTTTAAATTTTTATTGATTTTAATAAAAGAATAATTTATATTATATTATCGAAAAATTTATTAATTACTATATTTTTAATTCATATTTTATATATATAATAATTTAAATTATTAAATTATTTAATTTGAGATATTAAAATTTTTTATTATGTTTAAATACTATTAATGAAAATTCAATAAAAAAATATTTTTAAAGATTATAATAATAATAACAAAATTATAATTTTTTATAGTTTATATTTAATAATTTTTTTAAATTCTTATAATAATTTTAATAATATTTTTTGATTAAAACTAAATTTAAATTATTTTTTAATATATCTAAAAACAAGAAATTACAAAAAATTAACAAAAAAAATAAAAAAAAGGCTAAAATAAATGAGTTAAGAGAATTAAGAATAATTATTTTTAAGTGTATCTTGTTAAAGTGGATATAAATAATTAAAATTGAATTTTTATTCTTAACACATATTAGTAATATTTTAATTAAACAAATATATTTTTAAATTGAATTTTTTTTATAAAAGATAATAGATGCACAATCAAATAAACCTTCTCAAAAAACTCTTATGAGTAATTAAATCCGTATAGAATGGCTACTAAACAATTGTAAACCAGAAGAAAATATACACGCATTTGATAGATGCACAGGATTTTCCATAAAATATCATAATTTATATCAAAAGTCAAAAGATATGATAAAAAATGCTTAAAATAATAGCTAACTTCAAAAGATAAAATATTAAGCAATCCAAGCATCATAAAATTAATTACTATTAGGAGACACAAAAAATCAAAATTAAACTAATACAATAGAAGATGCAGATGAATATACATAAATAATGGGAACATATTAAATTACTGAAAAACAAGTTTTAAAAAATATATACAATTATTTTGCTCCAAGAGTAATAATGAAGTAATTTCATGACCATTATAAAATAATTAAAAAACTAGGTTAAGGATCATTTGCTACAGTAAAAATTAATTAAAAAGAAATAAAAATAATAATATAAAGGTATATTTAGTAGTACATAAAGAAACAGGTAAATAATTAGCTGCAAAAGCTTTATTAAAAGAAAGACTTTTAATGGAAGCTAAAGGAGTTGAATCATTTTTTAATGAAGTAAATATAATGAAATAAATAAACCATTAACATCTTTTAAAATTGTATGAAGTTTGGGAAAATAGTCATAGTTTCTTTTACGTTATGGAATTAGCAAATGCAGGTTCTTTATAAAATAGAATTAGTTAAGCTAAAAAGTAAAAAAATGATAAAATCTATAACAATTAAACTTCTATTTTAAATGAATAAGAAATATAAACTTCTATGAAATAATTACTTTAAGCACTTGTTTATTTATAAGAGAAAAATATTATACATAGAGATATTAAACCAGATAACATATTATTTAAAAAAATAGTTAATAAATAAAAAAACACGGAATAACTCTCTGCACTTTTTGTTGATTTTGGACTTAGTACTAAATCTAATTTAAAAGAATATTTATATTACAAATGTGGAACTCCAGGATATATATCTCCCGAAATCATATAATAAAAATCAGGAAACAAAGAAGTTTTAATAATTTATTTTAAAATTAAATATTTATATTTATTTTTTATAAAATAAGGCTCAGAGTACTTAAAGTGATATGTTCTAATTAGGAGTTGTACTGTATAATATGTATATTTTATTAGTTTTTTATATTTATTTATTTTAGTTGTAAGGCTAACTTTAAAACCTTTATTTGTCTCTTCAAATGCAAAATAACTTTTATAATTAAATAAAGAATGTGTAATAGATTTAAAAAGCGAAAATTTTTCAAAATATAGTTAATATGGTAAAAAAAAAAAATTAAATAAAAACTAAAATTAAAGTAAAAAGCATTTGATCTTCTTAAAAATATGCTCAATAAAGATCCTTAAGCTAGAATAACTCCTCAATAGGCACTTTTGCATCCTTTTATAAAACCTAAAGATAGTTTTTATGATGAAAAAGATTTTATTGTCCCTGATGATGATGTTCCTTAAGAATTTGAGTTAAAAAAAAATATATTTAATATGAGTAACATAAACTATAAAGTTTAGTAAAAGTAAAAACAAAAAATTACAATAATTATAAATATATAAATGCATTCATTTTTTTAAAACAGCCTTAAATAATAAAAATCTATGGAATGTTCAAAAATTAGTATTTTTTGGTAATAAAGTACATAAGATGATTGTACAATAAATGCAAATAATAATATATATGAAAATAGTGTAAAAATTATTTCAAAATAAGATTCTCTTATTTTTGAAGACTTAAAGCCTAACTCATAATTAGATTCTAATAATTAAAATAATTTGATAATGAAAATGCTTCTTAAAACTCTCTTGTTATTAAACCTCATAAATATTATAATTAAGCTGGAAATACAAATTTATATATAGAAGATTAATAAGGTGTGGATTAAAGAAAAAAAACTCCTTCAAAATTTAAAATTGAACATTTAAATACTTTACTAGAAGAAAAGAAGTAAAATGAATGATAATAAAAATAAGAAAATAAATAAAATAATAATGATTATGATTATGTATATTTAATTTTATTAATAAATTAAAAATTAAAAACATAATAAATATTGTAACAATATTTTATATTTATTAATTTTTTAATATTTAATAATCTTTAAATATATTAAATATAAAAAAATATATAAATTAATAGTATAATTTTATTAATAATAGTATGTATAATAAAATAATATTTATTAATAAAATTAATAAATTTTGCTTTAAATATTCATTTATCTTATTTTTTAAAAAAAATTATAAAATCAATCGATAATCTATTAAAGGTTTAAACAAAATTAATATTATTAAAAACTTAATTTAAAAATAAAATTATTATATATAATTCTATTTAATTATATCAAATAAATCAAACATATATTTAATATTATTATCATAATTTTTATTTATTTATTTTATTAAAACTTGAATTAATTTTTTATTAATTGATTTACATTTAAAGTTATTAAATATTACTATTTTTTGAATTTTCCAAATTAACACCACTATTTGTTTTGAGAAAGTTTTATTTTTAATTTATATTGGATTATATATTTAAAGTATTATAATTATTAAATGTTGTTATATCATTTTTATTATAATAAAATGAAGGAGTATTTGTTCTTTATTCAAATATTTTTTATCTAATTTTAATTTAATTAGATTTATTTGAATTTATAGTTAAGTCTGTTTTATTAGTATTGTTAATTTATTTTTATTTCTAAATGTTAACCAAATTAATTATTTAAGTGTTTTTTTTATCATTTTACTTTTCATATATATTTTGATTATCTAAATTATTGCATGATACATCTTATACTTATACAGCTTATATCATTTTTTTTATATTTTAAATTATAAATTCATTCTTATTATTATTTATTTCTTCAAAAATTAATGTTTTAGATCTTTATTATTATCTTTATTAAATATAGATTTATTATTAAGTAGGTTAAATATTTACAGGAGATTACTAAGTTTAAGAAATATTAATTTTATAACAATTTTATTGATATAAATTAATTTTTTATTATTATTATTATTATTAAATTTAAAATTAAGAAGTATTTTATTTATTAAAATTATTATCAAATGAATCACAAATAATTTAACTTGTTTAAGAATTCAATTATTATTAATAACATAATTATTCATTTTTTAATAAATTAGGTTTATTTGAATTTTATAAATCATTTTAATTATAAAATTATTATTAATTTTATAAAATTATTTATTATGATTATTAATCACCTAATATTTACTAAAATTAATAATTAAATTCTTATTGTTTTTATAAAAATTAAAATTATTATAAATATTATTATTATTTTTAATATTATTATTATTATTATTATTATTATTATTATTATTATTATTTTTATGATTATTATATTATTTATTATTTTTAATTTTTGTAATTATCCTAATTTTTTTCATTTTATTATTTGTTTATTTTTTAAATTTTAATTTATTACATTTATTCTTATGTTTATATTATATCTTCTGTGTATGATCTTTCCTTTATATTTTATAATTTTGGACTATTTTTTTTCTATTTATTCACATAACTATTTAATAAATTTTCATTTTTTAATATAGTTTTTTATGAATTTGAAGATCTTTGAATTGCTGTTTATATTATTCTATCTTTCATATCTTTTTTTATTTATTATTATTATATTTTTGTATCATTTATTTAATCATTAAAATTAACACTTGTATCCCCTTTTAATAATTTAAATTATATATACTATAATAATTTTTTTTATTTACAATAATTATATTCAGCTTATTTTATTGAAGCTATATTACTATTGTTTGTACAACATGCTGTTAAAATATTTTAATAATGTTTTTTATTATTTTAATTATCACTTGTATCTGTATTTTCCTAAATAAAAGATATATTTTTAGGAGTATGAGTATTTTTAATATCTTTTTTATTACTATATTTCTGAACAATTTATTAATAATAATCATTAGTTTATAGCTTTTAATGGTTAATATTATTTTCAATTAATGTTTTAGATTCGAATTATTATTTATTTTCAAATTATTATTTATATTCAAATTATTATTTAACTTAATAATTTTATTTAATATCATAAAACGAATTTTATTCTTAATTTTTTCTTCTATATGAAATGAACTTTTATTTTCATCTTCTTTTAATAAAATATTTTTTTAATATTTATTATCCAAATAGTTTTATTATATATTTTCTATTTTTTCTATTTATAAAGGAATATTAATTTCTTATTTTTTATACATCTATTAGTTTTTAATGTAGTCATTATTTTCATCATTAATTGACATATTTTATGAATTCTTTAATTCTGCAAAAGTTTTTTCTTTTAAGCAGTTAAAATGTTTTCTTTTTAATCTTAAAAATTTTTTATGTTCGATTAACTACAACATTAGCTTTTATTTTCACTTTTTAAATTTACTTAAAAATTATCATTTTTGATAATTTCTTATTATAATTATATGCTTTTTTATTATTTTTTTTACAAAGTAAGAGGACTTTAACTTATATTATTATTATTTGGTTTTTAAACAATTATTGTTTATTATTTAATCTTTGGTTAATCACATATTAACCTATCACTATTCTTTTTATTTGATTAAATTTCATGTCCTTCTTTCATTTTTTACATCCATGGATGCTATAAAATATCATCTATTGATATCCTTTTTAAAGGGTTCGCTTATAATAATTTGCATATTAAACTTTTTGATAAGTCTGTTATTTATGTAGAAAATAGTACATCTCCTTTTTAAATTTTCAATTGTATTTCTTTCAAACTTTTTCCTTTAAAAGGAGCTGAACCGTGTAAAAACTCATATATTAATACCCCTAATGCCCATATATCTATTCTATAATCATATTATTATCTAAATACTATTTCAGGTGCCATGTACTATTATATTTATAAATTTTTATCAATATTAAATAAAAATAAACTTCGTATGTTCCACAAAATGTATTTCTTGGATTTTCCATATCTTCAGTGCACCATCCGAAATCGCACAATTTAACTTAAAGGTTTTCATCAATTAAAATATTTTCTGGCTTTTTTTTTTTAATAAAAAAAAGAATTAAATTTAATATTATTTTTATTCTTTTAAATAATAATTAAATTAAAATTATACAATTTAAATTTATATATTGATTTTATTTCATTAAATATTTTTTCATTTTTTTTTTTTCTCTCATATTTTAAAAATTATAATTCTAATTTTTATTTACATATGTACATGTGTTTAAAAAATGAATTGTAATTTTTATTAATATAAAAAAAAAATAATTACTTTTATATCTCTATGTACAATATTCATTTCATGTAAATACTTTAATGCCTAACAGGTTTAATAAAAAAACTTGAAAGCTTCCTTTTCACTAAAATGTTTTTTTTTTTATAAATAAGAATATAAATTTCCATTTTATGCGTAATCTAAAACAATAAAAACTAGTTCATTTTCTTAAAAACTATCATAATATTATATTATATTTGGATGATTTAATTAACTATGAACTCTAATTTCCCTTTCTATACCTTAAATTTCTTATAATGAATGCATATTTTTCAAATTCATCTTTATAATAAAAAGAAAAATTCAATTATTTAATTTTAAAAAATAATAATTACTATTTTAATAGCATATTTTTCTTATGTTTTTTTATTTATTGCTAATTTTACTTCGCCAAAGCTTCCCATTCCTAATTGTATTCTATTTTTTATTGGATCTTTTATAAATTAAAATTCATCAATTGAATTAAATATTTTATTATCAACTAAGTTTAATTTATAAATTTCTAAATTATAATTTTTTTTCATTAATTTTTTTTTGATATAATTTGTTTTGCTTTTGCTTTTAAAAAAAAAAAAAATCAAACCAAAATAAAAAAATTATTTATAATAAATAAATAAAATATATGTATATATATAAGCGAATATTTTAACAGAAAATAATATAAATGAAATTATATTAACTGTGTTTTTAAATATATAAAAATATTTAATAAATTTTAGTTTATAATCAAACATATTATTATATTTGTTTTTATACTATTCTAAAAAGTCTAATATGTCTCATTAAATTTTTAAAAAAGATAATTATATACAAACTTAAATAAAAATATTATTTTAGTATTTTTAGATTTTTTTAAAAAATTATATAATATATTGCTTTATAAGTGTAATTAAGAGTTTTTAATTTTAATTCTAAATATTGAAAATTTTTATTTAAATTTAAAATCTTAGATAATTTAAATAATTAAATTTTTATTAATTATAAAATAATCAAAAAAATAACAAACTAATTTGTGCAATTTTTAAATAAGTTATTTTAGTAAATAAATAAAGAAAATAAAAAATATTTAAAAACATCATATCAAACGATATTAAATATTATTAATATTTTTTGTTTTTTAAATTAATTAATTAATAATAAGAAATTAAAAAATTAAAAACTAAATAAATAAAAATATAATTATATTAGAAATATGCTAAGATAATTCATATTTTATTTATACAAATACTACACAGTAAAAAAATAATATGGATTAAATTACTATGAAGAATAAATTGAATAAAATTAAATAGACCGTTTTGTAAATTAAATTATCTAAAATTAATATTACAAATAAAAAATAAAAATATTAAATAAATTCTTGAAATATTTATTTTATTTTTTTAAAAAAAATTATAATTAAATAAAGATTGAATTAGATAATGGGGATTAAATAAACATATAGGGGTACAATAACAAAAATCATTAATTTTAAAATAAAATCTAAACTTTTTAAGTAGGCAAAATAAATAATTAAACTTTTATATATATTATTTTATTTTTTTACATCTAAAAAAATATAGATTTAATTTCTCTTATTTACAATTATCTAATTTTTTAAAAAAGTTTAAAATGTTGCACTTATACTAATAATATTAGTTGTTGTCATTATTAGTGATGATTAATTGCCAACTGACTATTAAAAGCAAATTATAATTTATATAATAAAAAAACTTATATTATAAATATTATTAAAAAATATAAATTATAATAGAAACACTTACGTTTTTATGTTTTTGTTACCAATAATACTAGATATTATTTTAATTTGTTTAAAAGAATGTGTTTTGTATAAAGAATAAAAATAAGCAGATGAAAAAATAAACAATAGATAAGGTTGTAAATGCTTTTTAAAGTAACATAACATTGATAAAAATTCAAAGGAATTAGTAAATGTACTATAATAAAAAAAATGGGGAGAAATAGAAATCGGAGATTTAATTTTATTAGAAAAGTTCGAATATTGTCCAGCTGATGTTTTAATTTTAGATTCTTGGGATTAAAAGTTTACTGTAAAAACTAATTTTGTTGATGATTAAAGTTATTCATAAATAAAATATCCTCCAAATTTAACTTCTAGTATTATATATATATATAATATTTATATTTAAAATCGATATAATAAAATCATATTTTTAATAGTATCAAAAAATCTTTCAATTAAAGGAAACTTGAGCGAATATAAAAAAATATTAACAGGTCGTATAGATATGTATAAAAGCGAATACATATACAATTTTAAAGGATATATAAGTCTAAAAAAAGATCCAATAAGTGAAAAAGTAGATATGAAAAACATAATTTAAAAATATTCATAAATAAAATATACAGACTGGGTAATTGGAATAGTAATATTTGTAGGAAATGATAGTTATTCACATAATTCAAAAAGTTTTTTAAAAAAATAATAAGAGTTAAGAAAAATGACATTTTTTGAAACCAAATGGAATATAAATATGATAATATACTTACTTGTGGTAACCTTTTTTAGTTTAATAATTATAATTTTAAGAGTAAGCATGACTTGTTTTAAATTTTTAGATTTTAAGGGATAAATGATACCTATCGGTTTAAGTTTATTTATAACTTTTCCTAGTTAATTTAATATATTTAATGATTTATTTTATATAATATATTTCATATTTATAAAAAAAAAATTTGAAAAAAACACTTCCAACTTTCGTTTTAACTAAATAAAGTCTTGTGCAGACTTAGTTTTGAATTCACACACAATAATAAATTGCCCTTCAATATAAAATGAGAATAGTAAAAAGATAAAATCATTAGTAACATAGGATTATGCTTTTAGTTTTAAAAGTTAGGATTCAATAAGTCAAAATATTATTTAAGAAGAAAATAATAATAATGAAGTAAATGATATTGAAGTTATTAATAAAAATTAGTTGAGTTAAAAAAAAAAAAATATCTTTTATAGTTAAAGCTTAAATAATAAAATAATATAATCAAGCATTTTATAAAAAGAAAATGAAAATATAAATGAGGGAGGTTAAAATTCACCTCCAAATAAAATTTTTAAATACATTAAAGATATTAGTTTTTCTATTCAAAAGCTAAAGAATTAAAATATTTAGGGAGAGAGGGATAATATAAGTTTTTTGAAAAATAATGAAAATATAACATTTTAAGATATTCAAATAAATAATGAAAATAACAATATAAGTTAAATAATTGAAAATTAGAAAAATAAAATAAAATAAAAATCTATTATTTAATAAGAGACATTCCAGTATATTACAGCAAATATAAATGATAATAATAATGAAAATAATAATAAAAATAAAAATGAAAATAATAAAGACAAAAATAGTGATGAAAATAATGAAAATATTGATAATAATAATAATAATAATGACAAAAATAATGATAATAATAAAGAAAATTATAATAATAATAATAATAATAATAATAATAATAATAATAACAATAATATCAATAATAATAATAGTAATAATGATAATAATGATGTAAGTTCTTAATAAATAAAAGATATTTAAAGTGATAATTTTAATTCTGAAAATTCAGAATAAATATAATCTGATATATAATGCAAAACCTCAAATAGAAAATCATTATTTTAAATACCCAACAATTAAAATAATAACAATAATAATGGTAGTGATTTTGATAGTATTAGCTTTACCGAAAAGAATCTTTCTTTATCAAAATTTCAATAAAATAACTAACATTAATACTATAATGAAATAAATTTAATGAATTTTGTAATTGGAAATAATAAATAAATACTTGATTTTTTATTTGTTTTAGGAATTTGTCATGATACAAAAACTAAAGGAGATAGATTAAGTAAAGAAAATAATCTCTTTAATATATCTTTGTAATAGGATACTAAACACATTCTTGAATTCATATAAAAATTTAATGTAAAATTCGAATGCTCTTGCTATATTAATGAACAATTATATTATATTATTTAAATAAATAATGTAAGACATAAAGTGTTAATTTTCCATAAGCTTTACTCTAAATAAATGTGTATAATTCTCGCACAATACCAAGATGAGAAATTTCTTCTTATTTAAGATTATTCATAACGTATACCTCAGTATTTATAAAAAAGCATTATCTGTTAAAAATTATAAAAGAATATTTAAATTTAGTTAGATAAAGGAGAAAACATTATTTTTTATTCTAAAATAAATCTATAAGAATAATTAATGTAATAAATACTTAATAATGAAAAGTTGTTTGAAACTTAAGAAAATTAAATTGAAAACTTGCTTAATGAAATATAAATGTAATAAAATATATTTTAATTTTGTAATTTTATAGGTTACATAGGTATTTTATTATTTAAACTATATATAAAATATAAATATATACATATATATTATCTTTTATTATATTTTTTAATAAAGGAATATAATAATAATATGATGAAGAAACAATAAATTTAATAAAATAACTTAAAGAACATAATTAAAAAATATGGTTTTTAACTTCAAACACTTACAATAACTCAGCAAGTATATTTTACAAATTAATAAAATAAACTGAACTTGATGATAATTAACCAAAAAAAATATTAATAGACTTAACAAGTACTAAAAAAGAAGACCTATATTACAGAATAAGGAATCAATTATAAATATTTAAATAAAAATATTAAAATAATATCTAAAAATAAACTGATCATATTGCATAATCAATCCAAATAAAAAAATAGCAACTTTAAAACAATGCAGTATCATAAAAACTTACAGTAAAAAATATTTAATAAAAACTAGAATAATAAATAAAAAAGTAATATAAATATTAATAATCAATATAACAACCTTAATACAGTTATGTAATTGTTCTGAATGGACAAAGTTTATAATCATTAAAAAAAGATGATTATTTATGGGACCATGTATGTTTTTTAATTTATTTTGCTCAAAATATAATCGCATATTCATTAAGCGATTAATAAAAAACTTTTCTATCTCAAATAATAGTTACTTTATTTAAATAAAGTTATAGTATTTCACATATTTTGCAATCATTAAATGACTGCGAAAAGTTAACTTTTTAACAATAAAGCTTTTATATAAAACATTAAAATCAAGAGGATGAAATTATAGGCCCTTTAGCGGATATTTTTGTAAATAACTCAGATGCATTATGCTAAATTTTATTTAGATAAAGCCGTTTTTTTAGCGAAGTTACTGAAGAAATAATGTATTTGACATTATATAGGAGTTACTTATTAATTTTTATGACAGTTTTATGGAATACATTTAATTGTGTAGTAAATATGCCTTTGTATTCTCCTTATTCGATTTTAGTTTACCACTCAATGCATTTTTTCAACTCTGTAATATATTATTACAATCGTAAAAATAAAAAATTCTAAAAAGAGCTTGTGCAAATACATAAAGGATATTTTTACAAAAATAATCCTGAATAAAAACATTAATAGCAATATAGTATTTCATAGATGCCAATAGGAATAATTAAAATAATAATATCCTCAATAATAGATGCATTTATGCTTTATTTATTTTATTTTTATTTATGGTCATTCAATGGATATATAGACGGAATTGAAGTTTAATCAATAATGATGTATTACGCTACTTGCACAATTACTGTATGTAAAAATTTCGAATTAAATTATTTTAAATTAGATATTTATTTTATTATTTTTGCGTTTTTTCAAGTTGTAATTTTAGTAGTTTAAACTTTGCTTGAATTTTAAAATAAATAATCTATTCTTATCTCTATTCTTTTTAAAAATTATGTCATTTTTTAATTCTTTATTTTAATTGCTGGATGGTCCATTAAATCTGTTATAGAAAAATCAATTCTCCATCCAAATCCCTTAGTTATTATTGGCCTAGAAAAATTCCTTGAAAAACATTACAAATTTTCTTCCTAAGCAGGCTTTTTTAACAATTCCATTCCCAAAATCAATATACTTAATGTAATCAGAAATCTATTTAAAGATAAGAAAATGGATATTATTTTATCATCAATGCTTATTTAGGAAGATGTGAATACTAATTAAGCATAAATGTAACGCTTTACTTTGAAATTTGAAATTAAGGAAACTGAAAATGCTTATATTAAGTATTTAGAGTAACTTATTTTTATCAGAAATATTTAAATATATATTATTATATTTATTATGTTCGATATTGCTTATGATTTATTAATACTTACTAAAGCTACTAATGAGTTCTCTAGTACTGGGTATGTTGTTTCTTATGGAATTACTGCCACTTCACTTTTCTTATTAACTGCATTATCTACTACTAAATATTGTTAAAGCTAATATGTTTCTCATACTTCTTTTTTGTAATATTTTTTTATTCTTTTATTTTTAATATAAAAATAATAATAAAGCTAATAATAATTAGAAGTTTAAAATATATACTTTTAATTTAATTCAAATAAATTATAAGTCCTCCATAGGAATTAATTATGTATATTCTAACTGGTTGTGTATGTTTAAGATTTTAGCATCAATACGTCTTAATTTAAGCAATATTATTATTATTTTCATATATTTCAACGTATAAAAATAATAAATAAATATAAAAAAAGAGCATATAATAAAAAATAGAATAGAACTAACACAATAGCAAAGAAACTTAAAAGCCTTAATTGAAGAAACACAATATCCCTAAGACTCAGTATGGATAGTAAGAATCCAATCATACACATCAATATGTGTATTTATATTTCTATTTGTATGTTTGAAATACTAAATAAGTAAAACACTTCGTTCCAATTATTTATCATAATAAAACCTTTATAAATAAACTTTATAAGTAAAAGATATCCTTTCAATTTTACTCCCGAAATTTATCCGTGATAAAATAGAGAATATGAAATAAGGTGAATACAAAGTATAGCAAAAATAAAACTGTGTAGTGATAATATTCTGCGATATATGTAATTTCGACGATATAATTTCAACAGAATAAGACAATACAATAAAAATCCTTAATAAATTATATCGTCAATTTGATATTTATTGTGTCTAAAATGGCCTTTAGAAAATCGAAACAGTAGGTAAAACTTATATGGCAGCAGGCGGAATTTCTGATGTTGAAAAACTCCTCAAAAACGAGAGTTAAATTTACAATATCCCTATAGCCGTTAGGGCTTTAAAATTTGCTTTTGAGCTTCAAAAAATTACAAAATAAAACTAAAACTTAACCAAACTTAAATCTATTGTAATTAAAATAGGAATTCATTTGGGACCTGCTATAGCTGGAGTTATTGGTTATCATAAACCTTAGTTTTCTCTTATTGGAGATACTATAAATACTACAAGCAGAATTTGCTCTACTGGAGCTTATGATAATATTACTATTTCTAAAGAATTTCATGATAAAGTCAAAGATATATAAGGGTATTTTTTTAAATTAATTGAAGTCGAGGCAAAGGGAAAAGGCATTTTGAAAACTTATCAGGTTTTTAATAAAAAAACGCTTTAAAAATAAAAAAAAACCATGCATAATTAATAATAAATATAACCCGGTTCTCATATTGCTAATAGCCCTAAGAATTCTCCTAATCAAACAAATACAAACACGCCTGATAATAAAAATAAAAATAATGAAATAAAAGTTAATGATTGCAAAGTAACAAATAATAATAATAACGTTTGTAATAATAACAGCACTATTATAAATGCAAGCAATAATATTAACAATAATTTAAAAATATCTCTTTTAATCAGCAAAAATAATATTAATAATAGTGATGCTAATGATATTAATATTAATAATAACATCAATATTAATAATAATTAAAATTAAAATAATATGTTTAAAATAAATAAATTAAGAGTAAATTTTTCTAATCCCCAAAAATCGGAAGAAAATGGAAATCTAAACTTTTAATTAATCCAAAAATTAGGAGCAGGTATAGAAGTATTCAAAAAAATTTAAAGTTGTGTAAAAAATGCAATTACCTAAAATAGATATATATAATAGTTTCGAAATATTAATTTATAAAGGGATAAATCATATGGAAGCACTGCATTAGTATAAAACAAGTATATATTAGAAATAGAAAAAGAATTAAACGAAAAAATTGATATTGAGAAAAAAAATATTGAACTATAAACATATTACGCAACAATCCAAAAGCAAAATGAAAAAAGCAGATCAGTAATAAAAGATGAAGACGAAATAAAATTCATAAGGCATCAATTAAACTCAAAATAAAATAAAAAAGATAAAAATATAAGCCTTGTCTAGAATCAATTTCTAAATACCACAATAATAAATCAGCATAAATAAATAGTATTATCAATAATAGTTGTTTTTTTATTTTTTTTAATAAAATTTGGAATATATGGTTCATATATTCTTTAAATCAGAATAACAATTTAAGGAGTTGACCTTAATCAAATTCTGGGACTTGTAGGAGCCTAATTTCTCCTTTTTTTAATCATATTAATTTTTTGCAAAAAAATAATATAAAGAAAGATTATTTTAATTTTTTTTTATATAAATCATCTTTTCCTAACCACTTTTTTTCATACTGAAATATCTAATCTTTTTTATGAAATCGATAAAATCGAACATATATCCCAAAAAAAAGCGGCTCATAAAAATTAGGCAGTAGAGTAAATACTAGTACCTGCTCATTTTCTCTTTGCCTTAGAATTGATGGTACTATACATATTTTTTGCTTCAATAAAATCTTTCCAAATGTCATAAAAAATTATTATTTTTTTGCTTAGTTTAATTAGTTATTTTTTATAATCAATAACTCCTGTAAAATTTGATTTATAAATAGTATATTTTATTCTTTTTACAGGTATAATTCATCTTTATTTAGAATATTATGCAAATTTAAATGAAGCAACTAATTTTGATAATATATAAATTCTAGAATAAAAAAGAGAAGAAGTCGATAAACTTCTTTAAAACCTTCTCCCTTAGCATATTTTGGATTAGTTTTTAAATTAAATGAATAGAGAATTGCCTTTAGTCTGTGAAACTCTTGAAAATGCTACTCTATTGTTTGCTGATATAGCAGGTTTTACAAAATATTCAAGTATGAATGAACCTATTAAAGTAGTTAATATGTTGAGACAATTATTTACAGATTTTGACAATAAGTGTGTTTCTAGAAAAGTTTTTAAGTTATATACTATAGGTGATTGTTATGTATGCTTCGGTATTAATAATAAAAATTAAAGAAATCCAGCTGAAGAAGCTCATAATGTAATTTAATTTGCTTTTGATATGATTTAAATTATTTAAGAAGTTAGAAAACATACTGATTGTTAATTAGAAATGAGAATTGGCATTCATACTGTATTTTTTCTCATTTACTATTTTTTTTATTATTTATATTTTTTAAATAAAAGGGCAAAATATATGCAGGTATTGTTGGTACTGAAATTGTTAGATATGACGTATATGGATTAGACGTTCTTATTGCTAATAAAATGGAATCTAATGGCACTAATGGAAGAGTTATGATTAGTACAAGCACTAAAAATATAATGGAAGATAGTTATTAAGATGAATATATATATACATTTAAAGAAGCTGTTTATGTTAAACAAATCGGAATCAGTATTAATGGGTATTATGTTGATAATAAAAGTTAATATTCTATTACAAATGAGGAACTTATTTAGTGATTAACACTTTTTTTAAATAGTGGTACTTTTTTATATTTATATATATGCTTATATATACTTATTAATTTAATTTTATATAAAAATATATATGTTAATTAGATTATATGTTAAAATATATATAAAATAATAATTAATAATATATTATAATAAAATTAATTTAATTTTTATTAAAATATTCTCTTTAACAAAATTATTTTAATATATAGAAAATAAACATAAAAATGTATACCTGTATACTTTATTAAAAAATATAATAAAAATAATTAAAATAAAAAATTTATAATATAATATTATTATAAAAAAAAAAAAAATGGAAAATCTAAAGAACAATAATAATCTATAAAAGTAGGATATAAAAAAGCCATAAATATAAACTAAAAAAATTGGAACATAATTATAGAAATTGGCTAAAATCTACAAAGTTAACATAAATGAATTAAAATATAAACTTTAGCCAATGTAGACACACAAAGTACAATTAAAAAAAATCGTAAAAGCAACCGAAAATATAAAAAATAACTAAAATGATAATTAAAATAACAAATAAAATATTATTTAATAAAATAACTAAAATAACAACAATACTAACAAATAAATATACAATTAAATAGGAACAATAAGAGAAGATGAAAATGAAGATATTGATCTAATAGTTAGTAATGATTAATTATAAAATGAATTTTTAAAATTTAATAGAGAATAATTAGACAATGAATTAATAAAAGAAAAAGAATTAGAAGGATTATAAAATTTAACAAAAATAAAATTATAAAAAATACAGAATAAGAAAACAACAATAATATAATTGTTAGTACAGGCGATTTAATTAGTCAAAATAATGATAAAGTCGCTGTTTTCGAAGAAAGTTATAATGACGAATAGAGCAAATATTCATTTTAATCCGTAAATTAATAAAATATTTTTTTAAAAAATCAAAATAACGAAAATTTATTTAATAATTAAAATAATGAATTAAAATTTTAATATAATTTTGAGGAAAATAAGAAAAAAATAGACCAAAATTAAATTTAGAATTAATTGAATTAACATGAATAGGTTTAAGAATATATTTAAGCAAATGATATTTACGCCCAAACATAATAAAATTAATTTTTTATAAATTAAAATGAGAAGGACATATACTTTTCTTATTAATAAGAAGAAGTAAAGAATAATGATAAAGCTTAAATAGATATTAAATTTATGGAAAATCATGAAAATTTATTTAATATAAAAAATTAGTTTAATGATAAAAATTAAAGATAAAAATCTATTTAATATGGAAATGTATTTTAAATATATATTTTTTTTTTTAAATTAAAAATTTTATCTTATATAATTTATAGATAAAAAATAAATAAACAAGGAGTTTAAGCGTAAATGCTTTTAATTTTTTAGAAAACAAAAATTTGATTTTAAAAGATGGGTGGATATATAAAAAAAATCCTTCTTTAATAACTAATTGGAGAGTAGAGATAAATAATATTTTATATTCTAATAAAATAAAAATATAAAAAAGTTAAGATTCTTTCAATTAACAAATACAAAGTTGATATATTTTTTAGATAAAAATAAAGAAAAAATAAGAGGATGTATAAATTTTAATTTAGTATAATGTCAAATAAAAGTAATTAAAAAAAAATATATATATATGTATAAAATATATAATTAAACAAAAGGATATTTCAAATGATAAGTTTAGTATTGAAATAAAAGGATATAAAAGAGATATTTGTTTAAAAGCATATACACCAATACAAGCTATGTAATGGATAGAAATGATAAATCATGTAATCTATTAGAACTAGAAAATATAAAAACCATCTATACATGAAAATTAACTATAAAAATATATAAAATAATTAATTATAACTGAATAAGAGTTACTATAAACAGCCGAATCGGGAGATATTTTGTTATTTTAGTATAAAATAAATAAACATACAAAAAATTTACAATTAAAATTAAAAAAAAAATAGAACAAATAATATAGGAGCTAAATTATAAAGATAATTAACAGGAGGAATGTTTGATCATGTTAGTTTATGTGTAAAACTAAACAGATAATCATTAAAAGTATTAGATTCTACAAGAGATGATGGAGTTTATTTGATGGGTTGGAATTAATACATAGCTAAAAATGATTTATTCGAAAAGGTAGTCTATCGAAAATTAATATGGAATAAAAAGAAATAATTAAATGATTAAATATAATAATTTATAATTAATAATATAGGGAAAAAATACGAATTGAATCTTTTTAAACTTATGGGAATTAATTAAAATTAAGGAGATTAAAAAACGTATTTTTGTTCAGAATTGGTTGCTTAATTTTTTTAAAATGTTGGATTAATTCTTAAAAATAAACCAGCTTCTAGTTTTTGGCCAAGTTTAGTTTTTTTATTTGTAATTTTATTTATTCTGATTTTTTTTTATTTTTTATTTGTTTTTAGTTTCATTTTCTCAAGAAAAAAATTTATGTCTACTTAATGGAGCTAAGTTTGGTATTTAAACTACAGTTTTATTAAACAAACATTAGAATATTGTTTTATGATTTATATATATAAATATTTTATTATTAATAAAAAAATATTTTTTTAAGTTAATGTTAATTATTTAGAATTTTTATTAATTTAAAATTAATGGCTTTTTTATTTATTTTTTTCAAATATTTTTTTTCTCTTATCTTTTTCTTTCTTTTTTTGTTAAAAAAAATAAAATAAATTATAATCATTTTTTAAAAAAAAAAAAAAAAGTCTGTTTATATTATACATGTCTTTTATAGAATTTTAGTTTACTTTTAATTTTCGCTCTTTTAACAAATATCAATATTATTAAACCTTTAAATAAAAATTAAAATTTTTAAAATTCAATAAAATTAAATAAAATAATTAAAAAATTATACGTTTACTAATTATTTCCCTCATCAAGTTTTTAATAATTTTCAAATTTTTAATATTATCCGTAATTATTAACTTAAAATATAAATTAAAAATAATAAAAATTATAAATTATTTTTACTATCAAATAAACCTAAACCAATATCAAATACAATACATGTGCCAATAATAAATATTTATCCAACCCAAAAATTAGTTTGTTAGAAAAGTCTATATTATATATATACATATATGAAAAAAATTATTAAGAAAATAAATAAAAACCTCTAAAATACTGAAAATAATTCAAAAGAAGGATATTATTAAACAAAAACAACCAGCAAAACATATAATCCAAAGCTTAAAAACAAGAAAAGTATATTAATTCCTCTTAGACAAGTTGATAAAATTATAATTTTAATATTAGCAAGTAATACAATATTCCAATACATAAAATTTCCAGTTAAAACCAAATAATTATCATGTTCTACTGTCGAATTAAATTCAATAATAAGAACACTCGAAACTCCAATAATAGATGCTTAAAAAACTGCTAAAAAGAAGGTTTTCCAGAAAATCCTGCTATTAAAAAGATAATTATTCAACCCGTTTAAGTAATAGGGCCAAGGATTATTAACTAAAAACAATCCTTTATATTCTTTATCGAAAATAGCAAAGAGTACAATAGGAGCAGAAGTAAATAAAATATTATACAGTTAAAAAACCCAAATATCATATAAAAACTACCCAGAAAATCCATTATAAAATCCAAACCAAAACTAAGGTAAGACCAAAATTATATTTTTGTAAAAATTATATAAAACCAAACTACTATTTTTTCTATAAAATTCCCTTCCAAAATAAAGAACTAATCTAGATAAAAATTAAAATTCTCCAATAACGAAATCACTTGACTAGTTATTTTTTTAATAAAAAAAAATAAAAATAAAATATTTTACTCTAGCAGCTTATTATCCTTCTAAACCTTTAATTCCAACTCCAACATGAGCTCCAATAATCATATTTACATCATTTGCCCCATCTCCAATAGCTAGAGTGGTTATTGATGGATATTTTTTCCTATACATATCCACGATTTATCTTTTTTATTTAGGCGATACTCTACAAACAATCATAGAATCAGCATAAGAAGTTAAATGCATAAATTGGTGTAAGAATTTATTTTATACAGCTAATGAATCTAATGCACTTCCAGAAATTATCAAACATATTTTTATATCTTCGTTTGTTTCTTTGATTTCTTCTTCTATTTTAGATAGTCTAATTTCTATAGATTCCTGATTGATTCCGTTTTGAAAATCTAAGACTATTTTTTTGTAAGAAACTTCTATTATTTATGATAATATAGCAACGTTTATTGCTGTTTCTTTCTTATCTCCTGTTAACATCCATATTTATATACCTGCTTCTCTTAATTTTTAAATTGATTAAGGGACATTTTATTATAATTTATCTTCTATTGCAGTACATCCGATTATTTCTAAATCATTTTCGATTTCATTATATAATTAATAAACTTTAATATCTCTCTTTTAAAAATATAAAAATTTAATATATATATATATATATATATATATATATATATATATATATATTTTATTCATATTGTTTTTTTTTATTTACTATAATTTTATTAATAAAATTATATAATATTACTCTATAATCTATCAAATATAAAAAAGTTGGAAAAAATGATTGGTCTTTTCTGTTAATATTAATTACAATTTGAAAAAATTATTGTAAATATAAAAAAAACAATATGAATAAATAATATAAATCAATATATATAAATATATATAAATATATATATATATATATATATATATATATATTTATTAAAATACATATGTTTATATTTTTTTAATAATATATATTATTATATATAACTTTACATTTTTATCTAAAGAAAGCTTTGCTTCTTCGATTTAATAAACCCAATTTAAATATTATTTTTTTGATATAATTTTTTAAGCCAAAACCAAAGTTCTAAACCCTTATTTAGAAAAATCTTCCACTTGATTTCTAGTTTTTTCAAACCATCCGTTTTTTCTTGAATTATTACTTGCTGAATCAAAAATGACAGAATCAGCCCCTTTTGTATATATAAAATATTAATTATCATCATCTTTTTTTTGAAAAATGACAGACATTTTTTTCCTAGAACTTGTAAATTCTAATACATTACATATTTTTATACAATAACAATCTTCTTTTTCATTTAAAAATCCTTTTTTCAAAATTTCCATTTCGTTTTCTTCTTTTTTTCCAATAAAAATGCCTTATTTCTTTGCAAATTCATTTAATGATAAATCATCTTGCGAGCATGAATGAAATTTTAATTTTTTTTCTTTTTCGTCCCATTATACTATCACTTCTTAACAAATCACTAAAAATTTTAAAAAAGCTTCCAAATCTCCTTTATTTTGTTATAAAAATTCTTCATTTTCATCAAAACCTTTTTCACTATTACTTTAATTTTTTAATCCGAAATTTTTCCCTTTAAACCCAAATCCTTTAAAAACTAATTAATTACAAGTCAAAGTCCCTGTTTTATCAGTAAAAATAACACCAACCTAACCTAATTCTTCATTAAGACTTGAAGATTACACAACTGCTTTAACTCCTTCTTCTGATACCATTTTATAATCTCTATTTATTTTCATTCCTTAAAAAAACTTTACCATATCTAAAGTCACAAGTAATGATATAGGTATAAAATTTGTAAACAAAAGCATCCAAATTCCATAAACTTCCCAAAAAGACCTTTTTAGACCTTGTAAATTTTCACCAAAATAATACAAAAAGCTACTTTCGAAATTCAACATTGCACAAAGAATACAAAACATAATCTATACTAAAAAAACGACAATAATTTCTTTATTCATAAGTGCTTAAATAGTAGATTTTTTCCCTCTAGATTTAACTGAATTGAGCATAATTTTTGTCTAATGTCCAGTATAGACAACAACTCCAATAATAAATTCAGTTTATTTCAAAGTACACCCCCTTAAAATAAAATTATGGGATTCCAAAGGAGTTTGGATCATTTCATGTCCCCTTTAATGTTCAATAATTCCTTAAAATTTATATAAAAAAGGGTTTGGCTTTTCATATTTTAACAGACTATAAGTTTAGCAAACACAATTTTCATCTTTAAAATCTTCCAATAATTAATTTGGGACTTCTTTTGTTTTTAAATTTGTTTCTCCGTCTAAATTTTTAGTCTCAATGTAACATATTCCTTTTTAATGTTATTAAGAAGAATATAAAAGAATCATATCGGATGGTATTTATTCGTTATTTCTTACTTTTATTATATGGCCTATTCTAATGTTTTTGCTTTGGTCTTGTACAAATTTATTGTTTTTATAAATTAAGGTGGGTATTTGATTTTCTTTTTTGTCTTATTTATGTCTTTTTATTTTTTTTTAACATTTTTTTATTTTTTATTTTTTACCTTTTTATATCTTCATAAATGTCCTTTATTGCTGTTATAATAAGAATTACTAATAATGGAACATATATTACAGGTTTTCTTTCAGAATTTGTTATTTCATTGATCATTTGTAATAATCCAACTACCTTTTAATATAATTTATTTTAATATATAGCTATTATTTTTTATTTTTACTAAAAAATATAAGTTGGGAAGATTTGAAAATTATTCAAGTAAATTTAATGGAAGAAATGTTAAAATTGAATATTTTGCTGTATGTATTTAATTATTGCAAACATCGAAATCGGGTTTAGATGTATGTATTAATCTTTCTGGTTAAATTTACCATTCATCAGTATACTAAAAGGAAAAAAAAGGAAGTTCAATATTGTTTTTGTGATATTTATCTTTTTTTTATTAATTTTTTATTTTATATAAATTAAACCTTATTAAAAGGTATAATGATCAGACATTTCTAAAATTATTTTTTTTTAATATTTTTATATGATATTGAAAATATTATTAATTAAACAAATATATTTTATTTTATTTTTTTTTAAAAAAAATAATAATAATAAATAATTTTTTTATTTTATTCTTAAAATAATAGAAAAAAACAATTCATTAAAACATTTATAAATTAAATTTTTCATATTTTTTTTCAAGATCATCTAAATTTAAATAATTTATACCCATTAAACTTTAAGAAATATTAATATCTTATAAAGATAATTGTTCGTTTTCTTCTATATTTTAAATATCTTCTTAATCTTTATAATTATAATAACTTTGTTCTTTTTATTTTTAATTTTTTTATTAATCATCTTTATCTTTACATCTTTAACTACAATACTTTTTATTTTTATATATAAAAGCAGTATCTTCGATTATAATTTTATAACAAAACCAACAACTAATTTTTGTTGTCTAGAAACTACAAACAGTTTCGTTTTTATTAATATTAATTTATTTATTATTTTTTTATTTTAATTCTTCAATTTTTTTGAATATTTTAATCTAAAATCCAGAAGGAATTTTCATTGTTTTTAAAATTTCTTTATTTAGATCTTTAAGATAAATAAAAAAAAATTAATTCATTAAAATTTATTTTTATTTACTTAAAATATCATTTAATGAACAAATATTATTTTATATAAAAATTTATTAAAAATTTAATAAATTTAATTCTGAAAGAAACTCTTCCAAAAAATTAAGCTCTTTTATTTTGAAATAAAATAATAAAAAATATATAAGAATATTTGTTAGATTTTTATTAAATATTATAAAATAATTTTTCTAATTGAATTTTACTTAAATTGTTTTATGTAGATTATTATGAGTTTTAATGAACTTTTTAATTATTTTAAATATTGTTTTACTGAAAATTATTTTCTTTACTTTTATCAGGTTTATTTTATTAACTTTTCCATCTTTATCCGCTTTATTAAAGTCTTTAAAATATACTTAAGTTAAATATTACAATATAAAATTATTAATAAATTACATTTTTTATTACTATATTTAACTTTTTAATAAAAGTAATTTTTAATCAATTTAATTGCTTTAATCTTCAACTTTTTATAATACTATATTTCTTCAATTATATCATTTTAAAAATATTCAAAAATTAAAATAATCATATTTTTATTTTATTTTTGAAATACCTTCTTTTAATACTTTTTGATTGCATATAATAAATTTTTATTTTTTTAAAAAAAGAAAATTATTTAATTAATTTAATATAAAAAAATTAAAAAAAAAAAAAACCAAATAGATAATATAAATAAAAAATACATTATATTATAAGCTAACAATAAAAAATAGATATTAATTTAAATAGTAAAATAGTTTTAATAAATAGGTAAGAATCATATATTGAATAATAACAAATTTAAAGAATAAAATAAAAATATAATTAATTAAAATAATTAAATTTAATTAATAGATATTTAAAAGAAAAAATTAATTAATATTAATCAAAAAAAAAAAAAAAAAAAAAAATTATATATATTTTTTTTTAATAAATTATTTTTATTAGTTTAAATAGAATTATAAAAAAACAAAATACACTTACAAAATATTTATTTTTTTAAAAAAATATTTAAGAGAAAATAAAAAATAAAAAATTAGTCTCCTAAATAAAAAAATCTTTAATGATTCTTTTATTTTTTGCTTATTTCTCTTATAAATATATATCCTCTTTTTTCATTTTGCAACAAAGTTCTTTAAATGGGCTGCTTTTTTGGATTATAAACTTGCCCAAGTTTCTCCTTTTCTTTCATTATTGAGTTTAGTTACAGCTTTACCAGAAGTTCTTTTTACTTTTCTTTTTAATTCTTTGTAAGATCTTCTAGTGGAAATTTTTGCGGGTAAAATTTTAAGTTTTCTGAGTCTTGCAGCAGATTCGTATTTCAATAAATATTGTTGATTTTCATATACTAATGCAAATCCAGTTGATTTTCCACCACCAAATTGAGTTTTGAATCCATAAACAACAACGTTTCTATCGTCAACTTTAAGGCTTTTGGCTAAAATTTCTTTAACTTTATTACGAGAAACGGTAGCTTCACCAGGGTGTAAGACATCAACAACCATTTAACGTCTATTAAAAAGGGGATTTACTAAAATTTTTCTAGTTCTAATTTATACTGACATTTTTTTTTTATTTTATATTTTTTTATTTTATATATATATTTTTTTTTTTTTCCTTTTTAATTGCTATTTTTATTATTTATTGTTTGCTTTTATTTTATACTATGGATATTTTTAGTTTTTTTTTTTTTTTTATTTTTGTATATAAAGATTAAATTTTTTAATAAAAACTATATATATATATATAAATTTTATATATTGCCTTTTATTAAATTTTAATAAGTTAATTTAATGTTGTAATAATGATAGCTTTCTTTTATATTCTACACTTTATATATATATAAAGAATTATCAGATTATTTTGAATTTTAATAAGCTATCAAAATATTAAATTTAATAGTATATTTTTTTTTGTTTAAATAAAAAAATTAAATATCAAATAAGTTCAAAAAATAAAAAGCCTGTGATTTATTTTTTAATTCTATTTAAATATTTTTTGTTATTTAATACTTTTATATATAATATATAAATAAGAAATAAATATCTTTTTTAATATTTTTATAAAAAAAAAAAAATGTATAGTGCATCAAATAAAAATTAAATTTTTAAAACCCTAAAATATTATGTTTAAAAACGAAATATAAATGAGTTCAAAAGATATGTGAATACTAATAATATTTTAGATAAATCTTAAAACTATAAACCAGAATAAGTGACTGAATTAATGAATTTATTTTTAGAAACATAAATATATGAAACTAAATATTGGAATAATTTAAACGAAATAATAATTGATAAATTATAATAAATGAACATAGATTAACTAATAAAATCAGCCAATATTTATTCATAGATTAATGAAAATAGAATAGACAATAGTTAAATAAATATAGTTTGGAAAATTATTTAAGAACAAATTATTTATTTAAAAGATTAATTATATTAAGAATAAAACATAAGTCCAAATATAGGATCTTTGATGTATTCATTTAATAAAAAAGATAAAGGCGATAATGTTCTATGGAAAATGTAAAAATACAATATTTTTTCGTTTTTTATTTAAAATAAAAATAATAAGTTTAATTGATATATTCTTTAAAAGCATTAATATTTTAGATGAAAGAAACATGAGTCTTTCAATATATTCACTATCAAAAAGAAAAAGCCAAATAACATAAGAACATTTAATATAATTATAATAAATTCCAATTGAAAAAGTAGCACAATATTCATTAAGAAATTAAACTTTAATATTATACAGTTTTACTAATCTAAATATAGGATCTAATTAATTATGGGAAGAATTTGAAAAAATATTCATAAAGCACAAAATGGATGATTATTATAAAAAAGATATAACTTAAGTTGTATATTGCTTTTCATTAAATAATAGAGGAAGTTTAGAATTTTGGGATTATATGTATTAAACTATACTTTATAATTAAAAAAAGTTAGATTTAATCGCATTTAACTCAATAGTACACTCATTATAAGTCGCGTAAAAAGGGTCATTAGAGTTTTGGTAAAAAGTATCTTAATATGAAATAAAATCAAAATTAATAGATTATTAAAATATGAAAAATGCATTAAGCTATTTTGATGAAATTTTATATTTATGTAAAAGCTATGATAATTTAATTTTATATTCATCTTCTATTAATTATTAAAATCTTTTAAAAATATTTTAAAAATTCATTGAAAGTTAAAATTGTAAATAACTCATTTTGTAAAGTGTTGTAAGAATTTAATATCATTAAAAGTTTTATGAATTAAAACCTGATTTATTAAAAGTTAATATAGTTAATATTTATTTAGAAAAAATTCAAAACTCTAAAGATTTCCTTTAGTTATATATTGATTTTAATTATATTATTTTTTCTATTAATATCCAAAATTAGTTTTAGTCTTAATTATAAAATGCAAATTAAATGCTTATTTAAAATTTATAAAAATAAAAAAAACTAAAAAACTTTACAGAATTCCTTATTTAGTATATTTAAATATAACCTAATGCCCAAATCATCCTTAAGAGCATTAATTAGAATTATTAAATTTTATTTTTGAAAATATACATATATTTCTTAATTAAGATTATGATACTATAAAATGTTTTTCTTTTACTGCTTAGCATTTATCTGAAAATGAAATAAATTTTAAATTTCTTCTTTAAAAATTTCAAAAATAATAAATTATTGATCCATTAAAGCATTTTCTTTTATTGAGTATAATTTCTTTTAAAAATAGCATAGGAATTCTTAAAGAATAACTATAAAAGTTATTATAAAATAAAGAAAAAATATCTAATTTATAATAATTTGATTATTAAAAAACAATTCAATAATATGAAAAATAATATAATGATTTTGATTTTAATTAATTCTAAGAAGTATTTGATAAATTGTTCTTCCAAAATAAATAAAATTTTAAATTATTTTTTTAGAAAAAAGAAAAATGTGCAAATTAAAAGGAAATCGAATAATAATAGTATGCCGAAGAATTAAAAAAAACTCAAAAAAATGTATTTTAATGAATATAAAATATAAAGATAAAAATAATACTATAAAATAAAAATATAAAAATAAAAGTATAAACATAGTATCATATTTTAAATTATAATTATACATATATTATTAATTTAATTTTGTTTTGTTTTATTTTGTATTATGAAAATATTTGTTAGAAAGAAATAAAAACTTAGAAATTAAAATAATTATACAGTATAAATATTTTTTGTAATTAAAACGAAAAATAAATATTGTTTTTTATTCTTTATATATATATAAACATTATATTATAAAATACAGAAATCGAATTATAAAATATATTTATATAATATTAACTTCTAATTATAAAATATATGTATTGTCTATTAAAATAGATTACGGAAATAATTATAATATAACACTTTCGATAATTTATTATTTATTGAATTTCATATTAAATAAATATAAACATTTCATATATTTTGAACTTAAAATATATGATATTTATTATATATTGAAACTATTTTATATTAATTTAAATAAAATTTTAAAATAAAAAAAGTATAAAATAAATTTAAAATAATTATAATAAATAAAATATTTATTAAATATAAGATAACCCAAAAATTTATAATTTTATTTTAAATGACTACATATAACTCTTTAAAAAAGTAAAAGCATTAATTTTTTAAAAAAAAACATAAAAAATAAAAAAGATAAATGATAGTTTGTGATATTAATTAAAAATAAAAGCAAAATACATAACTTAAAAAAAGCCTTATTAACTTAACAATACAAACCTATAAAATAATAATATAAATGCAATAAATAAATTAGATTATAATTCTCAAAATTATTAATAAAAAAATCCAATAACACATCTAGGACATACTGAATTAATTCAAAAATAATAAAAGAAAAAAACCATGTTTTCTGATGTAGATAATATTCGTAATCCACCACCTTAAATGGAAACAAGAAAATCAACAAATGCAATTTATGGCTATTTACAAAAAGAAACTTAATAAAAGATTGGAAACCAAGTTAAAAGTAAAAACATATATTAACAAAAAAATAAACAAATAATTAATTGTAATAAATTATTATAATATTGTAATCTAATAGAAAGTTAGAGGCCAAATAAGCTGAACATTATGAAGTTTTTGAAAAAAAAGGTCTTAAAAGAACTTAAATTAATGTAGGAACTACATCCTCTACCAATCCTTTACTTGGTTGTGAAACTAAATTTATAAAATAAAGAAATTTATAGAATGTTGGAGTATCATTTATATTATATTTTAAAAATTACATAAATTTTTAAATAAGGATTAACTTATTTCTTATCAAACCTAATTTCTTTCTTAAAATAAATTTATTTTACCTTCTGATAGAGAAAATAATACAAATAATAAAAGAAAATATGATTAAAGTAAATTTTTTTCATCAAACTACTAAGATTAGAATAAAACAAGACCTACAGTCCCAGTTAAGTATTCTGGATAAGAAGCTAAAAATTTATTAAGCTATGAATATGCATTGCCTTATAATAATCATAAAGTATATATAATTTACATTATATTTTTTAAGATTTTAATTTGAATTTTTATTTAAACTATTATATTTTTTTATTATATATAGGAAGTAACTGGAAAAATAAATAGAAATAATATTCAATAAAATTATAATAGTGTTAATTAAAGTAATAAAAAAATATAAATAATTAGTCTAAATTTATAATATTCTTTATTAATAAAAAAAGCAACATTATAATGATTTTACTTATTTTAAGAAATACTATAATAATTATTTTTCAATAAATATTAATTTAATATTATTTAAAAAAAATATATTTTAAGAAATTTTAAATTTTTAACACACACAAGCACACATATATATATATATATATATGAAATTTTAATAAATAAATATAAATTTTAAATTACTTTTATAAATATTTATTTATGTTTATTTTAAAACAAAAAATAACAAAAATTATTTTTTTGGAAAAAAAAAAAAATGAATAAAAATATTGATTTAAAATTTTAAAAACTAAAAGAATTACTTGAAAATACAAGTGAAAACCAGTTACAAATAAAATTATCTGAAAATGAATATCTTAAATAAACAATATTATATAATAAATTAGGATGTGTCTATTTTTAATCCCAATTATTTGAAAAGGCAAAGATATTTTTATTAAAATCATTACAAATAAAAGAATAAAAATTACCAGAATTAACCTATTCAAACATACATATGAATTTAGGAAACTTATATGCTTAAGAAAGAAATTATTAAAAAGCAATTGAACATTATTTAAAAGTAATAGAATAATCGACTTTTAATTTATAAAATTAAAATAAAACATATGAAAAATATGAACTTAGTAAATAATTAAATTCTTTTGAAGCTTTTGTCGATTCCCATACAAATTTATGTATATAACTATAAATTATAAAATATAAAAATAAAAAAAATAGCTGTAATGTATATCTAAATAGGAGAAAAAGAAAATTCAATAAAATATTGTTTGAAAACTTTAGAATTAAACCCAGAAAACATAGAAAGTAAAATTAATTTAGGAGATATATTAAGATAATTTGGAAAATAGGCAGAAGCAATAGACATGACTTGGAAATGTATAGAAAGTTTTTCAAAATAATCCTTAAATAGAGAATATAAGCGTCCAATATAAATAGATATATAAGAATTAAATCAATAAAATATTAAAAGCAAAACAAATATTAATACAAATATAATCAACATAATATGTGTTAAATGGGGAACTAGATACGATTCTGAATATGTAAATAAACTTTATAGAGGAATAAAAAGAAATACTACAAAACAATATTTCTTTTATTGCTTTACTGATAATAATGAAGGACTAGACTAAAATATAATTCCTGAAAATCTATAAGAAAACTGGCCTAAATGGTGGGGAAAAGCGACTTTGTTTTCTTTAGAAAGCCAAGATCTTTAAGGTGATATGAACTTTTATATAGATTTAGATATGATAATAACTGGAAATATAGATAATTTATTAGAATACTAAGTATATATTTTTTTCAAAGAAATTATAGATTTATTATTTTTTAAAAAAGGGAAATTTTGCAATTTTAAATACAGGCGATATTGCTTGTGAAAAACAACATAAAAATGGATATAATAGTAGTATAATAATTTGGAATAAAAAATGCAACTAATTAAATTAAATATATAATGAACTTAAATAAAATTATAATATAATTACCAAATTTATTGTTAGATTTGATTATTGGTTAGAAATGAATATTTAAAATGCCGATTTTATATAAGATTTATTTCCTGGGTAAGCTTCTGATTATTTAAAAGAGTGTTAATAATAATTACCTTAAAATACTAAAATTGTTTGTTTTCCAAGAAAACCTAAACCTGAAGATTATCCTTCTGAATGGATTAAATAATATTGGATTTGATGGATATGTAATCTTAAAAATTTGTACTTATTAAAAAATTAATACAGAAATAGATTATATAATTAATTTAATTTATTTAAAATTATAGTATCTTTTAAAAAAAAAAATTGCCTTAAATAAAATATATTTTATAATAATTATATATATATAATATTATAAAAAAAAGAAATAAATAATTTTATATAATTTAAAATATAAGCTTAAAATATTAATATTCAAATTTATAATTGAATTTTGTTTTTGTATTTCATTAATATTTAATAAAACTAAAATTAAAAAATGTAAAAAAAAATAAAAAATATACTAATATTAAAAAATAATAAAATTAAAAAAATAAAAATAAATGTATTTTAATAAAAAATATTTGTAAATATAAAATATAATTAAAATAAATTAAAAAAAATATTTTATAAATAAATTTAATATTGAATATATAAATAATTTTATTATAATAAAATATATATAAAAAAAATCTATCAAATACATATAAAAAATAATAAAAAATTTTTATTTTAATATTAAAGAAATAAATATGCTTTTTTTTTAAAAAAACATATAAAATAAAAATAAATAACTCAAAATAAAAATATAAAAAATATATTATAATAATTAAAAAATAGTAAATAGAATAATAAAAATATTAAAAATAATATTAACAAAAAAATATTAATCATTTTATATTAAATATAAAAATATATAAATAAAATTATAATATTAGTAATATTAATAATATTAAAAATATTAATAAAATATATAATATAAATAATATTAATAAAATTAATAATATTAATAATATTAATATAATTTATAATATTAATAATATTAATAATATTAATAATAATAATAATAATAATTATAATAATAAAAAAAATATTAATAATATTAATAATAATTTTATTATACTTATTATTGATATATATATTATTTTAAAATTAATAAAAATATAAATAATATTTGTATTATATTAAATATTATTATTATTTTAATAATATAATTAATCATTATTAATATAACAAAATAATATTAATACATAAATTTAAAGAATTATATAATTTTCTTTTTTTTAAATTAAAATTATTATGTTTTTTAAAATTTTTAAAAATAAAAAAATAGATTTTTTTTATTTTTTAACATTCAAAAAATGGTGTAAAATATCTAATTTTAATAATATAATATTTATATATTATTATTTATTTAATAATTTTTTGCTTTAATTATATTTTTTTTTTAATATAATATATTAATATTTTATTTATTTTTAATTTTTCAATAATTTATGATTTTTTTTTTTTAAATTAATATATTATTATATTTAAATTTTCTAAATATTCCACTTTTTTTCTATTTTTATTTTATAATAATTTTTTTAATCTTAATTATTTATTTAATTTTTGTTGTTTCATTTAATTATTTTTTATTACTATTCATCAATTTATTTTTATTATTATTTTTTTTTATTTTATTTTTAAATATATTTTATTTTAAATTTTAATTTTTATTTGATAAATATCTTTTCTTTTAATAAATTATTTTTAATTATTCATTTTTTTTATAAATATTATAAAGATATTTTTTAAAATTAAAATATAAATTGATAGATTAAAACATAAATATTAAATAAAAAAATAAATATAAATAATAAAATTACTAAATATATATTTTTTTCTAAAAATTATCACATATATATTTTATAAAAGTGTATCATTTATAAATTATTTCTATATTTTTCAGCTTGTATTACTAAAATTTTATTTAGAATTAATTAAATATTCTAATGAATCTTAGCCTATGCTTTTATTTTTTCGTTTTTGTCTTTAAAATACTAAATCTATAAACTTGTAAACATTAAAACAATACAAATACCTCCAATAATAGTTTTATTATTATTCCATTCATTATTTTTGTCAATTAAATAATATATAGCATTTACAAACCTATTTGTACCATAAAAAATAGGTATAATAATGTTAGAAAAATCTCCAAATTTAAGTAAATCAAAAATAAGTACAATCGGAACTCCGATTTCATATATTGATTTTATACTTGATTAAAAGAATCCAGTAAAAAATAAAAAACATAATCATTTATTTTTTATTAGAAAACAGCCAAAAAATAAGAAATTGTTAATCCAATTAAAGAAATATATGATATTCTTTATATAAAAACTTAATTATATACGTCTAATATTTATCCATGAAAAATAGTTCCTAATATTCCTGCTATTGCGTAAATTAAATTATAATAATATTGAACATTTTTATCTGTGAAAAACTACAAATTAATATCATCAAAAAGCAAACTTATAATTTATAAACAAATAGATGATATTATGAAAAATATAATTGATTTTATATATTTAAGATATTAAAAAATAATTAATTTTTTGTTTATTTTATTTATATTATCTTCGCCTATTATGCTTACTTTTTAATGATAAGAGTCTTAAAATATAATGTTTTTTAATATTACACTTTGCCTTTGTAATTTTTTATTATTTTCTTAAATTTATTCTTCTTCACTTATTCCTCCTAAATTAATAATAGAAGGTTTTCTTTAAATTATTAATCCTAAAAAAGTACAAATAAATAATTATATGAAAATAATATGTGAAATGGTATTATCTTTGGTTTTTGTTTTTTGTTTAAAAAGTAATATTTTTATATAAAAAAATATATGAGTTTTACAATATAATTAATGTGTATTTCTTATATAATAATTGTTTTAAATTGGTATTATTATGATTAAAAACTAATTAAAATAATAAGTTATGCCGACATATATTATAAGTTTTTTATGGCTAAACCAATTTTTCATCATAATTAATAATTTTCCATATAATATAGATCTACATAAAGCAAATTAAATCAGAAAAATTATTCTTTTATTTTTTTTTTTATTATAATTTATAAATACTTAAAAATATATTGATTATTTATTACTTTATATAAATTTTGTCTAAAAAAAATTCAATGTCAAATATAAACCATATAAATATTAAAAATTATATTAACAATGTTGATGATATGATAAAAGCATTATCTTTCATTACTATATAAGGAGCAACCGTAAAAAAAAATAGACCTTCTAACATATAATAAATAATACTATATTCATTATTTTCTTTCGCAGATTCTTATGAATAGTTAAAAATTAAAATTAATGTTAAAATAATTTTAGTTTTTTTATAGTTTATAAAAAAATCATATACATTGAATTAAATATATTAACCAATGAACTGATTAATGTGAACAACTTAAACACATTCCTACAAATATACCAACTAATATCCTGTATACTTAAAGTTGTTTAAATTTATGCTATTTTAAAACTGAAGATTTAAAAGAATCCATAATTAAAAAAATAAAACAAAAGTTGATTTTTATAAATTAAAATAAGAAATATAAAATATTAAATATTAATATAAATACATAATATATTAAATTTTAAAAATAATAAAAATTATACTATAATAAAAATATAAAAGTTAGAATAAGAATAAAATATTTTATCAATTATAATTGATAAAATACATTTAAAATTTTATATATAATTATCATTTAGTAATAGGTATAAATAATTAATAATATACATATTATATATGTCATTTATAAGAATTAATAAATTGATATTATTTTTAATATAATTATATTTTATTTTTTACTTTTTTATTAAAAAAATAATATAAACAAAAATATTTTTAATAAATATATATATATTTTTTTTTTAAATGTCAAAAAAATAAGTCAAACTTATAATTGAAAAGCTCAAAGCATTAAATGCAAAGCCATAAATAATAAAGGAAATCGAGGAATGGACAAAACGCAAATAATAAAATTTTATAGATGCCAAAACGATAAGTTAAGAGTTAGTTAAAGTATTATATTTAACAAAAGATTCGACAGAGCTAAGTAAATAAATGCAAACACTTATTAAAAATTTGATAGATTATCTTCAAGCAAATACATATAAATTTAGAAGAATAGCTTTGTTTTTATGGATTATATATAATTTTTTTAAAATAATTTGCTTTTTATCAAAATTTGATAATATTGAATTAATAAAATATTTATTAAGATATTTAAGATTGCTTTATTTTTTTAATTATTTAGGATATTCTATAAAAAAATCAATTACTAGTTTTAGAATGTTTGAACTCTAACGATAAATTTTAGTTTTATTTTTAGTAAAATAAATATAAATATAAATAAAAATAATTAAATTATATATATTTATTATATAAAAGATATTATTTATTGAAAATGTTATTGATTTAACCCTTAAAATCTGGAGAAAAATTAATTAAATGAATAATTCATCTGTTTAAGCTAAATATTGCTATAAATTTACATTAATAATATTAGGCTATATATATTTAAAGGAATTAAAAAATTAAATTAAAAATTTAGCAATATTTAATGAAAAGATAATTGAATTTGTTATATAATTAGCAAAAATTATTTGAATTAAAATTATAATCAAAAATTTTATTAAATTCATATTTTTTTCAAAATATTTTTAATATTTTATTAAGTTATTTAATCGCTTAAAATAAAGCCAAATAATTATATAATCTATTTTACTTTTTTTAGGATTAATTATATTTTATTTTTAAAAGTTTCAATTATGAAAACATAAATATTAATTAATTAACTAAAGAAATAGTTTATATTAAGACGATTTTTGTTTATTTTTTCATTTAATCTAGTTTCTTAAAAAAAATATATATTTTAAAAAATATAGTGAGCTAAGCTCAAAAAATCATAACTCTTAGTCTTTTGAATATTTATTCATCTCTATTGAATTTTTTTTGTTATAATTTAACAAAAAAATCAATAAAATCTTATTAAATTATATTATATTTTTACTTATTTTTTTATTTAATATATTTTTCTTTAAAGTATTCATTAATTTAAGGTTTTCTTGTTATTTTTTCTAACATACTTATATTATTTAATATAAAAAATGACTTAAAAAATAAAATATTTTCGTTAAAAAAATTATATTTAAATAAAACTATATAAATTAAAATATTAAAAATATAAAAAATCTTAATTTTTATTATTATATAATTATTTTAATATCAAAACTTAAAAAATTAATATCTTAAAAAATATATATATATATATATAATTAAAATAATTATTTAATATGGAAAACATACTCAAAAAAATAACTAACTTAATTTAAGAAAATAAAAAGACACTATTAATAGCTACAGCAGCAGGAGCAATATCATATGCATTATACCATGTAAATAATTAAATGCAAAATATAAATCTTTTAGAAGAGAAAATAGAAAATTGCAAATTAAATATCAAATATATAAATGTTTAAGGATATTAAATTTACGATATAGATACTTTGTGTGATATTTAATTAATTTTAGTTGAATTAGCAATTCCTGAATTTTAAGAATTTGCTTTACAAAATAGAAAATGTATTTGTTTTAACAAAAAAATGTTTATTTAAATAAAAAAATAAAAAATAGAAAGAAGAATAACTTTAAAAAATGGAAATAAAGAATAATATTTTAATTTTTTAATTAGTTATAATGAAAAAATGTTAAATTTAATAGGAGAATAATTAAAAAAATTAGAAAAATATGAAGTTTTTACTGAAAAATAAATGAGTTTATCCATTTAATATTTTATAAGGGACCCTAAATATTAACAAACAATTTTATAATCATTATTAAGATTAAAAAGTTCTATATAGACAACTAAAAAACTTTCAATGGTAGACGGATAATCAATATTGGAATATTTAACATAATACGTAAATTAAAAACCTTAAGATCTTATTGATTTTGTAAAATATAATGTTAAATAAAATTCCAAAACTTACGGTTAAATATATCCTAATGCAAAAACATTTCTTTTTGATATTTTGTATTTTAATTATGGGTTTGAAGAAGAAGACTATTTGCAAAAATCTATAACTTAAGAATACAGTGAAAATACTTAAACTTAATTACTATAAAAAGCATTTACATAAACAATATATGATTTTATTGAATAAAATAAAAATATATGATTTTTATTTATTTATTTATATATAATTTTAATCAAATTTTTATAAAATTCGATTTGTTTGTTTGTCTATTTTTTATTTTTTATTTTTTTATAATAATTTATATGTTTATTAATTATTTTATTATTATATATTATATATTATATATTATATATTATATATTATATAAATATATAAATATATAAATATATAAATATTAATAATTATAAAAAACAAAAATTATTATATTTTATTTAATTATTATAAAATACATTCATTTATTTTAATATTTTTTATAATAATTTAAAAATATTAAATTTTTATTTGATACATCGTTTTATTTTAAATATCATTTTAGTTATATATTTAAATATATTAAATTTATAGTATTTATATATCTTAATAAAAAATTATCACTACAAAAATAGTCATAAATATTATTAAATTTTTGCAATTTAATAAATATTTTTAAAATATGTATTAGCAGGAATATAATATATATAAAGGAAAATCAAATAATATAAAATTTTTAAAAATATATATAAATATTAAACAATTTTTTCTATTTTAATAGTATTCAATCACTACTAAGTTTTAATTTGAATTATTTTTTATCATTACTATTTATTAATAATTTGTTTTCTGAATTAAGACTTACGCTAAAAGATGATTATAATTCTTTCTCAATAGTAGATGAATATTTCATATTTAATTCTTAAAAAATCGTAGAAGGCATTTAGGAGCTAACAAATTAATTAGGAATAACTTCTTATAAAGTCTTAATAAGAATTTGTTAGCAATTGATGTCTTCACTAATAATTTTAATGAATTATATATTTTTCTATGTATTTTTTCTTTTTTTGCAAAATAATATATTGATTTTAGCATAATTTTAGATATATTTTTAATACTTTGATTTTTAATAAAAATGAACGGAAAACAAACCGAACAAGCATCTAATTCATCATTAGCCATTTTTAAACATTTTAATATCGAATTTTGAATTTACTATACTTTATTTTTTCTTTTTTCTTCACAAATCTTACAATGAATTATACTATATATTAATAAATTTCCACCATGAGTGCAAAATAATTGATTATAATTTAACTTTTTGAATCTTTTTAAATAATTTTATATTTCTAATTCTAAAGATTTTCCGGCTAAATCAAATAAAAATCTTTATTAATTATTTTCTATTTACATATTCTCGTTCATCACATTTACTAAGATATCAGAATTATCAAAGGCACAATATCCAGAAAGAATTTAAATTTTGATTTCTTCTATTTATGATTCAGCTAATATTTCGCAGTGTCTTTTTCCAGATATAACATTATTTATTTATTTTTATCCTTATGTTAAGCATAGGTTTCCCATTATTTTTTTTTATAATTTATTATTATATTTCTTTAAAAAAAAAGGGAAAATAAAATAATATTGTAATAAAAATTTTATATATATGAATATAAAATTATTTAATGCTTTAAATAAGAAAAAGAATAATTTTTATTTTAGTATTTGCTGAAATAATTTATTATTATTAAATAAAATTTTTAAAATAATAAGAAAAATATATTTGATATTTTAATAAATTAATCTCTATATAAAATAATAAAATAAAAATTATCATAATAGTTTATATTAAGAAAAAAAATATTGATTTTTTTTATTATTTTAATAAGTTTAATAAAATAATAATTATAAGTAGATATTTTTAAATAAATTCATAAATAATCATTTAATTTGTAATTTTTATATAATTTTATATGATATTTATTTTAAAACATTAAGAATATATTAATAAAATATATTTTTAATTTATATATATATAAATAATAAATAATATTATTTAATATAAGTAAAAATAATACATAAAAATCAATTTTATTAATTTTATATTAATATATAGAAAAAAGAAAGCAAAAATAATTATATATTACTAAAAATATATATAATTATTCTTATTTTATATTTATAATTAAATGTTAAATTATATTTTTTAACATATAAATAAATATATTGTAAAAATATTTTAATTATGGATTTTAATTTAAAAATTTATATAAAATAATAATAAAAAATATTTAATCTATTTTCTATTTTAATATTCTTTTAGTTTAAAATTAATTATTCTAATTAAAATTTAAACTAATAAAAATGATAAAAATAAAAAATTTATATATTTAAAATTAATATTTATTTTAAAAACTTTAATATCTAAAATAATAATGAAAAATTCATATGAATAAAAAGATTGATATATATATATATAATTAAATATATGTATATATATATTTATATATAAATAAATATCTGTATGTTTTTTTTATATATTTTTTTTCTTATTTATATTAAATATTTAATTTGTATTTTTTTTAATTAATCTTATTTTTTTAATTAATTTTTTTTCAAAATTTTAAATTATTAAAACAGTTTGAAATAAATATAAATATTATATATAATTTTTATATTATTTCGAATTTACAAAATATTTTTCATTATAATTCATAAGTTCCTTATATTTATTATATTAGTTATTTTAACAAGCATTAAGAAGTATCTAATTTTTCTATTTACTATATAGAAAATATTGGAAAAATAATGTTAAGTTATTAATCAATATCTAAATTAAAAAAATTATATATATTTTATTTTTTTATTAGAAATTAAAAAATACCCTGCAATTAAATCTCCTTTTAATTTGATTTTAATAATTTTTTTTAATCAATTTTAGAAGTAGATTATTCAAATTATTCTGATGGAGTAAGAAATTTCTCAGTTCTTTTTTGAATATTATTTTATGGTTTTTAAATATTGAAGGATGTTAAATTTGTATCATATTTAATTTATTAAATTTTTCTATGAGGAGTAATAAAATCTTTTTAAATATTTTTTTCATTTATTTAAGGCAATTAAAATATTTAATCTTTTTCACTTTGATTCGTATTCTCGTTATGTATTACATATTTTCTTTTACTAATTTATTATGTCTATTAAGCTTCTCTTTGATGTTTTATTCTTCTTTTAATTGTGGAGTTCCAATGGTTTTTTATAGCATTATCAGTCCTTCCCGGTAAGAATTTAGCAATAAGTGCCCATTTATTTCCATTTCTTAAATAAATATAATAAATTAAAAAAGAAAAAAAATATAAATACATCTTATGTGCATTAATAATTTTCTAATCTTCTTCTTCTGTCCATTTTTCTTTTTTAATTTAAGGATTTAAATGATTATGCCATCTAAAAAATAATAAATTAATAAATATATAAATATGGTACCTTTCTCTGCATTATTTACCGATTCTTCCTGGTAAATATTTAGCAATTTAACTCCACTTTCTTGGTCCCTGTTTTAATACTAATTCAGTTACTTTCTAATCTTCTTCTTTTGTCCAGGGACCTTTTATAAGAGTAGGATTAAGGACTTTTTACCATCTATGTAAACATTAAACATCTGTGCGGTCTGGAAAATGGCTTGCTATTTTTTTCCAATTTTTAGCCCCATGTTATTTAACTAACTCTTTTAAAAGATCATCTTCTTCTTATTTCCACCATTTTTTATATATATATTGATTTTAACTTTTTTATGATGCTTCTAACGAAAGTTTTTCATTTATTTATAATTTTTGAGGGGATGCATTATTTATTTATAAAGAATTATTCACTATTACAGCTTCTAGTATTCTCATAAATACATTTGTATTTAGTAATTAATTTTCATCAAAATAATTTTCCAAAGTATAAGATTATTCTTAGTTATTTTAATTAAGTGAGTATGTTGAAGAATTTATTTAATTCATTTTTTTTTTATTTATTTTTTATTATTATTTTTCTGTTTGTATCTGTTTTTTCCTTTTTAAGTTTTTTTTTTATTTTATTATTTTTTTAAAAAAAAATTAAAAATTTGTTGACACAATTTATAAATTTGTATTTAAATTTAATTTTTTTAATTTTTTTTTAATTTTTTAATAAGAATTATAATTCGGTTATAGTTTATATATATAAATAATATATATATATATATGTATTTTTAAATTAAATATATATGTAAAACTTAAAAAAATAAAAACATTAATATATTTTTATTTTAAAAAGATATAAAAAAAAGGAAATATAAATAAATAAATACTTTTTTATTGTTAATAATATATTATATTATCATTTATTTTCTTATTATAAATAATAATATTTTTATCCTCCTGTTTCTATATTTAGAGAATTATTTATAGAAGTCACTTTTTATTAATAAATTTAATTTTTATTATTTTCTATTATTTTAAGTTACTTAATAATATATTGATCCATACCTTTATAAGCCTATTATATTTCTTTAATTCTATTATTTTCTTTATTCATATTTTTAATATAAGTACTTTCATAATTTTTGATCCCGTTATTATCTATTCTAGGAAGTTTTGATAATTTTATTAAAGGTAATTTATTTACTACCTCAGTTTTTATATTTTTATAATATAAATCATTTATATTTTTTTAAGTTTATTTAGATAAACTTTTATGATGTCCTTCAATATTTAATAAATTTTAATTAATAATATTTTCTTAAATTAATTTAGGAGAAACAAAATTTAATTGCTATTTTAATTAATATTATTATTGATTTAATTATAATATTTAAATTTTTATTAATTTTATAATAATTGTTTATTACTATTTTCATTAATTTTATAATTTAATTAAATATTTTTCTTTGATGATACAATTTAATTATTAATAGAATCAAACTTTTATTAATATATTTTTTTAGTAAAATAAATATATATATATTTATATATATATTTATATATATTATTTATATAAATATATACATAAATATATATAAATAATACTTTATTGTTATCTAAGATTTAATTAATTTACTTTTTATTTTTTTAATTAAGAATTTAACTACTATTAATTATTTCATTAATTTTGAGATTTTTTTTCTTTTATTTGTTTTATTTGATTATTTAAGAGTTATTATTATCATTAACATTTTATTAAATTTCACTAATATTATTATTTGTCATATCTTTCGATAAATTTAGAATTCTACTTATATTATTATTATTATTATTATTATTATTATTATTATTATTATTTAAAATATTTATATTTTATGTATTATTTTCATGAATACTTAAATTATTATTAAATAAAGAACTTTCATTATTAGATTTAAAATCAGGATGCTACGAGCTTACAGAAAATGAGTTTTAGTTAATGTCTATATTATTACTTTTTATTTTCGGGAGCATTATTTTATTTGGAGATTCGCTTTTTTTTTCTTTATTTATTTTATCATTCCTTATTGTCTATAAAAAAAATTATTTGTCTACTTTTTATAATTTCATAAGATTATAGTTTGGCCTTGGTAATTTTTCTGTTAAATAATGTAAAGCTTTTGGAAATTTTATTGTTTTTAATAAAAAAGGAATTCCTTCATCAGCTTCCAATAAATGATTTTCATTTATTCTTTTTACAACTTCTGGTAATTATAGAATTTTATCTTAATAATAATAAAAATAGATAAATTTATTATTATTAATTTATATTTTTTACTTGCAGAAGGTCTTGCTTAAGGTTAAACTTAAAGTAATAAAGCAATTACATTGGATAAATCTTGGGAAAAATGATTATGTATTTTCGGATAATGTCCTTTTATAACTTTTTTATATAATCCTTCCATATCTTCCGCCCGAAAAGGAGGTTTTAACATCGTCATTTCATAAAGTACGCAACCTAAAGACCATATATCTGATTTAGAATCGTAAGGTTTATCTTTCCAAACTTCAGGGCTATTATTTATATTAATTTTAAATATATTTTTTATATTAAAAATATACCTTGCGTAATATGGTGTGCCTGTTTGAGTATATAAAATACCTTATTTTGCTATTTTAGAAACATTCATATCACCTATTTTCACAGAACCATCTTTATTTAAAAATATATTAGCACTCTTTTATTTAGAAATTTAAAAATTTATATTTTATTTTAATTTATACTTTTAAATCTCTATGAAATATTTTTAAATCGTGTAAAGATTTTATTCCCTTTACCATCTTTTTTTTTATATATTTTTTTTATTTTTTTTCTATAATTACTTAAATAAATATATTCCAAATATCATTTTCTGAGAATAATTGTTTTTTCTTTTAGTGATCAACTATTTTTTAAAATAAATCGCCATCATTAGCATATTCGATTACTATACTTTAAATTTACATTAAAAAAAAAAATATATATATATTATCAACATAATTAATTAAAATAAATGTTTATTGATTCAAATAATAATAAAAACAATACCATAAGAAACTTGTCATTTCGTCAAAAAAAGCTTCTTTATATGCAATTACATTGTTTTGTTTAACTGAAGCTAAAATTCTAATTTCATTTAGTGCATTTTCTTTTTCTTTATCATTAAGGTTTTATATTTTTACTTTTTTTAATGCATATTCTTAATTATCAACTACTCTTCGAACTTTATATACAGTACTGTAAGCTCCCTCGCCTATGCATATTATAATTTAAAGAAAATAAATTTAAATATTTATATGTATATACAAAACCTATTTTTTATATGATTTAAAAGTCCTAAAGCGACATTAATTTAATATTATAATTAATTAATTTTTATTGATAATAATATTTGTTAAAAATATAAAAAATAATAATTTAACTATTTATATATAAAATAGTGAAATAATAATAAAAGCAGTTATTTATATAAATATATAAAATAAAATTATCTAAATTATAAAATTCTAAGTTAAACTTTAAAACTAAAAATATTTAATTTAAAATTATATTTTTAGTTAAAATAAATCCAAATTATGTTTTTATTTATGTTTTATATTATAATTTTTATTAGAGAACATTAGTATAGTTTATTATAGTATCATATTTATTTTTGGAATAGAATTTATATTATTTTATATAATTAAATTATTTTTAATTAAAATTAATTTGATATTCTTTATTTAAAATATGAATATAATTTTATAAAAATTATTAGTAAATTATTTTAAGATTTTTGTTTTAAAGTTATTTTGAAAAAAAAAATTAATGATAAAAAAATAGTATTCTATGTATTAATTTAATTTAGTAATAAAAAAAATATGATAGCAAAAAAAAAAAAATATAGATTTTATATATAAATTTAAATAAAGATTGGTTGCTAAGATTATATATATATATATATATATATATATAATATTATATAATTTATTTTTTTTCAATTTATTATATTAAATTTTTTAAAAACTATCAAAATTTATTATTATCTTCCGAAAAAAAAATACTTATTTTTATTTAAAGAAAAATTAAAATAAATTCTTAATCATTTAATATATTTGGGGAATTATTTTTTTTTTATTTTTATGGTAAAATTTAATATTTTAATACTTATTAATTATTATTTATTCTGACTTTTTTAAAAAATTTAAAACGAACAAGAACAAATAAAAAAAGAAATAATCTAATATATAATATTATTTAAGAAAAAAATAAAAAAATAAAAAATTATATTCAATGTAATTTCTATAGAGCCACGATACATTTAATATTAATTAGTAGCGTTAAGATGATGAAAAATATTTTCATTTATTTAATTAATAAACAAAAGAATATATACTAGAATAGTTAGATATATATTTTGAAGCTGCGAGACAATATATGTAATAATAACAATTTTTGAATGTACAAAAATTAATATAAATAAATAAATAAACTATTTAAAAATAATATTATAAAAAAGGCTTAAAAGATGTACGAAAATATATTGAATGCAGTTCCAAAAAATAAAAAGGCATGTGTCTTGTTAGCAAGATGTTAATAATTAAATGAAGAATACCATAAAGCTGTTTTATTTTATATTTATTCTTTAAAAGTAAATGAATAAGCAAAAAATGATCCTTATATATGGTATAACTTAGGTTTATGCTGTTTTAAGGTAAAAATAATATATATATATATATTATAAAATAAATAAAGACCGAAAATTATAATTTTTCTGAACAATCATTTAAAATAAGCATAAATATCGATAAAGATTTACATGTAAAATTACCTATTTATTTGTATTTGGGGTTGATAAATAAATATAATATGCGACATAAAAATTCTATTGAATATTTTGTAAAATCACTAAATGATTAATATTAAACTTTACAATCGGCATCAATAACATTAATTAATATAGGTTAATAATTAGAAAACATAGAAGAAGTTTAAAATAAAATAACTATTTTATTTATTATTTTTTAAAAAATAGTATGATGATGCTATCTAATGTTATAATAAATCATTACATTTAGAAAATAATAATATTCTTGCATTAAAATGCATCAGTTGGCTTTATTTTTAAACTGATAAACTTGAAGAAGCATAAAATATAATTTGTTAACATGTTAAATAGTTCAAATATGACTATGAATGGTTTTTTATAAAAACACATATTCATTTAAAATAGGGTTAATATAAAGAAGCATTTTAGTCAATTGAATAAGCAATACATATATCTGCTAATAATTCAGATAATTATACATTATTAGGAATACTATTTAATAAAAATAATATGGTAACAATATATTTTAAATATTTTTTTATTATATAAATAAATAATATAAAAAAAATATTTCTTAATTCAATAATATAAAGGGATTTATTATATTTTTTATATATTTGAAAAATAAAATAAAAATTATTTAATTTAATTTATAATATATATATATATATATATATATATATATATATGTATATATATATATATATATATATATATATATTTTTAAAGTTAATTTATATTTAAATTAATTAATTAGTTAATTATTATAAATTTATAAAATAATTATAAAATTTATATAAATTTTAATAAAAATTATAATAATTTTTAATATTATTATTATTTAAATAAATATTTAATTTTAAAATTTTTTAATAATAGAATTCTGATGCATTTTAAAGTTTTTAAAAAGCATACTTGATGGAACCATAAAAAACTGAAAATTTGTTTAACATGGCGTTAATAAATGAAGCTGCCAAAAATTATTAAGAAGCATTGAATTTATATTCAAAATTATTACTTTTAGACCCTTAAGATTGTGTAGTATTATAAAGAAAAGCATGCATAGAATCTTAAAACTATTAGAATTTAACGGATTATTAGTAAAAATATAATAAAAAAAATATATATAAAAAAAAGAATTTAAATGAAAATGCCTCCATTTAAAGTAAATTCTAAATTTTGGATAGAAAAAGCAACAGACAATATTCAATATAAACTAATAATAAATAATTTATTAAATAGTGAAAAAAAAAACTTTTTTAATTAAGCTAATGAAAAAATTAATTTTGTAGAAAAACCAATTGCAAATGATAAGTAAATAAATCCATTCGATTTATTTAACAATAAAATGTCTTAAAATGATATAAATTTTGATTACAGAAAAAATTCAGCAATAAGTAACTTTTCGCCTTTTAAGAAAATATAAAAAGAATCTTTTGATTTTGGACAAAATAATAATTTCTTTCATAATGATAATAATATAAATATAAATAATAATAATAATAATAATAATAATAATAATAATAATAATATTGATAATAATTTTAAAGATAAATGAAATTGTTTATATTTTATATATTTAATTATTATTATTATTTTTTTTATAATTTTTGGAATTTATTTTTTTATTTATTATTATATTAATATTATACTGTTTTATCATAATTTTTTTTTATTTTTTTCTAAAAAAATTTTTTAAATACCTTTTTATTTAATTTCTATTTATTTATTATTCTAAATCATTTATTATTTATATTTTTATTAAAATATAATTTACTATGTAAAATTTGGTTAATTATGATTTTTTTTTTAATATTTTATTATATTTAAATTTAAGAGATTTAGCAATATGTGAGCAAGTTAATATTTAGTGGAAGTATACAATAGAAAATATTTATACTTGGCGTAAATTATAAAGCAATTAATAAATTAATTAAAAATATAGCGATAATTAAATAAATTACATAATTAAAAAACTGATAAAATATAAAGATAACATATAAATTTTAATAATTCATAATCTATAATTTAATTAATTTTATTAAGTTATATCTACAAATAGTTTTGACAATTTAAAAAAGTTAGAATTGTATTTTCCAGAAAAATTAAATTATTTATAAGGTTCTCTTCTAGCCTTACTTATTGTAAAATAATGCAAAAATTTAGTTTCGATAAAAACTTATAATTAATTTTTGACTGATGAAAATATGGAATGTTTTGAATGTTTGATTTATTTAAAGAGTTTCAAAATTATGTGTGATGATAATAGTTTTTAAGGAAAATTATTACCTTTGTTGCCTCCTTTAAAAAAAGTTATTTTAATTAAAAGAAATTATTAATTTTTTTTTATTTTATTTTTTAAATATAATAACTTAATTATATAATGATATAAAAAGCTTTTTTTAAGACCTTATTTAATAGAATTTGAATACTTATATAAGTTAATTTAAAAAAGTAGAAATACATTAGTAAGTTTAGGAATTGATACAGAATGTTTATAAGAAAATTAACTAATTAAAATATTAGATATACTTAATCCATAAACAATAACGAATATATAATTTAATTATTGTGAGCATTTTAATGATAAAATAATAGAAAAAATATGTTCATTTAAGAATTTAAAGAAATTTAAGTTTTATAAGGCAAATAATATAACTAAAGAAGGATATTTTACATCTTTTTAGAATCTTTAAACTATAAATTTAATAGATTTAAATTTAAAAGAATGTAATTAATTAAATGATGAAGCTTTGATGGAAATAATAAAGAAAAATAAATTCTTAAAAATAATAAGACTTTCTTGGTAAAAATTTATAACTTCTACTTCAATTAGATTTTTATTTGAAAATTGTGGAAATTAACTTTAAATTTGCTAATTTGAAGGTATTAAATTACTTGATTAAAATGCCTTTCCTTAACTTGATTTGCTTTTGGAATTTTTCGATAAAAATAAATATGAAGAAAAAGTCATTTAAAATAATTAATTTAAATCCTTAGATAATATTTAATAATTCTTTAAAAAAAATATATAGAATTATGAAATTAGTTTGTATTAAAGGCTTAGAGAAATTGATTGTGCTAAGTGTGATATGGTCCCCAATGAAATACTATAAATTTTAAGATGTTTTAAACCTTTTGTTAAAGCTTTTAACTATTATGGAGATAAAATGTGATTATTTTAATAAATTAAATAAGATTTAAATATTTATGATTATAAAATTAATTTAGTAATACAATATTAAAATAAATAAAACAAAATAATTAAAATAATATAAAAAAATACAAAAATAAAAAATTTAAATAAAAATAATTTATATAATTAAAAAAGGAAATTAATTATTAAAAAATAAAATAAAAAAAAATTGTATAATATTATTTTATTCCTTAAAAAATAAAAAATATATATGTTAAATTTAAAATAGAGACAAATCTATATATTATTAATGCGATTAATTTTATAATTATTATAATTTATTATTTGTATACATATTTTATATTAGAAAAATAAAAAAATAAAATTTAATCAAAAAATATAATGATATTTTTTATAAAAAATAATAAATAAAATTTTTAAAATAATATATATAATTTTATAATATAATAATAATTAAAATTATAACAATATTATTATTATTATTATTATTATTATTATTATTATTATTATTATTATTTTTCAATTTTTGTTTATTAATTTTTTATTATTATATTTTTTTATTTTATTTACACTTTATTTAATTTATATTTATATTATTTTTTTTTTTATTTATATTGTCTTATTTTATATTATTGATTTTTTTTTTTTATATTTCTTTATTATAAAATACAAATTGTTTATATATAATTAAATATTTTTAATCAATATATAATAACTTAATTTTTAATTTAATTTTTTTTTTATTCTTTTATTATTTAATTTTTTTTATTATTTTATTTATAAATATATTTATTTATATTATAATTTTTAATTTAAAAAAAATACTTAAATTTTTTTTATATTTCTATTTTTATATATTTTTAGTATATTTAATACATTTTTCTCTTAATGTATACGATTAACATTTTTTCTAATATATTTATCAGTATAATTTAACTTATTTATATAAAGTTATTCATTAAGCATAATTTAAATTTCTTTTTATAAATTTCAACAATTTTTTTTTTTTTTGTAAAAAAAAATATTAATATATGTAGAATCTACCATTTATTTATTTCTATTCTTCCGCTTTTCAAAATTTAAAATTTATCTCTAATATAAACATTTTTTTTTGATGTAATCCATTAAATATTTCATTTTTCATTCATTAAATAATAAATTATATATATTATATTACAATTAATATATTTAAATATTTACTATTATTTTTTTAATAAAATATAATTTTAAATCCTTTTTATTTCAAATTTTTTATATTTTTTTATAACAAATACATTTTTAATAATTATGCTTTATGAATGAAAGTTATTTTTATAAAAATAAATTTAGCTATTTAGAAGTTTGCATTATTTCAAATTATTCGTGTGCGCAGTGAAAATAAATTGTATTATATATTTTTTTTCTGAAATAATTTTAATTTGAATTCTACTTAAATATTTATTTTAATTTATTGTTTAAATTATCTATTAAATCTAATTTTTATTGCATATTATCATAATCACCTTCATAATTTTGTATATTATTTAAAGCTATTAGGGAATTATTTTTACTTTATTCTATTAAATAATAATAATGTGATATGCAATAATTATTTATTTTAATCTTTTTGTATTTTGTTGTTCTTATATAGAAAAATATAAATTAACTAATAATGATTTTTGTCACTTAATATTATATATTTTTTAATGTTTAAAAAATAAATTTAAAACATATATTTTCTATATTTTTCTTATAATCTTCTTTTATTTTTTACATAATAAATTTTTTGTTAATTTTTTTTTTTTAAATAATAATAAAAAGAATGAAAAATATTAAAAAACAAAATATTAATAATAATAAAATAAAATATTTTTTTTGTAAAAAAAAAAGAAAAAAAGAAGATTAAATGGAAGAAAAAATAGAAATTAAATTAAAACTTCTGGATAATTCAGTACATAAAATTTATGCTAATTTAAATGATACAATACGATATTTAAAAGAATAGATAGAAAGTGTAAAAATAATTAATAAACACAAATTTGAATAAACAAACTAAAATATATTATATTTTTTTATAAAAAATTTATAAATAAAGAGTTTACATATACCATTAGAAAATAAAGATTAATATTTTCTGGAAGACAATTAAAGGATGAATAATCAATTATAGAAAATCAAAGTAAAAAATAATTATTATCTCAATGAGAAAAAATAAAAAAAGATTGAAAATGGTCACGTAATACATTTAGTAGCAAGGCCAAATAATCAAAGTAATAAATAATTTTTATAAAAAAAATATAAAAAATTAGTGAAATTAATTTATTGTCAATATTAAAAAATAGATTAAGAAGAAGAAAATTAATAATAATTATAAAATATAAATAATAACAATTAATAAAATGATGGAGATGAAGTTAGTGTTTTATCGGATTTAGAAGTATTATAAGATATATTTAGGACATTAAGTAGCTATTTATATTTTTTTTAAATTTAAATTTAAAAAATAATAATAATAAAGATTAAATACAAATGGCACAACATAATCAAAGAAAGAAACTACTTTAATAAAGAACCAAAGGTTTATAAATTTTTAATGAATGATAATATATAATAAACCATAGGTTACACAAATATTTAAAAAGATAAATTTTGTGAGTCTATTTAGCAAAATTAAGATACAATAGATATACTATTAGAAGGAATGAATACTAATATTGATTAAATGAAAAGTAACTATTTTCTTTTTCTTATGCACAAAAATTATTTATTTATTTTTTTTGTTTAAAAAAAGAATAACAATATGTTGAATCATTCGATTTTATAAAAACCAAATACAAAGTAGGATAATGGATAGATGTAAAAGATACAGTTAATTAATGGTTAGAAGCATAAATAATAAAAATAAGTGGATAAGAATAAAAATTATTTGTTCATTATAATGGTTGGGCAACAAGATGGGATGAATGGATAGATGCAAAAAGTGACAGAATAGCACTTTTTAGAACTCATACAGTATAAAGCTAAGCAAGTCTAACAATGAGTCCTTATCCGATAAATGAAATCGATGGAGATAGAAGCGAAATGCCTGAAAGAAGAAAAATGGATGATATTTTATTTTAAACATGTGGTTTATTAAATTAAGTTAATTCTAAACTTATTTAACTGACTAAAGTTTCAAATAAAGTTAAGTTTTCACATGATAAACAAGAAAGTGAGGAATAATAAAAATATAAGCAAGTCCTTTCTACTTAATTAGCTCCTATTTTTGATAGAACAGGGAGAATGATAATGGGTATCTATTTTTTTAAATAATGAATAAATAACTTAAATATATTTTTTTAGATTTAGCTATGCTTTTAGGAGAAATTGGAAGTGAATCTTAAAGAATAGACAATGATGAAGACGAAGAAGAAAAAAGCTAATAATCTGATTAAAATGAATAATAATTAGCTAATAATATTGATATTTAAAGTATAAGAAGTAATTCTAGCTTGGGAAGATATAGTATTTAATAAAATGACGGCAATTAACATTACGAAGGAAGTTAATCTTCGCATAATAATAATAGAAATAGATAAAGACATAATTATAAATTTTAAGTTCCTGTAATGTTAAATCCAGGTGAATTACATAAAGTTAATAGTATTAATACAGAAAGATTTCAAATATCGCGAATTGTTCAAATTCCTTAAAATATTAATTTGTAACAATAATGATAAGATTATTAGAATTAGAAAAAAAAAAAATAGTTAAATTAAAAAAAAAAACATTTATAAAATATATATATATTAAAAAAATATTAATCAATATTAGATAATTATATTAAAAGACTATATAATTTTTTACTTATATCATATTAATTTTTTTATTTATATATTTTATTTTATTTTTTCTAATATATTTTGACTTTTATATAATATATAAAGAATAGAAGCATTAAATATTTGCTTTTTTATTATATTATATGATGTATAAATTATATAATATTACGAATTAAATTATTTGACGTCAAATTACAGATAAGTTATTTATCTAATTTGAATTAAATATATTTTGTATTTATTTTTACTTATTTTTAAAGATAAATCAGATATTTATTAAATAATATTTTTAAATAAGAAAATAAAAATAAAATACATGGAAAGATTAGCTGATTTGAATAATCAAATTACTCAAAACGAAACTTCTGAAAAGGAATATCTTACTGTCATAGATAATAGAACAGGTAAATAAAATATTAAGATTATTTAAAACAAAACATATTTAATAAAATAAATTTTATACTTATGATACAGGTAAATCATATGAAGTGGCCGTAAAATAATCAAGAGAAGGTAGATACATATAAGCCAAGGATATTGGAAAAATAAAAACTGATACTAGTGATGTTTTAAGAGTATATGACCCAGCTTACATGAATACTATAGTTAGTGTAATAAAAAAGAATAAATAAAAAATATAAATATCTGCAATTTAAAAAAACTATTTTTTAATCCATTATTAATTAAAACAAAACAAAAATAAAAATTTATTTTATAATTTACAATAAAAAATAAAAAGACATCAAAAATTAGTTATATTGATGGAGACAAAGGAATATTAGAATATCGTGGAATTCCAATTGAATAATTAGCTGAGAAATCTAACTTTTTAGAAGTAGCTTATTTATTAATATTCGGAGACTTACCATCTAAAAACCAATACACTGATTGGGTAGACAAGTAAAACTCTTTCCTAATTTTTATCACTTTTTTAAATATATATATATAAATAAATAAAGTATCTAAAATCATACCATTTAACACACTGATGTATAATAGATGATGAAAAATTTCAGATATGATGCTCATCCTATGGGAATGTTAATAAGTACAATAGCTGCTTTATCGACCTTTAGACCTGAATCTAATCCAGCATTAGCAGGTTAAGAAATATACAAAGATTTAAAAATAAGAAATAAGTAAATTTTTAGATTATTAGGATAGGTACCTACGATTGCTGCAAATGCTTATAGATCGAGAATTGGTAGAAACTTTAATTTACCATCTGCAGATCTTCCTTATGTCGATAACTTTTTTTTCATGATGGACAAATTAAATGAAGTTAAATATAAACCTCATCCCAAATTATCAAAAGCTCTCGATATTTTATTCATTTTACATGCAGAACACGAAATGAACTGTTCTACTGCTTTTGTAAGACATTTAGCTTCTTCTGGAGTTGACATATATTCAGTTATAGCAGGAGCATCAGGAGCATTATATGGTATATATAAAAAAAATTTTATATATATAAAATATATATATAATATAAAAATATATATATTATATATATTAATATATATATATTTATATATATAAATATATATTTTTAAATATATAAATAATACACAAATATATATCATATATTTATTTTTAAAAATATAATTTATTAATAAAAAGGACCTAAACATGGAGGTGCAAATGAAGCAGTATTAAGAATGCTTGAAGAAATCGGAGATACTAAAAATATTCCATCATTTATCGAAAAAGTAAAATAAAGAAAAGCTTTATTATTTGGATTCGGTCATAGAGTATATAAAAATTATGATCCTAGAGCTAAAATAGTAAAGAAAGTAGCTCATGAAGTGTTCGAAATCGTTGGAAAAGAACCTTTGATTGAACTTGCAATGGCACTTGAAAAAGTTGCTCTTGAAGACGAATATTTCATCAAAAGAAAATTATATCCTAATGTTGATTTTTATTCTGGAGTTATCTACAGAGCTATGGGATTCCCTACTGATATGTTTGCTGTTTTGTTTACTATTCCTAGAGTTGCTGGATGGATTGCCCATTGGGTTGAATATTTAGAAGATAAAGAGAATAATATTGTTAGGCCTAGATAAAATTATAGTGGATATCCTAAAAGAAATTACGTGCCTTTGGAACAAAGAATCGAAGTAATTTTTTAATTTTTATATTTTTTTTTTAATTTTTTTTTATAAAAAGACTAAATTTGAGCTTGATAGTCCTAAAAGTTCTGTTTAAAAAAGAAGAGAAGCTGGCTCTAGTTAAAATAATTGATTTTAATTTTTTTATTTTTAAAAGTTTCTTTTATATTGATTTTTTTTAATATTAATATTAGTTTATTATTGCTATTAAATTAATTCGAAATAATTAAAAATATAAATTTAAAAGTTTATATTTATTTTATTATATAATTATAATATTTTCTATTTTTATTAAAAAAATCTTACAGAATAATGTAAGACTTTTGCTAATTTTCTTTAGTTTGAATTTATATAATTATATGATAAATTATTAACATAATAAAGTTAATTATCTGTATAAACATATTAAAAAAAACATTAAATAATAATAATTTTCTTATAATAAAATTAACTATTACAAATTAAAAATAAAAAACTAAAATTTAATTAATTTTTATAAAATATTTTCTTGAAATAATCGAATATTATCATAATTATTTTCTATATAAAAAATTAAAAAAAAAATATTTGTAAAGAAATTTTTATTAATTATAAGCATTTAAAAATATTATCTAATAAAAAGGACTAGTACTTAAATAAGAATTTAATAAAATTTAAACTATTTCTTTATTCAACACAATTTTATTTTAATATAATTTCGAATTAACGATTCCCGAATAGCAAATAATCTACTGCTCTAGGTTCATTTAATAAAATAACTAAATATATAATTTTAAAAAGAAATCGAAAAATTATTACGTGCCCTATTTTTAGCTTGAAAAAATTTAGATAAAAATTACAATATGATGAGGTTAGAATTTATTTAAATTCATTTATAAAATTACATATTCTATTTTTTCTAATAATTAAATATATATATCTTATTCAATTTTATTTTAAAAAACTAAACTATCAATAAATACTAATAAAAAACTGATTTATTCTTCATCTAAAGCGTTTGGAAAATTTGTTCGAAAAATCGCATATTCAAATATTCTAAAAAAAATTCTTCTATCTTCTTAAAACTTTAATTTTTTTACTAAATTTAAAGTTTCTAGTAGCATTTAAATAGTAAATTTTGTAAAGTTTTCCATTAAAATCACTTTTAGTTTTGTTATTATTTAATTTCTTTTTTAATCTATTTAGTTTTAGTTTATTTATTAATCCAATTTTATCAAACTTTCTAATAAATATATTAAGTAATACTCATCTATTGTAATATTATCATTTTTTATTTATTTACTTTCAAACTTATTTTATAATAAAGTTAGATAATCGTCTAATTAATTCAAATTTTTGAATATATTTTTTGTTTATTCTAATTATTTAAATTCATTGTATTACAAAAAATATTACTATTAATAATTTAATTATATATTTAAGTGAATCTTCAAAGAAAATGTATTTTTTATTTTGAAAATTATTTATTTATTTACAAATTTCTACATTTTTTTTATTTTAAATATAAATTTATAATACTTTTTATATTAACTTTTATAAAAAAATAAAAATAGTTAAGAGGAAAAAATTATATTAACAAAAAAAGCAAATAAAAAAGAAAAAGAAAAAAAAAATTACATTAGAATTAAAAAAAAATGATAAAAAAATTTTTTAATTAAATAAATAAAACCTAATTATAGTTTGGTAAATATTCCTTATACTTAGTTCCTAGAGCTAATATAAACCACATATAGAATATGAACGAGGCAAATCTAAAATTTGATGTCTAAAAGTTAAATGATGAATCATAAGTACTTGAACATACTACCAGAATATATAAACCTTCATACACTATAGAATTTAACCGTGAAGGAGAAGTATTATTATATTCATGCGATCCCATAAAACATTCAACAGTTTATTTTAAATACCCTTACATATTATACGAAGCAGCCATACCAATTTTTATCTGGTCATGGGTCACTAATGTAAACTATAATTTAAAATAAGGACATTTATAATTTTTTTTTTTACTTTTTTATAAAAAAAGCCTTTAGGATTAGATATTAATACAGTTAATTTGCTCTTGATTTATCCAAATATTGCTTGGATTCCAAGAATGTGGTATTGGAGATCTTTATAATATAAAATGTCAAAATTATATCTTTTAAGAGGAGGAAAAGTAAACAAAAATTTTAAATAAAAAAAATAAAAAATTAAAGGTTGCTAAAATTGAAACATCAACTCTTAGTGGAGAAAGAAATGTTTCTTGGGTCGAAACTTATTAATTCAATCCTCTTACAAAAGATATGTAAAATTTCGACCATAGAGATAATGCTGATTTCTTATAAGAAGAAGGACAATTAAAATATGAATTAGGAATTTAATTAGATCATGTCTAAGAATATGGTGTTACTTCTTAAGATATAGTTTATAATTTTATGAAAGAAGGTATTGTACATCACCCTGAATTATTTGAAGCTGTTTGCAAAGGATATAATATTGATACTTCTGATTTTGTTATTAATACAGCAAATAATTTACGTACTAGAGAAGGTAATCATAACCTTTGAAAAATAAAATAATTTTATTTAAGGTTTTTTTTTTTTTTTTTTTTATAAATTAAAAAGATAAATATTTATTGCTTTTTTATATATATTCAATTTGTTTTTTGAAAATAAATTTTTTCAAAAAAAAAAAAAAAAAAAATTTTAGATTTTATTTTATTTTTGAAATAAATTATTGAATTATATATTTCTTATTTAAAAAAATTAATAAAATAATATAAGTTTAATTTTTATAATTATAAAATAAATAAATATTTTTATAATAATAAATATAATTTTTATTATAATTATTAATAATTAAAAATAAATTGAATTTCTATAAATATAGTATATATATATTTTTTTTTGTATCTAAATAATTATAAATATTCAAAAAATTTTAATCATCATTTATTAAATATTTTTTTAATATTGATTTTTATACTTTTCTAAATCCTATTTAAGCTAAAATTATCTATTTTTTATGTTTTTATTATTTTAATTGTTACCGATATTTACTATAAATTATTATTATTATCTTATTAATTCACCATTACATATAATCGATTTACATTTTAAATTATTAAATATCTATTAATTAATTTCATAAAATTTATTTTATGTTTTCTCATTCATCAAAGTAATATTTTCTTTTTGGTAATTTTAACTTTATCATAAAGCTTATTGAAAAATTATTTTAATGTTTAAAATATAATTAAGGTATTTTCTTTATTTATTTAAAATTCTTTTTAATATTGAGGTAAATTTAATTTAAATAAAAAATAAAATATAAAAAATATCTAATTATTATTAATATATATTATATTTCAAAAGAACTGTAGATTTATGTAAAAAAATAAAATTAATATATTAATAAAATTATAGTTATTAATTATATTTAAATATATTTATTTTAAAATGAATAAAAAAAAATGAATTATTTTATTAAAAAAAAATATGACATAAATTTTATTGAATTTATTACCATTTATTTAAATCTAAAATTATTCTCTTAGAAAAATTAACCACATAATTATTTTAAATTACTAAATTTAACTTAAGCAATTTTATTTGGAGTTATCGTAAATTTCTTTTTAAAGAATATAAATTATAATATCGATTCATTTACTAAAATCAATACAATAATAAAAATTTTAAAAAAACTTAAAATATATAAGATGTTAATAAATTATTGAAATTAGTCTGAGTTGATTTTAAATATATTAAAATATATCATATTATTTGATTTTATTAGCTTTAATAAAATATTTTCCAACAACTTTTTATAAATTCTAAAAAGAGAAATGTTATTTATAAATCCTAAAAAGAGAAATATTATTTATAAATTTTTAAAAAAATCATTAAGAACTCCTAAACATTTTTAAGAAATAAACAAGACTTTGATAATACTTATTTAGATTTTTATTAGAAACTATTTACTGCCTTATGTATTACACAAAATAATATTAAATTAATGAATTATTAATTAATTAAAAAATTAGATTTTTGAGAAATCTCATATAAAATTGATAAACAACTTCTTTTTCTTATTAATAATTAATAAAACTATATTAAAAAAAATTTAAATGTTAATTTTAATTAATAGTTTTCCTAATAACATAATTATATGATTAATATTTTAATAACTATAAAGAGTTTTCTAAAATAGTAATTCTTTAAAAAAAAATTGCTCTTTTTTTACATATAACTATTTACTATAATTAGTATAAGAATAGGTAAAATAGTCTTAAAATTATTAAAAATTAATTATATGGAATAAATTTTAAACTTAACTTTTATATAGGAGTAAATTATGCACTTAAACTTCATCTTTTTTTTATTAAATACAGATTAATTATTTTTGTTCTTTCAGATATTTATTTTGGTTTAAAATTCAAAAAGTTATAAATTTATTTGATGAAATTTTAAAGGCAATAATTGTATTTACGGCAAATAAAATTATAAAAAAGTATACAATAAAAAGAAAACCTTTTTAAATTCATGCTATTTTTGAGAAATTAATATTCTATATCTTTAAATTAATATAAATAAAAATGTTAATATTATATTTATTATATTATTGCCATAGATAATTTAATAGAAAAAGAATAATTGTTTATTTAATATTTAAATAATTAAATAGAATTTAATATAAATTTATAAACATTTTAATTAATAATTTTATTGTATGACTAATTATAATTAAATATAAATATATTATTTATTTATAAAATATTACATTTATTTAATTTTTTATTTTTTTTCTAAAATAAAATAATTATTTAATCAATTTAAATTATATATTAAAATACTTTATTAAAAATAAAATTTACAAATGTTTTTCAATATTTTAATAATAAAATATATAATTTAAATCATTTTTATAATATATAATAATTATAGATTTGGTTTATCTATTTAAAATGTTTAAAAATAATCAAAACAATAACTAATCTTTTATTTTAATATACAAATCCTCTTTTAAATTTTAATTTAATTCGATATACTAATTTTCTTTTTTATGCAATAAGTTAACTTTTTTTTAATATTTTAATGCCTATTTAGAATATTCGACTGTTTAATATTTTACTAATGTAATTCTTAAGCTAAATTAATTTAAGCTTTTATAAAACGATTTGAATATTAGCGATTTAATTAATTAGAAATTTAATCAATTTACGTATTAACTCTTTCGACTCTTAATTAATTATTTTCGAAATCATTTTGGAGTTTTTTAATTTTTTTTCTTCTTTGTTATTAATATTATTCTTAATTTTTTATTATTTTTGAAGTTTTTCATCGTTTTTTTCAGTTTTTCTTTAATATTTTTCTATGTTTATTAAGTCATATGTTCTTACTTTTCTAAAATATCTTTATAAGATAAACAAAGATTAGATATTTTTTAGTTATATTCAGTTTCTTTAATTGCTATTGATTTTTTTTTTATATCTTCATTATGTTAATTAATGAGTTTAAACTTACCTTTTTCCTTTTACAAAGTTTATTTTATATTATTAGTTGCTTATAATTATTTTTATTCTAATTTTTTAAGTAAATTAAATACTTAATCTTTTTTATCTTCTTCTTTTTATTATTATTTTTCTAATACTTTCTAAGATAAGTGTAGGCGTTCTTCTCGAATTTTCATTGACTTTTTGTCAAAGTTTTCCTTTATTTATTACTATAATTTATCATATTTTTAACCTGTAATATCAATATCTATCATCTTTTTTTCTAGCCAATAGTCATATTTTTATTTTTAATATTATAACTTCTCTTGGACTTTATTCATTTTTTTTTATATTTATTCTTATATTTATTATCTTTTTTATTCGATATTTTTTTATCTTTATTATGCCTTTTTTTCATATTCGGCTAATGTATTTTTTTCGAAAAAATCGGTTTCAAACCTCTTTTTTATTTTTTTATTAGTTTTTTTTTTAATTTTATTTTTTTACAAATTAATCGTTACTTTTTAGCATATAATCAATTTATTAATCGTACTTTTTGTAATTTTTTTAGGAATGATATTGTTTTTCTTAAAAAGATTTTTAAAAAATTGAATTTGATTATGTTCTTGCTTAAGTATTTGCTTTTTCATTTTATAATTTTTATTATTTTTCTTTTTCTTTTTCCTTTTCCTTTTCTTTTTATGTTTTTAATTTATTTATCTCTGCTAAAAATTTCTTCAAAACGTGATATTATTCTAATAAATAAAATGAATATCCAATCAAATTTTATAAAGGATCTCTTTCTGATTATTAACAAAATTATTCATATGTAATAGGTTCTATGTCTTTTTCTTATAATTTAAGATTTTGTAAAGATTATTTTACGTATTCATCATTTATGAAATCAAATATCATAAAAAATAAAGGACAATTATTTGGATTTTTAATTAGTTTATCACTATATTCTTCAGGAAGAATTTTTTTTCTTATTGATTCTTCTATTATTATATCGTTTATTATTGGAAACTTTGTTTAATTTTATATTGTAAAATTTATCATTTTTATTTTAATTTAAGTTATTTTTTTTATTTTATTTGTAAAATAATATAGTTTATTTTATATGATTATTAATTTATTAATAGTTGTTATATTTATTTTAATAATGAAAATAATTTTATCTATTTATAATTATTTATTTATTGCTATGTTTTATATATTTATAAAACATTTTTTTTTTTGATATATAAATATATAGTATTTATTTTATTTCTTTAATCAAATAATAAATTTAATATATATAAAGTATTCTTCTTTTATAATTATAAAAATATATATTAAATAAATAGTACTTTCAGTTTATAATTATATTAATTTCTATCAAAAAGTGAAAAAATAAAATAAAAATCAAATAAATCAAAATTAAATTAAAACAAAATATTTTAAATTAAAATATAATGGAATAGTTAATACCTTTTATAAGCAAAATATAAGTAAATGAAAAACTCAACAAAAAAACATCTAAAATATTATATAAAAATAACATCTATATTAAAAGGAAATATTATAACAAAGTAGTCTTTTATCCGAATTAAAGCTTCCACAAATAGCAGTAATAGGATCGCAATCAGTAGGTAAAAGTTCAGTATTAGAAAGTATAATAGGCAAAGATTTTCTTCCTAGAGGAAAAGGAATAGTAACACGACGTCCAATAGAAGTGTAATTGACAAATATACCATTAAATAGTGAATAAGAATGGGCTGAATTTTCTGAAAGAAAAGGTGAAAGATTCACAGATATGGAACTATTAAGTAAATCAATAGAAGAAGAAACAGAAAAAGTAGCGGGAAAATAAAAAGCCGTTTCTGGAGTACCTTTGAGATTAAAATTTTTTAGTAAAAACGTTGTTGATTTATTACTAGTGGATTTACCAGGAATGACAAAAGTATAATATTAATTCTAGTATAAAATTTTAAACCAAAAAAATAAAAAAGAATCCTGTTGGAGATTAACCAAAAGATATTGAATAAAAAATATAAGAAATAATAATGGGATATATAAAAAATCCTAATTGTATTATATTAGCGATTTCTAGAGGACCAGATGATCTTGCTAATTCGGAAGCTTTAAAATTAGCAAGAGAAGTAGATGTTAATGGAAACAGAACTATAGGTGTTATTACTTAATTGGATTTATTAGATAGTGATACTGAACATATATTAAATGATGTTATGAATAAAACATACCCTTTAAAATTAGGTAAATTTGTTAAAAAAAATTAGATACATATATATTTATATAATAATTAGGATATGTTGGAGTGGTGTTGAGAGGATCAAATTAAATGAAAAATAAAACTATAAAAGATTAAATAGATGAAGAGTCTTTTTTCTTTGAAAATCATAAATACTATAGAAAAATAGCTGATAAAATGGGAGTTCCATATTTAGTTAAATTACTCAATTTAATTTTAATGAATACAATAAAAAGATAATTACCAAAAATAAGAGAAAGTATATCAAGAATTATAAGTGTAATATAAAAAATATAAAAAGAAAATAAATATTAAACTATTATAAAAAAATATATATAAGAAAAAAAAAAAAAATTTAAAAAAATTTATATATGAATTCACGAAAAAATAAATATATAAATATATAAATATATATATATAAATATATATATTTATATATTTATATTTAATTTTAATAAAAAATTTCATAATTTTTATATCTATATATTTTTATAAATACATAAATATATTATTTAAAAAAATAGGTTAAAGAAGAAGAATTAAGACAATATGGTGATTTTACACATTTAGAAGATAAAAGTTCTAAAGGATATCTTTTACTAAATTTAATATCGAAATTTAGTAATGCCTATAATGACTTAATTCACGGTTAATATTTAAAAACTACTAACAATGAATTAATAGGAGGTGCAAGAATAAATTACATATTCAATAACATATATAGAAAAGCAGTATCAGGAATCGATCCTTTCGATTAATTATCAGATGTGGATATAAGAACAGCAATAAAAACATCTAACGGTTTAAGACCTTCTTTATTTGTATCAGAAGGTGCATTTGAGAATTTAGTCAAATAATAAATATGGCGAGTACATTCAGTATCATTATAATGTTCACATTTAATATATGAAGAGTTAAGAAGAGTAGTAAATTTAATAAACATCCCTGAAATAGAAAGATTTGATAATTTATCAAACAAAATATTTGAAGTAATGGAAGATGTATTATCTAAATGTTTAGTACCAACTGAATAAATGATAAAGAATTTAATTGAAATCGAACTTGGGTATGTAAATACTAATCATCCTGATTTTGTTGGAAGTACAGGTCTTATATAAAATTAAACAGATAATCTTATCGTAAATGAAGAAAATAAATAAAAAATAAATTAAAATTAAAGCTTTGCCAATTAAAATAATTAAAATGGATATATATCTAATAATGATAAAAAAATCTAAAAAATAGACGAAATTCATTCCGAAGAATCTGATAATTACTGGAGTTGGATGCCTTTTTAGAAATAAAATAAATAAACTGAAATGCTTGATTCTAAACTTAAAATGATGAATATGAAAAAACTTAATGAAGAAAATCTTAAGTCTTAACAATCACTTAATAATAGTGAATCTGCTTCTATCCTTTAATAACATAAAAAAAAACTTCATTTACCCTTAATAGAGATTTTAATTAAGATTTCACTATGTAGCATTTAAGTATTTATATTCCAAGATAAGCTTTACCTCCTGTATTAATTTTTTTTTTTTTTTCAAAAATTTAAATAATTTTTTATTTTATTTTTTTTAATAATTTTATTATATTTTTTTCAAATTAAAAGGTTCCTAATGTTATTACTGTCTCTGAAAAACCATCAAAAAGGGAGTTCATGGAAACTGAAATGATTAAAAATCTGATTGTATCTTATTTTAATATTGTGAAAAAAAATGTTAATGATTCTATTCCTAAAACTATTATTACTTTTCTTGTTAATAGGGTAGTTTTTATATAATAATTTTAATTGATATTTTAATTTTTTTATTTTAATAGTCATTAAGTATATGTGAAAGAGAATTAGTAAGTTAAATTTATAATGAAGAGTTTTTCGATAATCTTTTAGCAGAAAATACTTACATTTAATAAAATAGAGAAGAAATTACAAGCGGTTTAAAAATTTTAAGAAGTTGTTTAAATGTTTTAAATGACCTGGATGCTAAATTTTGAAAATTATAATATATATTTTTTTTTAATTTTTAAATATATATATATTAAAAAAATATTGAATTTTATATTGTTATTTATTCAAAAAAATATGTATTATTTATCTTTATTTTATAAATAAATTTCTTACAATAAAATAATTTAATTATTTATTTTTATAAAAATTCATATTTATATAATTTTTATATTTTTAAATGATTTAATATAAATATAAATAAAATAAAAATCAACCAAATCCAAAACCTTCTTTGCATTCTAAAATTGCATAAGTCAACTTTTAAGCAAGAGCTTCTTTTGTCTAATATTCAGGTAAATCGAGTTAATTAAAACTATTTTTAAATATTAAATATATAAAAATAAAAACTTTATAATTTATTTACCATGTATGTGCAGTTGGTAATTTATTAATATTGTAAGCTTTATGAATTTGGAATTTCTAGAAACCAGAAATACCTTTAAGATAACCAAATCCATCTAAAGGAACTTTCGAGGTACCAGTAACAAATTGAATGAAAGCAGCTTTTTAAGTACTATCATAAGTATTAAGAATTTCCCAGAACCAAACAATTAATTAATCACTAGGTTTATAATTATGATATTCTGTATTTTCTTTAAGATCAGCCACTTAAAAAAAATAAAAAAATAAAAAACATATAAATTGAATAATTTATTATTTACAATCGATTTCAGGTAAACCAGAAATCATTAATTCAAGTTCATGAGAATCAAAGACAGAAGCAACTTTACTAGGAATAATATCATGAAAACCTGCTAAAAACCACTTAATTTATTCTTGAATTCTCATAGTCATTCTATGATGGCAAATAAGATGAATATATTCCAATTTGTTTTCTTCTGTAACAGCAATATTCTTACCTCCAGATTTAAGTTCCAATTCTTAATGTTTTCCAAACTCATTAGTTTCATAAACGAAAGTCAAATCAAGAGCTGAAATATCATTTTCAACAATCCAATTCATATTTTTGTAAAATTCATAATCCTAATCTTAGATATCATGGTAAGTAATTTCTTATTAAAGGATATGCTTATAGAAAGATCGAGTGAAATAAGCGTCTAACATATACCCATCAAAAAGTGCTTTTCCAACAATTCTACCCACAAACTTGAAATAATCTTTATCTTAATTATTTATATGTGAATTTGGATTAGGTTAGAATGTATTTCCGCTTTAAGAAGGTAAAAATAAGCAATAATTTGGGTTAAATATTTCTTTTGATAATATTATAAACCATTCTCTAATTAATCCACCAGCATCTATTCCTTCTTCATCTTAAAATTCTATTTTTAACCTTCCTTTTAATTCTTCAGGAGTTAATGGTTTGATTGATTAAAATGAATCTAAAAGAACTTCTTTTCTTCGAATTTTTAATCTTATTTATAAATTACTAGTACTTTAACGAATCTATGATATTTCTTAATGGAAAAATTATTTCTTATTCTCAAAGCTTATTATTCTTGGAATTAATTTAAATACTTGTCCAAATGGTTAATTTAATATTGAATTATAAGGCTTATTTTAGTTTTAATTATGGTTCTAATATTCTGTGAATTATTAAATTTCTTTTAATTTTTATTTTATTATTATATTTATAATATCTTTTGATTTTTCACATATAAAATAAAATAAATCATTTTTATTCAATTTCATATTTCTAATTTACTATTTATTTTAAAAAATATTTATTTATCCTGTTTTATTTTTATTTTTTTACTTCAAATGTCATTTATCCTGCTAAGAATTCTTACTAATTATGTAAACCACTTAATTTTTAATATTTATTTGGAGAAAGATCTAATTATTATAAAGATTATTTATCAGTATTTGGTTGTGTTTTTCCTTGAGTTTGCTAAGAAATAAAAAATGTCTCGAAAAGAGGATTTAATAATTGAATAAAACCTTATAAAGTTAAACTAGAAGGTTAGAAACTTTTAGATAAAAGAGCAAAGACTTCAGTAATATTAATCCAAAAATTATTAACTTCTTAACTTTAGATAAGCTCCTAATATTCATAATTAATTTAAAGCTTATAACTATTATCTTATTCAATTTACATTTATTCATTTACTTATCCTTGCTTTTACTATTATTATTACTATTTTTACTATTATTACTACTATTACTATTATTATTACTATTCTTAGTATTATTACTATTATACTTATTATAACTTTTATTACTATTATTACTATAATTCTTAGAATTACTAAAATTGTTATTGTTATTGTTATTGTTATTGTTATTGTTATTGTTATTGTTATTGTTATTGTTATTGTTATTGTTATTGTTATTGTTATTGTTATTGTTATTGTTATTGTTATTGTTATTGTTATTGTTATTGTTATTGTTATTGTTATTGTTATTGTTATTGTTATTGTTATTGTTATTGTTATTGTTATTGTTATTGTTATTGTTATTGTTATTGTTATTGTTATTGTTATTGTTATTGTTATTATTGTTATTATTATTTTATTTTATTCTTATTATTTATTTATTTTGTATTATTACTATTATACTTATTATAACTTTTATTACTATTATTACTATAATTCTTAGAATTACTATTGTTATTGTTATTGTTATTGTTATTGTTATTGTTATTGTTATTGTTATTGTTATTGTTATTGTTATTGTTATTGTTATTGTTATTGTTATTGTTATTGTTATTGTTATTGTTATTGTTATTGTTATTGTTATTGTTATTGTTATTGTTATTGTTATTGTTATTGTTATTGTTATTGTTATTGTTATTGTTATTGTTATTGTTATTGTTATTGTTATTGTTATTGTTATTGTTATTGTTATTGTTATTGTTATTATTATTATTATTATTATTATTATTATTATTATTATTCTTTTTTTTCTTCTAATTATTCATTTTTATCGTATAAATCTTTAAGTATATTAAATAATTTTTTTATTTTAAAAGTTCCATTAAGTTTTTATTAAATACTCCTTAATAAAGCATTAAAATCTTTATTATCTTCTTACTTTATTTTATTTAAAAATGAATCTAAAACCTGATTAATTTTATTAAGGAAAATAAATATAAGTCCCTTTAACTCAATTGTAAATTTAAGCAATAAATTTTAATCAAAACACATAAAATTTATAGTTTCAGTAATTCTTTTCAATGAAATTTTCGATAATTAATCACTAGAAAGTATTTAGCAAACACTTTAAATATTTATTTTTTCACAAAAAGAGTTTTTATATTCATAAAAATAAGTAAAGTATTTCTTATTAATATTAAATAGTAATTTCGTAATTAATTCAAGTAAATTATTATTATTAAAAATATGTTAATGAGTTAACAAATTAATTAAATTTTAAAACGCGAATCCACTCTAAATAAAGTACATTATATTTTTTTCCGAAACAACGTTAAGTATAAATAAAATCTTTTCCGCAACATTAATATATATTTATTTTTTATCTTAAATATTCTCACATTTGCTTTAATAAATTACTTCTGGTACAATATTAATTCCAGTTTAAAAACTTCCATTCAAAATATTCATAAATATATCTAAAATTCTACTTTCTGTGAAAGGATTTTCACATATACAAGCTAATAAGTTATATGGATAATTTAAAAATTCTTCTTTGTCAACATAAAATAATTAAATTAATAATTCTAATAATGTATCTTCTATCTTTCCAATTTTAACTTGTAAAGTTTTATCTTTTAATATAATTTCACGTTTATTTTTCATTTTTTAACATTTTTTTTTTGCCTCTTCTTTTTATGCTTATTCTTATAGTTTTTTTAATTCTTTTGCTTTGTTCTAAGTCTACTATCTAACATTAAAGTCTTATCTTTAAACTCTTTATCTTAAAATTAATGCTTCTCTTCTCAAATCTGGAGGAAGACTTTCCAAAACATCCTCAGATGCAGTAAGAAGAATTTCATCTCTTAAATTAGGAGGTAAAGATGCTAAAAACGATTAATTGTCAATGTCTGCAGGACCACCGATTCTTACTTAATTATTATTTGATGGTTATTATAACTATTACTAAGCTTAATTATTATTTTATTATTATTATTATTAAGGTTAATTTTAAAGTTACTATTGTTATTACTAATTATTATTATTATTATTATTATTATTATTATTATTATTATTATTATTATTATTATTATTAACGTTATAATTCTTCTATTCTTGCATGTTCTTAAGGTAAGTAGTTTAATATAATATCTGTTTTTATATCATCAGGAAGTTCGTCAAAGTTTAATGGATCTATTTAGTTTCTTTCAAAGAAACTAAAATCTAGTCCAAATTATTACAATATTACTAAAGATCTTTATAAGAAATCTGGATTTTGATTTTATTGTTATTGCTAATTTTATTAATCCATTTGATTTATAGAATGAGAATCTTCAATTTATATTTGTTATTCGTTTTATATTTAAATTTATTATTAGTTTTATATTTATGTGTTTTAAACTTATTATAAATTGATTGTATCCTGTTATGGTTGCATTATTTATTAGTTATTTTAAAGTTCTTCTTCTTCTAATACCATTCCTTACAGTTCCATTTCATGCCTTAATTATTGCATCATAGCTTCTTCTTCATCTAATTATTAGCTTTATATTTATTCAATATATTATATTTATTAGTTTTAGTTATTTTATTATTAATTTTAGTTTTATTATAAATTATTTTAATTATTTAATATTTATTAGTTTTATAATTATTAAAGCTATTACTATATATTTTATTGAATCTATTAATTATTTTATATTTATTGTTAATTAGTTTATTATTCTTAAGTTTAATTTAATAATTATTAATATGATAAAGCAACTTAATTAAGTGCATTTTCAATACTTTAAAGAATGTTACTATTTAAAGGATTTTCTTCCTATTATTATTATTACTATTATTATTATTATTATTATTATTATTATTAATTATTATTATTATTGTTATTACATATGTTCTATTTATTACTATATTTACTATTATTAAATTTATTAATTTTATTATTATAATATTTACTATTGATCTTATTATTCTTAATTCTAATTATTTTCTGTAATATTTTAATCCTACTAAATTCTTGATAATTATTATTCTTATCTTTCTTCTTACATTTATTCAATGATGATTAATTATATTTTATGTAGGTTATTCTTATTATTATTAGTTTGCCAATAAAATTTAATTGCCTTAGAGAGTATCCAAAAGCATTTATCTCATCCTTTAAAGTTATTCAATTTATTATTATCTTTCTTAATTTCCTTATTATTCCCTTTACGTTTCGCTTTACATTTATTATAAATATCTTTATCTATTTTATTATTAATTATTTTATAATCCTTATTAAGTCTACATTTACAATAAATGTCTTTAAATATTTCTCGTAGCTTCACTTTATCTTAGTAAATCTCTCAGAATATTTTATTCATTAAAATAATGATCATTCATATCAAAAAGTTAATTTAAAACTTAAAAGTTTACACTAGAATTAGCATATAAATCGTATGGATCTTAATGATTATTTTGATTTTTATACAAAAATTTATTTTATTTAATTTAAGTATTATATTTATAATTTAATTATTTCCATTCAGTTCCTGTTTATAAATATAATTATTAATTATTCGAAAAATATTCCCAAATTTTATACTATTATTCATTTTTTTCTCCCAAAAGTTTTTCTTTGTAAATTGTTTATTGTAAATCTTCTAACTTATTGCATATATTTTTTAAAGGTAGATTTTACTTATTATTCTATTTTATAATATCCAAAAAGGACCTTTATTTATTTTTAGATTCTTTACTTCCTAAAACAACATAATTATTAATATTTCCTTCTTATTCTTTTTGTTCTTCCTCTTCTTCTTCTTCCATATTTTCTTCCCTTAAACTATTTTCTTCCTATTAATTTATAATATAAGAATCACTTTCCATTCTTTAAACATTTTATACTTAAATATCTTCTTCATCATCTTATTCTTCAACTTCTTCCATATTATTAAACTATTAATTATTATCTCCTAAACTATCTCCATAAATTATTTGATTTTCTTCATCTTCATCGTCAACTTAATTTTATTCCTCATCCTCGTCTTCTTCATCATCTCTTCTTTATAATTATTATTAATCATCATCTTCTTCTTCATCATCCTCTTCTTCTTCAATATCACCTTATTAATCTCCTACAACTTATTCATAATCATCAATATTATCATCTAAATAAATTATTTAATTATCATCTTATTATTATTACTAATACTATTATTAAAAGGCAATTAATTATTACTATTAATTTAATTATTAGTTATTATTAATTAAATTTTCATTTTTTTCTTTCTAGATTTTATTCCATTCCTAAATAAAAGTTTCATTTGAAATTTATTGCATTTTTTAAGGCAATATTTATCCTTGTAAATTCAAATAAGTTTCTTCGTCTTCATTTTTGCAAAAAGCTTAATAAAACCTATACTTAATTAAAATACTCAAAGGATTAGTAATAAAAGGCAATACATGTTTATATTAGAAGTATTTTTTTATTTAGAATTATTTTATCATTTCAGTATAAACTTTTATGAAATTAAAAGTACTTATTTATTCTTTTTCTTAGCTAATTAAATTATTACTATTGATTTCTTCTTAAATATTTTAACTAATATTATGAATACTTTAATTAGCAACACATTTTAAGTTCAAAAAATAACAAAAAACAGTGCTAAAATTAACTATTTTCTGAATATTATCTTCTTAACTAAGCATTTTTTCTCCATTTAAAAACGTATAAATTTCACCAAGTATCTACTTTCGAATTTTTTGAGCAAAGAAGACATTATTTTAACTCAAAACAAAAGTATTAACACATAAATCAAACAATAAATCTTAAATAAAAACACCCCCATTTCTTAAAATACACCTCATAAAGAAATTTAGCAAATTAAGTTAACTAATAAGCGCATTATTTTTAACAGCAAATAAACCTGCACATTCTTCTTCATTAGGAATTATTTTATTCACAATTTTAAATACTTTTACTTTTATGACAAAAGGAACAATTAAAGGCATTTCTTTTATTAAAAAATGCAATAAATTTATTAATAATCCTTCATCTATATTTATATTTTTATCAAAGGTTTCTTAACTTATTACCTTTTAGCTAAATTTCTAAACAATGTTTTCTATTAAAATCATCAAAATATTCACCGAGCTGCTTTTAAGTACAAAATTAGCACTAAAATCTAACTTTTATACATTCTAATTATTATAAATGCATACTTTATTTAAATCTACTCCAGGGTTTAATTCCACAAACTGTGTTTTTTCAATATTTACTGTTTTACAAAGCTTTTAGTAAATTGTCTTGAATTAATTATTATTTGAAAATACATAAAATTTTTTTAAGAAAAAATCTAATTCAACTCTTTTTTCTTCCAAAGAATTTCCTTTAACACAAAATTTAAAAAACTACTTAATTTAGGCTTCAATAGAAATGTTTTCCATTTCATCTTCATATAATAATAATGAGAAAAGACTACATAAAAGGTCTAAAATACCTCTCAAATTATCTAAATTTTTAACTCTAAAGACTGTTTGTAATACTTTTTATTCAAGAATGCATTTTATTGCAGTTTCTCCACTTTTAGAGACCATTTATATTAAAGAATTTAAAATTGCTTGAAGTATTTTGTTTGACATTTAGGTTTTATTTTCCATTATTTTAATAAAATAATTACATGCTTCTTTACATAAATCAAATATTTTTATACTTTTTTTCTTTTTAAGAGATTCATATTGCTATTTTGCATTATTATTATTATTATTATTATTATTATTATTATTATTATTATTATTATTATTATATTTATTCCTATTATGTATTTTCGAAAACTTTATAAACAAAAAGAATTAATCTATGTTCTAAATTTTCATCTTATTTATATTTTTAGCTTATTTCTAATCCTATTTTTACAATATCAATTCCATTATTTTTATTGTAAATTTTATTTATAAATTAATTATCTTCATCACATAATTTAATTATAAAACATAAACTTTTACTAATATTTTATAGAATTTAATTTTCATTTTCTTCCTTCATTTTTATTTCCTCTCCTTATAAATTTTTAAAAATTCCAAACTATTTATCTGGAAGTACTTTTTACACTAAGTTTTTTAAATTAAGTAGCATAATATTCAAAAACTCATTATTATTATCATTATTTTCTAAAGGAATATTTTTTTTATCTTCATTTTCACTTTTGTTTTTCTTAACAAGCAAATCAATTACTGCAATTTCGAATTCTGATAAAACCTAATAAAAGTTATCTATAAAATATTTCTATATATTTTTCTAAAAGCATTCTATTTTTCCATTAAGATATTCTTCACTCACACACAAATTCTAATATTGAGCAGGTAAACCTTCTATTATTTAGGTATCTCCAAAATCTATTATTCTCTGAGATTTGATTTTACCATCATTTCCTAATTTTTGCTATTATTATTATTAATTCTATTGTTATGCTTCTTAATTATTAATTTATTCATTTCTTATTTATGTTTCTAAAGAATGATCCGGTGAATCCATCTCATCTAAATCTTAAGGATCATAATTATAGACTGGATTCCTAGATAAATAATCTATTGCATCATTTATATTTGGATATCTTCTTAAAGCTTCTTATGAGCGTTTTCGTGAAAATCCCTTAATTATTTTAAAAATAAAATATAAACTATTAAATATATATGAAAATATAAGTAATACCATATCAATTAATAATTGTAATTATTCTTCAAATAATTTTTCTTAGCTTCTTCTTCTTATCTTTTTTTTCTCTAATGGATTTTTTAACATCAATATTAAAAGGAGAGGTTTTTCCTTTTAGAGAGAATATTTTAATAATTTTATTCATAATAATCTCAAATAACTGTTTAAAACAATTAGACTAACTCTAAATATTTAAAAACTTCTAAATAATAATTTTCTAAAGACCATCAGTAAAAAATGCATTAATTCCGTTTGCTAATAACTCGTTAACTTTTTCTTTTTATTTTTTTTTTCTATATAAGCATCTTCAGATATATCAATATTAACAATAATTAAATTATTTATTATATAAGCCATTTTTTCACTTATAGATATTAAAGCTTATTCAAGTATTTTTTTTCGATAGTTTCATCTTGGCTCTTTTATTATTTTTAATATTCTCCTAAAATATCCATTCCTTCCATTATTATTTCTAACACTTTTTCACATATACCCAAATTTTTAAATTATAATAATATATTTAAATCTAATAGGTTCTCTTAATTTACAACCATTTATTTCTTCCTTTTACATTCTTCTAAATAAACATCACATAATCCACAAATATGAGCTAAATTAACATTAAATCTTGCCACTTTTTCAATATTTAATAAATCTTCTTTGGCTATGTTTCCATTTAAAACAACTTATTTAATCAAAAGAGTATATTATTCTTATAAATTAGATAGTTATCCTCTCTAATCTTTATCAAAGGACATCAAAATAGATTAAAAGTAATTTCTTAGAGCCCTATGTAAAGAAATAGATTAATTATTGCTATCCATACCAACTGTTTATGAAAAGAGTTCAAGAACTTTTCTTTCTTTATTTTCATCCTATTCCATTTCTTATATACTTTTAGTTAAATTATATATTTCTTCACGATTTACTTAATTAATTAAAATTACATATAGTCTTTATAGTTTTTACGAAATAGTCTCTATTTTTTAACCTTCGATTTCTAATTTTTTATATTTATTTATAAAATTTGTTTATTTTTTTTACTCTATATATTAGCACTTAAAACTTAAACTAAAACTTCAATATAGCTTAAATGACTAAATAATATTACAGGTCGGATAATTTGAGAATCTCTATTTTAAAAAATTTAATTATGATCTAAAGAACGAGTTTTAAAGAAAAGTTCATTTGAAATTATATCTGAAAAGTCATTTATATTTTCTAACTTTTAATTATTATCTAACATTTCTTCAAGTTTTTAAATTTCATTCACAAGTAATTAATATACTTCATTAAGTACTGATACTGATTATTCACTCATTTTACTTATTTTTATTAATTAATCTAAGAACCATTTCCTTCCTTAAGTATCCATACAATCAAGAACTGGAAATTGAATAAGTTTTAAGAAATAAGAGAAGATTTTTAACTTTTAGAATTATTTTTAATAAAGATTATCTCTTTAAAATAATACACAACTAAATTTGCAAAAATTATTGATTGTTGTTGAAAAGAGAGGATATTCTTAAATCTATTTTTATTTAAAAAAAATATATATTTATTTATTTATATTTTTAAATCTATATATTTATATACCTTAAAATCAATATCCTCAAAAGGTTCACTTTTCATATATTTTTCAAAATTTTCAACATATTTATTTTTTTTAATTATAAGTTTTTCAAAAACATCAATAATTAATTTCACAATATAATGTTTTTCAGTATTTTCCAAATCAAAGTTTTTCGTATTTCTACAAAAAATTTCTGCCAATACTTACAAATTACATTACATAATCTAATCTTTTACTTCAACAGTAAGACATTCTGTATATTCTTTAAGTGCAAAAATATCAAATAATTTTTATAAAAACTAAGAATCTTTAAGTATTTTTTTCCCTTCTTCAATAATACAAATATTAGCTAAATAATAGATTATATTTTTTATTTATTTTATATCTTTAGGAATATCTTCTCTTTATAATATATTGATTTAATTTTTAATAATTCCTTAATGTATAAAATTTTTAATAGAACTAGGTTATTCATTAGCAATTCTAAAAACAAGCACAAGAACATTTACAAATAAATTCTAACAATATTATTATTCAACGATTCCCATTATTTATTAAACAATATCTTTCTAAATAATCTTTCGAGCGTTCTATTAATTAAATCTTTCACTACTTTGTGCATTTTTGAATATATTACATATAATATTTAATTAGTCTGCTAAAAAATTTAAAAAATCAACTTTTTATACATTTACCCAAACTCCTTATTTTTATTCATATTTTAATTCTTTTTAGAAAAATACTTCCCAATTCTTCATCCAGTATTCTAATTAAGGAATAATCTCTTTTTCTACTATATTTTAAGTTCTATTTAATTCACTATCTTTAATAAAGTTCAACATAATAATACTTGCTCTATAAATAATTTAAAAATTATAATTTAGTTTATTAATCTGAGTACCCTCTTTTATTCCTTCATTAAATATCTTTTATATATATTCAAATATTTCACTATTATTCCTAAATTCGACTACAATGTTTAAATACTTTAATTAAAATTGCATATCATTTGCTGTTGAAAAAGGTATTATATTTTTTCCTTTTTCCTTATTTACAAATATTTTTTCATCCCCTTCCCATTTAATTGAAGCTATATCTTCCAAAATACACTTGAAAAGATTAAAATTTTTCTGTATATAAGATTTAAAGTAATGACGCGTTAATCTAACTATTTTCAAATGAACTTTTGGACTACAATTCAAATATAAAATTTCAATTATTTCTTCTAATAAATTTTCAATGTTTAAATCTTTTATAAAGTCTTATTTTTTTACTTTGTCTTATTTTTTTTGGTTTAAAAATAAAATAAAAATTAAAAAATTTACTTAAAATTTTAAAAGCATTTATAAAAAGATGAACAAAATAATTTTTTTATTTATAATCATCTTTATATTTCAAAAGCATTAATTTTATTTTAATTTCATTAAAACTATATAAATTATTCTCATAATCTATATTAAATTTTTAAAATAATTCTTAACAACTCAAAAAAATAGGTTTTTCATTATCAAGCAATTAATTTAAATATTCGACTTTAATTTCAATTTTTTTTTAATTTTATAATAATTATAAATCTTCATCCTTAATATTTTTATTTTTTTCGCTTTAATTTTCATTTTTAATCCAAAATCTAACTTCATTATTTAAGTCTTTAAAAATATTAAAACTCTCTTTTTATTTTTTTTAAATTTCTTCCATATTTTAATCATTAAAAGGGGCAGAAAGTAAAGATTTTTCATTTTTTTCATTATTCCTTTCTTCTATTTTCTTAAAGGATTCATCTTTGTAGAACATATTACATAATTTTTGATGTTCTAATTCTTCTCCATTTATATGAAAAATTACTATTTTTGTAAATTCTAAAATCTTTTCTTTTGAATTTTTTGGATATTATTCTTTATTTAACTCTTCGTCATATCTTAGTAAATGTTAACATATCCTCAAACATAATTATAATTATTGAAAACACTCCGAAATTTCCATTATGAATAATATATGATCTAACGAATGAAATATTTTTATATAATTTACATTCAGAGATACTTTTTCCAAAAACTTTAATATTTTTAAATTTTTATAAGGATTTTTTATCCTTTTTTCTACAAAATAGTTATTTTCGCTCATTATTTTGTCACATCTATTTAATGTTTCTGCTATTATTTTAATGTTTTAGCAATTATTTACCTTTTCATTTTCTTTTATTTCGTTTAATTTTTTAATGAACTCATCATCGCTTTTTAAATCTAAAACTTCTTATAAAACCTATTTATATTTCTTTAATTTTAATTATTTTTTTGAATTTTTACTTAACATTCTTAATACTGTTTTTATTTATAAATTTTTTCTGGTATTTTCATTTTTTTTTATTTCTTTTATAATTATTATTATTATTATTATAAATAAATATTTTTTTAATATAAATAAAAAAATTTATAAGCTTTTTTTCCTCAAAATATGTTGAATAAATTTAAAAGAAATATAATAAAAAAATTATAATATTGAAAATACTTTTAATTTTATAAATTATAATAATATATATGAATTTTAATATTATTATTTAATTAAGAACAGAGAGTTTTTTTCTAACAGTATAAAAATAAAAATAATATATATAGTTTTATCAAAATAAGTATATATAAAATATGATTTAAAAAATAAGAATATTTAAGAAAATAAAATTATAATATTGAATATTTTTATTATCTATAAACTTAAATTTATATATATTTAAAGATAATTAATTTATATTTTTATATACTTTATAAATAAATCTAACTAACTAAGTTATTATTATTATTAAATTACTATATCTAAAATATATATTTAAATATATTAGAAATATATCATTAATTATAAAATGTTAATTCGATATAAACAATGGTTTAAATATTAAATTAAATGAATTAATATTTTTTATTTTAGACAATATTTATAGAAAATTAATTTATATTTTTTCACATTTTTAAAATAAATATATTTTTATATTTATTTAACATATAAAATCCTAAAAGAAAAAAAAAAAACTATATTTATATAATAACATATAAAAAAAAATGCAATTTATATAGAAAGCATTAATAATTTCCCTTAAATAAAAAAAAATAAATGGTAATTTTTATAATAACTATAATTTAAAATAAAAAAAAGCCATTAAATACTATCTTAAATAAATAAAAATAAAAAAAATTGATTTATAAAAAAAGCATTTAATTGAAACTAATTTCATTAAATTATAAAAATAAAAATATAAAACTTTATTTATTTTTTAAAAAAGCACTTCCATTTTAAAATTTTGGATCATCCCATGGTCATGGGCATTCATCTTTTCCAGTTGGTGCTCCTGCTCCTGCATTGTCAGACAAAATGTAAAAATATTTTAAAAAATAATAAATAAAAAAAAACATAACAAAAAAAGTATATGGATTAATATTTAAAACAGAATTGGATAATTTGAAAGAATTTCAGCTTTTGAAGGCGAATCTTTATTAACATCATTGAGCAGGAATAAGGTTTCTGGGCTTATACGTATAAATTTATAAAATAAATTGTTAAACTAAAATAATTTAAATAGCCGGTTGTGAAGGTGGCGAAGATATTATTACAATGCTTGAATAACCTATAGACCCAAATACATATGGACCTTTTTGCAGTGGATGCTAAGTAATAGTTTCAGAACCGTGGAGAACTAAAATGGGTGAGTTACATATACTCGAATAAAGAAATATTGATAGAGGAGAATACCCTGCTACACCAAAGTAAAATTAAATTTTAAAAGAATATAAATATTAATAAAAAATTTATATTTAAAAAAAAAAATTATTATAAATTTGATTATATTATATTTATATCTATTTAAATTATAATAAATTTTTTATAAAGCACAAGATTAGCATGTTGTGTTCTCGTTTAAAAATGGATGAATGAAATGATCATATCCATTAGTTAGAATGCTCCTGCCGAAGCTGATGATTAATATTCACTTTGAATAAATATATTTTATATTTTTTTATATAAATAATACATAAAATATATAATAAATTAAATTTATTATTAGATTTATTTCTTATAAGATTTCTTTATTTAATTCAAATATTAGTAAAAATTATTTTAAATTTTATCATAATAAATGATGCTATTTTAAATATAAATAATTTAATTTAAAAACTTAAATAAAATTGATAGAATTTTATATAAATTTATAGAAAATAAATTATATACTTTACTAATTTATTTAATTTGAAATTAATTCATTATTCAAAATAACCATATTATTTTATTAAATTGTATTTAATTTTATAAGATAATATTATTTTTTATCATTTAAATATAATAATTAGTCTTACTATTTTCTCACTAAAAAAAAGTTATTAAAAATTTATTTTGAAAAATAAAAAAACCAAAATATAAAAAAAAAATTAAAAACAAATAAAATAAAATGAGAAAAGAATAAATTAAAAATAATATAAATATAAACATAAATAATGATCTTTAAAATGGTTTATATATAAATAAAATAGTTAAATTTGAAATAAAAAAATATAAATAGATTTTTCTAAAGAAACATTAGAATTAAAATAATTTATGAGCAATTAAATTTTTTTGATTACTGATGAAATTAATTAAATATTTGAATTTTTAATATTTATGAAATAAATAAAATCTACAAAAATTAAAAAAAATTAAAAGGAACAGGATTAAAAATCATTTTAAGTAAAAAAAATATAATTTAAATAAAAAATAATATTGCTTTTATAAAAATTATATTTAGATAATAGATTAAAGTTAATTTTATAAGCATACTTTTAATTAAAAAGTTTATTAAAAATAAAAGTAATATAAACAATATTATATGATATTAAATAAAAAAAGTTTAAATAATTAAAATACATAAGTTTAAAATTCAAGCATATAAAATATTTTGGAAAATTTTTAAGAATTTAAAAAGAAGCCAAACTTAATAAATTAATAATTTTAAAAATATAGAAGCCTTTTAAATGAAAACTTATATAAAATATAATAAGAAAACAAGTATTAACTTTAATAAATGAAAAAAAATAAAATAGAAGTTTAAAGACAAAAAAATTTAAAATAAATATTTAAAAAAAGAAATATAAAATTAATTAATAATCATTAATTAAACTCTTAAAAATATGTAATAATAAAGATTATAAAAAAATATTTATTTTAAATAAACATATTTTATAATACTTTTTTATAAATTAAGTTAGAATCTTTGAGTTAATTTAATGGTATTATAAATGAAAAAAATAGAGAGAAATGTGTTTAAGATTCTAAATATTTATTTGAAGAAATTGATTAAGGAAAATTAACTCTTAAACAAATAATTAGTTAGAAATAAGAACTATTTACATAATTACAAAGATTAAAGATATATAACATTAATAATTAAAATTAACTAATACTGCTAAACGAATAGCTTGGTATAACTATGAATAATTTTGCATTAGAAATTTAATCGTAAAAATAAAATAATACTATTTTAATATAATAAAACTTATTTAAAAGGTAAATACTATAATAAAAATAATGCAATATTAATGAAGATAATAGTTAAGTTCTTTAATAATAAGATATAAATTAGAGAAAAAATAAGAAAAATATTTAGTAAAATTATATTTAAAATATAAATTAAAAAATTATATATTTTTAAAATATTAGTATTGATATTGATAATTGAATAATGAAAATCAAAAATTTATAAATAGGATATATAAATTAAAATATGTTAATTTATTAAAATTTTTATATTAAAAAAATTAAAAAAACAAAAGTATTATAATTATTTAAAACGTAAAAAAATATAAAAAAAAACTAAAAAATGAAATATGTATTTTTGATTTTAATAATATGTATAAGTAATTCAATAACAATACGTATAAATAAAAAATAATAAACAGTGACATTAAATCATTTGCAGTTGTAACCAATAGCATAACCGCAATAACAATAGCAACAATAATAGTAGCAATAATAACAATAATAGTAATATTAATAATAAGAATAAAAAAAAAATTAGGAAGATAATGATAAATTAAAAAAGTAATTAGAAAAAGCAGTAAGCAAAGATGAATTAAGACAAATAATGAAAGAAGAATTAAAGCCAGTAGAAGAAGAGATAAAATAACAAGGAGATAAGTTAGAAAAATAAATAAAAAACACATAAAATGAGATGAAAAAAGAAGTGAACAAAATGGGTCAATAACTATCAAGAAACGTAGATAAAATGGCAAGACATTTAAGCAAAAAAATGGACTAAATACATGATGTAGTAATGGAAAATCAAAAATCAAATTAAGAAATAACAATAATGATAATAGATTAATAATTAACTTAATTAAAAGATGAAAAAGAAGTAATTAAAGAATAAATATAATAATTAAAATTAGAATTACCATAAATTTATTCGTTTTGCGATTAGTTTTTTTCCTGTCAATAATGCACAAAGTAAAAAAAATGCGGATGGTGTAATATGGAATAAAGATGTGTTTAAGGAGATGAAAATGGACCTATTTATATTTCTTGTAGTTTCTACAATAAAAATTAATGTAGTGGAAGTGAATGCTCAGCTTATTCTGATTGTAATGTAAAACAAAACAAAAATTCATATTAAATTATCCCTCTTTTCATATTATTACTTTTTTTTAAAAAAAAAGAGTTGTTTAAGTAATATGAACTGTGGTTGGTGTAATGATGAAAAAAGATTTACCGAAGGTTGTATTGAAAGTGAAGCTAATGGATGTCCTTAGGAAGGATGGTTTTAAATTGAAGAAAAAATAAATAATGTTTGCCCAATACATGAAAAAATAGAAGAAAAAAAACCAAAGAAAATAGAAAAATATCAAGTTAAAGGAATTAATTTAAACACTGATGGAGAATAAGTTGAAGATAATGAAGAAAATGACAAAAGAGATGGAGAAAATGAAGATGAAGATAAAGAAGAAGATAAAGAAGAAAATGCATAAAAAAATGAGCAAGAAAATGAAGAAGAAAAAGATTAATAATAATTAATTTTAGAAAATAAATAAAAAACGGATAATAAAACTCCTAGTGAAAAATAAATAATTTATTAAAAAGTAAATATTTCTAACTTAATTTTATTTATATAATAAAAAAAATAAAAATAGAAAGCTCATTAATTAAAATAAAAAGAAAAAAGACTAATCAAAGTAACCAAATAAATAAAATCATTAACTTTAAAACTTGAAAAAGCGAAAAAGAAACTTCAAGAAATAATAAAATAAGAAGGTAAATTTCATTAAGAAAATCAATTATAAAACCCTGATTAGTTTATTAAAGATAATGAAGTTCGATTTGATGGCGAAGATTTAGACGGAGAAAATTAACATGATGGTAAACATGGCGAAGATGGAGAAGATGGAGAAGATGGAGAAGATGGAGAAGATGGAGAAGATGGGGAAGGCGGAAGACATTTTAACGATTTTTACAAAAGACATAATCATAATAATGGCAAATAAATAAACGAAAATTAAAATTAAGAAAATAATAATGAAAAATCTAAATAAGAAGCAGATAATGAGGAAAGCAAAGAAGATTAAGATGTTAGCGAAGATGGAACTAAAGAAAAAAAACTTAAATAAGAAGAATAAGAGGATAAAAAGAATAAAGATGAAGAAATAAACATTGAGGAAGAAAAAAAAGAAGAAGAAAAAGAAGAAAAAGAAGAAGAAGAAGAAGAAGAAGAAAATGAAAAAGAAAAAGAAAAAGAAAAAGAAAAGGAAAAAGAAGAAGAAGAAGAAGAAGAAAAAAAAAAAGAAGAAGAAAAAAAAGAAGAAGAAAAAGAAGAAAAAGAAGAAAAAGAAGAAAAAGAAGAAAAGAAGAAGAAGAAGAAAATAGAAAAGAAAAAGAAAAAGAAAAGGAAAAAGAAGAAGAAGAAGAAGAAGAAGAAGAAAAAAAGAACAAGAAAAAGAAGAAGAAGAAGAACAAGAAAAAGAAGAAAAAGAAGAAAAAGAAGAAAAAAAAGTAGAAGAAAAAAAAGAAGAAGAAAACAATGATGAAGAAAAAAAGGAAGAAAATAAAATAAATTAAGAAAAATAAAAAAAATAGGATAATAAATAAAATATAGAAAAAAAATTTGATATTGATGAGATTGGAGAGAATATGGATATTACAGATATATTTTTAAAAAGCTGATAAAAAACATGTTATTATAAATAAAATTAATAATATAACTTAACTTTATAATAATAAATTTTTTTATTATTAATTATTTTTTTTGGATAAATTATTAAAAAAAAAAAATTATTAGTTTGAATACAAAATGTTAGTTATTTCATAAAAAAAATATGATATTTCATTTTTTATATTTTCATTTTTATTTTAAAAGCTTTTATTTTATATTCCATTTTGAATTTAATTAAAAAAGTATATTTAATTAAACTATAAATACCTTTATAATAAAATATAAGATTTTTCCAATAAAAGTTAAAAATATTACTTAAAATAATTCATTAGAAATTAAATATTCTCAAAATATTGAAAAAAATTAATTTTTATGTCTTAATATTAAATATAAAATACATTATATTCATAAAAATTTTATAAATTTTTTTATTTAAAAAAAAATCTTATATATATATTTCGCATAAAATAATAAAAAAAAAATACAAAATAAAATAAAAAAAATTATTTCAAAAATAAATATACAAACATATAATTTAAAAAAATATTTTCACTATTATATGACAAAATATTTAAATATTACTAAATAATTTATATTTAAATAATTAATATAATAGTGTAAAAATATAAAATCATTTATTTTATAATATAAATAAAAATTATGGGATGTTAAATTAATATATAATAAAAAAAGAATTAGCTTAAAAACCTATATTTCATTTTTATTTTTTTAATTTATTTATTTAAAATTATCCCATCTAAAATTACACCTAAGATAAAAAAGGCTAGCAGGTAGAATTATTTATATTTGACCAAAAAAACAAATAAAAAACTCTACAAGATTAAAAGCCATGTTATGTTTTTTATGAGAAAAGCATTTTATATATAATTTTACATTTATAAATTCTTAATAAAATAAAATAAATATATAATTAAAAAAATAAATGATATTTAATATTTTTAAAATATTTATAATTTCTATTAATTGCTTTATTATCTCTAAATAGAAACATATAATTATAGTTCCTTAAAATATATTACTTTGTTTGACAGCAAGTATTTATTTAGCATTTTCTTTTTTATATTTAATTCCTTTGGATCTTCATTTACAAAAATTGAACGCAAATAATTAATAATAATACTAACAATAAGATAGATAATTTCCTTTTCCTTATTTTGTATCTATGTTATGCGTTTCTTTACTATTGTTTATTGAGTATGTTTTATATAGTGACGAATAAAATCCATAGGAAAATTATATATAAGTAAAAAACATGGTTTGTAGTTAATTCATAATATTTTTATTATCTTTTTCTTTTGTTTTAACCTAAGAACTATTCTCTTGTGTTATTTAATGGCTTGCTTTTATGCTTTATTTATAAATATTTTAAAATTTAGAAAGCTTATATTATTAACTAAGTTTATATCTTTTAGGATGTTTTGTGGGTTTTTTTATTCAAGATTATTATTATGTAAATATGATTAATTCAGGAGTTTGTTTATATATTTCAACTATAAAAATAATGAGTAAAAAAGAAACATTTTAATTTGAAAAAAGCAAAAATTTTATAGTATTTTGTTTAGTATAGTTTTTATTTTCTGTATTTAGTAAAAGAATTTGAAAATCTATTTAAAATAAACTTATATTTTAATAAATTATGAAATAATTCTTTATTTATATATATATATAAATATATAATAGTTATTAGTTCTAAAATTCAAAAATTTTGAAATATTTATAATTATAAAAATATTAATATACTTTATGTAAAACATATTTATTTTTTGAGCTAAAATCCCAAAACCATAAAAGGAATTTTATCAAAAAAAAATGCAAATTCTGAATTAAATATTTCTTAAAAATCTCATTTCATAGCATTTAAATTAGTATTTGAAACCAAATAAATAATATCGACATCAAATCTCGAAAAAAAGTAAGCAATCGATGTAACTTATATTCGTTTTAAGCAAGCATAATATAATAATAAACGGAAAATAAGACGTATCAAGAAATAATTTTATTTAGGAATTAAGAAGATATGATCAATATATGAATTTAAAAAAAGTAAGAATTCTTTAATGGAAAAAAAAAATAGAATTTTAAAAGAGATGACTTAAAAATAAAAAACTAAAATGTAAAGAAGATAAACCGCTTTTAAAATAAAACGAAAAATAGATGAGAAAGGAAAAATAATTAAAAGAAGGAGTTCTTATGGATGCAGATATTCCTAACATTGCTGATTTTAATTTTTATATAAAATTTAAAACAGTGTTGTAAAATAAATTCAATAGATGTATTCCTTTATATTGTTCTCCTCGGCTGTATGTTTATAAAGGAGACAGTGAATATTTTTATAAAATAGACATAAATAATTTAGGAATATTACTTTATTTAATAACTTATGGTTTGAGACCTTCAATTATTTTAAAAATGGAAATTTATAAATTAATAAAGTAACTAATAAATAAAATTAATTTAATTTTTAATAAAAATTAACACATAAAAAATACTTTCCTGATCTTGCTAAGATATGCATTATATTTAAAATTAATAATTCACTAAATGATATAATTCAATTAAGATGATATAATTTCAATTATATAATTATTATTAGTAAATAATACATTTTATGGTTTACTTAAATTAATTAAAATAAAATTGCCTATTATTCATAAAATTAATAATATTAATCTTCTTTAAAATAGTTAAATACTGAATGGAGATTTGAAATTCTAATTTAATATTTAATTAATTAATAGAAATTAGACTAAAATAAAAATAAAGATAATTATAAAATATCAATTAAATTCATTGATTTAATAGTAATAAAACTAAAAAAGAAATGTTAAGTTAAATTTAATATTAAAGTTAAATAGTGATAAATTAAATTTTCATATATAAATAACTTTTATATTAATTTTAAAGTAAAATTAATTTAAAAAGTTATTTAACTTAATTTATTTAATATTAAAAATTATATACATTTTTTTAAATTAAACTCACACCTGTATATATATTTTTTATAACTTATACTCAAAATAATCAAAACAATATATAAATTATGAATTAATTTTTAGAATATTATTTAACAAACTATCAATTATTATTTATAATTAAATTTATTATAATAATATTAAAAATAAATAAATATTATTTAAATAATAATTATTATTTAAAAATATTTTTACAAAATCTATAAATATTTAAAAATATTTAATTACATTATAAAAATTCAATTATAAATATTTTTTTCAAACTCTAGTACTTTAATGAATATTTTTCGATTAAAAACTCAAAATTATAGGCATTTAACTTAAAAAATTTGTAAATAAAATAATCAAAAAAACTTTAAAAATTTAAAACATAATATATATATATAAATTTATAAATTAGTAAGCAATTAATTTTAACTATTTAGACAAGAAGATCCAAGTATTTTAAAAAGTGCAGATTACACAAGAATACCAAATATAAATGGTGAAAATCAAATTATAAAATTAGTTAAAAACCTATAAATAAATGAAGCACTTGAATTAATTTAGGTTTTTTATTAAATTATATAATTGTATTATTATTATAATTCCTAAAATAAAATAGAATCGAAAACTAATTTAATTATAAAAAGAATTCTATTAAAATCCAAATAATTATACAGCTTATTTATATTTTCGAGTATATATTAATTAAAAAGAAGAATATTTAAGCAAATAATTTTATTATATTAAAAAAGGAACTGAATCGTCAGAACAAATATAAAGAACTATATTAAATATATAAAGGTAACAAAAAGCAAATATAACATTAACAAAAAATTTTATACATAATATATATATTTAAATAATAAAAAAGATTTTAGTCCGAATCTTGAAAAAGAATAATTATATAAAACAGAAGTTTCCCAATAAATAGAATATGCATTAAAAAAACTAAACTTAAATATAAAATTATAAAAGTAAAAAACTGGTTATTTGTATTTCAAAGAAAATAAATTAAAAATATTTATCCGAATGTTTATTTATATTTTCATAGCTTAAATGATAATAAAAATGGTGAACGTAAAAAAACTAATAAAAAATATATTATAAAATAAAAAGTATTACTTTGAATAAAGAAAGTAAAAAGATGTAAAAAATCCTAGAAAATAATCAGGAATAATAAATCAGTAAAAACAATATGAAAAAAAAAAAAAAAAAAAAAAGCATAATAGGCCGTTAATAAACCATTTTAGATGAAAAAAATATTCAAGCAAGATTTTCAGATGTAATAGGAATAGATGAGTTTAAAGAAGAATTATTAGAATTAGTTGATTATTTAAAAAACCCAAAAAAATATCATGATGCTGGAGCAAAACTTCCTAAGGGTATACTTTTAGTAGGATAACCTGGGACAGGAAAAACTCTATTAGCAAGAGCATTAGCAGGAGAAGCTGGTTGTTCATTTTTTTACAAAAACGGTTCTGAATTTGATGAGATGTTTGTAGGTGTTGGAGCTATGAGGATAAGAGAGTTATTCAAAAAAGCTCGTGAAAAAGCTCCTTCTATAATATTTATTGATGAAATAGATTCAGTAGCAGGCCGAAGAAACGCATCTGATCCTTCTCATTCTCGAGATACTGTGAATTAAATATTAGCAGAGATGGACGGATTTAAGTAAACAGATAATGTGATTGTAATAGGAGCTACAAATATGGAATAGTCTATAGACGATGCTATTAAAAGGCCTGGAAGATTTGATAAAATAATACACGTTCCTTTGCCAGATATAAAAGGTCGTGAATAGGTTTTTTTTTTTAATTTATTTATATAAATAAAAACATAAATAAAGCTTTTTGAATTTTATTTGAAGAAAATAAAAATAGAAAATCATGTAAGCGCAAAAGAATTAGCTAGACAAACTAGTGGATTTAGTGGAGCTGATATTCAAAATATGGTTAACATATCGATTTTAAACGCTATAAAAAATCATAGAAATTTTGCTAATATAAAAGATTTTGATTTTGCATTAGATAGAATTGCGATGGGAATAGGTAGAAAAAACATGTTTATTACTGATAAAGATAAATATTTGACTGCTATTCACGAAGGTGGGCATACTGTTGCTGCTCTTTTTACTTAAGGAGCTACTCCTTTGCATAAAGTCACGATTTTACCAAGAGGAGGAGCTCTTGGATTTGTAAAAATAAATAATTTCTTTTTTTTTAAAAAAATAAATAAATAAATTTAGACTTCTATGATACTTGAAACTGACCGTCATAATTATACTAAAAAAAATATGATTGCTATGATTGATGTTGCAATGGGAGGAAGAGCTGCCGAGGACTTATTTTTGGGAAATGATTAAATAACTACTGGATGTAATAATGATTTAGCTAAAGCTACTGAAATTGCTTATTAGTATGTTAAGTAATTAGGGATGGATTAAGACTTTACGCTTCTTTCAGAATCAAATAATATTTAAACATCTAATTAATATAATTATTTAATTGATAAAGAAGTTTAAAAAATTCTTAAAGAATCCTATGATAGAGTTAAAGGCTTATTATAATAAAAAGAAAAAGGATTAAAACAATTGGCTAATGAATTAATTGCCAAAGAAACTTTGACGTGTAATTTTTTTATTTCCATTTACTTTTTTTTATTTTGTTTTATAATTTTTTTTAATTATATATCTTTTTAAAAAGCCGAATAAATTAAATAATTATTTAATGAAATACAGAATAATTGAAAATTTATATTATATTATAATAGAGTATAATTTAATTAAACTATTAGTTAATTTTTACTATAATAAAAAAATAGGTTTGTATTTTAGACATTTCGAAAAAAAAAATCTATCTATAAAAATAAAATTAAAATATATAATAATATTAAAATATATAATACGTAATAAATAAAATATATGTAAATTAATTATTTTATTAATTTTAAAAAATAAAATAATATAAATATAATGATGCCATTACTTTTATTATAGTGTATTTTTCTAAATATGTATATATTAATATTAGTATCCTTAATAATCTAAAAATAACTAAAAATTATATATATAAATAAAAAATTATAATTAGTAAAAATAAAAATTTATATTAATTTAAATAAAATAAAAAAAATTTAATACAAAATAAAAATATTAAAAGTATGAATTAATAATAACATCATTTATTAGATGAAGAATGCAATTTAAAGTAAAATATAATAAAATCTTTCAAAATAAAAAAATAAATAATAAAATAAAAGCCCTGGACTTACTGATTTCATAAAAGAATGTGGTTTAATAAGCTGCTAAAATAATTATAATATTGTATCAATTATTGGAGCTTAAAATTCAGGTAAATCAACACTTCTAAATCGAGTATTTGGTACCTAATTTGAAGTTTTATAAAGCAAAAGCAAGTAATAAACAACTAAAGGGATATGGGTTTCTAGAGATAAAGAATAAAATGTAATGATATTAGATGTTGAAGGTTCTAACAGTCGTTAAAGAGGAAAAGGTGAGAAAGGTAGTGGAGTAAAAATATATCTTTTAAATAAAATAAAATAATACAAAATAAATATAAATAAAGTTTTTCGAAAAATCAACTGCCTTATTTGCCCTTGCTTTTTCATAAGTTTTGATTTTGAATTTTAACACATTAAACTTAGGACACGAATCAGAGTTTTCAATCATAAAAGTTATAATGGAAATGAATTTGAGACTTTTTAAAAGTGATTAAGTTAAGTAAATATTGATTGTTTTTAGAGATTTTAATGATGAATAAGATGATTTTGATATATTTTGCAAAGATATAAGAAAGGAAATCAAAGAAATATGGAAGGAAATAAATAAACCTAAAGAACTAGAAGAATTAGAACCGGATGCCCTTTTTAAAATAAATTTTTATAAATGTGCTAATTTTTAGTTTTAAAGATAAAAGTAAAGAAATAAAAAATTAAAATAATTTTTTTTATTTTTAATAAAAATATAAAAAATAGATTTGAAGAAGATATGTAAGATTTACGTGATTTATTTGTAAACAAATAAAACTAATAAAATATATTCTAAGACTATAATTATTAAACAAACTTGCCAATAGAGGCTATAGAAGACTTATCGGAAAGTTTATGGAAGACAATAAAAAATAATGAAGACTTACATCTTCCGAATTCAAAATTATAAGCGTCTTAAATACGATGTTTTAAAATAAAAGATCAATCGATTTAATTAGTAGCTTAAAAAATGGAACAACTACAATAAGATATAAATAATGACTGCGCAGATGCTTTCGGTTAAAGAGCTAGAGATATAGTAAATCCAGCTTTACAATTTTATGAAAGCGAATCATAATTTTATAATCCTTAAATAAGAGATGAAATGAGATAAAATTTATTTAATGATTTGATTTCAAGAATAAAGGATCTTTTTTAAAGACAAATAAATAAATTATAATCAAAATTTTAAAAAGATATTCAGAAAGAAATTCAAGAATTATAAAATGAACGAAACTTTATTGAAATTATGTAAAAATTGATTAATATAAAAGGAGCTTTCTCTAATAAAATATTCAGTATTTTACATAATTGCATACCTTTCGATTAATAAAAATAAGATTGGGAAATTAACAAAATCTAAGAATAGTTAGAAGATATTCTTGAAAATTAATTAAAATAATAAAAAAATATCGAATTGATTCAATATATTAATTAAAAACTTAACTTTGTCAAATAAGAAGTTGACTAAATTGTTAGTGAATAATTTGATTCTTTAGAAAATAATTTTTGGCAAAATTTATAAACTTCTCATAATTTATAACAAAATATGATATTTTAAAAAATTAAAAATGAAGTTTCTCCATATTATGAAGATATCATTATTAATAGAGAAGTCAAAAAACTTCAAGATTAAATATTTAACGTTTTTAAAGATGAAATTAAAAAGAAAATAAGAGACTTACATTATTATTTACTTAAAAAGTAAAAAAAAAGTTATATTTTATTATAATTTTTTTTAATAAATAGATTCAAATAATTTTTCTAAAAAGACGAAAAAGAAATGACCAGAAAATGGAAATTATTAGATGAAAAAGTTATTGAAGATCTCTTTATTGATTCGAGATAAAAAGTTATTGTTTTATTAAAAATGTTTAGTAAACTTTAATTATTTGAAAAAGATCCTCTTCCTGAAGAAGCTTAAGAATAATTGATTGATGCAGCTTAATTAAATAAATTTGAAGTTCAATTCAAAGAAAAATCAGAAGAAGAATATAGAGAAGCCATAAGATAAAAAGTATTTTAATATTATAAATTAAAATATATATATAATATTAAAAACAATAAAAGAATGAAGTTTCAGCTTCAGGAATACCTAAATGGATGTGGGTTTTGTTAATATTTTTTATGTATGATGATGTTTTCAGATGGCTTTCGAATCCTATATTATTATATCCAATATTATTATTTGCTTCTTTTATAGGAATGTGTATTTCTGCAGGTTAAATAATAATTTTTAAAATTTTTAATTTATTTTTATTTTTAAGGTTATGGTGAGGTACCTAAAGTTTTGTTCTGTCAGCTGTTTGATTTATTAAAAGGATAAGTAGGACCTGCTTTATTTAGATTTAGATGATTTTTTATGTTGTTTTTGTGTTTTTTAATATACTTTATTTTATTATTTAAAATAAAATATAAGAATCTTTATAAATTTTTAATTATATTAATATACTTTTATTTTTAATAAAATATATAAATAAAAATTTAAAAATAAAAAAAATATAATATCTTAAATAAAAATATTTTTTTATAAATAAATAAAATATATTTATTTTTAAATAAATAAATATATTTATTTTTAAATAATATTATATTTATTAACCTAAATAATTTTTAATTTTAATCATATTAAAAATTTCAAAATTAATTATTTTATTTTATTTTATTTAAAAGAAAAAAATTTATAATTTTTATTTTTTTAGTTTTTTCTATTTTATTATTTATATTAAATAATAAAATTTAATTTATATCAATTTATATAACAAAAAAATATTAGATGGGCTGTTTATAAGCAAAACAAAAAGTCAATTACATAAATAATAGCGAATAATAGAATAAAAATAAAGAATTAAATTTGATTAATTAGATCTATTCGTTAAAAGATATTAAAAATACATAGGAATTAAGAAGAAAAGAAGAAATTTAACAAGCAATAACTAATATTACTTTATAAAAGTATACAGTAACTCTCAAGTATATAATGGCAAGAAAAAGTTTTATTGATAGATAAAACTTTCCACCATAGTAAAGATTATACTATTTTCCTGCTCCAAGATTAAACAAAGTAACTGAAAGTACAATTATTAACAGAAGATAACTCATTTCTTGCCAGCTTAATATATAAGGTTAAAATAACAAATAAAGTGTTATAAAAAAAAGGCAATCAAATGTATTTTGATGTTAAAATATGTATTAATAAAAAATATAAATTTTAAAGTGATAAAGATTAATTATTAATTTATTTATTTTTTAATGTTTTTGTATAAATTATATATATATATATATATATATATATGTATGTAATTTTAAATTTTAATAATTTTATTCATGTTTTTTATATTCTTTTAAAATAATAAAATAAGCTTTTTTTCTTTTACTTGTTCATAAAGTTTTATCTGCAATTTTTTTAAAAAATAACTTAATAAAAAAAAAATGCTGACTTATCCATTTTATCTCGCATTTTTTTTTTTGATTAAGTGGTTTTTTAAAAAATTACAAATAATATTTATAATAGAAACCATTAGGAAGACAACTAAATAAATAAAATATAAAATTATAATATTTCTATTAAAAAAATAAATAAATAATATTAAATATTTATTTTATTTCAAAAATATAGAAAATAATAAATTTAATTAAAATTTTATGTTATATATTTTATAACTTTTCTTTTTAAAAATAATAATATTTAATTTGAAAATTAATATATCAATTTTATTTTTGGATTATCTTAAAATTGAGCCAGTTCTAAATATATTCTTCTAAAATACATACTACACTATTTTTATATTCATTAACAATAATTTTAGAATTTTAATATTCTTATATAATTTATAATTATTAAATAAATTTCCTAATAATTATTAAAAGATTCTCTTTTATTTTTTAATATAAAGATTAATTCATTTATAATAACTATATTAATAAATATTTTTAAAATTAAAATAATTAATAAATTATTACTTTTTATTACAAATTTAAAAAAATAATTTAAAAACTAATCGATATTAAAAAAAACTTTAAATATGTAAAATGATTAAATTTTTTTTTATATATATTTCATATCAAACATACAGTATTTACCTTTAAATAATTAATTTTAATATATATTAAATAATATTTATGTTTACTTAAAATCCTTAATTTTATATTTATTATTGTAAAAATTCATAAAATAATCACACTATAATATGTTATTTATTTTAAAAATCAAACACCGGTTAATAAATATATTAAAAAAATCATAAAATCATTTCTTTTAATTCAATTATGGATATTGTCAAAAATATTTTTAATTTCATTTAAATTCAATTTATTATTTTATTATTCATTTGTATTTTTTAATAATTATTTTAATAAATATTGATATTCTATTTATTTGAGTAATTTCTATGTCATTTTTTACAACAAATTATTTTTTTATATTCAAATTATTTTATTTGATTGATTTTATTATTAATTTAATTTTATATTATATTATTTTAACTTTCACTATATTTTCTTCTTGCTATTCTATAATTTTAATTTATTCTGAACATTATAATCTACATATTATTACTTTTATTGTGAATTTAACCCTCAAAATTAATATATTTTATTAATATTTTTATTTTTATTATTATAGAAAATTAATAACAAATGAATATATATAAATAAATTAAATTAAACTAAAATATAAAATATTTTTTAAAAAAAGAAAAACAAAAAACAAAGACCCATTTATAATAAATAATTTAACAATATTAGTAAAATTTTTCTGTTTATACAATTTTTAATTTTTCTCAATTTTAATTTTTTTTTTTTATTCTACTCTTGTTTTAATATAATAATATCTTGCATATTATCTATAGTAGTATTTAATTAATTATTATATTCAATATTTTCAACTAAAAATCTATCCATAGAATCAATATATTTTTATAATTACTAAGCTTTTTATTCATTGTATTTTTTTTATTAAACTTCAAGCTATAGACTCTTGTTTTTATTTCGAATATTTGATTTATTTAATTTTCCGAATTTCATAAAATATTTTTCATTTTCTTATTCAAACAACTGCTTTTATTCATTCATATGGATTTCATTTATTAATTTTTTTTCTTATTTTCTATTAAAAGTTTTATCATTTTCTTTATTAAGTCCTTTTATTATTTAAATTTTATTACTATATACTTTGTTCAATCTTAAAAGGGTTAATTTATCTCTTAATAATTAACAGTTTCCTAAAAATTTAGATATATTTTAATCTGACCATAAATCACTTACAAACATACTCCCTTTTGATTATTATTTTGTTGTTTCTCTAAAAAATGGCTTTATATAATAATTATCTTCTTTTTCTGGAGATTTAAATCCAAACCGAGCAAAAGTAACTAATCTTTATTATAATTATTCATATATATTTTCTTATTGTTTCCTCCTTTATTTAAAAATTTAATATAGTTTTGAATGAGCATTATTTTGTTTTAATATATTTGGAGTTTAAATGACAGAAGAATCTACTCTTACTTATCTAATAACAGGAAGATTAACTCGTTTTAAAATTTATTAATTTTTCGAATTCTAGTTTGGTGTAAATTAGGATTGATTATTTTTATATGTTTAGTTTTTTTATAATTTTTTAGAAAAAATTGAAGGATTGATAATCATTTTTTTTTATTATTATTATTATTATAAGAAAAAACAAAAAATATTTAAGTAAATTAGGTTATATTTCAAATTTAATATTAATTAAATATTATTAATGAAAAATATATATATATATATATAATATAATTTTTTATATATAAGTATAAAAACAAAAATATAAATATAATATAATATAATATAATATAATATAATAAAATAAAAATAGTAAAATTATTTAAAAATATCAAACATTTTTTAATCTATAAATTATTGCAGTTACAGTCAACTTCTTTTACAATAAATTTTATTTCTTCTTCAATTTAATTAAATTCTTCAAAAAGTTTTGTTTTATTCATTTTTTCGGGGCTTTTTTTATTAATATTTTACCAAATATTATCAACACCATGTTCGTTTTTAAGAAGATTTTCCAAATTAAAATCACCTTTTAAGATTTCGTTATTAAGAAGATTATTTATAAAATTATTCCCATTAAAGTTTCTAGAATCAGATTACTTTTTTGAAGAATCACTTCTAAAAGTAGTCTAAGGAGATGGGCTTTTTTTAATTTTGGGACTTATACTTTTTTTTAAAAATTATAATGTTAAGAAAGGTATTTATATTTTAATTTTAATTATTATCTAAGCAAACTTCATAAAAAACATCATCTTCATTACTATTAGAAAGTTATTATGACTTATTATTATTATTATTATTATTATTATTATTACTTTTTTTTTTAATTTATTAAATATCTTTTAATATTGTAGATTTATTTTATTTTTGATATTTATTTTTATTGTCTTTTTTTATTTTAAAGTATTTTAATATTTTTCTCTTTGTTTTTTTTCTTTTATTAAATCTTATTTTAATTTTGGTTTGAAAGTACAATTTTTATCTATTTCATTTTCTCTATCTTCCTTTATTTTTTCAAGAATTTCCTTTTTTTTTCTTAAATTATCTACTTCTCTTTCATATAAAGATTTTTCATTTTCTGTAATAAAATATATACTAGATATGTTTATTAAGGGTTTAAAGGAGCATTCTTCTAAGCCTTTTTCATCTTAATAGCTTGCTTATTATTATCTTTCTAATTTACGATCAAATTAAGTATAATTTCTTAATAAAAAAGTTTCAAAATCTTTTACGTTAAATTCTTTTTTTTCTTTACATTGCTATATTTTTTTCTGTTTTATTGTTTTATATATATATATACATACTTCTTATAATTAAGTTTATGATTTCGGCTGATGTAATGGTTTTCTTTATATTTCCTATTTTTTTTTTTTTACAAAACAATTTAAATAATTTTTTTTACTAATTTAGATGCCAACTCTCTAGAAACAGGATTTATTTGAGGATGAAAATTATATTATTAATCATATTCATATTTAAGTTCTTAAATTTTTTATTCTTAAACTTTAGCATATTCATGAAGTTTTTCATGAATATTTTATCCTTCTGAATCTCCAAAAATATATTTTTTATTTATTTCAGGAGTGAAAGCAGTTTATGTATTTTATTCTTATTATTATTTTAATATATCATTTTTAATCTTTACGTTTTAACCATATTTTATAAGTCTTTCTTCTATAGGAGTAGAATCTCTATTTTACATCATTTTTTTAGACACATCATTTATTTTTGGTTTAAAATCTAAAAATTTAATTAAATAAGCGTTTCAATTTTATAATATTTAATATATATTTTTTAATAATTAAGTTTATATTTATTTTGTTTATCACCTGTTTCATTTATATCTTTTAACTTAATTTTCGAATTTAAATAATTTTCAAATCTCGTTTACCAACCTGAAATAGGTCCTTAATATTCAGTTAATCTTTTTTTTTTAAAAAAAAAGAATAAAATAATATACAAAGTAATAATAATTAATATATAAGCTTTTTTTTTTACAATTTTTCATTATATAATGATTTTTAAATGCTTTTTTAATAGTTTTCTTATGAAATATTGTTTAATAATTATTATTGTTAAATTTCTGATTTTTGTGATTATTTTTTTTCATTAACTTTTTATTGCCATTATTTATTATATTCATAAAATTATCCAGGTTTCCTACTTTCAGTCAATTTTTTTGATTACTTTATATGAAATATAAATAATTAAATAGTTATTATTCATATTTAAATTTATATTTTTTTTTTAAATACTTAGTTTATACCTTTTTTAGTTTCTTCATCATCTATTTCCTTAAACATTTAATCCAATATTTTCTATTGTTTTTGTAAATTTAATTTATATTGCTTTTTGTTTCCATCCACATAAAGTTGTATACATCTAAATTCATTTTAAACTTTTTTATTTTCTGAAATAGGAAACTCATCAAATATGTATTTTAATGTTTAATACATTTATTTTTGTAAAAAATTTAAATAATAAAAATAAATAAAAATTTGATATTATATTATAAAAATGAATAAAAAAAATGTTTTTATATAAATTTTTTTTTATGTTATAAATTTATAAAAATAAATGAATTCTATAAAAAACTGAAAAATTTAATAAAAAATTCTAAATGAAAACTATAAAAAATATGAATTGTATATAAAATATTAAATTTTAAAAAGTATTTTATTGTTAAACTATTTTTTTTAATCTAAATAATTAATAAATGCTTATAAATAGTAAAATATATATATAAGATAAATAAATATACATATATTACAAAGTTGCATATTCTTTAATAATTCTTATACAAATTAAATAAAGTTCTATACATTTTATGGATTTTAAATACTTTCTTATCTCATTAATTAACAATAGTTTTTTTGTCCGTATTTTAAATCAAAATATAACAAATCAAATAAAAAAACTCAACAGGATTTAAAATAATTATATTTATATATTTAGTAAATAAGGGTATTATTTATTATGCTTATAATTTTAGTATTTAATTTGTTAATGTAAATCAAAACATAAGCTATTGTATTATTTATGTAATAACATATTAAAACTATTATAGTTTTAGAAGAAAAAAAAAAAATGATTAAATTATTAAATACTATTTATATAAATATTTTATATTTTTCATATTAGTTATTATCTAATTTGAATTATTTTTTTGAATGATATTATTTACAGAATTATCTGTTTAATTATATAACTTAAAAATCAGTTTAAAATGTTTTTATATATTAATTAATTTTAAATATATTTTAGCTAATTATGCTGATAAAAATTATAATTTATTTTCTGGTTATTATTAAATAGGTAAAATTAAAGTATTATTGCTATATATTATATTAAAATAATTCTTATTAACATTTATCTCACTAAACAAAAATTACCCAGTATTATATCATTATATATATATAATTAATATTTTGTTGACTTTTAATTAGAATTATTTTTTCTATTAAAGGTTAATTTTAGTCTTTTTTTAAAAACGTCTAAATAAGAAGATCTAAAAAATTACTATTAATTTGATTTGATTAAGGTTTAATTTATTTATTATTTCCATTAATATTTTACTTTTTATACTTTTTTTTTTTGAATGTGAACCTAAATAATTTAGAAAAAATAAATAAAGAAAAATAATAAAACCTAAAAATCAAAATTTTTATTTTAAAAATAAACTTTTTAATTGAATATTTAATTTTCTATGACATCTTAGATTTTTTTATTTATTTTTTCATATAATATTATTTGTTTTAAATGAGAAAAAGATAATGGCTTATTTTTTTTTATACTGGAGATTTTAAATAAAAAGAAATAAAAAAAACATTGAAGCAAACAATGAATACTTTTATTTTTAAGAGGCTTTTTATTGTAAGGGAAAAATAAAATAAATTGAATCTTTAAATTTAAAAATAAATATATCATTAATTTCTATAATATATAACTATTTATTTATTATTAGATATTTTTATAATATATATTTATTTTCTAATATAAAGAATTTATTTAATAAAGAAATTTTCTAAACTATATATATCTATTTTATAAAAATGTTTTTTATGTTTCCTATATATATAAATGAAAAAAGATATAAAGTAGTACATTTATAAAAAATAAAATTATTTATTATTCAAAATAATCTAATATAAACTAATCAAAATATAAAAAATTATAAGAAAAAAGATTTCCTCAAGAATATAATCATATAAATTAATTTATGAATAGAGTTTTTAACATATAAATATTTTATTAAACCTATATATTATCTAATAAAATATTTTTATTGTAAAACACTATTTATCATTATTATATATTTCTGTAATTTTTATAAAAAAAAGTGATTTAATAAAATAAAAAAAAAAATGGAAATTTTTTATAATAAAGATATGTATGTATATATATATATATATATATATATATATATATATATATATATATATATATATATATATATATACATATATACATATATACATATATACATATAATATCTATCTTATATATAAATAAATTTTAAATTCCAAAATTATAATAATAATTTTTTATATACTAATAATTAAAAAAATATAAATATAAAAAATTAAATATTATAAAGTATAATATTTTTCATTGTTAATCTTAATCTTAAGGATTTTGCAATTATTCTCCTATATCTGAAATAATTTTATATTTATTTTCCCAATCAGCAGGAAAAACTACATCTTTCTCATCAACATCTTTAATAAATTTATCACTTTTCCATTCCCCACATTTAATAATCTTGCCATCTTTATTTCTAAAAATACCGATTCCATTCCATTTATCGTTTTCCCAGTAACCTAAAATATATAATAAATATACAATTATTTATAAAACTATATTAAATAAATATTTAAACCTATATATTATTTCCCAGATTTCTTATAAAAATAATTTCCAAATCCATTGAACTTTCCTTATTCAAATTACCCACTATATACATCTCCATGTTCATTATTTTCACTTGCAAAGTAGAATTAGCCATCTCCTTACTAATTATTATTATCCCAAATTCCCACATATTTATTTCCATTTGAATATAAATAAGTGCCAAATCCATGTCTTTTATTTGCTTTAATATCACCTTTATAAATTCCTCCTGACGGATATTTATATTCTCCTTCTCCCTCTTAAATTCCATTTTTCCATTATCCATCATAAAAGAATTATGGATTTTTTAAATTATATATATATTTTCCTTTTGTTTATAAATCGTTTTCCCAAAAACCTTCAAATTTAGCTCCATCTGAATAAAGCATATTTCCTTTTCCTTCTTTTCTATCTCTTTATAATTAACCTTAATATTTTCCATCAGGATAGAATCTTTCTCCCTTTCCTGTTATAGCATAATTTTCCATTTCTCCATCATAAAAGATATGATGATTATCAAAAATATTAAATACTTTGCAAATTTTAGGTTGATCATTTTCCCAAAGACCTTCATATTAAGGCATAGATTCTTTGTTATAAAGTGTTCCTTTACCATCTTTAAAGAAATTTCCTTTTAAACTGCCAGTATAATAAGATCCATCATGATAACTAATAACTCCGATTAATAAACATCCATTTTCCCAATCTCCCTTGTATCTAACGCCATCATCATTAATTAACTCTCCTTTACCATGGAATTAATGATTTTTGAAATTTCCTTCATATACTCTTCCATTAGGGAAGCTTAGCTTACCGAATCCATCATAAAGTCCTTTTTAAAAGCTTCCTTCATATACAACTTATTTTCTTATTTCTTTCCCATTTCCACTTGGTAAATCATTTTAAAATTCGCCTTCAAATTCATAATCTTTATCTTTTAATTTTCCTTTTCCTACTTTGCCATAATTTTCGTCTAATTTTCCTTCATAAATAGCACCACTAGCTAATTTGTAAGAACCATCTTCATTTTAAATTGGTATTTTTAAAATATTTTTCAATTGAGCTTGTATATGTTTTTCGAATTAATCAATTTTTACATTATTTATTAACCCTTATTCATCTAAATAATCCTTATAATTTTCCACAAACTATACATATTAGTAAATATCTATCCTTTAATCATTACTTACATCTAATAACTTAATAATTTAAAGTAACTTTTATTCTTAAATTCCTGTAAACTAAGCATATTATTAACAGAAATATACATTAGAAACTTCAAATTCATTTGAAAATAATTAAACCCACAACTAAAATCCTTACTTATCCCAAAAAGTGCAAAACAAATAATTAGGAAGAGTGCAGAAATTGGTTCCATGAATTTAATTTAAATCTTGCCTTAATTTTTTTGTTTCATTATATTTCTATATGAACTCTTAATTATCAACTAATACTTATAAAATATTGAAGTTCAATTGGTTTTATCCACTCTAGGTTATATTTTTCAAATAAGCATATAATTCATTAATTGTATTCTAGTGTTGGAAAAAAGATTAATCTAAATTAAATCTTAAATGGAAAGATCTAAACATTTACATATCTCCATACAAGCCTATTAAATCACTTTTTATTTGTTTTAATTCCTCAGGGATTAGAAAATAAGGATTAAATAAGTTTATTATGTATTCGATTTCGTTAATTGAATTAGTTAATGATTTTCCATTTTTATATATTATATTTTTTAAGTTAGAAGCATGGTCTAAAGCATATTTTAAAGATTTTAATTCTTTTTTAAATGCGATTTCTATTATTCAAATATATTTATTTTTTATTTTTATTTTTATTTTTACTATTTATTTCTTATTTGTTTTCTTATTCTTCTCTTTTTTCATCTGAAATTATATATTCTACTTGAGCTGCTGTTACATTAGCTTTTTATTTTTAAAAAAATGATAATTATTTTTTACAGTTTTTCTTTTATTTAAATATTTACCTGGAGTTTATTTTTTTATTTCTTCTGTTTAAGCATCTGTTTCTTAATATAAATTAGTAACTCGAGCATTATGATTATCAAATTGATTTTAAATATTTTAATCTGAACAACAGGATCCCATTTTAGCTTTCTATATATATTTATTTTAAATTATAATTTTTTTTTTAATTTTTTAAGCACTTAATTAATAAAAAAAAAAAAAGTTATAATATATATTATTTTTAATTTCTTATTTTTTTAAATTCGATTTTTATTTTTATATAAATCTAAACACAAATTCCATTTTGCCAAATTTATTTTAATTTTAATATATAAAAAAATAGCATTATATACAAGAGTATATATAATTTATATTTTTTAATAAATTATATTAGTACTACAAAAAAAATACACAAAAAACAAAAAACAAATTAATAATTAATTATATTTTAAAAAAATTAATTAAGAAATTAATAAAAAAATAAATAAAAATTAAATAAAATAAATTAAATGATAAATATATAAATTAAAACTATTTTTCAAAAAATAAACATATATATTAACATTTCTTAGTAAAATTAATGAATACATTATTTATAAAAATAATTAAATAAAAATAATTAACTTAGAAGTTAAAATAAAATACATCTTTTTAAAATAAAGATAATACCTAAAATAATTAATTTAACTATTCATAAATATCAAAATATGGATTATTTTCTGCTGTCATAATTAGTTGGGTTTATATCTTCTATTTATGGAAAACTACAGATTAAAGAGCTTCAGCTAAAGCTCAAATATTTTTATAATAAAATGAATAATTTAATGAATTTAAAAGTGCAGAATTAGTAAAACCAGAAGAGCATAGATAAGAATACGTTTACACATTTTTATATTTTTACTTTTATAAATTATTTTTTTAAGTGATATTTATGTAATTATTTTTTTAATAATAGATTGACAAATAAAAAAGAAAATATAAATAATTAGTCGAGTAAAAAAAAAAGCAAATGAAAATAATTAAAAAGAATGAGATACTTAATAAAAATTTCAATTAAAATTTATAAAAATATTTCACTTTAATATTTTGCGAAAAATAATACCTTATCTTTTTTATAAAAATATTTGTTTTAATTTATTTATTAAACAAAAATTAATAAAAATATTTAAATTTTTTAGAAAAAATTAGGTAATTATTAGTAATAAGAAAATTTTATAAAATAAGATTTAATTGTTTATGATTAAACCTAATTTTAATAAATCTTTTAATTAATTCATACAAAATTAAAAAATTAAATCAATATTTAAAATATAATTAATAAATGCACCATTTATTTATATCGCATCACTTCATAAGTCTTTGAACAAATAAAAATTATTAGTATAATCAATTTTTTTTTAATTTTTATAATTTATATTTATAAAATTCCTTATTTTTTGCTTATTAAGAATTAAAAAAAATATGAAGAAATTTGAACATAATACAAAAATTATTATATAAAGTTAACTATTTTTTTATATTATATTTAAATGCTTTTTATAATTAAGATTGTATAAAATATTATAAAAAAAAGAATTATTAATAATTTATAATAATTATAATAAATTCATAACATAATTTTTAAATAGTATATGATTTAATATAATATAAGATTAATTATAAAAAAAAAATATTATTATAAATAAAAATAAAAATATAAATATATATATTATTATATAATTATTTTTAACGCAAATATTTATTTATTTATCAAATTATTATTAAAAATAACTTTTTATTTATATTAACTTACTTATGTTAATATATCAGTTACTTTACTTATATATTTTTATCTATAACAATGATAAAATATATATATAAAAAATTATACAATAACATTTAACATTACATTTAAAAATAAATAGTAATAAAATTATATATAAAATATATATATAATATCTTTAATTATTTAATATAAATCATATATATAATTATTTAATTGGATTATTAATAATTTTTATTAGTTAGCTTATATAAAATAAATAAGGATTATTTAAAATAATTATAACAATTAATGTATAATAAAAATAAAATTATATTATTAAATTACATTATATGATGACTTTTCTATACTATTTATTGTCTTATATCAAAATTATATTTTTATCTATATTTTTTTTTTAATATTTAAAATTACTAATTTTTAAATTTCATAATTAATTTTTCAAAAAAATAAAGAAAATATTAAGATATAACAATTATAAATTAAAATATTAAATTTTAAAAAAAATTAAAAAATACTGCAAATGGCTTTCTAAATTTTTATTAGATATGAAAAACATATAGTACTAGAAGTTAAAAATTTTTCAACTGTTTAAAATATAAAATAAGAAATTGAAAAAATAACTAAAATTCCATAAAAATTATAGAAACTTTACTTTGCTGGTAAATTACTTTAAAACTAAACTAATATAGAAGATTGTATGATATAAAAATTTTCGACATTAACTTTAATGTGTTGATAATAAAAAATAGCAATTATAGTATTATTCAATATAGAATTGAAATTTATATTATAAAATTAAATTAATTTATAAAATAACATATTTTAATAAATATATATTAAAAGACTTTATACTTTTTAACAAAAAATAATATTCAAATGATATATGACATTAACTAATAAAAATATTAAACTATATTGTACTTTTTTTAATAGCCAATATCTTTAAATTTTAACTTATAAACTTTTAAAAAATAAAACAATTTAAATATTTTTTTATATTTACATCTATTTTTTATTAATTAATTCTATTTATTTGTATAAAATTAGTTAATATATTTAATGTTTTAAAAATATTATATATTATAAAAACAAATTTTATATATATTTTATATAAATTTATAATATATGTTATTTCTAATCATAGTTATAATTTATTAAAGTAAAAAATTTATTTAATAATATTTTTATATATTAAAAAAAAAAAAAAAAATTAGATAAATTTTTCAAAATGCTTTTTAATATTATATAGAAAAAAGTTATAAATAACATACAATATATTAATTTATTATTATAATATTATAATATTATAATATATATAATAATATTTTTTTTTTTTTGCTTATTTATTATTTATAATTAATAAAATATATTAAATTCATAATATTAAAGGCTATATATAATTCAAAGTTTTCATTAAAATATAAAAAATAATTGATGAATAAATTAAAATTATTAAAAATATAAAATAAATATTAAAATTAGAATGGTAATGATATAGAAAAAGATAATATAAGCAATACAACAAGTCTAATATTTTAAGAAAATTAAAAAAATGTAAAAACCTATCAAAATAAATTACTTTCAAAAATACAATGGAATAAAATAATATAAGATAAATAGTTAAATGTTATAGAAGAAGATATAATATTCTATAACTTATTAAAAGGAATACCATATGATATGTAAAAAATAATATATATTTAAAATTAAGACTGTAAAATAAATATATATAGAAGAAAAGATTTATGGTTAGTATTAGCAAATGTAGAAGAATTAAAAACGAAATTTTCTCATTTATTCTCCTATAAAGATAACTGTGAAAAAGAAAGTATAAGCGATTCACAAATAAAAAATGACTTAAATCGCACTTTTGGAGATTTTTCATATTTTTAATAATATGATTAAATTTAAAATGTACTTTAATAAAGTTAATATATATAACTTTTTAGAATTATATATTATTAAAAAAAAGAGAAACGAAGGTCAATAGAGACTATTTAAAATATTAAGAGCATATGCATAATTTGATAAAGAAATAGGATATACATAAGGAATGAACTATATAGTTGCAAGTTTATTAATATGCATGAATACCGAAAATGAAAAAGAATTAGAAGATGTATTTTTTATAGATAATTAATATGAAGAAAATGTATTTTGGATTTTTGTGCATATTATGTATGAAAAAAATTGGAGAAACCTTTTTTTAGATTAAACTCCAGGAATATTTTAAATGATAAATAACTTAGAAGAAAAGATGAAAATTTAAACTCCTAAAATACTTTAGAAAATTTTTAGTTTAGGTCTTGATTGCTTAACTTGTTTTCCTTAATATTTTTTCACAATTCTTTTATATAATGCCCCTAAATATTTCCAAAAAAGAATTATTGATTTATTTTTATATAAAGGAGAATATATCCTAATTGATGTTATTGTCAATTTAATTCAAATTTGTGAAAAAGAAATTATGTAAATCAAATCTATTGAGGTACAATCATATATATTTTATAAATTAATTATTTGTTTTTTTAAAAAAGGAAATAATGTGTTATTTTAGAAAAGGTATATTAGAAAAATTTAATGACATTTTTAAAAAAGAAAAAAAAGTAAAAGATAAATTAGTTCATTTTTTCTAATTTTATTGAAATTTAAAAATTATAAACTATTCTTTAATAAAAATTATATTTATATTTTAATCAAATAAATTAAAACATATATATATATATATAAATATATATATTAAATAAAATGAATATTTAATAATTTATAAAAATATATATGTTTGAAAATTGTTATTTTATATAAAATTAATTGATATTTAATAATTTATTTATAATAATATATTTATTTAAAAAATTTATTAAAATAAAAACAATAATTAATTAATTATAACATAAAATATTTAATAAATTTTATATTAAATTTATTCAAATTTAAAAGTTTAAAATATCGTTACAAAAGTATTTTGTTGTTTAGTTTACATCATAATAAACAGCTAAATTTAATTTTGTGTCTAACAATATTTTAACAAATTCCTTTTAATAATAATATAAAAAAAAAGCTTAAAATATTTTTAATTAAATAAATATAAACTTTTAACGATTTAAAAGGAATATCCCCTTTTAATTTTAAATTATATAAATTAAAGCTTTATTTATTTTATTTATCTAAAAACTTTTACAAATCTTAACTATTATTAGTATTTTCTTATTTTTTAATATACTAATTTTTACAAAATAAATAAGAATATGAATTTAAGTCATATTAATTTATTTTTCCATTATAAAATTCTTTCATACTAGAATTAAAACTATTTAGAAATGAAAAACTGCTTTTAATTTACATATTTTTACTATTATTTTAATATTTTTCATTTTCAAGGTTTTCATTTATCAAAGCGGACCATAAAAGTTGAATCTTTTTGAAAAAATAAAAATAAAATAAAAAATATTAAAATTTAACATAATTTACATATTTTTTTTAAATTATTAAAATATCTGACAATTCATCAATTTCAAAATTTCCAAATTAAATATTTTATAAAATATTTATTTCATTTGTATTTTTTTTTTCAGATTACAAAATTGAGTTTTGTTTATCATTAATTTTTATGTTTTCTTATTATTTTTATTTATTAATTTTAACAAAATCTATTCCTTTTAAAGAAATAAAAATAAAATATAATTTTTTTTTTTTATTTGATTTTAATATAAATAAATACCTTTTTTTTATAAATATTATTCCATATTTTTTAATTTTTTAGCCCAAACAATAGCCCTTATATGTTTTTTAGAATCTTTTAAAGAATATGAATGGGTAAATAAAATAGTCAGTGAGTTAGCAATATAATAAAAATAATATTCTTAATTACTAAGAAAGGTTTAAAAACAATTTTTCATAACTAAAAAAATTTCTTAATTTTTCAGAATTATTTAATCTTTTTTTATATTAAAATCTTATTGTAAAACACAAAATTTCTCATATTTATACATTTAAAAACAATTTTTTATTTTTTCTTTTATGATTTAAATGCTTTAAGTTTAATCAAATTATAAATTATGGCCCTCAAATATATCGTTTTATTCATACAAATTATAAAACCAATTAAAATTTACAGGAGAAATCAAAGAAATTTCATCAATCAATTAAAAATTGTTATTTTCATTTAAAATCTATTCCTTTTAATCTTTTTTTTGATGATTTTATGCAGCCTTTTTTGAAAACTCTTAAGCGACAAAATTATTTTAAAATATATCATGATATTAATTTTAAAAAAATGTATTAAACTACTTTAAATTATTAGAAGATTCACTATTTAACTTTAATCTTAATCTTATTATTATTCTTAATTTATAATTATTTTATCTTAGTTTATTGTATTTTGTTCTATATCAAAAATTGTCGAATTTTATTATAACTATGCGTAATTATTATCTTGAAATGCTTAGGATACACCTCTTTGTTTTTATTTTTTCTTTGATTTAAAATTTATAAAATATATATATATATATATATATATATATATATATATATATATATATATATATATATATTTAAATACTCTTATTTCAGTCGCTGTTAAACGCTTTTTGCTTATATCCATTTTTTTTTTTTAGAAAATTGATAGATATTATAATTTTATTAATAAAATAATAAACTATTAATACAATAAATAAATAATAATTGAGATATTAATATTTTATATTAGACTTTTAGTACTAATAATTATATTTAAATTATAAAAAATAAATTGATAAAAAAATATTTTATACAACGAAAAATAAAAATTTAAAATACAAATTATAAATTATAAATTTTTAAATTAATAATTATTTAAATATAAAGATATTAAATTAATTACTTAACTATAGACTTACTAATTAATAATATAAAATAGTTATACCCTATCCCTATTGATATACATTAGTAAAAAAAAATTATAAAAATATATAGTATAATATAAAAATATTAATAGTATATTTTTATTAAACAATGATTTTAACATTTAAAAAAAATAAAGTTTTTTTTTTATTACAATAATAAAATAAAAAGTTTTTTTTTTAAAAAAAAAAAAAATTAGAAATCATTAAAAATTATTAAAGTTTTATAAAGCATTAGATTTCTATAAAAGTTCAATAAATTCAATGTTTTTAAGAATTTCATTAGTTTCTCTATCCATTTCTTAATCTTCTGAATTTTCTTAAGAAGACTTTTAAGAGGAAAATTTACTTTAATTATCTTAAAAGAGTAACAAATGCTAGATATAATCTTATTTAATATTTAACTGAATTTTAAGAGATTCAACATCTTTTTTGAGCTAAATATTTTAATCAAGTATATTCTTGATTTTTTAACTAAAAATAGAAATCCCCTCCCCGTTTTTAGATTTTGATTTTTAAATATTTTTTCCTTTAGATAATTTTAAATGGTTCTTTTATTTATTTTATTTTAATGATGAAAATTTTCTTTAAAGATTCGAAATTTCTTATTAAATTTTTTAATTTTTAATTTCTAATAAGTTATATTCCATTTTAATTTTCTGATATTAATTTTAATAATAAGTAGTTAATTTTGTTTAAAGATTTTCTTAAAAATTCTCTTTATTTTATTATTAAAAAAAGGAATTTAATAAAACATTTTCATCTTTTAATTTTTCTAATTTATTTTCTAAATTTTATATCAAAATATTTTACTCATTTTTTTTTTTTTCAAATATCTCTTAATTTTCTTCTATTTCCAATTCTAATCTATTAATAATGTTTTTCTTTTCTATTAGTATACTTGAATTAGGATCATATTTTTAGCATAAAATATTCTTATATTCGATTTCTTTTTTTAACTATTCTATTTGTATTTAATACTCTTCTTATTTTTTTAAAAAAAACATTTCCTTTTATTATAAATCTTCCTTTAAATTTTATAATTCTTCCTTTTATTTTTTTAACTCATTTTCTTATTCTAAGAATATATTTGTTTATATTTAAATTTAAAATACATTAAGATGAGCTTTTTCTTTTATTCTTTCAAGTTCGTTTTAATATTGTTTGTTATATTATTTTTATGTCATAATTATTTTTTCATTTTCAGTTTTTTACTCCTCGAAAATTCTTTTAATTTCTTCACATTCTTTTGTTTTTTCATCTAATCTTTCTTATAATAGCTTATTTTGGGTCAATAATCGAATAGTATTATCACTTTCAGTTTAAAAATTATTTATTTATATGTAGTTTTCCTTAATTTTCTTAAAAAAGATTTCTTTTAAATTAAAAATCTATTTTTTTTCTTCTTCTTTTTGTTTATGTAATTCATCTTCGAGTATTTAAATTTTTTGTAATAGTAAATTAGAAAACTAAAATTCTTTTATAATATTTTTTTTAGAATCTTCATCCATTTTATCAATTTAAAATTAGATTTTTTCCTTTAAATTAATATTATTAATATCTTCTTTTAACTAATTTATTTATATTTTTTAATCTTAAATAATTTTTATTTACTCAATTATTTATTATTCAAAATTTTGAATTAACTTTTCCTTTTCTTTTTATTAACATATTTTTTCTTTTTCTATTTCTTAAAATATCATTAATTCATTATTTAAAATATTGTTTTATTTTTCTATATTTTCTAAATTTAATTATTATTAATGAATTTTTATTATGCATTTTTGTTAGATTTATTCTTGCTATTTGCATATTTTTTCTTATTCCAATTAAATTTATCTTATTTAATTATAGTAATTTTCTAATTAACAATTTGTTATCAAAAATAAAGTATTTTCTGCATTTACTGGTCTTAATGTACCTTCTTTTATAAATTTTTCTAATATAAGATTCGCTTAAAAATCATTTAAATAATTTTTTTCTTAAATTTTTGAACATATTTCATTTAAATCATTAATTAATTATTATTATATTTCTTACTACATTATTATTTTTTATTTATTTTTTATATTTATTATTATTTTTTTAATATATAATATAAAATAATATTTACTATATGTATTTTTATTTTTTTGTTATAAAATCTTTATTATTTAATTTTATGTCTAATTAATTGATTTGTATTATTAATGAAAAAATAAATAAAAATAGAATGAGTAAATTATGGAAATATATTTTTTAAAAATATTATCAATATAATTAATATTATATATATTTGTTTTTATATAATTTTAAAATAAAATGAACTTAAATAAAAAATTTAAAAAGAAAAATATAAAAATAAATTAATTAATATGACATTTATTTTAAAAAAAAATATAAATATATATAAAAAAGCAAATTTTTTCTTAAATATATAATTTATTATTTTCCTTAATTTATATTTATTTGTAAAAATAAATATTCAAGCAATTAAAGCAAACCAACTTAAGAAAAGATAAAATAATAAAACAGGATAAACAGCCAATAATTTTTTCTCTTCACTAACTAATACAGCCATAAAGGGAATAGAAGCTTTAGTTGACCAAGCAAGTCCGACAGCACAAAAAAACATTTTTATCAAAAATAGCAAGAAATTGGTTGTAGGTAAAAATATTACTATAAATGAAGATATATTTATTGGAAAAACACAATATCCTAAAACACATACAGATTAGAAGAAAGAACTAATATTTTTTAATTAATTATTTTTTTAATTTAAAAAAATAAAATAAAAAAAAATACATTTTTCCTCCTAAAAGTTTTGCATTTAAAGTTACTATTCCAGCACCAATCCATATAACTACAAAAATTATAGCAAATACAGTTTCTGCTTATTCAGATGAGGCAAGACTTAAAGTTCTTTTTATATTATTTAATTTAAAATTAATATAATATATTTTTTTCTTAAATAATAATAAAAAAAACATTGCTAAGGTTATGCATAATAATAATGGTCCCCATAAATCCCCTTTTATATTTTAAAAAAATATATATATAAAAAAACATAATATATATATATATATATATATGTATATATTTATTTTTTAAAAATTTAAATTTACAATCTTTCAACTCTTGTCCTTTATCTTAACGCATTTTAGGAAGCAAAACATATTTTAATTTATGTGCTATCATTCTTAAATCTCTCATCTTTATATTATTTAAATTTATATTTTTTTTTTTTATTTCATTTTTTTTTTTGTGATTTATACTATTGTTTCTGAAATAGATTCATTTAAGGTGTTTTTTGCTGCTTATTATTTATTAAATTAAGAACTTGAAATTCCTTAAGGTTATTCATTATCCAAAAGTTGAATATTTCCTTACAAATCAGCTTAATTATTACTATTATTTTGATTTTCTAAATCCATTTTAATGAATTATTTTGTATATTTATTTTTATATTTTATTATCTTATGACTATAGTATAATTATTTTTTATATACCTTGTATTTTAATTTTTTTTTTTCAATTATATTTAAAAATATTTTTTTTATAAAATATATAGTTGCATATATCATAATTATTATTATTTTATTAAATTTTTAATTGTATAATTAATAAAAAAAATAATTTAAATTTTCGAAAAAAGAATTAATTAATATTTATTTTTTATATAGATTTTACTTAACATATTTAACAATGTTAAATGGATATAAAAAATAAAATAAAATAATATATTAAATAAAAATTAAGATAAAAATAAATTTAATTATGATAATAAAATAAATTCTTAATAATTAAAAAAGCAATTATATATTAAATAAAAGATATATTTATAAATAAATTTAAAATTATATTTCTTATTAAAATAATAAAATAATTTATAAAAAAACACATCTTATCGAAAAAAAAAAATGACAGATAATAATCCATTTATTAAAATAATCGTAGTAGGTGAATAAAATGTTGGAAAAACATGTATATTAGCCCGTTATTCACGCGGTTAGTTTGATAATTCCTGCCCTCCAACATTAGGAATGGATTTCTCATCAAAACTTTTAGAATATAATGGAAATACAATTCGTTTACAATTATGGGATATTGCAGGTTAAGAACGCTATACATCAGTATCTAAATTATATGTAAGAGGTGCATATGGAGCATTAGTAGTAGCAGATATAACAAACGAAAACTCTTTATATGAAACATTAAAATGGAAAAAAATAATAGAAGAATCATGTGATTATTTAAATAATAAACCAATTCCTATGTTTTTGGTATAAAATAAATTAGATGAAGTTAAAGGTTTAGGCATTTTATAAGAATATTAAAAAGAGTCTTTTCTTAAAACCTGGAGTAAAGAAAATGGATTTTCTGGGTGTTTATAAGTTAGTGCTAAAGATAATACAAATATTCCTGATATTTTTCAAATGTTGATTGAATTAATTATTAAAGAAGGTTATTTAAAAAAAGATGAATAAAATTAAGGTAACTTTTCAAATAATTCAAATATTTAGGTCAATAATTAATAAAATGTTAGGCTTGGTAATAGTAGTAATAATTAAATTTCTAAAGCAAATAAAAATAAAGAAGGATGTTGTTGATTTATTTTTTAGTTATACAAATAATTCTTATAAATATATATTAGTTTATAATAAATTATAAAATATAAATTAATATTTTTTATTCATTTTATCTTTTATATTGGGGATATATAATAAATTAATTAAAATTTTGGTTTACTTTAAAATTATATTAAAAAATATATATTAACTATAATATTTATTGAAGGCATTAAATTTTACTTTTAATTATTAATTTGATGAAAATATGGTATTTTATTAATAATACAAAAATATTATTTTTAAAATATATTATTAACTTCTAAAAATAATCTTTAAATTTAATAAAAAGCAACAATCTTTTGAAATAGATAAAATAAATAATTCTTTGTATGTCTAATATTTTTTTATTTCAAAGTATAAAATTATTCAATACTAGTTTGATATTTTTATTTTATTTAATCTATCTCGAGGAAAATAAATTTTAAAAAATTTTATTTAATATATTATAGATTAATTTTTAAAAAATAAAAGCATAATTAAATGACAAATACGAATTAAATTTTTAAAGACTCTAGATTTCTTAGTATATATTAAAATTAATATATATTATCTGACCAGTCTAACGATTCTATAATGATGTAAATTCTAATCTATTTTTTATTTACTATTCTTAATACAATAATCATATTAGAGATTTAAAAACAGGATAAATAACAAAATAAGTTTAATGTACACAAGACTAAAATTGCATAAAGGTATAAAAAACTAAATAAATAGTTATATTTTTTAATAGAAAATAGGATTTAAAGCATTATACGGAGTTTGTGAATTAAAAAAATCTAAATATTTGATTTTGGCGACAGAATCAACTATATTAGGTTCTATTTATAATAAAAACATATAAAAGATTAGTAAGATGGAATTTTTTGGAATAAATCCTAGAAAAGAGTAGTAAAATAAATGTATATTTATATAACATAAAAAAGAATTCATAAAGAAGATTAATATTATATATAAATGATGTAATCGTTATTTAAAACTAAAACGTTTTACTTTTCAGACGAATATGATTTGACTCAAAGTTTTTAGAGATTCGTTAAGAATTAAATAGATAAAAATAAATATAACCTAAATTATTGCTATAATGAATGTTTTTTACATGATTTTATTAAAATAGGAGCTGATGAATGGATAACACCATTTATTTCTGGTTATTTAAAAATAGAATATTGCTAAATTAATGTATTATATAAATAAAAAATTAAATTTTATTTTTTTATTTAATAAATATATTTTATATTTATTTAAAAAAAAATAAGGAATCATAAATTGAATTTATTTTAATAAGTCGAAGAGATAAAAGACGTGCTGGAATGCGATTTATTTCAAGAGGTACTGATTTGGATGGAAATCCTTCTAATATGGCTGAAACTGAATAAATAACTGTGATTTCTTAAGTAAAAATAAAATATTTATACACATGATTATTTTTGCCAATAAAAAGGGAGATTAATATACTATTTATAGTTTTGTTTAAACTAGAGGTTCTATGCCATTTTACTGGAGTTAAAAGACCTAATTAACTTACACACCTAAATCAAAAATAATAGGAGATGAAAACTCTAACAAAGAATTTTGTAGAAAACATTTTAATGATTAATAAAAGTATTATAATAAATAAGTATTAGTTAATCTCATTGATAAAAAAGGAAAAGTTTAATTACCTTTAGGCATATATTTTTAAAATTTAGTAAACAAATTAAACGATAAAAATTTGAAGTACATATGGTTTGATTTCCATCATAAATGCAGAAAAATGAAATATGAAAATTTAATAGAATTAATTAATGAAATTAAGCCAGATCTCGATGAAATGGGATATTATGAATTTTAATATACAAAAGATAAGGTATTTCATGTTATTATATTATTTATTTTTTATTTAAAATATAAAAAATAAGATAAATAACCCTACTATAAAGAAACTTTAATCAGGGGTTGTTAGAACTAATTGTATGGATTGCTTAGATAGAACTAATGTTGTACAATCCGTTATTGGAAGAACAATTTTACATTAAATATTATATAATGCTTAAATAAATTAAAAATAATCTGTAAAAATAGAAATATATGATTTTTATTAAAATTATTATATTATTATTTTCTTTTTAAAAAAAACATTTAATTAAAAAGACTGCTGCTTTTGAAAAATTCAGTGAAAAACTTGAATAAAAATTCAGAAATACTTGGACTGAAAACGCTGATATAATGAGTATTTTATACACAGGTACAGGTGCTTTGAAAACTGACTTTACAAGGTATAAAAACTATTATATAAATATTAATCTTTTTTAAAAAAATAGACTAGGAAAAAGAACTATAAATGGAGCTATTTAAGATGGTAAAAATTCTATTATGAGATATATTTATGGAAATTTCTTTGATGGACATAAATAAGTAAAATTTTTTTTAGATTTATTTAATTTTAATTTTTATTTTATTTTTTAGGATTGCATAGATCTTTTATTAGGAAAGCTTCATCCTAAAGAAAAAAATTTTGGTCCTAAATTAAATCCGTTAATCTATATTATTCTAATTCTTATTTTCGGACCTTTAATTGTTAAACCTTATGTGAATATGCTGTTTTTTAGAGATAACTAAAGTTAGTTTATAAATTATGCTACTTATTTTTATTTAGTAGCCGCATTTTTATGGTTGATTAAAAAACTTCCTTAGATTTTCGTATAATAATCTATTTTAGATTAATGAAAAAATAGACTTTTAAATAGAAAAAATAGATTAATATTTTTATACTTATTTATTATTGTTTTGTTTCTTTTTTTAATCAAAATTTTTAAATTAAAATAAATTATATAAAATTAAAATTTAAAATTCATAAAAATAAAATAAAATTAATAATGTTAAAAACAATATTCTTATCAAAATCTTTATCATAAATAAATTCAGAATATGAAGTACAAAATATGAATTAAAAACCTGAATTTATAAACATAAATCCAATTTTAATAAATTATGATAATATTTCTGTCTACAGTTCAAATGGTTCAGATAAATAAAAATATTAAAAGCCACTAGTAGAGCCATAAATAATAGATTAATGTAAACAAAAAAACTAAAAAAAAAAAAAAAACTAAATTTTCAGTAAATAAAAAATAATAGGCTATTGCTGTTTCAGCATAATAAGCTTAAGGAGATGATGATTTCGAATTTTTAGATTCAGATGAAGAAGAAGAGTTAAAATAATAATTTAAAAAACAGAATAATTAAATAAATAAAAATTGGCATAATAATTATATTTAACTTAAAAAAGATCATAATCATCAGATTTTAGAATATAATTAATTTAGAAATATTAAAAGAAAAACAATTTAATAAATCATCCTTTCAGATATTTAATATTTTCTTCTAAAATAGACGAAAAATCATTAAAAAGGCATATAAATATGGTTTACAAAGGTGTAGTTTACTGCCATAATTTTATAAAAAAACCTTCACTAAAGTATATATAAAGTAAAATGTTTAACTTAAAAGTAAAAAAAGTAAAAAAAGAAATTTAAAAAATAAAAAAATTAAAAAAATTAAAAAAAAAGAGATGCAAAAAAATATAAACTATTTTTAGATTTAGATGAGACATTAATATATTCAAGTTAATTTATCAATAATCCAGAAAACATATTATCCGTCTAAAATAATAATGGGGAAAATTTATAAGTACAATTATTTTATTTTTTTAAATATTTTGTACGAATAAACAAAATTAATGTTTTTTTTATAATTGAAAAAAGATTGGATTTAATATAAGGCCATATTGTTTAGAATTTATAGAAAAAATAGTCAAAATATTGGGATATATATATATATACTGCTAAGTTAAAAAAATTATGCAGATGCTATAGCAAATTATCTGGATCCCTAGAAAAAATATATTAATGAAATATTGAATAGAAGTCACTGTTTATGTACAAAAAATGGACTTTATATAAAAGATTTAAGGATTATTTAAAATATTGATTTAAAATATACTATATTAATTGATAATTTAGTTAGTAGTTTTTGTTTTTAGTTATAAAACGGAATACCTATTTTAGAATGGAAAGATAATAAATATGATACAGAATTAAAAAGTTTGTATATTTATTTAATTAAAGCTAGTTAATCTAGTGATGTTAGAAATTTTAATTACTAAAATTTAAAATTACATGAAATTATAAATATAAATAAAGAATATTTATAATGAATAAAAACACACTTAAAATATTATGTAATACTTTAATGTTTATAATAATTAATTGTAAATAATATTAAAAATTATTTATATATTAATGAAATAGATTTTCTTATATATTATATTATAAAGTATAAATTATATATTATTTTATAATTAATTATTTAATCTTAATTACATATGTATTAATTATAATTTTTATTATAATTAAAAAATATAAATCTATTTATTTTATATATTAAAAAATAATTTAATTAATAGTATTTTTATAATAAAGTAATAAATTTTATCTAATCATATATTAAAATAATTTTTACAAAATACGTTCTATTAAATTATTTTATATATTAATTTACATTATTACATTATTTTAATTTTATTTAACATAATTTATTTAAATATAATTTTATTTTTATTCTATTTACTTATTTTAATCTTTATATTTTAACTATTATATACTAAATATATTTTTTTACATAAACTTTTAATTTTTAATTTTTTATCTTGCTTTTAATATTTGATATTTTATAAAAATATTCACATTTGATTTTTAATAAGATAAAACTATTTTTAATAATTTATATATCAAAAAATAACTATATAAAAATAAACTTATACAATCTGATGTTTGTGTTTAAAAAAATTATAAATATTCTTTAACTTTTTTATAGCAACTTAATATATTTTAATTTTCCTTTAATTTTATATAAATAAAAAAAATTATATTCTTTAAATTAAATATTTAATAAATTTAGTTATAAATATTTAATTATATTATTTATTTTAATTTAATTAATAATTTCGACGATTACAAAATTAAATCATAATATTTCCACATTATTCATAGTTTTGTTTATTTTTAATTTAATTTTATTTTGATGAAAAAATGCTTTTTTAAAAATAAATATATTATTTAATAATTTAATAAATGAATTAAAATTAAGTAATAATAATAATTTAAATATTTAAAGTTATAATTATTTATTTTTATAAATAAATAAAAATTATTTATAATATTTTATTTATGAAATAAATTAATTTTTTTGCTTTGATATAATAGAAAATGAAATTTCTTCGAATTTAAATATTAATTTAAAAATAATATAAATTATTATATTTAATTAAAGTTTTCTATTTGTTACTTTATTTTAAAATTTTGTTTTATTTTTCCGTTAATTTTTTTTAAAAAAAGCTTATTCAAAAAAAAATTTTATTATATATGTTTTCTCATATTTTTTATTGTTTATTTTTTTCTTTAAAATATATTTATTATTACATCAATTATTATTTTTAAAAACTTAATAAAAATAATATATAAATTATCGAAAATATTTAAATTTTCCGATAAAAATATTTTATTATTATTATTATATTTTAATCTTTTTTATAATTTCAAAATTTGTAAAATTTTTAAAAATATACTAAAAAATTATTTTTTAAAAAATATATATGTAAAATGCTCTTTAATTAATATTTTTATTTAAAATAAATAATCTATTTATTAAAAACTAGAATTATCATTAATATTTGCATTAAATATAATTTTTTTATATAATTATTTTGTAAATTATCAATCAAAAAATAAATATATAAATAATTATAGTTTCTATATAATTTAAATTAGAAAAGTAAAATATATATACTTATTCCTATTTAATGAATCCTCCTGTTTTACTACGACGGTCATCATCTAAAACATAATAAAAAAGTTTAAGTGGATCTAAAATTGAATAAAAAAGAACTAGCGACATAAAAATAAATTAAAGAAGGGCCAGCGGATCTAAATCTTTATAAAAAACTATAATAATGAATGCCAACAAATAAATAGCCTTTAATAAATAAAACTCAATTCCTACAATAAATAATATAAATAATATCCCAAATTTTTTTGAATTAATTCCTTAAATCCATTTGGAATAAAAAGAGAAATAAATTGCAGAAAAAGCTTATCTTTTCGGAATTTAAGGAAATTAAGAATTATTAAATATTGAGTACCTTTAAACTTCTATTAATTTCTTTTTATAATTTTATTAATGTAAAAATTATAATATTATATCTTTAAACCGAAAATTAATAAATTATGCATTTTTTACTATATAAATTATTTTAAAATACTTTTTTTAAATTTTAGGTGATAATATGCCTTCTATAAATGATATAAAAAACAAAATTAAATAAGATAATATAAAAGACATAACCTAATATTAGCTTCTTAAAATCATTAGTTATATAAAAAAAATTCTAGTTAATTTACCATAAAAGAAGTTGAATAATTAAATACTAAATTGTAAATATATAATTTATAATTATTTTATTTTAAATTTAGATATATTTAATTAATAAAAAAAATAGTGTATTTGATAACTTGAATATTGATTAAATTAAATTTTTTGAAAGTGAATGGATAAAAGTAGATATAAAGAAGATAGGATATATTGAGAAATAATAAGCTAACATTATTGTACAAAATATTATGAAGAAATATGTCAAAAAATATTAAAAATATTATAAATATATAAAAATATTTTTTTACTTAAAATTATTAAATAAAGTATTCAAAAGCTTTTCATATATAAAAATTAAGACTAGAAATATCTAATATAGAAAATGAATATATTTCATTTTAATAATTTACTAATCTTGTTACTTATTTTATTTTTAAATATTAAATTAAAATGAAATAAAAATTTGCTTGCAAGTGTATTATTTTTTGATAAATTTTTGCTTTTATAGGCTTATAAATTCAACTAAATTTTTTAATAATTTGAAGTAAAAATTATATATTAAATTAATTAAAATATAATATTTTATTTAAATTAAGATTTTTTAAAATATATATTATATTTTTTTTTGGTAAAAAATAATTTAAATTATATATTTGTTAATTTTTTTCTTTTTATCAGATATTTTTTATTCTTTTAACCATTGTTATTAAATATTAATAATTATTTTTTCTTTTAAGTTAAAGTTTTTTAAATAAATGAATTTTCTAAAGTAAATAAAAAATAAATTTTAAAATATAATATATTCATTATAATTATATTAATTTTTTTAATTAAAAGATTTCCTTAGTTTATATTATGTTTTTTAATCAAAAAAAAAAGCAAATAAAGTATATATTTATATTTTTTCAAAGAAAATAAATTATATTTATTCATTTTTTAATATTCATTTTTTCTAATTAACTTATCATAATTTCTTTTTCTTAATCTAACTAAATATTTTTATTTCTAATTTATTCCATTTCTGTAAAATTAACTTCTTAATCTTTTAAACTGGCTATTTTGTTTTCTAATTCTTCAATTTTATTTTTATAATACATATCCTACTCTTTCTTTTTTTTATCAAATATTTATTATTAACTTAATTTTTGATTTTCATATTATTTTTTACATTCTGATTCTACTTTTTTAACTAATTCTAATTTTTGCTTATTTTAAAAAATTATAAATATAATAATTTTCTATTCTTTAAAATACTTGCTTAAGGTAATATAATTAATCTTCTAATTTTTCTTTTTAAGAAATTTATTAATGTATAGATTTTCTAGAATTTTAAACATTTTAAATAACAGTACTTGAATTAAGATTTATAATTTTATTGAGAATTTCGTTTAGATTCTATTATTCTGAATTTGAAATAATAATTTAATTTTATAATTCTTGAAACTAAGGAATTTATTTTTGTAAGTTTTAAAACTCAATAAAATTGCTAAATTTTCCTATTTCTTCTTATTATTGAAAAATAGATTATTTTTAAACTAAAATATCTTCATAAATTTGATTAATCTGTTATTTTAATTAAGCAATTTAGATATCTAAAAATCCTACTTTTTCTTAATTTAAAAGTATTTATTTGATTGCTTCATCTTGAATTTTTAATTATTAGTTTTTTTCAGCTTTTATTTCTTTAAGGTGATTAATAAATTATTTATTTTCTTAAATTAAGTTTTGTAAATTTTCACATTTTATCATATCTCCTACACTTATATATGTTTTTAAAGAATAAGGAGTATCATAATCATTTATAGTATAATCTTTATTTATCAAATAAAATTTTTTCATTTTAATAATGCTTTCTTATAACTCCTCAATTTCTTAAATAAGATTGCATTTTTTTACTATAGACAATTTTATTTTTCTTAAAGTACTTCCATTTTTAATACTTTATCATCTTTTAATTTGTTCAAAAATGCTTCACTTTTATTAAAATATTAATCTTTGCTTATATTTTTATATTTATATAAAATATCATTTTATGGTTTGTTTTCTAAACTCTTAATAAAAATAAATGAAATTAAAATATATTTATTTTTACTTTTAATTGACTATTTAAAATATCATCTTCTATTTAATTTTCTTAAATAGTTTAAAGTTTTCTTAAATTTTCCATATTTTCTTAATAATCTTAAAGTTATTCTAAAATGTTTTCATTAACTTCATTTTAATTTTCTTTAGAATTTAAATTTTAATTTTCTTCATTATTTAGAATATCATTTTATTGATCTAACTAAACTTCGATATTTGAATCATTCTATTAATCCAAAGTATTTTCTTATTTAAAAGTTTCTTTTTTTAAAGCTCACAAAATTAATTAATAATACTAATTTTTTATTAATTTTTAATTTATTCGTTCTCAAGCATTTCTTTTTATTTTAAATCAATAACATTTTAACAATGTTAAATAAACATAACTTTCTCATATATTTTTTATGCTTATAAAGTCTTGCTATTTTATTCCTAATTTTCTTCTATTTATTAACTAATATTTTAAATTTACTAAAAGCATTCTATATTATCTTTAAGTTATTCTTATATATTTTATTATTCTTATTTACCAATAGTTTATCTAATGATTTTCTTTTTAACATTTTCTAAATTATAATACTCTTCATTTTCTTATATCAAATTCAATTTTTAAATTACTTCTAATATTCCAATTCTTTCAGAAGGATTTTTCTTTAACATTAATAAAAGTAGATTTTCCAACTCAGATGGAAATATTTTTTCTTTATTTTAAATTTTAGCAAATACATCATTGTTTTTAATATTTTTTTCAATCTCGGATAATTCAATTTCTTCTAAAATCGTATAGTTTTAATTAATACCAAATGCCAGTTTTCCTTCTGAAAAAATAAAAAAAATAATCATCCCGAAACTCCAAATATCCATTTTTTCATCGTGTCCCGTTTTATTGATAATTTCGGGAGGCATAAATGGATAAAAATTATTATTTTAGATTATTCTTGTCATTCTTTTTCTATTATTGAGAGGAAAATAATTACTCCAACAAAAATTTGTTAATTTAATATTAAAATTTTCATCAATAAGGATATTTTCAGGCTTTAAATTCCTATAAATAATATTATTTTAGTGTAAATATTCTAAAGCTGACCCTATTTATTTAACAATATGAAGTTTATGAGATATTTATGGAAGAAAAATGTTTAAAGAAGTTCCCTAAACATATTCTTATAATAAATATATAAATGAATTATCCTCAAAATGAGTAAACTGTTTTAAGATATTTGGATGATTTTATTTATATATAATATCAATTTCTTTTTAAATTAAATTAGTGAGTTTATTTTTTTTAATTTCATCTTTTTTAATTTATTTTAAAGCATAAAGACATCCTGAAACGATATCTTGAACTAAATTTATTTAAGAAAATTACGTTGTGGCTATTATTTTTATTGTTTTTATGTCCTTTTATTCTATTTTTAATTCATTTTGAGATATTGTTAATATATTTGTTTCAAATTGATATGGTATTATTTATGATAATTATTTTACATCAGATTTATTCTAAGAATTTATTATTAATGAGGATTTTGTACTTGTTGATGATGTTAGTAGGTTTTTTGAAGATTTTTATATTAATGGCTTCTTTTATTACATTAATTCTTATTTTTTTACTACTGATGGTTAAGTTTTTGGATCAGGTTTCTTTAAAGGAAGTGTCTTTTGTAATTATGTTTATTAAGAAGAATTTTAAGAATTATTTGGAATTTTTTTCATTTTTTATTTAAGAATTATGTATTTTTATTTAATTAAAATATAAATAAATTAATAAAATAACCTATTATATATATAAAATTTTAAAATTTTAAATTAAAATTTTTATAATTAATGAAATACTATTATATATATTTAATTATCTATTATATATTTATATAAAAAAAAAATTCTAACACTAAATTCATAATAAAAAAAAAATATTTAAAGTTAATTAATATTAATAAAATATTATTATTAAAGAACTTTATACTTTTTTATATTTACACAAATTTTTAATATTTATATTATTTTCATATAACTAACTACTTTTATTTTTGATAATTTTCTTTTAATCCTGTAACAATATCATCAATATTTTTGAATTAATTAATCTAAAGCTTAGTTATATATTTAAAATTACCAAGTGAATTTTCATATTTTTTATATTTATTCATAAATTTTGATTCCATATTTCTTAAATCATAAACAAATCTGTTATTAATATGATTTTTAATTTCTATAAATTAATTTTTTTTCTTTTCATTTATAAAATAATCTCTCATTTCTTTTTCTTAATCTAAAAAAAATAAATAAAATATTAAAAAGAATATATTACTTTATATTTTTTATTAATAACTAATAATAAAATGCTTTATTTCTTAAAAATGATCTTTGGATGCCAAAATATATTTTTCTTAAAGAATAAAAAAAACTTCAATTAAACATTCAAAGAACCTTTATTTTGGTGCAAAAAAAATTAAAAAATTAATAACTTTAAAACAAATTCTTGCCATTTTTCTAATATAAAATTCAACATTAATTTCTTTGAAACCTAAAATACTAAAATCCAAAAACTCAATAGCCTTTTGCAAATGCTTTTAATTTTTATTTATTAAATTTAATACAAAAACAGGATTTTTATACATTCCCAAATCTTATATTGTTTTTATTATGAACTCTAATAATAACTCAATGTTAAAGCTTTCGTTTATTTAATAACTTCGAATTTCTTTATTTAATGTCTAATAAAGAAAGTCTTCATATTGTTTAAATTGATATTTTTTTTGATAATTTAATTACTTTATGAATTTTATGCCTTATTGTTTTACTTAATTAAGGTTATTATTTTTTAACTCTTAACGAATTTAAGATTGTAAGAAAAATAAATTTTATTATTATAATTATTAGAGTTTTTATTATTGCACTTATTATTCCAGAATTTCTTTTGCTTCTTATCTTCTTTATAAAAATGTATTTGATTCATCATAAACTTTAGATTTTTATAAAGAATTTTTATTATTTTGGCTACTTTAATAATAAGTAATTATTGTTGATTATTCATTAAATGATTTTTAGTTTTTTTATTTTATTAAAGGATTTTCTTGAAAAGTATATTATTCATGTGCTTTTTATACATTTTATGAGAGAGAATTCCTATATAACTCTTTAGATTTACTTTTTAAAATATTCAAATTGTTAATTTTTAACTTTTAATGTTATAATAATTATTATATGTAGTTATTGATTAATTATTTAATATTTTTTTAATTAATGTTTTTATTCATTCATTTATTTTTAAGAGATTTTATGTATAAATTATTGATTTAGTTTATTTTTTATAATTGATTTATTTTACCTTTTTTGATATTTTTTGTTTTTTTGTGGATAATTTTTTTTTATTATATAATATTTATTTGCTTTTTTTACTTGGAAAAAAAAAATTAAAAGTCTTTAATTTTTTTAAAAATTTGTTGTAATTAATAATTGAGATATATAAACTGATTTTTTAAAATTAGTTATTTTTTTTTTTTAATTCTAAAATAAAATCAAATAAATCATACAAATATTGATATAAAAAATATTTATTAATTCAAAAATTTATAATATATTATATATAATCGTTTAGCTTATTATTTTATATATCATTTGTTCTTTTTTTTAATATAAAAAAAGTCCTTCATTTCTGGATTTTAAAGTTATTAGTTGCTAGTTTTAGTACCATGTATTAAATTACTACTATTTTTTGGTTTATTTTTTTATTATTTTTCTTATTTTATTTTTTTATCTATAAAACTTGGATTATAATTTATTGAAATATGCGAACTATTATGAGAATTTTTAGAATTATTTAATATTAAATCAATTAAAGATTCTATCTTTATTAAAAAAAAAAAAAAAAAAAAATATTTATATTAAAAAAAAAAAAAAACATCAGAGTTAATTAATATTTCTATTAAAAATTTTTACTTATTCAAGACCAACAATATTTGAGTTAAGAAAAATTGGATGTTCTTGAATTAATTTTTATGTTATTTCGTTTGAATTTTACAATTAAATTAAATCATTTAATAAAATTGAATACATTCTTTTATTTTAAGAACCTTCCTTTATTTTATATACAATTGATAGTGTAGGAGGATTATATTTAACCCCTATCTTTATTGGAATTATATTATCATTTATTTCCATTAATTACATTAAAATAATTTTAATTAAATTCTATTTTTGTATAATTTTTATTTTATTTTTAAATTTAAATTATTAATAGTAGAAATTTGGCCATATAATTTGTTAATTGCTTTTATATTAAATTGTTAAAATAACTTTTTTGATAAAATTAAAAGAAATTTAGAATAGTATATTAAAATTATTGATATAATTAATATTTTAATATAGTTAATATTATATATATATTTGCAAAAATAATCTTTTGTAAGTAAGATTATTTATATAAATATAAATTATATTTGATTATTAAAAAATTATAAGTATGATAATATAAAATAAAAATAATAATAAACACTATGGATATACCTTTTACTAAATATAAATTTAATAAATATTATTAATAATTATATATTTTTATTTATTTATTTATTTTATAAAGTAAATGATGGAAATATTTATTAGTTTGATATACTATATTTATTGTGCAAACAATAAATTTAAAAAATAAATTATTTATACTTTGAATTTTTATAAACAAAATTAAATAAATAAATCAATTAATAATCAAAACACATAATTAAAATAATTCATAAATATATTAATCGATTAATGATAATATGGATCAGTTTACAAAGCTATTCATAAATAGCATCATTTTATTTCTAATTTTTAAAAGTGAACTTATACAAAAATAATATATTTATTAAATAAAAAAACTTGAAATATATTTATATTAGTAAATTAAAAAGATTATATATTAAAAATAAAAATAAATTAATCTTATAAATTATATATTGTTAATATGGTAAATTAAATAATTATTTACTTATTAATTATAATAATCATATTGTTAATAATTTACTATTTATATTTTACAATATTATTTATGGTGTTTATAAATCGTTATATTTGTTGTAAATAATTCATTATAGATTTAAAATTAAATAATATTTTAATAAATTAGAAAATAGCATATTTTTGCTTTTCAAAAATATTAAATGGGTAGAAAATTTCTAAAAAGCAGTGAAATGCACTTCTTTATATGAATTATTTTAATTATGGACTTTATATAATAAATTTTATACATGATAATTTTTTTTTAAAATATTTATTTTTTTCTGTATTTTTTTTAAATATCTATTAAAAATAAAAAAGCTAGAAGATATAATACATTTTTAATTTTTTTTTTTAACTTCAGAAAATATAAAAAATAATAATGCTTAAAAGTAAATATTATAACGTGTATTTAATTTCTTTAGCTAACTTTATTTAATAAAATACTATTTAAATTATTTTTTTAATGATAATGATTTATAATATGATTAGTAAAATATTAAGCAAGAAAATATTTAATTTTGAACATCGACTAAAAAAAAATTATTAATGAAAATAAAAAAAAACTGAAATGAAAAATGAGAGAGTATAAAAAGCTATCAATTCAACTGAAGAAATTTAAGATTTAAAAGTTTATAAAAAAAAATTAAAAAGATCTCTAGTGTTTAATTTGGATGAAAAAAATATCTTAAGAAATTAATTAATAAAAAGAAATCAAGAATATAATATTTTAGAGGAAAATATAAGACTTAAAAAGAATATTATTTATAAAGGAGAAAATTATTATAAACAAATATAAGATAATGTTTCAGATTTAAAAAATATTTTCTTCACAAATAAATAAACTAAAAGCAACAGAGAAATATATTTAAGGCATTCCTGATTTTAATAATGAAATAAAAATTTTAAAGTAAGATATATAAGCAAAAACAAGCAAAGTAGCAAAAGCTCTGTAAGATTAATCAAAAAATCATTAAAAAAATAGCAAATATTTTATATGTTAAAATAGATTCTAATTTAATTATAAAAATATTATTATTATTATTATTATTATTATTATTTATTATTATTATTATTATTATTATTTATTATACTTTATTCATTTTTTATATTTTTTACTATTATTTAATTAATATTTATCATTTTTGGCGAAGTTTTAGATTAAAAAATATTTTTCATAATAATAATATATATTTTATATAATATAAACATATTTCAAAATCTATTTTTTTATTATTTTTTTTTTTATATATTATATAAATAAAGATATTAAATTAATAATTTATTTAATCTTTTTTTATTTTTATTTTTTTTATTTTAGATATTATCAAATTAAAATTAATATTAAAAATATCTTTTATCTTTTTTATTTATATTAGTCAAATTTTAATATTATATTTTATTAATATTAAATTGTCTTTATAATTTTATTATATTATTTTAATATTTAAATATCTTTATTATTATTATCTCTTTTTTTATTTTTTATAGTAAAATTTTATTATTTTAATATATTAATAATAATTTTAATTAAATTTAATATTTATACATTTTTTTAATTTTAATATATTATGATCTCAATTATTTCACAATATTTTTTTTCTTTTTGTTGTACTTATCAATACTTTTTTATTTTAATTTATTAAAATTTACACATTTTACAAAGTAATAATAAATATATATTCTGTTTTTAGTTAATAATAAAATAACCTAAATGCATTAAAATTTCTAGTTTATATAAAAAAATATTTGTTTTTATCAATTTTAAAAAAAAATTTAATTATATAAATAGTTAAACACATATAATATAAATTATATGAAAATTAAATAAATTATATTATTTTTATAATAAATAAATTATATTTATACTTTTTAATAACTAATTTAAATAATATTTATCTGAATAAATAAAGAGATAAGAAAATGGAAGAAGAATAAGATGAGTGTTTAATAAATGACTTAGATTAGCCAGTATAAGAGCTAATAACAAAATTTTCGAATAAAATATCAATGAAGACAAATAAAATGACACCTTAAAATCTTAAAGCAGCACTCTAAGATTTATAATTACTTGAAGAGAATAAAAAGACATTTTATGATCTATTTTAATATACAGATAAAAATTTAGAATTAATTCAAGAATTAACTTTTTAATATGCATAAACAGATTTCCTAATGAATCAGTTTTAGAAATGTTTGCATACATTAAGTATTTTAAGATTTTAATTTATGTAAATATTATCATTGATTATAGATTAGCCAGAATAGAACGATATCGAGAATTAATTTAGTATAAAAGCTAGTAATAAAAGCGAATTAAATTTAAAAATAATATATGAAAGTACTATTTTAATAAATAATTATTTATTAGAATTAATGAAAATTTCATAAAATTTGTTTAATTAAAAAAATTAAAAATAAATAATAATATGTATTAATGATATGAAAATTGTTAATTCAAAATTAAATACACTTTGTGAGTTTTTACCTTCAGCAGTTATATTTGATAAAGAAGATTTGCTTTCTTAAGATAAAATCAATAATCAAAGATGGATAGAAGTAGATAAAAAAATTTAATATAAATAAATTGCTACTACTGAATAAATAAAGGTATCATTCAAAAAAATTGTAAAGGCTATTCTTATAGGGAATGCAGTTGCTGCTAAAGGTGCTGAATAAAAAAACTCTTTTCTCAAAAGTTTTTATCAAAACTTTAGTGGAATAGGTTATTTATTATTCTCAAATAAAGCTGAAAAAAGAGCTCATCTTTTCTTTGCTGAACCTGATACTTAAACAGCAATTAGTGTAATTTTTTTAAAGAAAAAAAATAATAATATTATTAATATAAATTATTTATTAAGATAAATATATATTTTTGAAATAATATTTAATATAAAAAATCATTATTTATACTAAACATTTAATAGGTTTGGAATACTATGGAATAAAGTTTTGTTTATTAAGGCTTAAAAATTATTATGCCATCAATAAAATACGTTGAAAAAATATATGTAGATTAAGTTACTTAACCTATTACTTAATAATATATACTACAGTCAATGAAATTTGACACTTTAAATAAAATAGATAAAAATAATGTAAAGTGTTAAAAAATATAATATTCAGATGCTTATTATAAAGAGCTATTTACTAAAGATTTATCTAAAATAAGAATTAGAATCTTATGTTCAACAAAACTTAAAAACCAGATTTAAAGACTCAAAATTTTAATTAAATTATTATACATGTACATGGAGGTGGCTTTGTTGCTATGGGAACTAGGTCTCATTAAGTGTATTCGAGAAAATGGGCTAATTTACTAAACTATCCTATATTTTCTATTGATTATAAAAAAGCCCCTTAGAATCCTTATCCTGAAGGTTTAAACGATATATGGCAGGCATATAATTGGATATTGAATAATGTCAGCACATTTTTTAGTATTATATTTTTAATATTTTTTCAATTAAAATAAATATATACATAAAGATATATAGCCATAAAAAATAGTTTTTGTAGGAGATTCTGCAGGTGGAAATTTAATAATCTCATTAACTCTTTTATGTATTAAATTCGGAGTAAGAACACCTGATGGTATAGTTCCTATTTATCCAGCGTTAAATTGTAGCATTAACTTTTTTACACCTAGTTATTTACTTTCACTTGATGATTAAATTTTGCCTCATATGTTTTTAAAAATGTGCATTAATTCTTATATTAAAAACGATTCGGGATTAGATGCTAGTCAAGATTAATATATTTCTCCTATACTGGCTTCTGAAGATGTATTTTTTAATATATTTTTTATATATTTTTTTAATATATTTTTATATAGTTTTTTATATATTATTTTATATATATATTTAGTTCTTGAAAAGATTTCCAAAAGTTAGACTCAGTTTCGGTCTTTGTGATCCTTTAAATAATGATGCTTTTAGATTTGTTGAAAAACTTATGTATAATATATTAGAATATATTTAATATTTTTTTTTTGTTTAGATAAAATGGTGTCGACGTAAAAGCTATTGCTTACAATGATATGCCTCATGGATATCTGAATTATGATGTACCTGGAGGAATGAAATATGCAGCTATATGTGTAGAAGATGCTGCTATTTTTATGAAAGAAATATTAAATTGATATATACTTATAAAAAATAAATAAAGAAAGCTAAAATTTGGGTTATTATTTTCTATTAAATTATTGTTATTTTTACAAATATAAATATTTTTTCCTGCTACATCTAAAATGATTTCAATTTTTTAATTTAAGTTTAGTAAATTTATTTATACTACTATTTAACAAAAAATAATATAAATGTTAAAATAAAACTAATTATTATTTATTTACTTATTTAATTGATTAAGCTTAATTATATTTTTAAACCTTTTTGCAAATATTTCAATGTTTCCATTTGTATTTACAATATTTTTTTATAAAAAAAGGCTTTCTGAATATAAACCATCAAGTTAAACTTCAGTAATAGAAGGAAGAGAATCATCACCACTTAAATTATTATCATTATTTTTAAAAGACTATACATATTCAGAAGCATTTCTTTTAATAATTTTATAATCATAATCTTTTTTATAATATTCTTTATAATTATATTTATCTACTAAATGTAATTTACTTCTTTTTCTTAATTCATTGTTTTCTTTATAAAATTATTCTTTAGTTTAAATATTATTTTTATTCATTTATTTATTTTATTTATTAATAATTTTAGAATTTTGTAAATATTACATCTAATTTTCAGAATTTTTTTTTTTTTTTAGTTATTATTAATATTATTTTTTTATGAAGATTCGACCTTTAAAATTCCCAATATATTATGTTCACTTTATGTTTTTTTTTCAAAATCAAATAATTTTTTAATTATTATTCTTTTAATGCTTATTTAGTTTAATACTTTCTCTTATTAAGAAATATATCGTACTATTATTAATTTTATTATTATTACTGTTATTGAGTTATATATTTATTTGCATTTTCTCTTATTTCTTATGAAATTATATATTTATTATCTTGTTCTTTTATATTTTTTACTTATTTTAAAGCGTTTTTTTCTATTAAATCTGTCTTGTCAGCCAAAACTATTAAACTTTTGAGTTTTTTTCTATTTACAAACTACTTAACATAATACTAATGTGATAAATCATTCTAAACTAAATTTTTACTTTTTATTTTTTCTATTATTTCTTTTTATACATCTTCAAATTATGCAAAAATTTTCAAATTTTCATTTTTTTTTAGTATTTTATCTAATACTAAAGAATTAAGTTTTGACTTTCCTTTATTATTTACCGTATCAAAATTTGTTAAAGAGCTTTTATTTGCAAACTAGACACTTTTTTAAAAAAAATTCTACATATCAATTAAATTAAGTTATTATAAATCATTTTATTTATATTTTTTATTTGTTCTCATAGTATATTTGTTTGTTAAATCAATTAATTGATTTATTGTTAGCTAACCTTCTAAATAATATTTTAGAAGTTGTTTAAAATAAGCATGTTTTTTAGGTAAACCCTAAGGAAATTCCATGAGTAAAGGCTCTTAACTGTATTGTGAAACATTTTATTAAGTATTTTAAATTTATTAAAGTAACTAATAAGCGTTTGTCTGATTTTTTAATTTAATTTCGATATCAGATTCGATTTAGTCTGCTGTTTAAGGAAGGTTAGTATTTAATAAATTATAGAATTTTTATTTTTTATTTATTGCTGTTAATAATTAATTTTTTATCATTATTATATTAAATTTTATTAAAATTAAAACATGTATATAAAAAATAAAGAGTATTAATAAATAAATTAAATGCGTTTTTGTATATATATATATTTTATACATAATTTAAAATAAAAATATTATTCTTTTTTATTTTTTTGTAGTTTATGTTTATTTTTTTTTTGTATAAAAAAAATATTTCATAATTAATTTTATTGCTTTTTTTCAATAAGTTAGTTAACAAAAGTATTTATGCAAATATTTTCTTCATTTTATTTAATTAATTATAAAGCAGATTTGTTAAAAGGCAATTAATATAATATTTCTTTTAGAACTTATGTGCTTATATTATCGCTATTATTACACTATTTTTAATTAGTTTTTTTTAATAAAATTTTATTTTTATAGTATTTAAAAAAATATAGAAATAATACCTATTTTAAACAATTTACTAATTTAACTTTATATTTATTTATTTCTAATTCTTTACTTTTACTTATAAAAGAATCTATTTAAATTTTTTCCTAATTATCTAATGCTTAAAATGTACTCTCTACTATTTCTCTATATTTTACAGGATTTTCAATAAATTTCTAACAAACTTTTAAATTAAAAATAAATTAAATAAAATATATAAAATATAAATATTATATTATATTTTATTAAATTTTAAAAAAAAATACTGAGTCAGTCAAAAAAATGTAATTTTAATACCTTTAGTAAAGCCTTCTTTATTTAAAAAATTATTATTAGTATTTCCATGCTATTCAAATATTTTTAATTTATCCTAATTACTAATAATAATATTATCATACAAGCTTTATAAACAAACTTTAGCTTTACTTTTAGCCACAAAAAGGTTTAATTTATCCATCATAATATCACCAAGTGGATTTACACTTAAATTATTTACAATCCAAGGATGAGCGTAAGCTTCTACAGATGAAATCCTTTATTTAGGATCTATTTAGAGCATTCTTTCTAGCAAATCTTTAGCTTCATTTGAAATATTTCCATCTATATTATATTTACCACTAAGAATTTAGTTATACACATCTTTGTCGGAATTCCCATTAAAAGGCACTTACCCATATATTAATAAATACATAATTATACCTAAAGACCATATATCACAAGATTAATCATATTTAGATTTCTAAAATATTTCTGGAGGTATATAAAATGGATTTTATTGTATATGATCAAATCCTATATCAAGTAATTTTAAATGGGAGTTCTATTCCTTTGAATAAAATAGAAGATTCTCTGGTTTTAAATATTTGTGAATTATATCATTTACATGACAACATGATAAAGCTGAAAGTATTTACTTTATATATTTGGAAGCTATTTTTTCTGTAAACGACGGTTTATTTTTTAATCCTTCTAATAGTTCACCTCCTGTGCAGTATCTTTATTTTATTTTTATGGTTATTTAGTTTTTATATATAATATACTCTGATATAATATATAAAAATTTTGCATCTTAATATATTTCAAAAACTTATATTATATATGGGTGATCAATAGATTTAATTTTCTATATTTATTAAATAGATTCAAATTCATTTACTTTTTTTATTATTTTTAAAGCTCTTATAATACCAGATTATTTATGAGTTATAAGCGAAACTGTTCCTGAATAATCTTTATTTAATTAAAAAAAATTAAATAATTCATTATAAAATATCAATATATATTAATATTTACTTTCATGAATTATTTATCCAATTTAATATTGATTTTATATTTCTTAAAATATATTTTTTTCAATAAAAACAGAATCTTTATATTTTTTTAAAAAACGTATTTTAAATTTATACAAAAAAAAAATAAAAAAATTATATTTGATAACCTTATAATAAATTAGTACTCTTGGAAATTTATTATTAGAATTATTGTTATTAAAGTACTTGATTATTTTAAATATTAATTTGATTTATTTCATTAGATTAATATTCTCTTTATCCATTATTTTCATCTATTTTTAATAAAAAAATAAAAATAAGCAAATAAAAACCATTATATTTCTCTTCAATAGTTTTTTCAGTCACATTACTTTATGATTAGCAACTTCCCATTTTTTTTAACTATTTATTAATATTATTATTATTATTGTTATTATTATTATTATTATTATTATTATTATTATTATTATTATAATTTTAATTTTATTTCTATAAATAAATATATATAAATTATTTTTATTTATTATTATAATAATCTGGGTTTTTTAATATATTTAAACATCAAAATCTACTATTTTTTCTTAATTCTTTATAATATTAATTTCATATTATGTAATATTAAAAATTTCTTTTTATACTATTAAAAAAAGGCTTCGAAAATTTATATTTTGATACTTATAACCATTTTCTTTTCTTTCAACATATTATTCTATTTTAAATAATCATTATAATAAATATTTTTATGTTACCAACATATTGTAAAAAATAAATGAGTCTTCTTTCATAAAAAAGTATTAAATAAATAATTTATATATTTGTAGAAATTAAATTTAGTTTTTAGGAAATATAAGAGAGTTTGTTTCTATGTACATACTCAATAATTCCTAAATCATAAAATAGCCTATATATAAAAACAGCAATGAAGAATATTATGTGATTTTAAAGCTCACTAAAAGAAAAAAAAAATTATAATTTTAAAACATAAAATAAAATTTCATAATTTTAAAACTCAGAAAAAATAAATTAGCTTCTTATGCTAAAAAATATTAGAAATATAATATCAATATATATCAGAATAAAGCAAGAAAGTTTAAAATAAAATCTCTAATTAATAATACTAATTCCTTCATTTACTGTGCATTATAATATAACTTAATCAGAATATTTATTTCGTCCTTACAAAGATCAGATCAAATAATTTAATAAACTAAAATTAAAGATTTTAAAAAGGAATTATATCTCTGAGGTTTTTAAATGAAAAGAATTTAAAAACGTAATCTATTTAAAAAAGCTTTAATTAATTAAAAGGAATTTTATTATAATTTTTACAACTTCAATAATAAAAAAGTAAACAAAATAAAATTAAATTTTATTAAAAAAATATTAAGATTTTATTTAAAATGATAATTTATATTTATATATTCAATTATTACAATCTTAAATAAGAAATATTTTATCATTATAACAAAATAAGCTATATCTTTTTATTTTTTAATAAGCTAAATACTCCGATTTTATAAGTAAACCTCTTTTTTGTGAATTATGTACTTTCAGAATAAAAATAATACTTTTTTTTATATAGAGATAAAGATCTTTATTTATAGAGATTTATATATATAATCTAAAAGAAACGATAAATGAGAAAAAGCTCCTAAACCTAATTTAAGGCTCATTCAGCAATTGTTTTTAAAAAAATTATTATTGTATTGGTGAATAAAAAGATATTTATAATTAAACCGAAAATTTGATAATTACTTATAATAACTCAGGTCGGTTAGCTTAAATAACTATAAGTGGATTTTCTAAAGAAAATAAGAATAAACTGCTTAAGCAAGAAGAAATCATACTTCTTGTGTTATATTAATAATTTATTTATATAAGGATGTATGCACAAAATCAAATATTATAATTATTTGGTAAGTATTTTTTATAATAATAAAAAAAAAACAGGTCAAAAATTGTGAATTTAATAAGTGAAAATATAGGGATATAGCTTTATTTAAATAAATTCTTTATTTTATAAAACTAGAAAAGTTGCAATCTTTAAAAAATACTAAAAAATATTGATAAATAGGAAATTAATTATATATAATGCTTTTGTATTTACAAAAATATAATTTTTTTTAGAATATTTAATATATATAATAATGATATAGTATTATAAAAAAATAATAAAAAACTTGACGAATAATTTGTCTTCATTATTTGTTTATAAAATTTATGTTATTATATATATTATATTTAATAAAATTTAAATATTTATTAAAAAGAATTATTATTTTTTAAATATGGAATAAGTAGAAAATACAAAAATATAATAATTAATCAAAGAAATATAAACGTCTGCTGATAACTTGCTTTTTGATCGAGCTGAAAGATAATTACTAAATCTTATCGCATTACTTGAAACTAAAAAAGAATATTAGCTTCAATTAGAAAAATTCTAAGAATAATTTGATAATCTTAAAGAATTTATAATTAAAACTATGACAAATACAAGAAACTAACTTTAGTAGTTATATGATAATTCTAATTGGGAGACACATAAGACAAAACAAAATATTCTTATAGGTTGTAAGTTATGCAAAACAACTAATACAGTTTCAATAAGAGCTGAATCAGAGTTAAATATCCCTTGGTTTAATTTAGTAACTATTATTTATGAAATAGATTTGTACAATAAATGGTTTCCTTTTTGCAAATCATCAAAAACAGTAATTTAATTCTTTATTTAAATGAAACAAAAATTATTATTTAAAAAATAGTTGTTGCAACCTAATAAAGGATAAAAAATAGCCTATGTGGAAATATAAATTCCTTTTATTTCTAACAGGGAAGCTTATGCTTAAGGAATAGGAATTGATAGATTAGATGAAAATGGTACTCTATTCATAAAATGTAATTCGATTTAGAATGATTAGAAATTAATGAATTTGCTTAACATTGATTTAAGTAAATCAAAAAATGTTTAAGTAGATCTTAATTATTTCGCATGTGAAGTATATCTTATACCTGGTGAAGAGTAATAACTTTAAGATTTATTTAAAAATTAATAAAGTATTATTATTTATAAAGATAAAAAGTAAGAGTAAAAACTATTTCAAATGTGGATCCAAAAGTAGATTTTGTACCTTAATGGATGTTAAATACATTCTCTAAAAAAGTAAATATATAAATTTTAAAGTTGAAAATATATAAATTTAATATAATTTATTCAGTTTGGTGTATATTTGATGGAAAAGTTATTTGAATTGTCTAAAAATATATAAGTTAGATATATTTTATTTAAAATAAAATACATAAATTTATTTATTAATAAAGGGAACTGAATGGGAAAAAGCAGTTAATCATCCTAATAATTAATAATTTTATTCATGGGTTTAATAAAGAATATAATAGCATTAATTAAAAAGTCAAGTTAATAATATATAAAATAATGTTAGTAAAGTATTATAAAAAGAAAATAATAATTAAGCTTAATAAATAGAGAATAATAACTAAGTTTAATAAATAGAGAATAATAATTAAGTTTAATAAATAGAGAATAATAATTAAGTTTAATAAACAGATAACAATAAAAATTAATAAATAAAAATAGAAAATAAGGACAATTAAATTTTAATAAGTAAAATTAAAAAAATTAAAATTATAATAATTAATATATTATAAAAAAAGGTAAATAAGACATAAAAGTTACTTAAGAATCTTGATACTGAGAATAATAATATATATTCATTCTCCAAAAAATAAAATATTAGTATAAACAAATTGTATAATTTTTTTAAATGATTTGACTTAGATTTTTTTTTTTGCATTAATGGAAAAAAAATATATATATTTTTATATTATTTTCACAATTTTTAATTTATATATTTATTTCAAGTTGCTTTATAAATTTAAAAAACATATTCTATCGATTTTCTTCTATATGCTAATTTGTTGTATAATTTTTTATGAATTTATTATTTATTTAAGTTACTGTTAAAGTTTTCTCTAATTCTATTTGATTTTATAAAAAATATATTTAATTTTGAGATATTTCTAATTATTTTCTAGCATTTATTATAAAAATGAAAAAAAATTAATTAAATTTTCGCACTATGTATTATATTGAACTTTCAAGTAATTCTTTTGATTTTTTTAATTATTATTTATTCATATTGTGTATATTTGTTTTAAAAAAAATCAATCGAATAAAAATAGGGAAAAAAAGAATAAATAATAAGCTTTTTTTCATAGAATAAGTTTTTTTAAAAAAATGATAAACAAAATATAAAATAAACAATATATGAAAAATAATATTCTAGATAATTTTTATTCTCATCTTTTCTATTTTTAAAATACTTGATGCTTTAATTTTTTAATTCTACTTTTAATTGATTTTCTATATCCTAATTTTTAAAAATTAAGAAAATCTAAATTAATAATCAAAATTCACAAAAGTAATTTAAATATTTTTTTAAAAAACAATGACAAAATAAATTTACAAAATTCATAAATTTAAAAAAGATAATTAAATTATTAAATGAATATTTTGTTTTTTAAAAAATTAATATTTTACAAACTTAATATAATTTTTATAATTGCAAATTAATTTAATTTAATTTTTTTAATATTATAAAAAAGATAATTAACAATAATTAAACATTTAGTAAATTATAATAATGTATATATAAATTAATAATAAAAGATAATAAATAAGTTCATTAATACAAAAACTCAAAATCACCTACGTTAATACTTTTGTCAACTGAAATTTAGTCATTTTTAGTATTTTTTAAAAATGGATGCTTTAATGCTTAAGCTAATTTTAATCTTTAATTAGGGTCTTAATGTAATAATCTTGTAATAAATTCTCCACATTCAAATGAAATAGGCCCACTAAAATTAATTTATCCCTATATAAGATTGTGAAAATAAATATAGAAAAATTTGTTTTAGATAGAAAATTTACTTTTAAAACATTTTATAGAGTATCCTCATATCCTTTTCCAGAAAAAGGAGCTCTCCCAAATATAAGTTCATAAGTAAGAATTCCTAAACTCCAAATATCAATTGAATTGTTATAATCTTTATTTTCAATCATTTCAGGACTAACATAATCTAAAGTTCCACAAAAAGTTGATCTTCTTATTTTTTTACTAAAAGGCGCAGCATAACCAAAATCACATAATTTTAAAATACCCTATATATATAAATTTATATATGTTTAAAAAAATACAAAGTGTTATTAAATTTAATTTACATCACAAATCATTATATTTTCAGGTTTTATATCTCTATGTATTATACTTGACATATGCATATAATGTAAAGCATCAGCAACTTATCTTATATATAATGATACTATTGATTCATTATAAGATTTATTGTGTTAGGCTTTCATATCGGTAAAAAGATCCTTTCCACAGGAAAGTTCCTAAATTAAATAAACACTTTAATTTGAAATAAAAAAGCCATAAAGTTGAATAATATTTTTATGAGAAAGTTTAGTTTACATTATTATTTCGTTTGTTATATCTTAATATAAGCCATACTCTTTTATTGTTGAAAATTTAATTTACTTTAAAGCAACCCATAATCCTGTTTACTTTTCACTTTTTTATTTTAATAAATATAAATATTAATAACATAATATAAAAGTTACATAGCTATATAAACATCAGAAAATTTTCCACTTCCTAACTTCTTTTTTATAGAAAAATTATCTAAAGATAATTTAAATTTATTTTCAAAATTAATATCATAATCTCCCAAACATAATCTTGTTTTACGAGAAACAATTTCTTGTTAAGATTCATTTTTGTATTAAATAATTTCATTCTTATCAATAAATATTAGTGTTTTTTCTTTAAAAATACAGGAGTTCATTACATTTTTAAAATTTTATGGGGATTTCTCATATTCGAGTTCTAACCTTTTTATATCCTCGTCCGTTTAGATAATATTTGAGTTTGTGCTTTTTTTTGATAAATCAGACTAATCATTTTAATTTGTAAATGTAAAGTTTTAAGTATATTCTTAATAAAATACTTATTTCGCAGATTCAAGTGGCTGAAAATTCTTATTAAAAGAATAAGAATTATCATTAAATACAGTTTTAGGAGTTTAAAAATAACTATTACTATTTAGAGATAACAATACTTAATCATCTGTTGTATTTTTTTAAGGATAAAGACCGGGAGAACTTTATAGAATTTCATCACACATTAAAATTGATTTTCTAACGCTATTTATAATTCTTTATGTTTCTAAAACAATGTCCATCTAAAAGTTTTTAATGTTTATTATATAATTATAAAAATAGTATTTTATTAAATTATAAAATTACTTTGTAATAAAACCAGATAATTTATTAGAAATTTTATTGGTAAATATTGATATTATAAAATAACAATGTTTTTAATTTATTCATCAAAAATTATAAAATAAATTAAATTTGTAAAATTATAAAATGAAATGCGTTTATAATTAATGCTTAAATACATTACAAAATTATATATAAAAATTGTAAATTATATATATAATAAAATAAGAATTAAAAAATATTACTTAATTTGATAAATAATAAAGTAAATAAAAGTAATTAAATTTCTATATTTATAAAATAATGAAATAATATATATATATATATATATATTATATATATATATATATATATTTATATATACAAGTATATATTTTCAAAATATTTCACATTTTTTTTTTTAAAATAATAATTAATTTATAATATAATTTAGTATTGTTAGATATTTTTTTAATTTATTTTTTTCGTTTGTATAATCAGTTTTAGTTTAATAAATTACTTAAATAATATAAATATATTTATAAATAATGTTCCTGTAATATAATATAATTAGCTATTAAATATAATAATTATATTTATTTTTAATTTTTTAAGAATTTATTAAATTTATTTTAATATATATAAAAAAAATATAAGTTTATGTAACATGTAACATAAATAAAATAATATAATATTTTATTTTAAAAAATTTAATTTTTTTAATTAAAAAAGTAAAAAATATTATTACTTATACATATTTACTATTTTTTATTGATTTTTATATGTTTTTTTCTCAAAATTTCTCTATTTATATATAATTATCATCTTATTGATAATTTTCGTTAATTTTTTAATAATTATCTAAAATTTAATATAAATCTAGATCATTTTTTATTCCAATAAAAACAAACTCTTCATTATTTAAATTTTTTATTATTATGCAATTATAATCTATTTCTTTAAAATTTTAATAACTTTATTAAAAAATAACAACTTTATACTCACCATAAGGTCTAACTTTATCTTAAATTGGTGTGTAAAAAAACAAACAAACATCAAATACATATAATTCACCTTTAACTCTTAAATGAAGATTGTTATAATCGTATTTTTCGTACGTTGTGTATCTAAATAAATTTTCACAACTAAAAGAACTGATGTAATTAAAATGTTAATATAAGAAATCCAATGTTATATCCTTTTGATTATCAAATAAATAATTGATATCATACACTTAATATTTAATTTAAAAAAATAATTTAATATTTAAAATTAAAATAAAAATACATTAATTTTATTTAGATTGAATATTTTAATTAAACTATGATTTTATTTTTTAATTTTAATTACTAAAATGATCTGAATTCTATCTTTTTTTAGTAGACTCTTCATATTATTAATTAGTGTTTTATATTTCCAGAGAATGATTTTATTCTCTATGGCAGCACGATGAAAAACTTTAGCCCATTCAAAAAAATTACGAATAAATAATTTTTTTTTAAAAAAAAAGAATATTTATGTATAATTAAATATTAAGAAATATTTATTTTTTGATTAAATATAAGCAAAATTATTAAAAAGTACACACATTATTATTTTAGAAAATATTTCATGTATATATAAATAGCAATTATATTATTTTAATAATTTATCTTATAATAATTAAATTATATTTCTATAATTTGAAATTTAAATTAAATTTAAAAAATGAATAAAAGAAAATAATATAAAAGCCCTAACAAAGAAAGTAATAATTAATAATTTGATATCATTAATGAAAAATTGGAAAAATTGTTATTTATAGTATCTAATACAGATAAAAAGAGTTGCATTCAATCACAACAATTTTTATAATTTTAAAATGCAGTTATAGATACTCCATAAAGCTAATAGATATTTTAAGAAAAGGATACATAAACAAATGCATAAGCACAATAAATAGCAATAGAACTATAGAATATAATAAAAGAATAAAGTGAATAAGTAAAAGTATTCTATGAAGAATACATTAATAATTTATTAGAAAAAGAACAGGAAATATAATAATTAAGAGAATAGTATATAGAAGAAATGAATAAATAAAATCAAATAATAGATAGTTTGGTTAAAGATAATCAAAAAATTAGGCTTTTAAATAAAAGCTTAACTGAAGATAACATAAAATTAATAAATTTAGATTTAATTGAAAATAATAATAAAGAAAATTAATAAGTAATGATAGAAAACGAAACAATCCTTAATTTAAATAAAAAAATATATTTTTGTCAATAATTTATTTAATAGCTTATAGATAATTATTCTTAAAACAATTCGAAGGAAGAGATATATAAATTGCAATTAGAATTAGATTAAAAAGTTTAAGAAATATCTTCTGCAAATTAAAATAATTATGAATTAAAGTTAAAAATTTAAGAATATGAATAATAAAATAACATAATTAAAACTAGACAAAGATGTCAATTGTTATAATTAAATCAAAAATAAAACTTTAAACAAAGCAATAAGCTTAATTCTAAACGTTTATAAAGTCATAAATAAATTTAGTAATTAAATGACGAAATCGAGGAATAGGAGGATGATAAAGACTTTTAATATAGCAATTAAGAATCTAAAAGCTATAGTAATTTTGAAGAAATTAATTAAGAAAGCGAATTTGATGATGATTGTAAAAACAGAAAACCTTCAAAATTAAAGAAAAAAAAAGCAAACGACAATAAAAAGACTAGAAAAGAAAGGAAAAAATAAGTTAATGTTTGAAAAATATTAAATTTAAAGAAAATGTTTAATTAATTATACGTATAAACAAAAATATTAAAATATAAAAATACTTGATTAAAAGCTAATTTTACATATATTAATTAAAAAAGTAAAATTTTAATTATTACTAATATTTTATTTAATTTAACTTTAATATATTATTTATTTTATATAATCTTTTAATTAATTTTTTTTTATTATATTTAATTTCAACTTTTAATATGTTAAAAATATAATAATTTAAAATTATATAATAAATAAATATTAGTGTAAATTTTAATTAAAACAATTAAAAATATTTTTTTTAAATTCATATTCTTTAAAGTTTGAATATAAAATAAAATTATGAAAAATAACGAAGAAAACACAAACTAATATGTTATTAGATAACTAAGTGATGTTGAATATAATTTTAAAACTTTAAAGTAAAATAATAATACTTTTAAAATTTATTTTTATAATTGTTAAATTTATACAAAAGTGAGGTATATATAGAAATACTTTAGTTATCCTAAGAATAAAGTTAAATAGCTATAAATTTATTAGTTAATAACATTAAAATTATTACAAATATGATTATTTGGGGCGACTCAAATGATGATAATTTTTTTGAGTAATTATAATATATAAATTTTTTATTTTTTAAATAAACAAATTAAAGTTTTGTCTGTGAAAACAATTTTTTAGATAAACTATTTTAAATAATGAAAACATTTAAATAATTTAAGGAAATAAAAATACAAATTATATAATCGATATCTTTATTGTTAATAAATATAAAAAATCCTGAATAATATAATTATATTTTAAGTAACAGTACAATTAATGATTTTATTTTATTTTCATATGATTATTAAAATGATGAAGAGTATGTTTATTATTACATAAATTTTTTAAAAAGCCTTAGTAGAATATTACAATAAATTCCTTTGCAATTACTATTTAATTAAGTAAAATAATCTAATAAGACAAAAAAAAATATTTTATAATATAATAAAAGAAATATAAAAACTTTCCTTTATTATGGTAAGCAATAAGGTTTTATAATTACAAAGAAAGCTTAATAAGGACCCATGTTTAAAATATTGTTCTAGCAATTACAAAAAGTATTTATTATATATAAATAAAGCCTTATTAATTTATAAAAGTTAAAAATAATAATTTATAGTTGTTTTTATAAAGTTTTCCATTCTTGATATTTTATATAAATTATTCTTGTTATATTTCCTAATAATTTATTTAGATTGATTAAGAAGTTAAATAAATAAAAGATAAGAATTATTAAAAAATTAATGATTCTATTAATAATTAAGTAGATTAATTGTTATTTTTAGATGATTTAATGAAACTATAAGATTAAAATGGAAAAAAGGTATTATAAATATAAATAATTTAAAAAAAACAATAAATTCATTACAGAATATTATATTTTATTTTATTTTTTCAGATAATTGTAAACTCATTTTTAACATATACAGTAATATAACCGATTCTCTCTAGTATTTTAAATCAAAAAAATGTATTCTATTTTTAAATATTGACATATTTTATAATATTTACTTTAAAGGCTAAAATGAGTTTAAATTTGTCGTTTTAAATTATTATTTTAATATTTTAAAATATGAAAAACTAAGAATTGCAAGAATATATTTTAATATCTTTATTTGCAGATTAAATAAATAAAAAGATGAACGAAAAAATAATTAATAATATTTAATATCCAGCTTGTTTTAATGAAAAATGGGCTTATAAAAATTTTTGGGATGATTATGAATTATTTATAAATGAAGAATACAGTTTAATATTTAATTAAGATACTAAATAAAGCCCTGATTTAATAAATAATCAAAAAAATTCTCAAAATAAGAAATAATTTATTTACAATAAAATTTTGAATGGAATCGAATATATTACAAATTACTTAGGAATATCAGGAAAATCAATGTATGAGATATAATAATATAGTAAAGATTTAGGAGTTAAAATAATAAATTAATTTAAGAATGATTAACAAAAAAATAAAGAGTTTGATTAGTTTTTAGGTAATTCTGCTCTAGATATATTAGTTGAAGTTAAAAACGATATTGAAATGGATTAATTTTTTATAAATAAATAAAATTATGAGAAAAATAACATAAAAGATATTATAATTTAATGTCTATAAGTAAATATATTAAAAATTTTACTATAGTATGGTTTTTTTTTTTTATAAATAAAGAAAAAAGATGACAACTAAATTATATTAATTTTAAAAATTATTATAATCTGTATTGAAAATAAAAAATTCTCTAATAAACTACTTTCATATTGTGGATTATTACCATAAAATTATGATTAATCTTTATATAAAAATAATATTTAAAGTTTAGTAACATTTTAGAATAACTTTCTTTATGTAATATAAAATAAATAAATAAATAAATATTTAATAATTTTATTTTTAGATTTTCTAGACTTAAACGTAATTTAGATTGTATGTTTATATTCTTCTATTCAAACTAATAAAAACATTCACATGTATTGATATAGATTAGCCAATACTATTTACAAACGATTAACTTATTTAATTTAACATTACTTATTTAAATTTAATTAAACAAATTAGGGATTTTTTAAATTAATAATCATATTTTGATTATCTTATAGAATTATATGATTTTGAATATATTAATGTTTAAAAAAATGAATTTAAAGTTAACTAAAACGACAATTGTCTTTGTCTAATTCCTACAGAATTTATTTAGGATGGTTTATTTATTAATTTCTTTATATATTGCAAAAAAAATAAAAATATATATATTAATAATAGATGAAGATCTAATGTTTAAAAATATAACTACTTAAAGAGATCATGCAAGAAAAATTCTAATTTAATTTTATATTTTGAGATTTTTGCGGTTTGAATTAATTAAGCCTTTTAACACATCTTAACTGGAAAGAAATATAATTCACTAATAAATATTAAAAAATATTAATCAATAAAATAATCAACAAGTGTTTGAATTATTTGAATTAGGTTTAATATATATAAAAAAAACAATTAACATTTTATTTTTACAAATATAAGAGGAAGAAAGATAAATGCTTCATTGTGTCATTAAAAATATTAAATGTTATTTTGTATATGATGAACATTATTTTATTCTTATTGAATTTTTAAATACAGGAATTATTAAAATTCATTATAAAGTAAAACTAAAACTAGTTGAAACTTAAATTGATAGAGCAGATCCTCTTAAACTTTAAGTAGTAATAAAAAAACTATAATGTAATGGAAAAGTAATAAAATTATAAATTCTATATTAATATATAATATAAAAAAGGATAAATTAGAAGATTTTGAGTTATATTTTGATCATATCGATCATAGTTATTAATGTTAAAAAATTATTGATGATAATAGAATCCTATCTAAGGCATAGGAAAAAAATATATTATTAAGTTTAGTTGAAAACTCAGAAAAAGATATCATAATTTAATAATGATACTATTTATATATTTCTAAGTCATAATTTATTTGAAATCTTAAAAAAAATTACTTTAAAAATATTATGTTTTAATTAATAACATAAATAACTTAACTTATATAAATAAAAATAAATAGTACTGAAAAATATACTTCTTTTTTAAATAAATATTATTAAATTGGTAATATTCATCATTCATAATATTTATAGCTTTATGTAATAATTAAAATAATAAAAAAACATATAATATATGTTCTATATAAAAATAAATTTATTTATTAATTTTATACATCACTTATCTTATTATTGATTTTCTTAATTCTAAGTATTTTATTATTACTTAAGTTACTCAGTATTATTATCATTTTTATTTTAATTAATATTGTCATTTTCATCGTCACTATAATTTATTAATCCTCCTAAAAACTTATCTAATTTTTCTTAAGTTTTATTTTCTTAAGGAGGTTTTTAAGATGGCGGTTTAATTTAATTATTTTAATTATGTAAATGAGATTTTGACCAAGCTAAATTTAATTATTAATTATTAATAATTAATTTTCCGTAGAGATCTTTTATTGCTTCTTCAGCTGCTTTTCTAGAGCAAAAGTTAACAAATGCGCATTTCTTTTAAGGGATCATTTTTACGCTTTCAATAGGACCAAATTTTATAAAAATTTAACTATTTTAAAGTAATTATTTATAGAAATATATTAAATATTATTTTATTACTAAATGTTTTCCTAAGAAATAGATTCTGTTATGTTAGAAATATAAAGAGAATAAATTGTTGTATCTTAGGGTGGTTATAAATCATTTTCTTTGTAAACATTTATTTTTTTAAGTATTTTTTCTGCTAAAGGATCGTTTCGACCATAAAATCTATCTACAAGTTATTAATTATTTTTAGGATCATCATCATCTATGTTTACTCTTTTTTAATGTGCATAAGGACAAAGTTCTCCTCTTTGGCAAGTTCCTTTGACCCAAAAACTACATACCTATGCTTAATTTCTTTCATAATAAGGTTTTAATCTGGCAACTTTTTCTAATAAAATATTAGATTAATTACTATAAGGTAATTATAACTAATCAATCTTTATTAAAAATAAGAAATATATATGGTTTATTTTATTATGATTTACATTTCTATTGGCTTGGTTCTAATAATAATCTCTATTAGCCAATTAATCAGGTATTTAAACAGCTTATTCTGCTAAAAATTTATCACGAACTTCAACAGGAAGCTAATATTATAAATCAAATATACATGTTTAGCAAACATTTTTTAATTTTGCACAAGTTTAACAAATTTCTGTTTTTTTGAAACGGCCTTTTGTCCCTGCTTTCCATCTAAAAACTGTAAAGGGCCTTTAACAAATTTTACATTCTTATCCAAATTTTTCTTTAGTCTTTAAATTTCATTAATTTATTTTATAAATATAATGCAATTTTAATACCATTCTTATATAAGGATTATCGCCTAAACATGTTTCACATAAAATGGGAAAATCCGACTCTTCCCATCCAACTTTATTAACACCAGTACGAAATTATAAACCTCTTTCAGAAGCCATTATATGTTAATTTATAAAATATGTCTATAAAAATATATAATTTCAAAATTATTTTTATATTAATAAATATTAATTTTCAATATTTATATTTATTATTTTACTTTTTATAAAAAAAAATATAACATAATTCATTATTATATTAATTTAATAATTAATATATTTATATATACATATATTATATAAATTATTTCGTTATTTAATCTTTTTATTTATCTAAAAGAAGTGTTTAAAAACTTGTAAACTTAATTTATATATTTTTTTGTAAATATTTATCCCTATATTATTTTATTGTATTTCTTTTTTATATACTATGAATTTAAATTAAAACAATAAAATTTATATTTTAAAAATTAATTTTATTTTTTATTTCTTACAAAAATAAATATAAATAAAATACAATATTATTTTATATAAGATTTTATATTTAATTAAAGAAAAATTTAAAAAAAAGATGAACAAATAGGAATAATCATAAACATAAATATTAGGAAATGATAAAATACTAAATGAATAATTTTTGGATTAAACTTTTTCTCTTATAAAGATAATATTTTAGCAATCAATATTTAATCCTAGTAAATAATTAGTTAATTTTATTCCCAATTCTAAATTAGATTAATTTATAGACTTAGAGTTACCCTTAGAAGGATAAACAGACAAATAAATTATTTTGTTTCTTGAGAATTTTATAAAGTTTACAATTAATTCAAATCATAAAAACTTTTTTGGAAACTCTTGTTCTGGTCTTAATTAATATTCTCTTGCAGGCGATTATTTAACCTCTACTATTAATGGTAGTATGTACACCTATGAAATGGCACCAATTTTTAACTTTATGGAGCAAAAAATCTTTTAGTTTTTCTAATAAAACTATTTAAATTGGAATAATATTGATGGAATTTTATCACCTGGAAACACTCAAAGTCTTTACTATGCTCTAGAATGTGCAAGGCATAAATATTTTCCTTAGTCGAAAAAAGAAGGAATGAAGAATTTACCCAAAATGTCAATCTTTACAAGCAATACTTGCATTAATAATGTAAAAAAAGGATGTGTTTACTTAGGTTTTGGAATCGAATCTTTAGTTTTGCTTCCTACTGATAAATAAGGTCGTATTATACCTTCTGAATTCGAAAAAGCGCTCTAAAAAAGAGAAAAAGAGAAATATTTTAGTCTTTTTCTAAATTTAAGTATGGGAACAAATTTATTTGGCTCTATAGATTATATTGAAGAATGTACAAGGATAGCATAAAAATATAATGTTTGGGTACATTTAGAAGGCGGAATGTATTAAAAAGGAGATTTTTTGAAAAATATCGACAGTATATCAATTTAAATAGACAAATTATTTAGTGTCCCACAATAATGTTGTATTTTTTTAAACAAATATGAAAATCTACTTAGTGAAGCTAATGCTTTAAACAGCGATTATTTATTTATGAAGGACAAAGTTACTTATGATGCCCAAAAATATGACTCTGGGGATAAAACTTTTTAATGTGCAAGACATATTGATATTTTAAAATTTTGGATTTACCTTAAAAAATATGGAATCAAAGGTATTTACTAATTATTGGATAATAGTATTCAAACCGCTAAGTATTTCAGCTTATTATGCTCTTAGAATCAACATTTTTAATTAAAATTAGATCCAGAAGTTAATTGTGTGTGTTTTTAATATTTTTCAGATCGAATTTTAGAATTAAAAAAGTAAAACTACTAATTTGGAGAATTAACTAATTTATAAAATAATGTAATGAGGTAAATTAAAAATATTAGCTTGAAAAACGGCAACTTTTTTATTTAATTATATTAATTTGAAAGATAAAACTTTTTCAAAGTATCCTTTAGTGTTGATAAAAATAAAGAAAATGCTGAATTTCTTTTTAATGAAATTCATAATATAGGAAAGAATTTATGATTATTACTTTTTTTACAAATTTGTACTTATATATTTTTATATAATTAATAATTTAATTATAAATTTAGTAGTTTTATATTTAAAATAAATATTTTAAATAATATTTTTAAAATTTTAAGTATTTTTATAATTACATTTTAAAAACATTTAACATATAAATTATTTAAACTGAAAATAAAAATAATTTAATAAAAAAATTAAAATGCATAACTAATAATTGCGGAGTAAAACATTATCAATATCATCACTTCCATAATGTATATAAACTAATAAATAAATAAAAATTAAAAAAAATTAAAAAAAAAGTAAATGAAATTAGAAAAATATCTTTATTTGAATATTAAAATGGAACTTTTTAAGGATAAATTAATTAAAGTACTAAAAAAAAGCAAGGATTAGGTGCATATCTATACGATAGTGGAGATTTCTATTTTGGTGAATGGGAAGATGATAGAATTTAAGGAGAAGGAATCTTATTTTTTGCTTTTGGGGGATTTATACATGGCTTTTTCTTAAATTTCATGATCCATGGTCCTGCTTTTTTAAAGTTTTCAAACGGTGAAATATATGAAGGTAATTGGAACTAAGGTAAATTAGATGGGGAAGCATATAATTATTTTGTTGATGAGAATATATGGTTTAAAGGTAATTATAGTTAAGGAAAATTCACATAATTAATATAATATGGAAAAGGTAGGCCTCCTTCAAGTAATTTTTTAAAATAAAAAACAAAAAAATTATTAATTGAATGCTTAAAATATAATTTAATCAAATTTCCATTTTTAAAAATTTAATATTTATAATAATAAATTTTAATATTTTTTTTTATTCAATTTACTTAATATTCCTTATTATATTATTATTTAATATGTTGTGTAATTTAAATATAATGTTTTTATTTTTAAATAATAGATTTATTATTTAAAATAAAATTTCTATTTACTTTAAGCCAATTTATAAATTTTATTATAAAATAATATTTTTATAAATATTAAAATTTAATTATTTTTTATAAAAGCTATTCTCAACTAACTTAGCAAAATAAATTCTTTATGTTAAAAGCATAAAACAAAAAATGAAAATTTAAGTATAAAAGTGATTGATTTTAAGGACGGATCTTAATATTTAGGTATGGCTAAATAAAAAAATCCCTTTGGTTTAGGCTTATTAAGAAGACTTGATGAAAAGTATGATGCAGGCTTTGCCTTTAATGGCATTTTTTAAAATATAGCACGTTTAAATTTAGATGATGGATAAAATATGTATATTGGTTAATTATAGGCTAATGGTAAGTTTTAAGGATAAGGAGTTTATTTAAATAAAAAAACTAAATAATGGGTTTTCGGAATATTTGAAAATGGATAATTAATTGAAGTTATAAATTAAGGATAAGATGAATATCCCCAAAATATTATTAGTAATATTTATTATTCTCATCATATTAATTCCGGAAGATTTATAGAAAAATAAATTGAAAATGGGCTATTTTATATGCCTTCAGGTTATAACAATAATTATAAAAATTTCTAATAATTAAAATGGGATTCTTTTAGAATAGAAAAAATGAGGGAAAACACATTTTCTTAAAATAAAAAAATATAAATTAATGTAAAAAGAAATTCTAGTGCAAAACTGCAATAAAATAATTCAATATTAAATATAGATTAAAATACTTATTCTAATAGATCTCCGAAATCAACATTATATTAATTTTATTTATCAAATAATGAAAAAAATGTAATTATAAAAAAATTAAAAAAGATAACTCAAATAAATATTTAATTGATTAATTTTCAAAAAATTATTAAACTGATTCATTAAATAAATAAAAAAAAGAAAATTTTACTTTCGCCAATAATACAAACTAAAATCAATAAACATAAAAATTTAATTAATACTAAATAAATATAAAAAAACCTGAATAATTTAATGAAAATAATTTTTAACAAATGCAAAGTTATTAAGTAAATGAAATTAGTTAAGATTAAAATTAAAATAATAATTAAATTTAAAAATAAAATGAATTAAATAAATAATCAGAAGTAAATATAAACAATTTTAATGAAAACATTGAATAATATAAGTAATTTAGTTTTGAATTTAAAAATTAAACTAGCAATAAATTACAAGTAATAAAATACCAGAAAAATAAGAAGATTATTAAATTTTACCTTAAAATATAAATAATTATGATAGTTTTAATTAAGAAATAATTAAAGATAATAATTATGACTATGGAAAATAATAGATAAAATAAACTAATATTCAAAATAAAAAAGAATTAACACCTCTCAAATTAGAGTTCAGAAATATATAATTATTAAAGCTTAGTAAAATAAAATAAAATTAGTCCTAAAAAATTTTAAGATTATGAGCATAATGCTTCTATTTAAAAACAAAATAAAGAAAGATAAATTAAAAGAAATAATAAAGCAACTAAAGAAACAGACATGAAAAAAAACTTTAATGAGCTATAATATTAAGAAAAAAATCAATAAAATTTATATGATAATAAAAAATATAATAACGAGTAAATATAAAATTAACAAGATAAAAATCAGCTTTAAAATATAATACAAATATAAGATAAGGAATAATAAAGAGAGATTTCATAAGTTTAATAATAATTTTAATCTAAAAATATATATGATTTATAATAATAAGATTAAAATATAATTTATAATAATTGTTTAGAAAATTTTAGTTATAAAAATGATTAAGACAATATATTATTATTGAGTTAATAAAATATAAGCAAATTATAATAACTTTAAAAAAATAATAATTAAAAAGTAGACTTAATTTAATAATAAAATATAATTATTTAAAAATAAGAATAATTTATAGAAAATAATAATGAGCAAATTGAATTATAAAGTAAACTCAAAAATAAAGAAAAGAGTAATAATAATGAAAATATCTTATAACAAATGACATCAGAATAAAAAGTAAAACATTTGATTAATACATATACTAACTATTTATATAAAATAGAAGATAATGACTAATAAATAAAATAATAATATAGTATTAATCAATTTGATTTTCAAGAAATAAAAAAACTAAAAAATTAAGTTTTTGAAGAAAAAGAAAAAAGTTTTTTATTAAATTAGGGTATTTTCGACAAAAACCCATAATAAATAGATGAATTTTTAGAGTTATAAAAAATTATAATATCTATTTAAGATAGAATAATTCAAAAAAAAAATTATTAATCGTTAAATAATTCTTCGTAATCTTAAAATTAAAATCGTTTCAATATGCCTTTAAATAGTACTAGTCCTCTAAAATATTTTTAACCATTTGTATTTACGAAAAATTCTTAAAATTTAAATAATTCAATTTCATCATAACATGAAAATGATAACAAAAAAATAAACTAAAATAATAGTAATTTAGATCTTACATAATTAAATATTACAAATCATTAATATAACTTAAATAAAACTAATAAAGAATTATAATTATAGAATAGCTCAAATAATTTTAAACAATAATAATAAATGGATGAATAAATGATAATTAGTTAGCATTCATTAGAATAAAATTAGTATATTAAATAAAATTATGATTAAAAAAATTCTATAAATGCTTCCCAATAAATTCAAGTATAAAACTCAAATTAAAATAACTTTTTAATATCAAATTAAATAGACATAAATAATATATCTAATTCCTTAATATAATAAAATAAAAATGAATTACTTGCTAAATATTCTAGTATTCTAAATGAAGCAAAAAGTATTGATTAATTATCTGAATCTTAAAAAAATTAAATAATTTAAATTACAGATATTAAAAATAATTTAATTTAAGATTAATACTAAAACATACAATAAAAAATATAAAGTAATGAAATTTAAACTTTAAATGAAGAAAAAAATGAATTAATAGATTTTCAAAGTTAAATAATATTAATATAAGAAGAATTTATAAAAAGCAGTATTAATAATAGTAATTTTAATTCAGTTTATTAAAATATTTCAAATCTTACAATGAGCCCTATTAAGATTTAAACATGCAAATAAATACCTAAATTGAAAAGATCTAAATCAATTATAAAATATTATGTATAAGTATTAAATAACGATAGCTAAAATTAAGAATAAAATATATCATTTGATTAACTAAAAGAAATTAAAGATTAAATATTTTCGCAAAAATATAATGATATTATTAACAATGATAATTAAGTAAACTCCTCTTAAATAAAAAATAAATCAATAGATGAATTTATTTAATTATAAAAATCTATAATTGATTTACAGGATTAATATATTATAAAATAAAAAATTAACTCTTTACCAAATTCTGATATTTTACCAAATTTATCAGAAAACTCCTTTAAGTATTTAAGTTTAAAATCTTTAAGTTAATAAAATATTAATTAGGAGTAAATTAAAAAAATTAGAAGCCTTAGTAGCAGTCTAGTTTTTATAAATATAATTAATAGAATTAAAATAAAAAACAAAGAGTAAAATGTTAATAATTATAAAATATAAATAGTTTATAAGCTTAAAAAACATAGAAAATAAAATTAAAAATACTGAATTAATATAAAGAGTTATTAAATAATTCTAATAATTATGACTAAATTGATGAATATTAATATCGATTTATCGAAGTTAATTATGCTAAAAGTTTTATTTTAATAAATGAGCTTTAAAGTATAGATATAAATAAACAAAGAATATATTAGCCAAATTAATAATAAAAAAATATAACATTATAATAAATATTTGAATTAATTGAATTTTAAAAATAGTTAATAAAAATATAAGAAGAATATTTAACCAAATAATTAAATTCAAAAAATATTTTTAAGCAAAATTATAATATAAATTATGATGAAGAAACTATAATAAATAATTACATTAAATTATTAAAAGAAAAAGGAGAAGTAGATTTTGAAGAAATTAAAACAATAAAAGATATTATAATTAATGATAAATTTAACTAAACTCAATTGACTTAAAATCCAAATTTATGTGATGATTTGATTTAATTTTAAAATAAAATTATATAAATTTAAGATGAAATTATTATTAAATAAAAAACTTAAGATAAATACTATTCAACAAATGTAGATTTATTTTCAAACTTTTCAAACTATTAAGCTAAGAGCATTAGTTCAATTCTACCTAATAAAATTTTAAATATCTTATCTAATAAAAATAAAAGCAATTCGACTTTTAAATTAAATTTTGATTAATTTAACTAATTTTAAGATACAAATAATTAATTAAATAATGATAAAGACGATATTAAATAAAATTAATTTTAGCCTCTTTTATCTGAAAATAATGAAACAGATACTTCGATAATTTAACAATATAAATAATAAAAAGATTTATATTAAAATTAATATATTGATGAATATATTAAATAAAATTAATCTTATTAATAAGAAATTATATTATAATTATTTGGTAATAAAAAAGAAATATTTTAATAATATAGATATGCTTTAAATAAAACAAATTAATATATAAACTAAGATTAAAGTAATTAAGAAAAATAATTCATTTAATTAAATCAGGCTAAAAATATATTTATAGAAAATGAAAATTTAAAAATTTAACATGGATTAAATGATGATTCTTAAATAAATATATAAAAACAATAAATAAAAGAATTTATTTAATTTTAAAACGATTTAATAGTTATATAAGAAGAGTTTATAAGTAAACAATAAAGCCTAAGTAACTCACTCTAAATTAAAGATTAATAATAAAGTCCTTTAAAAAATATACAATAATAAAAATTATTAGTAAATTTAAAAAATAATAATTAAAGTATAATTAAATTATATGAAGATGTATTAATTAATAATAGTTAAAAAGATGAGGATAATATAAATTATGAACTTTTGGTCAATGTTAAAAATGAAATAGTAAAAGAATATTTAATTGACGAATGCGAAAATTAATCATAATAAAGTTTATAAAAATAATAATAAATAATTTAATTGTAAAGATCAATTATGAATATATAAGATAAATTTATTTTAAAGCAAAAAACAAATAAATAACCATATTCAGATAATCTAGATTAAACATTAATTAAATTATATTCATAATAATCAATTAATAATTTCAATTCGCTTTACAATTCTAATTAAGTTAATTAAAATTATAAATTTTAAAGAGATGATTAGAAATTTTAAGAAATTCTTAAATAAAACAAATATGTTAAAAATAATTTAAATACGAATAATAAAACTTAAAATGAATAAATTATTTAAAACAATTAACCATAAAAGCTTATAGATTAATCTGAAAATATTTAATTTTAAAAATTATTAAATAATAATTTCGAAAATAATTTAAATGAAATAAATTAAAATTAATTATAATAATAAAATTAATTAATTAATAATAAATAAAATTTTGATTAAAATTATAACAAAAATACACATATATAATATAAAGATTAACAAAATACAAAAATTTTAACTAATCAGAATACAAAAAATTAAAATAAAATTATAAATTAATATAGTTAATAAGTTGAAGACTTTATTGAATAATAAAACATAATTATTTAAAATTAAGAATAATTTACAGAAAATAATAATGAATTAAGTGAATTAAAAAGTAAATCCATAAATAAAGAAAAGAGTAATAGTAATGAAAATATCTTATAATAAATGACATATTTAAGATAAAAAGAACATTTAGAACCACTTTATAATAATTATTATGATTTAAATTAGTTAAAATTAGATTAGTATTACAATAGTACTAATGTAAAAGAATACAGTTAAAATTTATAATTATTAGAACAAGCAAATTTAGAAAAAAATTAGCTAATTAAATTTTAGAATCAAGTAATATAGAGATAGGAATAATTTATAATGAGTAACTTAAAAATTGAAAAAAAATCAATAACAAATTAATGCTTATCTAATTGTAGTATGAGCCCATTAAAAAATAATACTTATGAAAATTTTATTAAAAATAAAAATAAAGAATTTATTATTAAATATTATTAAGATGTTTTAAGTTGTGAAAAATAAGTCTAAGATCAACATATTTATTTCGATTAAGTAAAAGAGTTCAAAAATGAAATCATTAGAGAAAAACAAATATAAATACAATATTATAGTAATGATTAATATGATAATTAATAAGGACTTTTTTAAAAAAATAAAGTAGAAAATGAATTAATTGACTTTTAAAAATAAATTATATAGGTTTAAGAAAAATTTATATTAAAATAAAAATTAATAAAATATCATCATTCCGATATTTTACCAAATATTTCGTTTAGTTCAGGAAATAATTTATTTTAGAAAAATAATAATTGTTCATTTGATTTACAAAATTTACAAAATTAAAAATAATAATTAAATTAATTTCAAAAAAAGAACTAATTCATCAATAAATATATTTAATAAAATTCATAAGAACTAAAATAAAAAACAAAAAATAATGAATTAATTTAAAATCCAAATTAATAAAGTTAATAATAAAAAATTATATTATAACAATACTAATATTAGGTAAATAATTATGAAATAAATGAATAGAATTTATAAGAATTTATATAATTAAATAAAGCAAAAAATTTTATAATTTAAAAAGAAACAGAGTAAATTTAAGAGCTTTTTATTTAAAATAATATTATATAATCTTTAAAAGCTGAAACTATGAAAAATTAGCTTATTTAATATTAAAAATAAATAATTTAAATATAAACTAACTATATTATTGAAAAAAGTTAATAAATTCCTTCAAATTCGTTATAATTAAACTAATCTTAAATTAATGTTTTGAATAATAATAATAATTCTAACTTGTATAAGCCACTATAGAATTTATCTTTCCAAGATTAATAAATATTTATAAAAAATTATAAAAATGCATTAGATTTAGAAGGGTAGTAATTTAATAAGTAATAAATTAAATAACTTTTGGAAATAAAAGATTGTATAATTAATTAATAAATAAGTTTAATTGAATAATCTAATTCAGATTCATTTTAAAATATGTAGAAAGATTAACTTGTTGAAATATAAAATTAAATAATATAAATTTAAGATGAATTTATTATAAAATAAAAACTATTAAAATTATATTCGAGATCTTAAAACATGCCCTTTTAATAATTCCTTTAAAATTTAAACTTTTATGGTATTTAAGATATTTAAGATTAAGTAAATAAATGTGAAAATGATAATTTTGATATGCATAAACAAATAAATCAAAGTGTCTTCGAAATTTAAAATAGTTTAGAAACAAATAAAAACATAAAAGGTTATTTAAAAGAATCAGAAATTAAGCATTAAATCAATTATTTATAATAAAGCAAAGCACATATATTATAGAATTATGTCAAAATTTTAAATTAAGATGACTTAGACAATAAAAATTTATTTACGCAAATTGATTAAGCCAAAAATTTTGTTATTTCTTTCTTATAAGTAAAAGTAGATCATTCTTTAAATGAGTAATAATATTTATAAGAAGAATTAATTTAATTTCAAAGTTAAATCATCTAAATCTAGGAGAAATTCATTATTGATAAAAAAAATATATAAAATGGAAACATTTTTAATCTAAATAATGAAAAAAAATACTAATAAAAAGATGTTTTAGAATTATATAATCAATCATTAAATAAAAAAGAAATTAATTATTAATAAATTATCTGTAGTAAAAATGAAATAAGTAAATAAAAATACAGAAAAATATAGTAATAAAATTTTAATAATTAACCTCATTAAGCTAATTAAGAACGATAAGATTTAATATAGTTTTAAAATTCTATTATTGATATTTAGGACTAAATAATTTTTTAAATTAAGTCTTAATAAAAACATTAGTCAGTCAACTTATTAGGATAATAATAAAAATATGAATACTAATAAAACTAAAATTTCAATAATAGTTAATATGATTCCTTTAATATTGAATTTTAGAAAAAAGCAAAATAATATAATTATTAAAACGAAGAATTATAATAAGAAAGTTAATTAGAATAAATTTCAAAATAAAGATATAATAATTAAAATATAGAATAAGAAAGTTAATTACATAATAAATAATATAAAGTAATTAACGAAGAAAATGATAACTTTAGCATAATGTAATAAGAAGAAAACCATAATAATAATTAAAAAAGTTTTTATAATATAAGTTAGGATGAATGTGTATAATAAATAAATGAATCATTTTAAAACGATCAAACTAAAAGAAATAGAAATAATTATCCATAATCTCCTTTTTCAAGGGTATCTCCTAAAATAAAGGAAATAATTAGAAACGATATATCCTCTTTGCCATTAAGATAATCAATTTAGTTTATATAAAACTAATTTAAAAATTCTCATATCTAAAATAGTGCTTTTAAAATCTAATAACCAAATATTATTTATAACTAATTTACACCTAGAAATTAATAATCACCAATAATTACTTAATATTCTCCTTAAATGGAAAAAAATTAACTATAATCAAGTAATTTTTAATTTTTAACTTAAAATTCTCGAATTTTTATAAGAAGCGACCTTCCTAGCTTGCCTTTATAATAATCTATAAAAAAACAAATTGAAAACTTTGTTACTAGAAGTGGAAAAAAAGGTAGCCCTATTGATTAATTTAATGATAATTTATGTAATATAAGTTTAGATAATTCAAATCTTTAAAATAATATAAGAAATTCATCATTTTCGAATTCATAAATAAAATCTCCTTTAATATAGAATGAAATAGATAGTATAAATGAATAGTTTAGTTAAAGTGATAATTCTGGAAATATATAAAAAAATTTGAGTTATTAGTGTGATTTGAACTGCATTTTGCCTCTTAAAAAATCAATAGAAAATCAAATTAAATAGTTTATTTAAAATAAATCAAAAAATGGAAGTCCAATAATTGTTTAAAAAAGGAAGGTATTAACTGAACCAAGATAAAATATTTTTTTTTTTAAAGTAGTAGCCCTAATAAAATAAGTTAAAAATTATATATGTAAAAGTAAGTTAGAATTGATTAAAATTTTTTATAAAACTCATTGTAGTCTTTTTAAAGTTAAAAAAATTAAATAATTTAAGGAAGATAATCTAAAAAGCAATCAGAAATATTTTTAAGTATTGGTAATACAAAAATATAGGAAGAGTAAGAACCTAAACATAAAAAAATAAATTTTTAAAATGAATTTTCTTAATAAAATACACCGCCCATTTAAATATTTAATGAAACCAAATTTACATAACATATAAACAATTTAAATTTTTAAAAAAATTATTCTCCTTCAAAAAGAATTTAAAAATATTTAAAAAATAGAAAATAATTTTCCATAAATTAGTAAAGATATATCTTCATGTATCAAATAATCTAAAGAAGTTACTAATAATGAATTCGTATTTAAATTTTAAAATAATAATTTTTCTAATAATCTTCAATAAGAATAATTATAATCAAGTAAAACATATAATTCACCACTAAAAAACAATTAATACAATGTTATTTAGAAATAAACACATGAATAATATTTTACACCAAATACAATTGTACTAAAGAATAATATTTTAGATAATGCAAAAATCAACTCAGCTAAAATTCCTATTAAATCGAATACTTTTCATCTTAATTCTTTTAGAAATCCTATATATTCTGCAAGGAAATCGATTGGTACCACTAAAACTATTTTAAGCTCTGTCAGAACTCCTTTAAATTATAATGTAAATTCAGCAAATAAAATTCTTCCATATAGACAAATTGATACTAATAAAAAATCAAGTAATGGAAGTTAATAAATATTTTATTCTCCCATAAGTTATGATAATTAATATAGATTAAGTCAAATAATGTAATAATAAGACATTTAAATGCATAATAAAATAGATTAAAAAGTAATGAAAATAATTGTTTCTCCATAAAGTTTAAATAAATAAAATTCTAATTTAAATATTATTAATTAATAAAAAAATGCATTTATTGAACCTGTTTAATTTTAATCTTATCAAGTAAATAATTTATATAAAACATAATTAATATAATTTTTAATTTCATTTTAAAAAATAAATATATAGCCTTAATAAAAAAATTAATATTAAGCAATATATAGAAACCCAAAATACTAATAATAAAATAATTATGATTATAATAATAAAATTACATAGGATTAATAATAATTGGAATAGAATCAAGAAAAATAATGTAGTGTTTTTTGATTATAATTTTAAATATATATCATAACAATTTATATATAATATATATGCACATTAAATAGAAAAACAAGAAATATAATTATTTTAAATATGTTTATGTAAGTATGTTTATAAAAATATATAATTTGATAAAAAATATTTATTTAATTAAAAAACGAAAAGAAATTTCAAAAAATAGAATATGGAATTCAACTAAAATCTGAAAAAATAAATTTTAACAAAAAAGAAACATTATAACTTATATTCAAAAATAAGGTAAAAGCTTAACATTTTTTAATATGTAATGAATATAATACGATATAATTTTCATTTTTTATTAAAAATATATTTTAATTTATTATTATTCTTTAAATTTTTAAGAATTTCATATCTACTTATTGGAGAATTAAAATTTTATTAATCAAACTAAAATCTAATATTCTCTAATTTTGTTTCAGGTTATGTAATAAAATCAAATTTCTCATTTTTCATATCCTTATTAATGTCTTCATATTCTTTGGCTTTTTTTAGCTTTATTACATATTAATTCTATTATTTATTTAAAATTACATAAACTTCATTCTATTTGTTTTAGAAGAAGGTAAATTATCTTCTTCTTCTTCTGGAACTTCAATCATTAACTATTTATTTTTATATTTTTCTATCTGTTTGCTAAATATACCACCGTCTATAAAATCTAACTCCATGTTTTTTAATTTATATCCAGATTATTGATTAAATTATTAATCACTGCCACTTATATTCATATTAGAAATTTAAATTTAGTTTAATTTGCTAAAATTATTATTATCTGATAAGTTATAAGGCTTAATTTCACCTAATTCTTCTAAAAATATTTATTTATTTAAAATTTTAAGCCTTTATTAATTATCTCTGTATTATATTTTGTTCATTTCCAAAAACTATTTTTAGTATTAACTTATATTTCTAACATCATACATCTGCAATATAATATAAAAATAAATTTCAAAATTATTGTATTGATTACATAAGTTAAAAATATTAAAAAAGGTATTAATTTATATAATTCTTCGTCATCAAAATCATTAAAAAAGGAAAGTATAAGAATTGCATTTGCAGGTTAAAACATAAAAGAAGTTTCTGAGTTCTTTTTTATTTATAAATATTTATAATTTTGTTACAAAATATTAATTAAATTTAAAATAATAAAATTTATTTCAAATATTATTTTTTAAAGTTTTAATAAAATACTTTAATATACATCAATAATAACTATATCTTTTAACTTTCTTTATAATTTAGATAAATCCTTAACAAAACGATTATTATGAAAAGTGCAATTTTCTCTAAAAAGCCTCATTGATGTAATATTATTTTTATCTATTATATCAATTACTGGTGAAGCATACTTAATTATTTTTTAAATAATGCCAATTTTTATTTAATTTTTATATAAATGTACTTCAGCAAGACTTGCTGTAAATATAATTATTTCATAATATTAACTCATTTTCTCTAAAAAAAAATCACAACCTGGTCTTTTTTTAACATAAACAATAAATGGTATTTACTAAATAACAATCTATTTATTTTTCATAATTTTAATTTTATAATATATTTCTATAGATTACATTTAATTAAAAATCATAATTATCAATATGATCAAATGAGCTATGAACTAATGTTTCATCTAAGTCTAAAACTAATGTTTTTTTGTCCTTTTTTTAAAAAAATATGATATAAAAGTTATTTGTTTTAATAAAAAAATAAATATTTTCACTTTATAAAAAGATGTTTAAGGTTTTATTATTTATGGAAGATTTGTTTATAAAGGATTTTACTTAAATTAGTTATTCTATTAATTTTAATTTGCTATGATTTGATTATTTTCAATATCTTATTTTTAATTTTTGAGTTAAGATTACTATTAATTTTAATATTATTATTGCTCTTCGTCATCTTCTTCTTCTTCATATTCTAAATAATATTAACTTTTTAAAAAATTTTCATTCTAAATCTTTTTTTTATGTTAGTATTTTTTACTTCCAATTAAAAATGCAATCACAAATGCATTTAATCAAACTAAATTATTTTTATTTTATATTTTTAATTTCCATTTTTTGATTTAGATTCAGTATAATTATATAATTAATTACTATAATAAAATTAAAAATAAATACGTGAAATTATAATATATATTTAAAAATTATATTACTTTTTAATCGATATATATATATAATATACATTTTTTGTAAAATACGTCAAAACTAATATTTAATTGAAAACTAATAAAAATATTTTAAATTTAAATACATATCAAAACTTGATTTATAGAAATATAATTTAAATAATATTTTATTTATTTATTCATTTTATTTTATTTTATATATTTTATATACATTTAAATAATAAAACCAATAAAATGGTTGATTAATTATAATAAAATTAAAAAATATTCATAAAATTTAACTTATAAAATCAATAAATTTAAAAGGATAATTAGATTGCAATAAAATGTTTTAAACATATACAATCAATTTCAAATCCAATAATTAATATACAAGAATGTTTTTAACCAAAAAGATTGTTGTAAAATAAATGCATTTTCGTACAAATTACTTAAAAAACAAAGAAAGAGAAATTAAATCTATAGAAGATATGCGGATTATAAATACTGCCAAAAAATTAGTTATAGATAGAGATAATAATAGTACAGTTACTTACAAAAAATAAAAAATATAAATAAATAAAAAAGTAATTAAAATTAAATTTTAAATTTATTCTTCATTTAGCAATTTTTTAAAAAATAGAAAAACAGTCATATTCATCATAAAAAAGTAAATCTTAAAAGACTATAAAATATTAAAAGTAAAAAAAATAAAATTATGTAATAAATACGCCTCGTAGCTAATGTTGTGCATTAAGTGCTTCTTCTTAGTGTTCGAAAAATTCTTAAAATTAACAAAAATCAAATTAAAACTCTTTTTCAAAGTATTTTTAATTTTATGTAATTTTTATTAATTTTTGTTAAGTATTTAATAGTTTTCTTTATAAAGTTACAGAAGAAAATTAAGCTGTTAATAAGATTTTAGCTTAGATTGGATTAATAAAGTAATATTTTAAAAAATTGTAATAGTAAAAAATTATGTGAAAATCTCCATAAAAAAATGATAAAAATTTTATAAAGAAAACAAGAAAAATAATAAATCAAAGAATATTAATTTTTTTAAAAGTAAGTTAAATAATAAATGTATGGAATATTTTCTAAATAGTGGCGTGAATTTTAAAACTTAAAAAAATAAAATATATAGAAATAATAATAATATTATAAACAAATAATAAAAAAAACTGATGAAAACATTAGATCTTAAAGTAACATTGATCAACTAATTAGAAATTCAATATGTTTGCACAAATGTAAAAAAATAAATTTTTAAGTTTATTTATTTATAAATTAAAAAGAATAATTATAAAAAGAATAAGAAGAGCAAAACCAAAAATAATAAAAACTACTTTAATTACTTGGTTAAAAAAAAGAGTTAGATGAATTAGTAAGAATCAGAAATTCAGCAAATATTAAAAATTAAAAAAGTATTAACTCTAAGAATTATCCTTGGGGATTTAATCAATAAAATTTGAATAACTAAATATAAACATAAAAAATAAAAAAAGTTAAAATAAATTAAAATTAAATGATTGATTTAAAAGAATTATTTAGCAAAAATAAATAATTATTTAAAAAAAAATAAGTTGAAAATGATGTTAATAGTTTGAAAAATAAATAAATAATATAAGAATAAAATCAATCATAATAAAAGAAAGGAGAGAAGAAAATTAATTAAGAAGAATTTAATAAATAAACAGAATAAAGATATAAAAAAATTCTATAAGAAAAAACTTAAAAGGCTCAATTATTATTTTTAAAAAAATAAGAAATAAAATAAAAGTTAGAATTACTAGAAATGAAAAGCAAATGTAATTTAAAAAAATCTAAAAAAAAAATGTTTAATCCCTCAAAAGAAGATATATAAAATGCTTTTGCATTATTAAAAGAGTGATATTTTTATTTTTAGATAATTTAACTCATGATAAATAAAATATATATTTTACTGTAATTTTTTACAAATCATTTTTTAAAAAATTAATTTAAATAAAATTTATTTTCAATGGATTTTAGTTTTTATTAATTTTATTTATGTGATTAAATTTAATTTTGTTTGTAAAGATGATATTTCTTAATAATATAAATCATAAATAATAAATATTATAAATTAAAAAGTTATGTATTTATATTATTTAATTTATTATATAATTATTGTTTTTATTTTTAAATATTATTTTTTTAGATTTATAAGTAGTTTTTATTTAACTTAATATCAAAAATAAATTTTAAAAAGGTTAATAATTGATATTTTGTAAATAAATTTTTTATTATTTTTTTATTTATATATAAATATATTAATTTTAAAATTGCTTTTACTCTTAATATAGTTTTTACATTATTTTATATAATCTTTAATAAAATACAATTTATTTTTTAACTTATTTAAAGTTCATTCTTATATATTTTCTTATGCTTTTTTAACAATATTCTCATCCCATATATCTGCCATTTTACTTCTCACTCTTTAAACAAACATTCTTATAATCTTTTATCACATTATAAATATAAAATATTTATTTATATTTTAATAATTTTATTACTGTGTCATCATCATTATTTTAATTTTGATTTTCTTCTAATATTAAATTCCATTATAAAATTAAAGTTTAGAAAAATACTTGGGTAGGTATAATTAGGCTATATTAAAAAAATCATTTAAATAAATTTATAATAAACTAATTTTTTTTAAATACCTTTCATTCCATTTGCTTCCAAAGCTTTACTTAACTTTTTCTAAAAAATCAGAGAACTGAATCTAAATATTAAAATTATTTCTTTTTAAAATTTTATAACCACAAAAATATATATATAATAATTATTTTATCTTACATTATTATAATTATTGGATTTGAATAGTATATATGTTTCCATAAGCTAATTATAAAATTCTTATGCTGGTTACAAGAATCTTATTTTCATGTTATTTGCATATTCTTATATATTATTATAATTTAATTCTATAATATTTGTAACAAATCCTCTAGCTACTGACCATTTTTTTTCAGTATTTGAAACTATATTTTGAACATAATTTTAAGCAAATTTTACCACTGCACCATTTAATGCTTTTTCAGCAGTAGTTGAAATTTTTCTCAATATTACTGGTCCTTGTTTTTCTTCATATTAATTATTATTATTTTATTTGGCCTCTTCTTGTGAACTTGATTCATTCAAAGATAATTCTTTCATTTTTTCAAGTAAAAATTCTTCATTATTAATATTTTTTTAAAGTTTGTAAACGCTCTAAATTAGCTTTCATTCATTTCTATATGATTAGGCTATTTCTGTCTTTAGTTTCCGAAATATCCTGTTATTTTTTAAGAGACACACATAATAGGTTTTATTATTCTATAATTATATATTTGTAGAATTATAATTATATTAAATATCGTATTTTTATTTACTTTTATGTATAATCATCTAAAACTTATTTAAATGAATCAGATCTTTATCGATTTTTTAAAGGATTTCGCAAAATATAATTCCATGTTTCAATAGCACTCAAAAAAATCCTTATAAAACTGGTTTATAAGTCATTTCATCTTTACAAAATATAAAAAATTAAATTATATAATTAAAAATTTATATTTTTTAAAACCTATTTTTTCATTGACTATAAAATATTAAAATTTTTAACTAAATTTTTCAAGATTTTCTTTTTCCTAATTCATAGTGAAATTTATTTCTTATAGATTATTTTGATAAGTTTCATTTTATTGCTAATCTTCTTCCATTTTACATTTTGTTTATTCTATAACAAACTCTCTTCTCATTTATAACCATATTTCTAATAATACCTCAAAAACTATTTAATTATCTAAATATATTCTTTATCCATTTTCGTATTCTTTATAAATCATTTAATTTGCATATAAAACCCAATCTGGTCCTAAATAATGCTAAAGCTTTGTTATAAATCTACGATATTTCAAATATTCTGCATCTTAATTATCAAAAAGCTTAAATGATGAATAATAATATGTTAAATTAAATTAATTTTATTAATCTTCTTGATTTTAACCATTTTCTTAAAAAAATTAATCAGAACATCTGTTTATAATAATTTATTCATTATTTATGCTATTATAGTTTTTTTTAATTTATTACTTTTCAAAATTTATTTCCTCATCCATTTTTATTTTTATTATTTTTTTTTATTTCTTTTTTTTTTTTGATTTTAATAATTATTTTTGTTTTTTTATTAAAGTTAATTTATTACTATAATTATTTAAAACAAAGAAAATTATAAACATATTTGGCAATATATTAGGACTATTAATCAATAAAAAAGAATACGCAATATTATCTTACGTATTTTTTTTAAAGTGAAATTATTATATATAATATATTTATATGAAAAATAAAGAAAAAATTAATTTAAAATTATAATATGAATATATTTTATAAATAAAACTTAATATTTTAAAAGAATATGTGAACTAATAAAATAAGGTGAAATAAAAAATAAAGACATATATTTCTATTTTAATATTTTAAAAAACTAAATTAATATAAATATATTTTATCTAATATTATATTGTAATATTATTATTTTTATTTTAATATATAAAATAATTATTTTTTATGAATATTATTATATTTAAAAATAGTTTCTTATAATTTTCTCATTAATTTTTTTATTTATAAATTTTATTTAAAATATGATATAATATTTTTATAAATAACTTAAGTAAATGATATTTAATATTTAAAATTTATTTATCTTAAAGCAAAAAATAAATGTTCGTAAATCACTTATAAAATTAATAATATAAATAAAAAAATATAAATAAAAGAAAAATGAATAAATTTATAAAATTTATAACATTATTTTACTAAAAAATTATAAAATTTAATTAAAATAAATGTTTATTATATTATAATTCTTAAACATTTTATAATTATGTTGTCTTTTATATATTTTATATTTAGTTATTATTTATTTAATTGATTAAAAAATTATTAGTAATATAAATTAAATAATTTTATTTATTTCTTTATTAAACAAAATATTTAGATAATTAGATTATTTTTTAGTAGTATTTAATATTTATTAAATATATTTAAATATAATATAAGCTTCTTTTAATTAAAATAATATATTTATTATAAAATAATTTAGCTTGATAAAATTATGATTGAAATAACATAAGATAATCACAAAAAGCAAATTTTGGAACCTATACTTGATTTTAAGAATAGTGTAGTATGTTAAGACTAAAATTAAAGCAGATAACTATTGTAATTTTTAGACTCTAAATCTTCAATAAGTTTTAAGCAAAACCAATTTGGAATTTCTTTATTTCCCAAATCAAATGTAAAAGTATCTTTTAAATAAAGAAATGAAAAAGATGATGACGACTTATTCAACGAGATATTAAAATAAGGCAAAAAAAATATATAAAATACTAATTTGAAATTTGAAAGCACTTTATTTTAAAAAAATTAAATGAATTAATAAAGTAAAAAAACTAATTACAGTGTTTTTAGGAACTTTCTACTCTAAAAAAATAATAAATAAATACTAAAAGAACATAATTTGAAGACTTAGATCCTACAAAATATACAATATAGTAATATAGTGAGAAAACTTTCTAAAGAAATCCTTTAATTAATAAAAATATAATACTAAAAGAATATTCAAAAATAGAAAAAAATAATATATTGTTACCATAAAGTTAATTTTTTTAAATACTATGTCCTGTTTGTTATTAAAATTTAGAAAAAAGCAATGAGTAAATATTTCAGCAAAATGGTTTTAACAACCTGTATTTTTCTATTGGAAAATTTGCATGTTTTTGTAAAGGTGGAATATTAAATTGGAAGTAGTTTGTTTAAAGACTAAATTAAATGCATTTCGAAGGTATAATAAAGGAAGAAATTATATAATTTTGGTTTAAGTATTTAGTTTGGAAGTTATCACATTTAAATATTCTATGTATCGAGTCTCTTTATTTTCATATCGAATACCGAGTTTATTTAAATAAAAATCATTAATTTTAAAGTTTTCTTTAAAAAATTAATGACAATATCTTTTTAAGAGCGGTTTTGAGAATAGGAGAGATTTTTAATGAATAAAAATTTTCATTAATTGAACTTACTGACACTTGGGAATCTATTTACATTTATATAAATAAAAAGTAAAGCACTTAAAATGATCTTCTTTTTTTATAACTTCTTAGTAAAAACATACTTATTTAATTTTAAAAAGTTCGGATCACAAACATGCAAAGGTTAATAATTTAAAATATACCTTTTTTAAAGGAGAAGAAACTTTATGTTGTACCTTTTAATTCTTTTTAAAAAAGTCATGTTGATAAAAAAATAGGTTATCTAAATAAACCATTTATGAGAACTTTAAAAAGTTTAAAAACTTAAGGAGGTTTGATTCCTAGTTTGGATTTGTAAATTATTAAGAAATACCCTTTGTTAATTTAGTATTATAAAAAAGAAAAAAAAAAAATATGCTATTATGATAAGTTTACAAAATCTTTCATAAATACAAATTGTGAAAACAAAGAGTTTGCTTATGCAAAATTTTTAGTTTGTGATTCTTACTTAATTTATGATTCTAGCATAAAAATCGAAGATTTTCCTTGTGCAGAATTATATATTTAATGTATAGATGAATAATTTTACAGTTAGATAAGCTGCGGTAGCAGAATTAGAGTTGTTAACAGTGAAATTTACGGATGTAACTAAAATGATTTTTATATTAAAAAGTATAAATTATATATTAAATGTATAAAAAATAACATTTAGATAGAAAGATATTATTTGCTTAAATCAGAAATGGTTAAAAGTAAGTAATTTTACAATAATTATTTAAAAAATTATATAAACAATTTAAATTTGGAAGACGTAAATTAAATTTTAGACACTATTTTTTTTCATGCTGTTGAATTTAATATAAGAATTTAATTTCTTAAATAAAAAATATTCAAAAAATTAATTATTGGATATGTAAGTTTTTAAAATTCCAAATTTATTTGCAAAATATATACACATGATAATTTTTTTTCAAAGTTAATTATGAATATCAAAATTTAATAAAATATCGAATTCATAAATGTAATATTATCTAAAATTATATCGAATGAAAAAATAATTATTTTTAAAACTAGTTATAATACATTTATTAATATTTTATGAATATTTTATAATTAATTTTTATATGAAATAGATGTATTTATTAATATATAAAAAATATTATTACATATATATTGAATTAATTTATTATAAATTTATGTAAATATATTATTTATAAAATAAAATTCTATAATTATTATAAATTTATATTATTGTTGTTGTAACAATTAAATTTTTTTATTTAAATTCATTTAACTATCCAAAATAATTTTGCATTTATACAAATATTATTAATTTTCTTATAAATTAAAAACTAATATTTTAAGATTTATAATTTTTAATATTTTTTATTAAATTAAAAATAAAATTAATATTATTGAACATATTATATTAATATTAATGAATATTATATTATTTTCTTTTTTGAGCTTAAGATATTTCTAATATTTTATTTATTGAAATAATATTTTAATATTGTATTTAACTAATATAAATAAATCATAAAGTTAGATGAATTTTCTTTATTCAAATAAACATTTGATTATTTTCAACTTTATATTATAATAATATTATATAATTTTTTAAAATATCAAAAAAACTTTAAATATTATATTCATTTTTTTTTCTTAAACGAGCATAAAAAAATAATTTTATCTTTTTATAAAATTTTGTTTAGTTTGGTTTTTCTATTTAAAATTAAATAAAAAAAATACAATTACATTTATAAAAATATAATTAATATTAAAAATTTTGAAAAATTTATAATGTTATTTTTTTAAGTAATGTGTTTAAATTAGCCAAATTTAATAGCATTTTTGATTATTTTATTTATATTTTTATTAAAAATAAATAAAATGAGGATTTAAAATATCCAATTTTTAAAGTATTTTTTTCAAGATATTTGATTTAAATGATTATGTGTATTCTCAGTTATTTAATCAAATTAATTTTAAATAATAAATATATTAACTAATATTCTTAAATATAAAAAACAATTTGAGAAATATATAATTAATTAAAATTATTAATATCTAAATAAAATAATTTATTAATATATAATTGATATATTTACAAGTATTCTTTATATTTCTTTTTTTAGTTTAGTATGTATTTGTTAATAATTTATTCACTATTAATAAATTTAGATTAAAATGAATGCAAATACTTTTTTCAATAATTATTTTTAAATTATTTAAAATAAAAATTAAAAGACTGAAAAAAGAAGAAAAAATTAATTATTAAAAAAACTAAAAAAATATATAATACAAAAAATGAATGATAATTTAAACATCCCAATAAAACAAAAAAATAATTTATTTTCAGATTCTACATTAGATACTGTCACTTAGCGTTATATTAATTCAAAGTATCAATTAGCTGATGAGGATTAAAATTTAGAAAACATGGATTTACGAAACATGTGTGAAACAGTATAAATTATATAAGATAAATTTAAAATTAATCACAATATAGGTAGTAGATGAATTAGAAACATTAGAAAAAGGAGCTGCATATGACTATTTAAAAGTAGAAAAAGAGATGAATTAATTAGATTTTGAAATAGAAAAAACAGATAATATATTAGGAGAATTGGAAGGGGTATTATTAAATTTTCGTGATCATTTAAATGAAATAAAAAGTCAAATGACTGTTTTATAAGAAAGATCTTTGAAAATGAATACTTCTTTAACAAACAGAAAAAATTTATAAAAGTTATTAAACAATTTTATGGATTAAGTAGTTTTAGATCCAAAATTAATAGATGCAATAAATTCATAACCAATCGATAAAAATTATGTATGGCATATAAAAAACCTTTGTCAAAAACTAGAATATTTATAAAATACTTAATTACCAGATTCTACAGCAATAAAGGAATTAGGTAAATATTTTTAAATTATATTTTTATATAAAGAAAATAAGAACCTGAATTAAACAAGTTAAAAAATAAGGCATGTGGAAGAATAAGAGATTTTTTATTGGAGAAAATTACTAACCTGAAAAAGCCAATGACAAATGTAGGAAGTCAATAAATAAATGTGCTTTTAGATTATAGAGTATTTACTGATTTTTTAAAGATTCATTATTAAGAAATTTATACAGAATTATGCATTTATTATACTGAAACTATGTCCAAATTATATCTACTACTTTCTAAGAAAAATATTTAAGAAGCATAAAAGTGCATGGCTGATTTATATTCAAAAAATGATACACTAGTTAGTGATAATGTTTCTAATATTAGAAATTAGTTAGTAACAAAAAGGTTAAATATTAGCTAAGGCAAGAATAAGTCTATATTCGATATTATGGGTAGAGATGCAATATTAAATACTGAAAAAATGCAAGAAGATTGCTATTTTTATTTAACTTCACAAAAAAATAATGAGAAGTTTACAATCGAATAAATTTTTAGGAGTATGTGCAAATTAATCATAAATACAGTAATAAGTGAAACTAGTTTTGTGAATTAATTTTTTAATTTAGAAACAGAATAACATATAAAAATTTTTAAAACAATATTTTCTGCTACATTTAATTATATGTTTGATTTTCTTCGAAATACACTTTCTAATACATTTGATTGCGTTGGAGTTATTTTGATAATTTTAATAAATGAATATTATTAAAAGGAGTGTGCAAATTTATAAAACGATATTTTAGAATATTTTTTTAATAATATAAGTATGATGGCATGGCCAAGATTCCTTAAAATTTATGAAGGTCATTTAAAAAGTATAGAAGAAAAAAATATTAAGGTATATAAAAGTGTAGAAAAATAATTAGGATTTAAAATTATAGCCTAGAGATATGTTGATTTGTAATTATCATTTTATTGTCTATATACTTATTTCGGAGAAAATTAAATGCTCAGTAATAGAATAGAATAACTTAGAAATGAATACGTTAAATTGATTAAGAAAAGTGGAGAAGAGATTGGAAAAGGATTAGAAAGAAACACTTATATGCTTATTGTCTTAGATTTTATTTAGACAAAATTTAATGAATGCAAAATTCAGAAAAATTTAAAAGAATTTTAAGACGATTTAACTAAATTAGAAAAAGAAACAAATCTTTATATTAGTGAATTTATAAACATTTTCTTAAAAGACCTTTTTGGAGATTTAATTGATTTTGTCAAATAAAATGCTAAGGAGGAAACTGAAGCTCAAATGAAAAGCATGGGAGAAGTATTCTATGAATAATAAATTAATAATTAAAATAATAAAATAATTAATCCTTAAGATAATGCGAAACTTATTTAAAATATTTGCACTGATTTTAACTTTTATTGGAATAAAAGAATTGATATTTTTAAAGCTGAATGCGAAAAACTTTTTTAAGGAAATATAATCTTAAAAAAAATACTTAAAAAATTTCTTAATATTTTCATTACTTATTATGGAACATACTTCTAATATGCAAAAAACAATTTTCCTAATTAAGCAAACAGTTTAATTAAAACACATGAAATCATGAGAGAAATTTAAAAAGCTTATAATATTTGAATAAATTTTTTTGAATGATATATTTATTTATTTTTTTATACAAAATTTAATAATTTTTTATTAGCAACAAATTTTCATATTTAAAATAAAAATAAGATAAAAAATATATAGATATAAAAATTATTATATTTATTAGACATAAAAAAATTGTATTTTAAAATAAATTATTATATATTAATTAAAATATATAAATATTTTTTTTGTTTAGTTATGTTTTATTTTATTATAAAATTTTACTACGGCAATATATAGTCTCATTAGAATTCTAATATAAAATATTTAAATAATATAAATAATTTAAAAATAAATTATATTTATATTATATTATTAAAAAATTATTTTAAAATATATATATATATATATATAATTTTTTTATAGATTTTAAATTTTATAAATTAAATCTCTCTATATCTTTATATAAAATGCTTTTATGAATATATATTTATATGTCCTTAAATTTTTATTTTTAAAAATATAATATAATTTTTAAAAATTATAATTATAAATATGGGACATTTAGTTTAATATAATTCTGATTAACATAAATAAATTAGAAAAAAATATTATTTTTTCTATTTTAAACTATGACCTTATTGCATTAATATTGTCAAACTATTAGTTTTTTTTATAGATTTTAAAATAAATAAATAGTTAAATTTGAAATTCAAGATAAATAGTAGCTTGATAATATAGAAATATGATTATATATATATATATATAAATACAAATATAAATAATTATATTTTTTCATAAAACAAAGCATAATTTTGGAGACAATTCTTTAAAAAATTCTCCATAGGTTACCTAATTATTTCTTTATTTATCAAACCTAGAAAATAAATAGCTTAATTCTTTAGGTGAAAAATGAATATCATATT